CGTAGAAGGCGGCGGTAGAGAGGAGAAAATAGTATAAGGATAGTAGAAAAAATAAATCGGTTTAAAAATTAGATTAGGAAGATAATAATTAAGAAGGGGAGTATAAGAAATATAGTATTAATAAAAATAAGGAATTATCTAGGGAATATAAGAGTTTAAATAAGGATGAAGGGATACCGAAGAATAAAATATAATTTATAAATAAGGTTGCTATAAATTATGGAAAAGGGGTGGATAATATTATTATTAATTATATAAGAGCGTACGTAATAGTCGCAAGGGTATAAAAAGAAGGTAAGTAATTTCCTCTATTAAATTAATATTTATTAGAAGCGTAGAAATTAAATCCATTTATATTAGAAAAAGTATTAAAAGAATTAAGGAGAGGTTAGAAAATAGAAAATTAAAAGATAAGAGAAGATAAAATATTATATTATTATTACTAAATTTATATACCGGAGAATATACAATCGGAATTGCTTTATACCTACTATAATAATATTATAACTGGAAACCTAAAATAATAAAAAACGCTTAAGAAAATTAATTAATACTATTACTAGCCTATTATCGCCGCCGACGTAGAAGATTACGTTTATTAATATTCAATATATTAGAAAATTAAACTTTAGAATTATAAATTATACGGGTTCTTTATATCGCTACCTATCCTAACGGTACTGTAGTAAAATATTTTTTACGACTTTATTACGGGCCTACTTAAATTTCACAACCCTATATTTAATTGAATTTACAACGCTATTCTAATTATTATTAACTATTTTACTAAATTCGTATTCTATATCCTAACGTAAAAAATAATTACCGTATAATAATTCGTATACTTATTTTAATAAATTATATTCCGGCCGTTCAAACTCCTAAATTCTATTATATCCGATAGAAGGAACCTTTTTATAAATAATTTTTAAAAAACCTATTATAAATTATTAAAATATTCGGCGCTGCTTAAATACTACTTAGTACCCGTAAACGGACGGATAGATAGAGCGATAAAATTAGAGTTTAGAACTATATTTACGGATCTTTTATAATTTAGAATAGGTAGACTAGGCTGGAAAATTAGTAATAGCGGAATAGATTTATAATAATTACTTTTATACTATTATTAGTAAATTACTGTCCAAATTACTCTATAATTATTATTTATATAGTTTAACCAATTTAAATTGGGGTTATAAAAATATATTCCTTACGGCGGTTATTAAAAAAATTACGGAATCAATCAAAGGACGAACCGCTGTCGCTAAAGGCTTAAAAAATTTAATAAAAGTTACACAAAATAATATAATAAATTGCGCAAACCTAAAGAATTCGAAGTCGGCAATTAAATCCTCTTTAATACGAAGAATATTAAATAACGAAAACCTAATATCAAATTAGTAAATAAATTCTTAAAGCCTTTCTAAATTACTAAGGTCGTTAATAATAAAAAAATAGCCTACTATTTTACCCTTCTAGAATACTATTGTACTTATTCGGTATTATAAAAGGAATTAAATTATCCGGAATTATTAAAGGAATACGAAGTAAGGGAGTTATAGAAGAGGAAAGCCGAAGGGGGGCCCGGTAGTTAAGTTAATAAGAGTAAATTAAATGGGTTAATAAAAGGAGGATAAAGTACTTAATGACTGTAATATATTGGTAATTATAGAATATTAGTAATTAAAACGTATTTAGAGTATTAAGCGATTATAACGTATAGAATATTAGACGATTATAACGTATAATATATTAGACTAAAACTAGGGGAATTATATTAGACGATTATAATATATAATGTATTAGATTAGAATTGAGGGAATTATATTAAGAAGGCGGGCGACGGCGCGTAGATAAAGGGAGGAAGAGTTAATTAAAGAGCTATAGAGGACAACGAGCTGGGAAACGTAGTAGCGCGCCAATATTTAATTATCGACTATCTATTAAATTAATATTCCTCCCCCTAAACGACGATATTATTAATAAAGTAAGATTAAAAAACTATAAAAATAGAAGGTTAAGTATTATAATAACTGCCTAATTTAATCTTTAAATCCGAATCCAAATTATATATTAATATAGGAATCGAACCTATCTTTTCAAAAATTAAATTCTCGCGCGCGACGGCCGCGCCTATTAATAAATAATTTAGACTTAAATTTCACTTTCGTCTATTATCGTATTTTTAGCCGCTAATATTAGCGTATTTTTATCATAGGATTAAAGAAACGCCTCGATGGGTAATAAACGGCGAATATTAATATATATTAAATTTATAGCTTAAAGAATATTTATTAGACTGACTATACCTATAGGGATAGCGAGAATTACTAAAAAAGTAGAAATTATAATATCGAATTATTCGCTATCGAAAGTACGAATAATAATAGGGGCAACCTAATTAGTAGAGCGACTATTAATAGGATAGCGAAAATTGTAACGCTTTATCTACTTATTAAAATAGTGGCTATAAAATTCGGAGGGTACTAAAGGAAAAATATAAAAGTATTCGTAAAGAATATAAATTCTAATTATTAAAATATTGATAGAATTGGAGAAGGTAATAATAAGGGTAAATATAATATTATTTATATCTCCCGTATAAATAGCGATTATATTCTTTTAAAACGTAACTATATAATTGTAAAGGATTAGAGGGAAATTGTAAAAGCGCCGATTTAGAATTTCGGGATACGTTAAATATATATTATTATTTAGAAGAATGATTTTATTAGCGTTAATACTAATAGAAAAGGAATAAGAATTTAATAGACTTTATTAGGTATAAACGAAATAATTTACAGCTAAAACTATAACGGCGCCGATAGCATTAGGGGGTAGATTAATAATAGCGTTCGCAACTTCCTAAAAAAAATAATATAAGGCAAATCGTAAATGGTATTATTAAACGATTAATATAAAAAATATAAGACGGAAAGGAAAAGCGCTTATTAAAATTAAAGGTAGTCGGGCTTAATAAGGAAGGTTAAATTGTAAAGGGTATACCAGTCGGCGGAGTTTAGGAAGGCGGCTATAATAATAATATAAATAAATATATAAATTTGTACGAAGGAAAGAAGAAAAAGAAAAGGAGGAGGAGAAGGTAAAAAAGAAGAAGGATTTTTATAATTAGAATTAAAAATACAAAATAGGGTAGAATCAGAGTAAATAATTAAGGTATAAAAGTACGGGCGCTATTAAAGAACTTTTCAATAAATTAATTTTAAATAATAAAATATAAGAAAAGTAATAAGGGAAGGTAATAGAAGGGAATAGAAGAAAGGCGGATGTCACGGCGTAGCTAGACGGTGTGATGATTGTACCATTTCGCTAACTTGGACTAAAGACAAGAAGTTGAAGAGGAAAGAAATCCCAAAAGGGAAGGCTGATGGGAGAGGCGAGGTTCTTATACCCCAACTGGGAGGCAGCCGGAGCCAAGTCCAGAACCTTCACCCGAACCATGTAACCTATGACGGCACCAGCCGTCACAGCGGAGAGGATAATTTAGGATAAAAAGATAGTTAATAGGCGTTAAAACGGTAATAGGGGAGTAAAATATAATAAGACGGAGGGTAGTTAATTTAAGTTTAAGACGGCGGCCGGTAGAAGATAAGGAAATAATAGACGGTAAATAGAAGGTGGTCGAAGCCGGCGGAGAAATGGGATTAATAGGTATTAGGCAACGAGCTAGTACCGGTAGGGAGGTAAGAAGAAATGGAGAGGGCGGCGTTTTGGCGATAGTATATTCGGTTAAAGAAGTAGATTACAGAAGAATAGCAGAGAAGAATACCGGTAGGGAGGCTACCGACGGAGGGTATTTATAGGTTTCTAAAATAGAAATTTAGGGGAGGGAGGGTTATATTAAATCGTTAGGGCCTTATTAAGCATTGGACCCGTACTAATACCGAAGAGCGCCGATATCCGTATAATGTAGTGCTATAGTATAGCGTCGGAACGGTTCGGAGTTGTTGCGGACTCAACTATTATAGAATAGAGTTTACAACGATATAAATAGCCGGTCGAATTCGCTTCTAAAGTTATTGGGGTTAATTATTAATATATTTTTAGTCTTCCCCCTACCTTAACGTCCCCTACGTATTTACGCTATCCGTAGGCACTTTAACCTACTTTCCTCTACGATCCTAATAAATAATAGTTAGATTTATACTGGGCTTGAACGAATTAAGGATTTATAGTAGAGGAACTTTGAAAGAATTAAATCCGTTAATTTTCCACGGAGAAAATGAGAAATCAAAAAGGGGTATTGTTAATTAAGGGGGCGGAAAACCTAAGCCCTTTTTTTACTTCGCCCTCTTTCGATAGAAGATTTATTAGTAAAAAGAACGGTCTTTTAAAATAAAATATCTTTATCCTTGTACTTTAAAGCTTAAGAATATTGAGAGTTGGTAATTTTATTAGAAAAATATAGTTGTATAACGGCGAAGTAGTATTTAATATCTAATTTTTTAAGGTAGTTAGAAAAATAAATCTGTCCGACGTAAGGGTATACCTTTTTTCGCAAACTTTCAATCTAAATGAAGGGATTTTTAGTAACCTCGTATAAAATAGTTCTTTTATCCCTCTTGTTTAATGTAGGTAGTCGTCTACGGCCAAGTTTAGAGATACTCCAATTTTAGAGTTTAAAGCGTTTTACGACGCTTCGGATATACTTTAGCGTTACTCCTTCATAAATTGTTACTATAGCTATACTAATACTATTAGAGTATTGTATTATAATATGGTTTCTCTAATGAGGAGTTGAGTGTTTGAATTTTGCCTTTTTGATTGGGAATGATAAAATTATCGCCATTTGAATGAAAGATAGTGAAAATATTGAAGATTGAAAATGAGGGGAAAGTGCGGGGTTTTTCAAAACTGGGCGTTTATTTGTGGGACGGACTGTACATGCATCAGGGGACCTATCAGGTACCTAGAATCGTGTGGCTGTAGCCTGAGACAGTGTGTACTCCCAGGTACCCTTGATGCACTGCCCGCCACCTCACAGCTGTTTCCCTCCAGCACATTTCACCCCAGCAGATGTCTGTTTCATTTTGGCGACAACTCATCTTCACGATTTCACATTGACGAGTTCAATGACTCCTTACTTCTCAAGTATCTCTAGAGACACAGTTATCTACCATACCATCTTGCGCGGAGCAACCCATCCTCACCCCTCCAACTCCGCAAGTAAACAAACCTCCGAATGCCCCCAATTCGCATCATGCTGATCATCATCCCCTTGTCCCACCACCGCCACGTTACTGATATTGTCACTATCTTCCGACGGCGGAGATTGTCTCTTCGTCGACTTCCATCTCAAAGCTTTACTCCTCCTCAACATCCCTCCAAACAACCGGTTACGCCGGCGACTGCTTTTCTCCTGTCCGTCGTCGTTGCCTTCATGTTCCTTCTTCCGTGGCCGTTCCTGACCTCTCGCACGATCCCATTCCTCATAAACCATCAAGTCATCCTCTTCCTGTCCTTGTCCTTGTCCTTGTCTATGTCCGTGAGATGGAAGGTGATCCCTCACGTCATATCCATTTTCACTCCCATTCTGGACATGCGATACCTCCGAGACCTGCCTTACCTCAACCATCAACGCCCCCTTTTCATTCCACTGGAACGACTGACGGGGCTGACTATGGGCTGTAGCAGAGTCGTCCTCGAAACTCGCCAGATACCTGTCCAATAACAGCGGACCCAAGACGTACTCCCTCACCACCAGCTTGACCATCATGCTAAACAAATGGCCCAGAACACTCCATCCGATGAGCGCCTTGTCCAAGTCCCGCGGCCTTCTCTTGCGTCCATCAATTGGCAGGACCAAGGCGACCGTGTACAAAACCACCATGGCGATATGCAAAACATCCCAGATTGCTCCTCCAATGCTGAGGTTCAGACCATGTAGTTGACCGTTGGTGGCTTGCCATATCCCGCCTTTTTGGGCATCGGTGCCTTTTTTCCATCTGTTTGCCCAGCGCCTTCCACGGCTTGATTCGTCAACCTCGTCGTCGTCGTCATCGGTAAAAGCGTCAATCCAGAACATGCAAATGACGAAAACGCAGTGTAATCCGAGTTTTCCAATCAACGCGGCGTTGGCGATCATGGGTAAGAAGGGGAACGAAGTTCCTAGGATTCCGAGGGTGAAGCCGACGCAGCCTGAAGCGAGGAGGCCGTCTAGGGCTGTCAAGAGGAAGTGTGTCGTTAGTGTTGGGGGGAGAGTAACATCAGCGAGAGGAGGGCGGGTGGCGAGTGTCTGATGACCGGGTCCTGATGAGGGAGGTGGTGGTTCTCTCTCGATGAGCATTTGCCAGGATAGTGGTAAGGGGATGGCTGTTAGTAGCGGGGGCTGCGGTGTGGTGCTGTCCAGATTTGATGGATCGAGGAGCTCGGCGTCTACTTCGGCGTCGTTCTCGTGAGATGGCGTGAGCGTGACAGGGCAGTCGTAGACTGTTTGTATGGTTCCCTCGACATGATAGCTTGCAAGGGCAAGGCGCAAGTCTTCGGCGTCTGGCATCAGTTTGTTGATCTGCTGCTGCATGTCGGGGAAGGACATGGAGACGTGCGCCCCCTCCGGAGAGACACCGCCCGATTCAAATGAGCCGTCGTCGTATAGAGAATCCTTGTTGTAGCCATAGCCATCGCTATACCTTCCCTTCCCTCCACTCCTGTTGTTGTTGGTATTCACCTTCCGCACCCGAAACAGCGCGCCTTCACCTGCTTCAGCTGTTTCTCCTTCATCACGGCGGAGAAACGCAAGGCAAAACACTCCTAACTCGTCGGTTGCCATTTCGTCCTTTTCCCAGTCCTCCCTAAACACATTGACCTCCCAAACCCTCCCGTCTTCTGCGTTCCTCACTTTGATCGTTCCCCATCCCGCCACATCTGTACTATCCTTTGGCATGTCAATGCAAACCAGCATTTCCACTTCTTTTCTGCTCGCTCTTGTGTTGGAAAGGTATAATTCCCCATCTCCACCCACCCGGATGTCCGTCTCCGATGGCAGCGGTATTAGCCTCTCTTCCTGACCCGAAGGAACGCAGCTGGGCATCCACCTGTTGCGGTGATTCGCCAATGGTCTCTGACGAGGCAGTTGAGGGTTGAAGAAGAGGGACAGCGGAATAGCGTTGAGACTCGAAAGAATGGCCGATAGTCGCTCGGAAGGAGTCGATATACGTAAAAGGGGTTGTGTGTTGAAGGAGAGAAGGGAGGAGAGAGTGGTTATGGCATCGTTTGGTTCCGTTGAAAGAGAGTCAGCGAGATGGTTCCAAATGGTGATTAAAGAGTCGCTGGTGTTTGTTGTTGTACTGCGGTCAGAGTTACTGAACCGTTGGCTGAGTGTTTGTTGGAATTGCTGGGCTAGGCTGTTGGACATGAGCATGCCAGCATTTTCTTCAGGAGAAGCTGAAATATTCTCGCTCGTGATTGTTTTCGGTAACCACTTGGTACTGTTTCTAGCCCATCTTCCTTCACGACCTTCCATGTCAGTCAGTGCCTCTGGCGGGCTAAAGGGATTGAAGGTCCCATCTGCACATTGGACTTCCCATCTTTGTCCTAGCATGGTCGCTTGTAATGCTGACATGCTGTCCATCCACGGACTGACGGCCAGCATCGCCAACCTTTCGCATAGTGGCGTGTGTTCCAATGATGTGCGCTCTAGGACTGGATCCAAGACCAGGACTTTCTCCGCGAGAGCGTATACTGCCAGCACCTTGTTGACTGCCTCTGCCCTCGCTTCATCGAAGTTCCCCCCGTCGAGCGTTGTCGGTATACAAAGCGTGTCAAGCCAAAAGTTGTGTCGTCTGTGTCCTTCGCGGCCGTCGCCGTCCATTATTTCCTCCCAAGGCGGTGTACTCCCCGGTTCTTCGTCCGGATTGCGATTTCGTCCCGGAATTTCCATCAAGATACCCCCGAATTTGGCGAAGTCGGCATTCGTGCATTATGTTATTAGTCTCGGCCCTGGCCCCGGCGTGCGACAAAATCACAAACTGCATCTTCGAATCCAACTTTTTGACTCTAATCTTTAATCTTCGTTTCAGCTCGCTCTTCACTTGCAATATTGGTATCCCGCTTGAAAGCAAAATTTCTTTGATCTTCTGTTGGTTAGGTGAGATGGCGCGACACTGACAACGGTTTCGAACGTGTTTCGACATATGGCCTTGCGCTTCATCACTAGTCACTACGGATTTGCTTTTGGAGCAATCTTTATGCTCAGTTCCGGCTGGGATTCTTTGACTGAATCGACTGCAATAATAGAGCGCTGCGTAGTCGTTCTTTATAGCCATCTTCTGCAAATAATACGGACACTATCTGCGCTCCAGCTGCAAAAAATTGAGTAGTACTTGTGCACTCGGAGATGGCCCATCTATCTCATTTTCTGAAAGCGTCGAAAGTATCGGCCTGCTTAATCCACCACCACCATCCAATTTTAACGCTGGATAAAGCTGTCTAAGAAGTCTATTAAGCGTGCAGTAAAGCACTTTCACTGATAGCAGCACCGCTGGTAATGGATGAATGTGGCTTTTTGAGAGTTGCTTTAGATCTTCTGCTGGGGCGAATATTTGACTGAGGAATTGTCGCTTGGAAAATGCTTCTTTTTTGCTGAGGAATCGTTTCTTACTTATTATCATCGCGCTTCTCCTTCTTCTTTGTGCCCTTATAAGTCGATGTCGATTAGGCCTTACAAGTAAAGTTGTTGTACTCGAACCGTGCCCCAACCCCAGCCCAAGCCCAAGCCCAAGCCGAACGCCGATCCAATCGTCCAGCAACTCCAACACTTTCTTCCCGTTTACGACGTATTGCTCTTCGTCTTCTTCGCCCTCTTCTTTCTGGACCTCTTCCAGGATTCCTACAAGCGAGGAATCTACTCCAATTTCCACCATCGTCCCTTCCCCTTCGAGCGCCGTCCCCCCTCCATCCCACCCAGCATCGCCATCCCCAATCCCCGCTATCCTTTCGACGTCCGCCTCACCACATATCCTGCTCTCTGCATACCGTACCTCATCCCCGTCGTCCCCATCTCCCTCTCCCGCTCGATTCTCATAGCCACTCTCACACCGGATTCTATCACCGCCCACGTCCCCTTCTAACTCCCCCCACCCCGCTCCTCCATACCTTGCATCAAGTCCAATCTCCCTCACCACCCGTCTCCTAAACTCCCCACTCCTCACACTCCCTCCCAAAAACTCCGACAAAACCCCAAACCATAGCCACACCTGCGCCAACCCCGCCAGCTTCTTCACCGGCAGTGAGGACCACTGCTCTCCATAGCCGTGGGAGCGTGGAAAATTCCAAAAGTTGGTGCCGAAGGTGTAGGGAGTAGTGACGAGGTACGGGATTTGAAGTTCTGAGAGAAAGGGGAGGGAGGGGGAGGGACAGCCAAGGGGGGTGAAGCGGGAGAAGGAGGGTGGGGGATGGGGGCCTAGAGGGGAGATCGGGGAGAACGGGTCGGAGGAGATGGTGAGAATGGATCCGGTGAAGGCACTTGGGTTGAGTGATGGTTTGAGGGTGGTGGTATGAAGTCCATCTTGGTCGGTGTTGTTTTAGGGTTGGTAATGGGTTTCGGGGAGTTGGGTACGTAGTAGTGAGATGATAATGATGATCCGAAGCGAGCGTGCGACGTGGATCCAGTTTGTTGTGAGCCAGTGGTGTAGTGTTGTCGTTGAAGTTATCACTCCTTGGCTAGAGCATCCATTATCGTGCCATCAGGAGTCCAAAATCCGTTGGTCGCAAACTCATCGTTGGTGGCGTTTCTCTCTCAGCCGGATCGCGTTGCTTTGTGTTATCGATCATTCATTCATTCGTCCAGTAGCTGTTGGTCATCTCGCCGTGTGTAAATCGTACAAAGCGTCAAAGGCGTTGAGCGCTTCGACAAGATTGCGCGCGTGCGCGTAAACAATGTCAGACAAACGCCAAGTTCAAACAAAAACACACCAAAAATCTCCGAGAAAATTGAGAAAGCAAAGAGAGCGAACGGGGAAGAACCAAGATGCGCGACAAACTTCAGCAGACAGAAGGGGAACCGTTCCCCCTCTCCCTTCCAATTTCTTGGGAGAAAAAGAAAGGCGCAAGGCACAGGCACCATCACCACCAAGCACCAAATCCATCCAATACCACCCTACCTGACCAACCGAGCCAGCAAGCCACCTAACTATCCTGAGATAGGTGTTCGCAGCATGCAGGACCGGTACCTACGGGCGAAGTTAGTTCGAACACATGCATACATTTATTTGATTGATTTGGGATGATCTCCCACTCTGGGAAGGGTATATGATATCCTCTGCTGGCGAAGGAGGAACGTGTTTCCCCTCACTTTACGGTCCGCAGTCAGCACGCGCGCACACGGAACCAAGGAAATCCAAAGCGAACCAACACCCGAGCCGAGCGATGGATCGCGGGCGGTTATATCATCGTGGGGGCGGTTCGGGCTGGGCTGGGCTGGGCTAGGTGAGTCGATCACGATTCGACTTTTGTCCTCTTTGGTATCTTTTGGGTCGCGGTCTGGACTCGATCTTACGAACACGTGGGCGCAAGCAATCAACGACAACGACGTGCGAGCAATAGCTGGATCAAGAAAGGTACTGTGCTGTAGGTATGTAAGCTGGACTGCTGTGCCTTCTTCGTACGTCGTACCGATACGTGCCTGTGAGTAAGTGAGCGGCGCATTCGAGGGACAATACCGTCCCGCTGCACAGCCTGACTGTAGAGAGATGTCGATAATTGATAAGGGACTTACTTTGGGTAAAAGACGGAATGGAGTATCGTGATGGTTCGGTGTATCTGTGATGTGTGCCTATTAATTAGAGTGGAAGGCGATGCTGAAGTTCGGCAAGGTTTCGTTGCGATGAGATGAGTAAATGTTATGTAACGTACCTCGTACCAAGCACATTATCAACGTGATCTTTTCAGAACACATCTGCACCTGGGCGGTGCAGATATTTTCCGATGAACGATGGCAGATACGCGACATTGAATACCTAGTGTCAAGATGAAGATGATGTGCATCCGAGAGGAGTAAGGGAAAAGACCAGAAAATGCCAAAGATATGGAAAAGCGACTGATTCCGAGAGGAAAGGAAAAGAAACCGGGCAGGCAAGGGACAGGGGAGGCGCGTGATATATACAGGCCCTTCGTCCCCCTCCCTGGTTCAAGTCTGGCGTTGAGCTGGAGTTCCTTCCAGTCATGATCGTTGTAGCTTCCTTAAGTTGGCGATGACTTCCTTCCTGGGCCGTCTGGCACCTTCCGTTTTTACTTTGCATAGGTCAACCTTTCTTCAAAAACAAGACCCCCCCCTCGTACGTGCCTGGCCGGGCTGCGAGTAAGTAGCAGTGGGGCGAGAGACTATCAGTCGGTCCCGACTCGGCAGGCCGGTCGGTAACAGCAAGAAAGGAATCACGAACGACCGACAGCAATAACCTCCTTCTGTTTATCTTCTTCCTAAGAACAGACATCCAAACACACAATATCCAAACAATGGGAATCTTGTACATAGACCAAACAAACAGGCTCAAAATCCAGACCGAACGCCCAACAAAAATCTTCTTCTTTATATAACCTTCTTCATCTTTCCAACGTCACACAACACCACATCAGACCTCTCTCACTTCCCACTCCCCCCATCCAAAGTCCCCGCCAAATTCATCGAAGCATACGCATCCCTCTTCCAACTCTCATCCCCACTCCCAGGTCCATCATCATCATCATCGCTAGTGATGGGATCAGCATTGACAACCCTAAACCCTCCCCTCTGTCCTTGTCTGCCTTCTACTCCTCCGTCGTTGATGTCGTGTCCAGAGGAGAAATCAGCGCCCCAATCGGTTAGTTGTTCACGGCCGTCGACTGCGGGAAGGTGGATTTGCGGGGCGCCGCTTGTGGTTGGTTGTTCTTGTTGTTGATACTGCTGTTGTTGGGGTTGTTGTAAATATTGTTGTTGTTGTTGAACCTGGGGCGGGTATCCTTGGTGCCCTTGGTAAATGTTATAGCCACACTGGTTACCGTAACCCCGTTGATTATACCCCTGATCATAAACTGGAGTCGGGAGTTCACTGTGTTCGCTGTCGCCGAAGCGATCGAAATCAGGCAACTCGTACCCGTGCGACGACGGCGGGGGTTGTTGTTGTTGCTGGTAGTACATGGAGCTGACGCGTTGTCGCGTGGGCGTCTGGTCTGCGTCGCCGTAGCCTTGGTAGCCGCCGTACTGGCCGCTGCGGTTGGAGTAGGCAATAGATCCTCGCCTGCCATCCTGCACTGGCATTTGCTGCTGTTGTTGGTTGTGGAATTGCTGTTGGCTTTGGATGCTGAGGCTCGCCATGTCTTCCAACACTTGGGCTTGTTGCTCGGCCTCCCTCTGCTCAAGGATCTGAGGCGCGGGCTCGACGTTCCGCAAGCTACTGGATCCGGCACCCTGAGATTGCTGTTGCCCGCCCGAGCTGCGGTGGCTGAGTGCCATACTGGCGCGGTGGGCACTCTCTGGTATATTTGACATACTGCCGGCGTGGTGACCGCCGCTTGATTGCTCGCCGGCAGACGTGCCTGGAAGGCCGGCAGCGGTGGCGCTATCCATGTCCTTGATGGCGAACTGGGCAATGGTGCGCATCTTGCGACTCACCCAGCCCGCAAGGATCTTACCGCGTTGCTTTTCACCCAGACGTGAGCGCGGGAAGTCACCCTTGTTAACAAATGCGACAATGTCGGCAATGATTTGGTGCTCATTGAGGATGGCGTTGACGATGACTGGGACGATGGAGGCAAGGTAGGCTTTGCGGGCTACTTCAACTAGGACCACCACAAGTCCGCCTGCCTGGAAGACCGCGCTGTTACATTATTTCTGTTAGTATTTTCCATCACAACGCTGGATTCGGAGTGTAATTAAAACTTACCAACCACCCGGCACGATAACCCTATGACACCTCTCAACAGAAGCCTCAATGTCCATCGGGAAGTGACTCAACCCATTGATCTCAAATGTCTCACCAATGCTTCCCAGCACGAACAAAACTTGCATGTCCACCAACGCACCGCCAGGTCCAATGGGCTTGCTAACATTATGCAAGAACCCAAGATCGCCCGTCCTCACATAGCGAATGCTGGGATCCTCGACTGTGCGTCCGTTGAACCTTTCCACGTCAAACTGGTCCTTGGAGCCATAAAACGACTTGACGCAACCCTCCGAGTCCACCCAAATCTCACCATACTCGCCATCACTGCACAGCATCCTGCTCTCCGGGTTGACAATAGCAATCTGTGTCGAAACCGGCACCATGCCGCTGTCCTGGATAACCAGAGCCTTGGGATCCCGTAGCGGGTCCGTCGGGTAAATGAGACCTTGCCGCAGGGCCTTGGGATCCAGGTGAAGTTCGATCGGCTCGACGCACATGTACGACCGAGAAGCAATCATGGGGTTCAGAACGTGCGAGTAGACGGTGTTGATGGCAGTGCGATCTAGGCCGGTAGCGTCGAAGTGAAGACGAACCCTGGTAAAGAGGTCAACGCGAGGGCGGGCTTCACACGAGATCATCATGTTTTTGAGCTCGTGCAGGGTAAAGCCCTTGCCGGGAATCATGCTCATGGCGTGGTCAAGCATCTGCGGGGTGGCGTAGGTGTCTTTGATCTTGTACCGCGAGAGGATGAGGAAGAGCGAGAGCGGGTTCTGGGCAAAGTCGACGGGGGAGAGCAGGTAGGTAGGCGTGCCGATGTAAATGCCCATGAGACAGGTGTGGATGAAGCCTAAGCCCGTGGTACTACGCACGCAGCCCAGGACAGGTCGCGAGCTGGACATCTGGCATGTCTCCTTCTGTACCTTGCACATACCCAGGATGGTGTCATGGCTGAGCTGGACCGCCAGGCGTCGCTGATCGGGTGTCCAGTATGTCCAAATCACTACGGGATAGCCGGACTGGACCCATGCGGGGTCAACTGTAATGCCTAGATCGCGTAGACCATTGTTCTGCTTCGACGGTTTGCTGGTGTTGTAGACGTTCGGAACCAGGACCTTCAAGAACTGAGCCGACTGCTTGATGTGCTGTGCAACAGGCTTCGTCTTGAGCAAGTGGTCCACCTCCTGATTAACCAAGACAGCCTTGACGCTGTAGTCCGCGACGAGGTGGAGGAAGGCAGGAACATCCTCGGACAGGCGATTCTGATCCATCGGCGCAACGGGAATGATAATGGCACCAAGGTTGATGCAGGCGTGGACGGCAAAGACGAACTCCTCGGAATGGGTATACATAAGAACGACATGGTCACCTGCCTTGATCTTGACCTTGTTCCTCAGGTACACAGCAACTGCTGCTACCTTTGTGTCGAACTTCTTCCAGGTGATCCCCTTGCCTTCCTTGCCACGACCATCAATGGTGCAGTAAGCCAATTCTTCAGGCTGCCTCGCCACTCGCCATTGAATCAGGTCCGTGATGCTGGAGAAGTTGTTAAGGGGGGTCGACGTTCTATCGTCAATAACCACCTCTCTCCGGTCGATGCCCGAGTACTGTTTATCGGCAGGGGCAAGAATCTGGGCTCGGGACTCGGAAGCCACAGGAGACCAGATGCCGCCGATTGGGTCGACGCCGATGGGCAAGTTCAGCACAGCATGCTCAACGGCAAACTTGACATGGACACAGGGAAGGTTGCCCTGGTCAAACTCCCTTCTGCAAAGCATGTTGCCAATCTCCTTGCGGCCATTTTTCATCACTCGTGGCAGAGCATTCGGTGCAGTGATCATGACACAGTACACACGAAGGTGATGTTCTTGCATCAGCACATCCATGCACCTTTCAGCCAGAAAGTCCAGGAGAGCCGTGTCCAACTGCTGAGGCGGCCCTCCACTGGTAGCCGGAGCTGTAGAGGCAGCTTGAGATTCCAGTACCACAGCAGGTAGATGTTCCTCGTTGACAAACACGTCAAAGGCAGAGCAATCAAAGATCTTGGGTACGTTCTTCATGATGCTAACAACAATGTGCTGCACAAAGAAATACCGATACTCGGCCACCTCGGTGCCGTGCTCAACCCATTCGACCTTTTGCCGGATACGATCCTCGTAGAGGCCCAGGACGAAAACTTTGCCTTCTATAACGGTACCTAACAGACCAGTTCGGAGGTACTCCAGCTCAGTCGGGGTTGGAAGGGTCGAACCAGGTTCGAATGTGAAAGGCCGAGCATGGAAGATCTGTTCGGTGTGCTTTGGCAGCGCCCAGAACCCACCCGACAGCGAGGGAGAATCAACCCAGATCTCTCCCACGGTATGCGGCGAAGCGAGGAGGCCGGTCTCCGGGTCGACGATGGCAAGGGAGGCGTCGGGAATAGGGTAGCCAAATGCGCCAACGCGAACCGTCCCTGGTTCGCTGCTAGCCTTCTTGCTAACATCTGCGCCCATGGCCACAACCACCACGTCATTGGTTTTTAATGCTTCTCTGTCGAGCAGGACTTCACTCAGTTCGTTCTTTGCGCGTTGTTCTTCTGCTGCGTTTACCGTCGTCCCACCCAGTAGACTTCCGTAACCGTTAGATGTAGTAGGCTTGTCCTCTTCGGGATCCTTTAGTTTTTCGCCCTCTGACTCCGTATCCGACCCAATTTCCAGTTTAAGCGGACATTTCATATTCTCCTCGCCGCCCACCCAGTCCCGGACGCTGATGATCATGCCTCCGTGCTCCGGGAGGCACAGCATTGGCGCAACAACCTCTCGTGCTCGAGGGTTCCGCAATGGTTTGAACCAACGGTCGGCAAGAAGCTCATTGAACTCGCCGTCGACGATCAAAGTGTCGATCAGGCACAACTTGACAGACGAAAAGTTGGGCTCCATGCCCTTTTTATAGTTTCGTGTTGCCATAGGGTCGACCTGATAGTCATATGCCGCTCGTTTGAGTCCAGGATAATCGGCAATCATTAACGTTGGACTGTATTTGGTAATGAGGTAGGCGTAAAGACCGGGTACCTCGACCGCCTTGTTTTCGAGCCAAATGGTGGTGTGCCCTCCGTACACGGCAAACAAGACTCCCCAGATCATGCCGACGCCTTGACGGGGATCCAGATATGAAAGTAAGGTTTCGCTTTTGGTAGCAGCACGACTCACTAGATGGCCATTTGTATCGCGCAAAGTCGTATTAAACGTGTCGCCAGGCTTGGAGCCGGGCGCGGTGGTAACTATGGCGCTCAGGCAGGCCATCTGGTGCATGATGGTACGGTGGCTGAGCACAACACCCCTAAGATCACCCGTTGGGGCGCGGGAGAATTCGATGTAGGCCAAATCTGGAACCGATAAAGGGGGCAATTCGTCCTTTTTCTTCTGGCTATAACTGCCAAACTCGTTTGTCTTCCACCACTCAACGCCCTTTGGCCAAGTTAGCTTTTGGGTTGTAATGTCACGCTGGAACGCTTTGAGGTTATTATCAGTAGTCAAGGCCAAATGCGCCTGTGTGGAAGTCAGTATGACGTTCAACTTTTGATAGTCCTGGAGCTCGTTGATGGGTACGGCGACAACGCCGGCAATAAAGCAGCCCAAGAGGGCAATGGCAAAGTCAATGATTTCCGCATCACGGTAGATAAGAGCAACGCGGTCGCCGCGGTAAAGGGAGCTCTTGTCACGAATCACTTGAGCGACCTTCTCGGCCCTCGAGGCAAGCTTATCCCAAGTGATGGATGCGATCTCCTTGCCCTTGGCGTCCAAGACCCAATACGCTCGGCGATTGGGAAGGTTACGACCTCGGTGGCGGAGGACGACAGCAATATTGTCAAAGGTAGACATTTCCTTGCGGGAGTCGTGCGGGTCGTATATCGCAAACGGGACTTCACGCGGCTCGAGGGCTTTCTGGAATTGGAGCGCGCCGGGGGGCAGGAAATCGTTTGTGGCGAGCATAGGGGGCGCAACAGCAGCGGTGGGCGAAAAGGCATCACTGGAGGAGTATCTGTGAGGGCCACCATAATCACCCTGGAATTGCTGCTCCTGGGCTTGCTGGCCGGCAAAGTCGGAAAAGTATGCCTGTGAATTCAACAAAGTGTTGGTCCTGCCGTCATAGGGGTTCTGCTGCGGTGGTGGTGGCTCGGCGTAGTCGCTGTGTTGTTCGGGGTTGAAGGCATAGTCTCCTGTCACCATGGTTCCCGACCTTGTAGAGGCATCGTTGGGGGCAGGGAAGAGGAAGAGGGAGTCGTGTTGTCGTACAGCCGGGCGGTGCTCAGCCATAGGGCCACCGGGCGCGAGCAAAGCGGCCGGATGAGTCTCTTGGAAGGAGTAGGTGGACTGAGGGCGGTAGTCGGAGAAGGCCATAGATTCCCGGTGGTCAGAGAAGGCCATGGATTCCCGGTGGTCAGGAAAGGCCATGGAGTCTCGATGTTCGGAAAAGGCGACCGAGTCTCGGGAGGGCTGGAAGTTGAGCGAGGCGCTGCTCAGGGCGGCACCCGAGATGACGCGCTGGCGGTCGTTGGACGCATGAGACGTGTTGTCGGGGGAATGGAGCCGAAGGCCTCCGGTTGGGGCTCCTGCTGGCTGGGAGTCTGCGGGAGCAGCAGGGCCATACTGAGAAAGCAGTTGTGTCCGTCGCTTGTGGTACCTGGAGAGAGAAGAAGGGTATCAAAGTCAGCCATTGGTAAAAGACGGATAGCCGGTTGATCTGCGGCCGGTGTGCCAAGAGGAAACGGAGGTGTCGCGCGTACCCTTTTTCTGTGATATCACCCTCCTACAGTCAAGGCGCAAGTTGGTCAGCGTCTTTTTAAACACGGTCCAAGGTATCTTGTAGTAGCAACACACCTCCAGCTCCCTCTGTAGCTCGTCCAGCTTCGCCTGCAGGTCGGGGGTAACCGCGGCCATGTTGGGCCAATGTGTATTTCACAGGTTCCTTGCGATCGCGCTCGGTGGTATGGGATGAGTCGCTGGTATGTTGGTGGTCGCGCTCGAGCGCCCAAACGAGTGGCAAGTGTATCTAGTATAGCGAAAGATATGGTAGCGAGCGAGCGATTGCGATTGACCGGTGTACCTCTAGGGGAGAGGTCGGAACCTGAAGCGAGGACTGGACAACCAAGTCGAGTTGACAGAGAGAGGGGGAAATCCAAGATGGAGAATGTCAGATGCAGGGCAGTCGGGCTTGGCAGTCGAACGGAACGGGAGCAGTGGCCTCGTATACACAAGCGCGGTCGGGGGTGGTGCCGTGGTGCCGTGATAGTGCCGTGGTGGTTCTGACTGCCAACAAGTACGCGATAGTTATGGATGAAAGATGGAATTCAATACGAGTGGAATTGGCGAGTGGACAGTGCCGCAGTAACAGCCCCGAATCCCGGTGGAATGAGGCCGGGTTGCGAGTTGTGGGAGTGCCTTCTCTCGTGACGTAGGGGCCTTGTCGCTGTGTGACATTAACAGTTGCCCGGCTGCGGTACCTAAGGTACATACCTAGGGTATAGAGTGGCCGTTGCCAGTTTCGGTACTTTAGGTTGGTCTACGAATACATATTATACCGTCCAAGGTAACTACTGAACCTGATATAAGGCAGGATTCCAGTTTGGATTCCATTTGAAGATGTTCCTGGGAGTCATTTCTCCAGTCTTTTAAGGGACCGTGATATTCTACATACGCCTATAGTTGGGTCAGGTAGGGTCCCAAGGACGGACGGCCCCATCCATCATCTGATGCCCACTTCCAGGTTCCACTGATGGAACTCGGAGCCCGGTTGAACCCTTTGCCAAGCCAGGCCGATAAGCACGGCCGGGAGCCGCTCCCGCCTTATCAAACGGCGAAAAGCTAAAGCGGAGTTCAGCCGAGATTTCCCCACCACAAATTGGAGGAACAAAAAGCCTGCAAATTTCTGCCGCCTTCGACTTCTTCTCTTCCTTTTCTCCTCCGTCCTCCTCCTCCGTGAGGAATCCAGCACGGCCGGCCTCGTCGCCGCCGTCAACATTGTGTGCCAGCCACAATGTTTGGTCGATATGCTGGCATCATCACAACCGGTAAGTCAACATGACATTATTTTATTTTTATTTTTCGCCCTCATATGATGAAAGCATACGCAAAATTCACAGACCTGTTCTGAAAAAAATAGTGTTGAGAAACTGCTTAGCTCACTGATCCCATCTTCCCTCCCTTTTTCACTTATTCTCACGTCTACCTTTGCGTGTCAGAAGGCATGTAGCTAACGTCCTTCTCAAGATCACCATGACCACTTGCCCGATGCTGTTGGTCCTCGCAATGTGGCGTTGCCGTCCGTCTTGTGCGCGACAGTCAGGAGTTGCTGTTACAATGTCGGCACTCCCATTGTCCCCGGCACGGTCGCCAATTCCATTGTCAAGGCCATTGTTCACTCGGACTCGGCTCTCTTTGCCCATTGTTTTATAGACCCAAAAATATACCCTTTCTTTGTCCTCAACTCCAGCAATGGCTCTTGTGATTCCGTTTCATCCTCTGTGTCCATATAATAACCTGCCTGTCCCAGAACACCCTTTATGCCGGGTCAATTTCAGTGCAACTGTTCACCGACACCTAATTTACGTCTTTAATTTCGCAGCTCATTACCAACAACTAGCATGGAGTTCTCGGACGAGGATCTCTTCGGAGACAAAGAGGTGGAGGATACCTTACTGGAGGAGGAGTTCTTGGCAGCAAAAGAGATGCCGGAAGATACCCTCAACGCTAATGGCAACGGCAATGGCAACGGCGATGGAGCTAATGGTGCAGCCACGGCTGATGGTGGTCCGCAACAGCTCCCTGACCAAGCCCCGATAATCCCGTCAAATCAAAACGACAATTCCCAACCGCAGCCCCACCATGACCAACGTCGTATGAGCCCATGGAGTCAATTTCTATATTCCCAGGCTCAACAACATCCTCATGAACAAGCGCCCATAAATCCATCTGTTCAAGATGCCACTTCGCAGGCGGGTGGTGTACAAGAGCTCCCTATTGACCCACTTCTTGACGCCCTCAGTCAAGAGTGGAATGCCCAAGGCGGTGGTCTGCCACAACAACAAGGCCTTATAAATCCATTGACTCAAAATCCCAATCCAGAGCCGGCCCCTGAAACCTATAGTAACGATAGTAACAAGACTATAAACGAGTTCCTTCGCGATGAGGGGTTCAATGCTCACGCCCTTGAACAAGCACCTAACGATAATTATACTTACGATTTCGATGCGGCGGAGAATTTTTTTGATCAGATCAACTATCGCCCACAAGAAAATTTTCAAGTAGGAGGCGGTCCGGTGCCAGGAGCAGCAGAGGGCGGCGGTTTCAATGCTCAGATCCAGCCTGAACAAGCACCTGTTGGAGGTCTGGGTCAGCACCCACCTCCTGATGGTGGTAGTCAAGGCGGGGAACAAAACATCTTGAATCAGGATTCCAATAATTTGGAATCACCTGTGATGGAGAATTTCATGGGCCCAATGTGGCTACCAGAAAATATAGAGGACCATGTGATCTCAGATAACCAACAGGGCGGTTCAAACGTCGTTCCAGGAGGTGCTATCCAACAACCTCATCACCCCGAAAATCAGCAATTCACCGGTTCAACAGCTGCTCCAGGAGGTGTGGGTGGCCCCTTTAATCCTGAAAATCAACAACTCAACCAGAACAACGGGACACAAAATGGTCAAGGAGGTGCTATCCAACAACCTCACCCTCAAAATCAGCAATTTGCCGGCTCACAAGCTGTTCCAGAAATCGTTAACCAACAACATCCCCCTGAAAACCAGCAGTTTCCCGGCTCACACGCTGCTCAAGGAGGCGTGGGGGGCTACCGTTATCCTAATCCGGCAAATCAACAACACAACCAGTTCAACAACGGATACCAGCAACTCAACAACGGACAAGCAGGTCAACGAGGCGGTGGTGGTGGTGGCCAATTTAACAATGGAGGCCAGCAACTCAATAATGCACAATATGGCCAACAAGAAGAGGAAGCTGCTATTGACCTCCTTAACTTGGGCGGTGCACGAACTGGTCAAGTAGCTGGCGGTGGTCAGTTTAACCATGGAGGCCAGCTACCCAACAACAGACAAACGGGTCAAGGACAAGGAGGCATGGGTAAACCTTTCAACTCCGAAAATCAACAAGTCAACCAGAACAACAACATACAACATGGTCAAGGAGGTGCTCGTAATCTTCCTCAGAATGGATACCAGCACTTCGGTGGCGCACAAACTGGTCAAGGAGCCGGCGGTGCTCAGTTTAACAATGGAGGCCAGCAATTCAATAATGCACAATATGGCCAAGAAGAAGCTGCATTTGACCTCCTTAACTTGGGCGGTGCACAAACTGGTCATGGAGCCGGTGGTGGCCAGCTTCACAATCGAGGCCAGCAACCCAACAACGGACAAACTGGTCAAGGTGGCATGGGTGGACCTTTCAACCCTCAGAATCAGCAACCTGACCAGTTCAACGGCATGCAACATGGTCAAGGAGGTGCTGCTGGCCAGTTCAACAATGGAGGCCAGCAACCCAGCCGTGCACAAACTCCTCAAGGAGGCATGGGTGGCTACTTGAGTCCTGCAAATCAACGACTTAACCATAACAACGGTATGCACAATGACCACGGAAGTGCTGGTGGTTTCTTGGACCCTGGATTTCAACAATTCAACAGTCCACAGCCTCGTCAGGGAGGCGCTGGTGGCCACTTGAGTCCCGTATATAACAACCAACAGGCCGGTCTGCCAAATGCTGCCGGAGGTGCCAATCAGCACCTTTCCCCCGGGAATCAACCACTTCCCGGTTCACCATATGGTGCAGGAGGTGTTGTTGCCCAGCCCGGCTCCGGAGTCCAGCAATTTCCTGGTTCACCTTATGGTGTGGGAGGTGCTGGTAGCCCACTTCACCCTGAACCTCAACCACAACCTGGATTTGGTAATGTCAGCCCACAAGCGGTTCAGAATAACAATGGCGGGATTCCAGATCCCAATCAGCCGCCGGCTGCTCAACTGCCGCTTGTAGGATCTGCTCCCGCAGAACCACGCCCGCCTCCGGTGGTGACCCCTCCCGTTTTCCCACCTGGTACTCCGCAACCGGACAGCTGGGTGGCCCCGGGCTCCGGCAATGAAGTCGTCAAGATTCGAGCCATAAAAGTCCGCAACCTACATGGTATCCATCCCCATTCCGTGTACTACTACAGAGCGCAGACGCAGCCCTGGGGCACTGAGTACAATGAACAGGGTCGACCAGGCCCGAACCTGTTTGTCTATGCCAACAGCCAGCCGCTGGCCAGGGCCGAGCTGGTAGCCTCGAAAGTCTACACAGCATCGCAGCTCTCCCTGTTCTTCCGAGGCGAGGGTCATCCAAACCGGCCCAACAGGCACCTCACGTTGTGGATTCAAAACCTACCGCTTTTGGTCGCGGATCGGTACGCGCAAAAGGAAACAGGAAAATGTAGGTACAAGGAATGCGCGGCGAAACCCAACCACACGATCCTGAAGGGCTTCCACCGCATCGCCTTTGACGAACACTCCCACCACACCGGCGACTACTACGACCCCTACAACAACGCGGGCTACATGCACCTGTGGTGTTTCGAGAAGGCCTTCGACGCCGGTTATTTGGTGTGGGACGTCCAGGAGCGTCCTCACTTGTACGGCTTCCGCATAGAGGCGGACGTGCGCCACCACCGGTTCGAAGAAAAAAACAACGCCTCCCTCAACCGCGACCACAATCTGCACGACACATACCGACAGTGGAAGAACGAGCAATGGGAGCGCTACGTCCAGCTCCGGCACCAGGAAGCTACAACGGGCCAACGCTATGATCCTTACCAGTCTGTCGATGGAATCTCCAATGACAACCGTCTCTGGAGACGACTCACTGATAAGCATATTGCCGAGGAAGTTCCTGCTAGGGCAAGAAACCGCGCCAACAGGAATGTCACGGGTAACACGATTGATAATCACAGGGGAGATCTTGCTCAGTTCATTCGGGTTAAAGCAGGCGGAAGTCCAAATGCAACACCGGCTCCGGAGTCAGGGCCGGGAGGCTCAGGCGGCCCATCAACGCCCAGCCCCAATAAGAGAAAACGTAACGGCGCGGCCTCTGGCGAAGAAGAAGATGAAGCAGGGTCAACACCAGGCTCAAAAAAGTCACGCACGACCACATCCATGGCGCCCCCACCCCTCCCTCCCAGCAGCAGCACCCCCCGCCGCAGCACCCGGCGCCAATCCCTCGCCCTAGCCCACGACCTCGAAGAACAAATCGTAACCGCCGGCGAGAGTCCCCTCACGCGCTCGCGTGCTACGTTCCTGGGGCAGCAGCTGAACCAGCTCCCCGAGCACTTGCAACAAGACGTGATCAGCCATGCGCCGCAGGCCATCTCGCCTTTGTTCCTGCAGAACTGGAGACCGGAGCACTGGGGCGCGGTGCTGCAGGAGAGGGTGAGCAGGATGACGCCGTATCATCAGGGGCTGTTGGTGCAGTATGCGGAGAAGACGGAACGGAAAGCCCAGCTGGAGGGGAAGAAGAGGTGGAGGAGTGATCCTTGATGTGAGTGATGAAAGGAGGTGGTGAGGGTGAGGGAGCGAGATGGAGCGCCCTGCGATCCTGTTCGGTGGGAAGTATACCCGAGCCTGCCTCTCTTCCGCCTCCCGAACTGATTCGCGTCGAATTCAAAAGAGAACTGCTTTTATATAATGGCATCACTTTCTCGTACTAAAAGTGTAGACAAAGGGAACCCCTTTGCAATTTCTTGGATATTGTTCTGAGGAACTCTATGCCAGCTATAACGGAGCATAAAAGGAGTTGAAGAGGAGGTTTGGACATAGATAGATAGATACCCTTACGACAATACCTAACTTACGGTGCTGGTCACCTTGAACATAGCTCTTCATATTTAGTCTTTCAGTAGCATGTTTGTACCTGGACTCATCATCGCATGTTATTCACTTATCGTGTGATACCCATACCAACAACATCTTCCAGTGCTGGTCACCTTTGTGATGGCACATGCCAGCACCTGTCAGATCTGGGCTTCCATCTGGTCGTTGGTCTTCGATCTCATTTATCATCATATATAAGAACTGTTTCCTACCCACCCGTGTGTATTTAGCTTCACGTTCCTCTTCATCTTTGACTGTATACTTTTGCCTTTGTCTGTATGACGGGACGAAGGCGTGCACAATGAATGGCCAGTCCGCCCAAACCTAGAGGTATCCAATGCAACGCATGCAAAGGATACGATGATGTTCTGACAACCTTGAACATTTAACATCGAACATACGTTAGTCATTCATCGTTCAGATTTCCAATATCATATTTATCCGTCCCTTAAACAAGCATCGCATGATACAAATAACCTGTCGTGTGATACTACCCCGTTACCAATGGCAACTCTTTGTGTGAAATGAAGAGGCGTTCTGAATGTGCCATGGAAGCAATGGAGGGATGGTCGCACAGCATAACACAACGACCGGTCGGGCCACCCGAACACCACCTCTCGGCTGTATACCTTCGGGACAGTTGGCTACTGGTTGGAGTCACGTAACTCTTGGAATTTGGGGAGGCAAACATGGAAGGCTTTCAGCTGAATGGAGCTTTTCTCTCGCTGAAAAGGTGGAAGTCAAGATAGGCACGGAACAGCTGGAGATCTCAGGTTATGGTTGTGGGGAAAAGCCGACGTTTTCATAACAAGAGTGTGTGTGTGATAGTTGACAAATCGTAGATAAAATATGAACAACGGGCTGAACCGACGTTCGGCAACGGCAACGCCGTCGCACGGTGATGGCTGATAGGACGCCTCCGACTCGCCTCCTTCTTCGTTCGGCAACACTTACACACGGCGAGCCCGTAACTTCGGGACGTTATGTAGTCTTGAAGTCATGTCCAACGCCGGGAAGATTCGAGACACGTCCAACATGAAACGAGAGCTGTGATATGTGATATCAAAACAACCTTGCAACAACTTCCGGTAGGTTTCCTTTAGCCCCCGGCGTTGCACGACTCACAGGCACTCCAGGGTCTTCTTGTTCTTCAGGCATCACAATAGGTTGCCTGGTTACCCGAGTAGCTTTGAAAGGTCACTCATGTGTCCAACAAACAGCACCATGCTGCCGTCAGAATGGGCGGGTCTGCTACCGAGTACCAGATCTGGGAAACCCCGGATTGTTTTTTCATCGGTTCCCCGGTGGATTGTTTGAGAGATCCGATTGATTGAGGGCGATTTGATTGATTGACAGGCAGGACAAGGCGAAGATATGTTACTCGGTTACTGCCACGTGCTCTCTTGCTGATGCGCTCCACCGTGGTGTTGTATCTGGAGAATTTGAAGACAAGATGTGTAAATTCACCGAATGACGTCGCTTTGGAATCCCGAGTTTTTATGGAAATATGTAGGAATCATTGATCTGAATGGTTCAGCTGGAGAAGGTTGAAATTGGAACGTCGATGTGACCCCCACTAATCGGGGACTCCTTCAGCGCTTTGACACTCACTGCACAGTGACGGGAATGCTTCCTTGTCCACAATTCACCCACAATCCTCCTCCACTTTCCCACTCACTCTCCATCACCAACCTCAACCCCTTAACTTCCACTTCCACTTTGTCCCGTATCACGGCTCTTATATACTCTTCGGCTATCGCCCTCGTACAAAGCGGAACGGCTTGAGTCCTGCTCAAGGGCTGTTGTACCACTCACAATCAAACACACAAGTCTCTATTACGGACGTACAAAGGGTGTCACCTTCAAAGCCCTCGGACATTCGCTACACTAGAGGTAGCTAGCGCATTCCCCCAAGCTCACCCACGATAGGGCTTCCAATCGGTGCCACGCCGAACATCATCTCATTCATCATCAGCTCGCAAATCCAAGACCCCGCCAAGTCTCTCCTACACCAAGCACCAAGACTCCACTTTCATCATCACCACCAACAACAAAACCCTCGATTTCATCCCTCGGCTCACTCGCCCAGCCTCTGAGAGAATTCAGTATTCGTGGACATGGGAGGCGGCGGCGGCGCCAATGGTGACCCCGAAGAGGCCAACGACAACAACACCAGCGGCCACGAGACATCATCAACCGAAAAGAAACCTCCTCCGGCACCGGCTTTGCAAGTCATCGTTCTGGTGAGTGACTTTGTTCTTCACGGATTACCTATCTTACTTCAAGCCTTGTTTCACCTCTTCGTTTGCTGGGCAGAAACATCACTCAATGTCGATTCGTCTCTCCTCTCACTGCATATCCTTCTCATGCTCTCTTCACCATGATACATTCATCACTATCACAACTTTTGCCCCCATTATCACTCCATGCCTCAGCCAATTCCGAGGGGGTCTTTATCTTGAAAAACTTCAGCACCATCCTGAACGGCTTAGAACGCCATCTCTAGTGAGCCGGAAAGAGTCCGTGGCAGGCGAGTGCCTGTGCGCTTCCTTTGTTTCAATGAGCCCACCCCACGATCGAGCAGCCCTAGTTCGATCTGCCCTCGAGCACTGCCTCTAATTGTTCCTTTTATGTCCTCTTTGTTCGGGTACAATGGGATCCTGTCACCCCCACCACTATTGAGCGCGAGTACGCCACGGCCTGGGCAGTCATTCAACGCGTTTTAGACCTGTCACCTATCACCAATGACGATCCTTTCTGTAGGACCCAGGGTTCTGGGGCATATGGAAATCACCTTCGGCCCAAAGTGAAATACTGGGATTCGCAATGCTGGTAGTAAAGACCAAGATGCCATGTCTTTCACTTGGCTGTCTTTGACACGACATCACTTCATCATGAGGTTCCGCTAACGTAAATTTACCAGGGCTCTGGTGGAGGACCTATCGAGTCCAATGTCACGGCGTTCCTCGTACGCCCAATAGCGGCGGGCTGGAGGAGAGGGTCAGTCATTGCCGTTGATGCAGGCGTACACCTCGGTGCCATCGAGAAGATTTTGGCAAAGACTCAGCCAGCCACACTTGGCGAGGATGAAGAACATGCTCTGCCATACACCCTCACCACGGGGCCATTCGCAGGGCTCCAAGTTCCCTCGGCTAAATCAACTGCCAATGCATCCTTCATTCACCGGACCCTGATCGACACATACCTAATAACGCACCCTCATCTCGACCACATTGCCGGCTTCGTAATCAACACAGCAGGTCAAGGTAGTTCTAGACCCAAGAAACTCGCCGGTCTACCCAACACGATAGCAGCTTTCAAGACTCACATCTTCAACAACGTCATATGGCCGAACCTGAGTGACGAGAACAACGGAGTTGGGTTGGTGACGTATACGCGCCTGGTAGAGGGCGGCTCATCAGCGCTGGGAGAGGGCGAGTCAAAGGGCTACCTTGAGATCACTGACGACCTCGCAGTTAAGGTTTGGGCTGTCAGTCATGGTCATTGCTATGAGAGGCACACTCATCGCGGCAGCGGCAGCGTCACGCGCCCGGGAAGCTTCGATGCTTCCTCTATGGGAGCATCGCCCATGGGTGTCATGAGTCCGCCCATGTCCCATCTGGGACCCCGTGGGCTGGCTCATCATAACAGCATATCCGCGGCTAATAACAGCCTTGCCGCATTTATCCAACAGCAGCAGCAGAGAGACCAGGATCGAATGTCTATCCACCCCGGAAACCTGTTCGGCGGCGGCGGTCGTAGCAACTCCATCTCAGGACTTGGCGGCGGACACGCAGCAGATGAATCAGTGTGTGTTTATGACAGTTCGGCCTACTTCATTCGCGATGTAACGACGGGCAGGGAAATTATCATCTTTGGTGATGTTGAGCCAGATTCCGTCAGTTTGTCACCACGGAACCGGAACATCTGGCGAGAGGCCGCGCCCAAGATTGCCAGTGGGAAGCTCACTGCCATTTTCATCGAATGCAGCTTTGACGATTCCCAGACGGATGATCGTCTGTTCGGACACCTCACACCAAGGTATATTGTCGAGGAAATGACCGCTCTGGCCGAGGAGGTGACAGCTGCGAGGATGGATATCCTGCGCAGACAGTACGAAAAGGAACACGGCATCAAGCGCCAGTCAACAGTTACCCGTCCGGGTCCCATGGCAAGGAGTTACTCCGACTACGGAAGCGTCAGCAGCGATAAGAAGCGCAAGCGCCAAGAGGAGGAGGACCGCAACACCCGACGAAGGACGATAACATCACATGCGCGAGCAGCCAGCGCCAACCCGGGATTCAGGACCAGAAGAGAACAATCAATAGCAGCAGGAGCTGGAGCAGACAAAAGCCAACATCCACAGTCATCACAGCAGCAAACTGAAGACTCCATCTCCCCAAAATCCGGCAAGCGCTACGAAAACCGTCTCAGCTCCGCCTCAGCCCAAGCAGCCGCCGCCGCCGCAAGCACCACCTCCCTGCACGAAAACGACGGCGTCAACCCGCGCAACCCAACCGGCTTCCGCATCGACACCCCGCACCTCACCACGCCCACGGCCGAGATGTCCCTCGACGATTTCCAGCAGCGCGCCACGGTCAACCACCAACCGCAATTCAACACTTCCCTGCAACAGCACCAAATGGGCGGCGGCCTTTCCCGAGCCAACAACCTCCCGCAACTCCATCTCTCCGAACCCACCTCCCCTTACGGCTCCCCTTCGTCGTCGAACGCAATGTCCATCTCCACGCTCCCGCCCCCCGCAGCACCAGCAGCCGTTCACTCCTCCTCCCAACTTAACAACCACCCCAACCAAGCCAACCCATCCTCCTCTTCCGGCGGCGGGTCAGGCCTCGTCTCATCATCGTCAATATCCAACGTCACCCCGGCGACATCCATGTCCCTCTACCTCAACGGCAACACGCGCGATATGATGGATACGGACTCCAACGCCGACGTGGATATTAACGTGGAGCTGGCGAGACAGTTACCCGAGCAGCCGCTGGAGGGACTAAAGGTGGTGATTATTCATGTTAAAGACAGGATGGTGGATGGGCCGAGTGCCGGGGAGGTGATTTTGGAGCAGCTGGCGGAACATGAGGAGGAGTGTAGGTTGGGGGTGGAGTGGGTTATGAGTTTTGCTGGGCAGGAGGTTTTTGTTTAGGGGAAGGTTGGTATATGTGGGGTGGGTACGGTGAGGTTATATATATATATCAAGGAGATATATATAGAGGGGAATGGGGAGGGTGGGTGGAAGGTATTTTCTCTTCGGTTCTTGATGGCGATCTGTTATTGTATGGCAAATGATACCTATTAAGGAAGTCTTTGAAAATTTGAGGTTGGAGTAGGTAGGGAGTGTTTTGCGATAAAGGGCATATTCGGTACCAAGAGCCTACAAAGGGTTCATATAAGCAAGGTGTGCGTTCAAATCAACAGCCTTTCCGCGGACGCGGGTCACTTTGTATACAGTTATCACCTGGTCGTTGTTTACCTACCTTCTCAGGGGTGTAGGCCGAACACAGCGAGTCTGCCGTCCGATGCGAGATAACCCACAAGTAACTACTTTGCACTTGCGACTGTCCTCTGTTTACTTTCTCAGGGGATTTCCGGCCGGTGCAAGCCGAACACAGTACGTCGTCCGGAACCTCGGCGCCGGCCCCAGCAGCCGATGCTAGATCCCGGCCTTGCGTGGACCCCGGCAATCATCAGTAGCGGAATAGGTGCCGCGCTATCCCCGCTTTCCCCCGCAGACCCAGATCTTTCCGCCGAATGCCGAGATGGGGGTCTTGGGATGATTGGCATGATGGGCAACTCGGCAGGAACACTTTGTTGATCGCGGCTTAATAATGGGATTTATTTCATGGTGTTTATATAAATCAGGATTTCCTCTTCTTTATGTGTAAGCAACCATACACAAACCAGACCTACTGAAGACCACAGCGCTATCTCGCAGACGGAGGACGATATCCAATCTTCGGCTTACACACATCTTACAAACACTTCAAGCGTATCACCGAACGAAACTCCCGTTCCCACTTCTCATTCCCGTGGAACCAAGCCGTTGGTCGTCAACCCCTCCTCGTCCTCGCTCGACCTCGCCTTATCGCCTTTGAGGATCCTTCCCGATTGGGCATTCATGCCGACCTCCAAGGTTCTCACATCAGCAACCAAGTTTATTAGACCTTCAACTTTATCACAACCTCACCTCATCAGGTCGCCAGGCCTGACCTCAGTCATCAACCGAACCTCAACTTTCCAACAAAAACGACGAGGACACCAAAAAACCGTCGTCAAAATGGCCACCGAACCAACCGCCGCCGAAAAGACCGCCGCCTTCGAAAAGGTCCTCCAACGCAACCCGCACGGCGACTTCAAAGCCGTCGAAGCCTCTCGTCCCGCCTTCGACCCCTCTCCCAAATTCACCTACGTCCAAACCCCCCAACCAGATTGGACCTACGGCTCGGGCGCGAACTCGCTTTCTACCTCTACCACCCCCGACAAGTCCTCTTCTTCCTCGTCCGAGGAGCAGCAGCACATCGTCATCGACCCCTACACCTCCGGCCGTCCCCCCGCATTCAACTACAAACTCCTAATCTCCGCCATCGTCCCCCGCCCCATAGCCTTGGTCTCCACGCGCTCTTCCGACGGCCTCACGGAAAACCTGGCTCCCTTCTCTTACTTCCAAGTAATCTCGCACGACCCGCCCCTTTTCACCTTGGGCTTCGCCTCCCCCCTCTCTCCCGCTCATCGCGCCAAGGATACTCTGCGGATCCTGCACGAAACAGGCGAGTGCGTGATCAACATAATTTCCTCACCGTCATTCATCGAAGCCGCCAACGCTTGCAGCACCAACGCGCCTTTGGGCGTGTCCGAGTGGGTTGTTTCGGGGTTGACGCCCGTGTATGATGTCCAGACGGTGAAAGCGGCGAGGTGCAAAGAGGCCGGGTTTGCGGTGGAGTGTAAGTTGGTCCATGTCAAGGAGTTTGAATCCAAGTCCAAGCCGGGGGAGGGGGCGGGGACGACGTTGGTGGTGGTGGAGGGAACGAGGTTTTGGATTCAGGAGGGGCTTGTGAATGAGGAGCGGAATCAGATGGATTTGGGGGGCGAGTATAGACCTTTGGCTAGGCTGGGAGGGATCACGTATGGAGTGGTTAGGGAGGGGTTGGAGATTCCGAGACCGGATTTTGAGAGGGATGTTGGGGGGGTGGAGGGGTATGAGAGACTCAAGAAGGAGAGGGAGGCGAAAAAGGAGGAGAAGTGAGTGAATGGGGACGGACGGACCGTAGGGTGATGGGGTGAAGATAGGGAGAGGGATGGATGGCTGGGCTTGTTTGTTGAAACTGAGGGTATAGGTTGTCGTTACGTGATCAATCTAGGTATGGGGGAAAGATGGCGGTTGATCCCCGTCAAAGGGGTGGCAGAGCCAGCAACGAGCAGTTGGGGGATATGGCTTAGCAGAAATACTTGCTGGGTGTTTTCCAGGTGCTCGTCGCTGGTTCTGCTGGTCTTCGATGGGGATCACTCGTCATCATCTCGTACTGGGTGTTGAATGACATCGAAGAGTGATCACAAAGCAACTTTATGTATCCGCTTATCAGAAAAAAAAGAAGGATTTGTCTATTACCAATAAACCAACCCCTTCCATGCTCTACCAATGATTTCACAATCATCCCTCTCTGCCCTACCCTCAACGTCCTAACATATTTCCCACAACACCTGTGGACCACCTTGCCCTCCTCCTATCCTTACCATAACGATGGATATGCTTACTGTGTATGAGACCTGCCCAAACTAAACCACTTCCTACCCCTACTACCCCGTTTTCCATCCCCATAAAGATACAAATCCGCATCCCAAATAACCTCCTCCACCTCCCTAACATCTCCATAGCTACCAAGACAGCCATCACACTATGACCTCCTCCCACCCACCCCTTGATTAAACCCCCTCATCGCCTCTCTAACAATCCCCTCCGCCTCCGCCACCACATCCCTCCCCTCTCTCCACGTATACAACTTCACCCCCTGCTTTTCCAACAGCTCATGCGCCTCCGCCAGCCGTCTCAGCCAAATCTCCAACTTTTTGTTCACCGGCGAGTTTGCACCACCTCCTCCTGAAGCAGTATTACCAGTGGCATATACAGACGCCCCGTTGAGTCCATTCATGGTATCGTAAGAAGTAGCGGGGCGAACGGGGAGGAAGGTGTTGGAGCGACTACCGCTACTACTGCCCAAGGCACGATTCTCGAGGGGAAGGGGAAGACCCCATTCGTCTGTGTCGGAGTCGTAATTGGAGGAGTTGGTGGTTTGGACGCGGCGAGGTGGCGGGAGGGGTGGTTGTTGCGACTGGGGCTGGGAAAAGTTGGCGGTGCTGGTGCTGGTGCGACGGGGTGGTGGAGGGGGAGGGGCGGGACCTCTTGATCCTGATCCTGGCGCGGAAGTGTTCTGAAGCGAAGTGCTGGGCCGGGGAGATTCGCGAGGTTTTGGTGGCAAAGGGGGAGGAGCACCGCCGGTACTGATTTCTGCTGGTGAACTGCGCAGTGCTGTGGGTTTGGCGGGACGTGGTGGCGGGCCTTTCCTTTGCGGGATGTCACTTGTTGATTTACTCCCGTGCATGACGTTGAGACTGCTGCTTCGGGGGTCATGTTTCGGCTGAGGGGGGTCATCGGATAGATCGATCAAATCGCCCATGACCGGCCCCCTAGGCTGAGGAGATGAACGTGGTGGAAGTCTCGGTGGCGGCGCCGGCTGATCTCTAGCGTTCGTGGTCGTAGCAGCCCGCATAGTCTGCGCCCTCCTCCTACTGCTGTCGCTCCTCTCAAGTCCATTGTTTCTGTCCGTGGCCTGCATGTTCGAGGTGAAATACCCCATGTCCACTTGCTCGGGGGTGGTAACATCTCTGATGAACACGGCCAATATCCTGCCGGGATAAGCCAGCACCAGATCGGTGTATACCTCCAAGTCGGCCTCTCCGCTGTCTCCCACAAGGAGGAACTTCCTTTCAGGAAAGTCGCGTAATATCCTCTCCAGGGTGCCCTTCTTCCTTTCGGCAACTGGCTCAAAGATACCCTGCAGCATACCACTGTACTGTTTCAGGTCTATCGAGCCAGGAGGTAGCCCGGCTTTGTGAAAGAAGGTGGCCAAGACGGGATACAGCTGCCACGGACTGTTGGAGACATAATGTAGCTTCACGCCCATCTTGTGCAGAGAAGTATACAGCTCCTTGACTCCGTCAATGGTCTGATCTCCCAGTTCCCGGACAAATGTGTTCCTGAAGATCTCCCTGGCGCCACCATTGATATTCGACCGCTTGATGGTGTCGTCAACGTCGCTGATCAGACTGACTCCCCTGGGCTCGATAACCTCGACGGGCTGAGTGGTTGAAATATTCTCGTTGGCCAGCACTCGGAAGTGTGTCGGTACAAAGTCCAACGGGACGCGAGCAATGAAGTGACCTGACGCATTAGTCTCAACCGTCTTAGACTTGGACCGCTGGTCGTTGTAGAAGAAGAGTGTGATGGGCAACCCAACCAGCGGCGTAGCCATGAACGGTGCCAACCGCGCATTCAGATTCGCGTTCGCAGCCGCCAACTCCGCCTCCGTCATCTCCGAAGGAAACGCCCCCAAGCCCGAGTTCGTCCTCGCCGGTGCCGTCGGACTCGGCGGCGATGGCGAGCGCCGTTGCCTCATTGCCCCGAACCCATCGTCCATATCATCAACCCTAGGTCGCTCGCTGTACTCTCCCCTGGTGGCCGCCTCCTTCTCGCCCTGTCCCCTCCTTTCAATCTCCCTCGCCTCCTTCGCAATCCTTTCCTCCTCCCCAAGCCCTTCCAGATCAGTGACTGCCCTCCTTAAGTCACCTCCCTGCTGCGGTCCTGCACCAGCCTGCGGCGCCGCAGCCTGCGGTAACCCACTCAACCTCCTCGCGACTCCCAATACCATCCGATTCTTCCTTGACATCGGACCTCTAGGCGGCATGTATATCCACCCTCTAATATCCACATCCACCACGGCCTTCTCATCCTCATGCCTATTCCACTCCGCCGTCCAATAATCGCGTTCATCTACACCCGGCCCAATGCCGTTCCCTCCACCATTCGGTGTGCCGTACGGATTCCCACCCGGATCTGTGGGCCGCCTAGGCAGTTGCGAACCCTTGACGTGCCTCTTTGCGTACGAAGGAAACAAGATCAACTGCTCTTCGCCTTTATGGATGATAGGCACCTCCGGGAACGCGCCGGGGATGTGCACCTGCTCTGGCGACCCATCGCCCATGTCGCGCGTCAGGCGCGTTTGGCTATATTGCTCGCGGATCTCGGAAGCGGCAGCTACGCCGGCGCGGTAGACGCTTCCGGCCATGGCGGCGAGTTTTCGGCGGCGGGAACCGGGTTCGCGCGGGGGTTCGTTGGCGCCGTACTGGCCCGTGTAGCCGTGGGTGTATGGGGACGTCATCTTGTCGTCGTCGGTGTTGCGCTTGGGCGTTTGGGCTTGGGCGTCGTTGTTGGGTCCGCCGTTCGTGTTCGTGTCGCTTGTGTCTTGTCGATCTCGGAGTAACCGTTGTTGCTTCCAAGTCAAAGACCTCCTCCCAACAAGTCCCGGGCCGAGTCCGCCACCGCTCGCACTACCTATACCAATACTCTTCCTAACGCCGGCACCACCACTACCCGTCCCATACACCAACCGCCGGCTCTGGCGGCGGATGATATCCACCAATCTCCCACCCGCCTGTTTCTTCCTCCTTCTCTCTAGGATGAACCGGTATATCCTACTTTGTAGTCGGACCTTGTGACGCGGAAGGGTTCGGTGGCGAAAGTTGAACAGGTGTTCGCGGTATCGGTCGCGGACGGTCGAGGGGAAGAGGTATCGGACGAGAGTCGATCGGGTGTGTGCGCGAGGGCCGAAGAGGCGTCGCAAGAAGGGGAAGAGAGCCAGTTTCGTGGATGTTGGGTTGCCTCCGAAGCCTTGCTTGGTTGGGAGAACCAAGGCTTGAAGGACGGCTCGTTGGGAGGGAATTGTTCGGTCAGGGATACGGGGATTGAGGCGACCTGCGCTGTTGCGGCTTTGTTCGATTCGGTAGTTGGGTGGTAGCGACAAAATGGAGCGACCGGGTTGCTGAAGTATGTGATGTGAAGAGAGGGTGAAGTGTGGATATATAAGAGGTTGAGAAATGTAGGCTGGAGATGCTGAGCTGGTGGCAGTTGACCGCCGCCCTGGACTGAAGCTTGTCAGTCTAATGATCTGTGGCTGCCTTTTCACACGCGCAAACAGAAAGTGAAGAGCCAAGAAGTCGAAAAAGTGGAAGGATTGTCGGAGGAAAAAGTCAAGTGCAGCTGCCTGTTGTCAAGAGACATGGCAAGAGACAAATCCCTTCCGTTTACGTCACCCGTCCCTGCCATGACACCAGGGTCCAGCTTTTGGGTGGGTCAGTCGAGCTCTCCGCAAGGCCCCCTGATCCGCGACTCCACACCCAATCGACTCTCATGTGAAGCCGCAGTCTCACCTCAATATGATCACGACTCTTTGCAATGAAAAAGTAGATAACATCAACAGACAGTTTCTTATTCTTTTGCCCATCCGGGTATCAACAGCATATACTAGCTTGAACTCAATTACATTCAAAAACTTAACAACCACACACCAACACCATCTCAACTCTCAACTCTCACATCTACCTCCTGCTCTTGCCCTTACCACCCCTAGCACCATTACCGCCCTTCTTTTTAGGCCCAGCAGACCGTCCCACCTTCTTGACGCCCGCCTTCTTGACGACCTTCTTGAGGTTCAGCACCGCGCCCTTACCGGCTCTCTCGGCGCTGCCCTTCTTGTACGTCCTCTCCTGCTTGCGCTCCGCCATGGTGTCGAGCTTCTTCCTGTCCTTGTTACTCAACTTGCCCTCGTTCTTGGACTTGAGCTTGTCCCTGACGCCGTTGAGCTCGGCCCGGCCCGCCGCCTTGGCCTTCTTCTTGTCCTCCTGCGTCTCGAACCACGTGCGCTTGGGCCTCGAGCTGATCTCGTCCTCGTACTTGATCATGTTCTCGCCCTTCTTGACCTGCATCTCCATGTTCTGCAGCTGCTTCTCCTCCTTCTCCTCCTGCATGATCTCCTCAATCTCGTCCTCCAGGTCGTCGATCTCGGCCTGCCACTTGTCGGCGACCGCGGAGTCGATGATGCGACTGCTGATCTTGGCGCCCTGAGACTTGCCGGACTTGACGGCAGCCTTGACGACCTTGCGATCGGGCTCGGCAGCCAGGGTGATAGCGGTACCGCTGCGGCCGGCACGAGCTGTACGACCAACACGATGGACGTAGATCTCGGGGGTCTGGGGAGCCTCGTAGTTGATGACGGTGTCAACACCCTTGATATCAAGACCACGAGAGGCAAGATCGGTGGCGAGGAGGAAGTTGACCTTGCCATCTCTGAAGTCCTCGACACTTTGAATACGCTGTAGTTTCTGTTAGTATCATTCATTCATCTCGAGTGCCGTAAATCGTAAACATACCTGAGCCTGGTTCATGCTACCGTGCAACTCGGCGCACGACAATCCAAATAGACCAAAGATGATTCTCATCTTGTGCGCAATCTTCTTCTGTCTGAAGAAGATAATAACACGCTCAGTGTAGAGCGTCTTGCAGATGTGCAACAGATAACCCTCCCTCTTCGACTCGCGACCGGGTCTCAGACGGACGAACTCCTGAACAAGCGTACCGGCAGTCTTCTTCTGCGAATCAGCCATGATGCGCACCGGCTTGTTAAGACCGGCGCGAATGAGCTTGTCGACAGTCGAGGTCATGGTAGCGGAAAACAGCATGGTCTGGCGGGACTTGGGAAGGGTGGTGAGAATCTCGTTCAACTCGTCGGCGAAACCATCCTCAAGCATGCGATCAGCTTCATCGAGGACGAGAATCTCGATGGTGTCGACGGCGAAGCTGGCGGAGTTGCGCATGTGATCGATGAAACGACCGGGAGTGGCAATGACCACATCCGGGCGCAGGCGGAGCTCGGCCTCCTGCACCTTCAGACTGAGACCACCGACCGCCAAACAGAACTTGATGTCGGTATGGCTGGCGAGCTTGACAGCGACAGCGTGACACTGGATAGCCAACTCACGGGTGGGTGTAAGGATAACGACGCGGGTGGTGGGAACCTTCTTGGGGCGGTAGAGGAGACGCTCGAGGATAGGAACAACGAAGGCGGCCGTCTTACCGGAACCGGTGACGGCACCACCGACGACATCCTTACCCATGAGCGAGATCGGGATGGTCTTGGCCTGAATGGGCGTAGGCTTGGTGAAGCCCACGGAAGTAAGGCCGCGGAGGATGGGGCGCGAGAGGGACATCTCCTGGAACGAAGACATCTCGCCCTTCTTCTTGGGCTGATTCTCCTCCTCAGGCGCAAAGAACTCCTTCATCTTAGCCTCTTCCTCCTCATCGATACCCTCTTCGTCATCATCCGATGACTGCACATCATCAGGATGCTCGACGGCCGTAGCAACCGAGTCATCATCCGACGCATCGCCCTCCTCTTCCTCATCGCTTCCCTCCTTCTTCTCCCCCTCTTCACCCTCACTATCCTCCTCATCCTCCCCATCAACACCCCCCATCTTCGCATCCTGCTTCTCCTCCTCCTCCTCCTCCACATCAGACCCAACACCCATACCAAAAGCATCATCAGCCAACACGCCCTCCTCATCATCATCCAAATCCACATCAATCTCTTCCATGTCGTCCTCCTCTTCCTCATCATCCCCATCAACCTCCATCTTATCCTCCTCTTTTGATGCAGTAGTAGTCTTCCCCTCCTTAGCAGCCTTCCTCTCCCTCCTCCTTCTAATAATCTCATCGATATCCACAGGCTTCTTATCCCCGTTCGCGCCAGCGCCCTTCACGCCACCCTTGTGCGCGCCCTCGAACCCCCAGCCGTCGAACTCGGCGTCGACTTCGTTCTGGCCGTCGACGACGAACTGGAACTCGGTGTCCATGGCGCCGTCGTCTTCGTCTTTGGAGCCCCAGATGCCGAGGTCGGCTGCGTCGTCTTCTTTTGTTTCTGCGGCTTCGTCGTCGTCATCTTCGGTCTGTTGCTGTTTCTTGGACTTCTTGTTGTTCTTCTTCTTTTGCTTGTTCGATTGTTCGGCCGTCTTGGCTTTCTTCCTGGGTACGACTTCCTGCTCCTCTTCTAGTGGGATGTTATCTTCATTGTCGGAGATGGTGAGGATGAAATCGTCGTCGATCGCTTTGCGCTTTTGGGAGGGCGCCATTGTGATGGATGCTGTTTCAACGGTCTGGTGCCGTTGTTTGTGCTGTGGTGTTGTGTTGAAAAGAACGACGGGAACTTCAATGCTGAATGGGAATTGGTGGAATCGTCGAGATTGTACAACTGATAGCAGTTCGGTGGGGTCTTTTTTTCGTCTCTTCCTCCGCCGTAGAACGAAGGGAAACAAAAATTTGGGAAGCATGTCCCAACGGTAACTTTTTCTGCCGGGCGGTCAACATGATTGGAGGATTGGGAGACCTTATCAGTGGCAGCTGGTCGGCAGCTGAGGGGTCACAGGTACGGAGTACGTACCACTACTGTACAAAAAAAGGCCCTGACGATTTCAAGCTGGGCTTTGGAGACTCTGAAAATATCGAATCACTAGAAAAACATCCAACATGCAGTTGTGAACAGAACAAGGCCTACTTCTTCCTTACAACAATAGGACTATGGTTGTATATATCCAGAGCATATGATCTGTCATTGTTAACGCAGATTACCAGCCCGTGCTATGTGATGATAATGCAGAAGAGTCATCTGCCCCGTTCATACCCAAAATAAACGCCAGACACCTTGCCAATGGTATAATGCCAATCCTCAAACTTTCGCCTCCTAATGTCAGTTGCCCGCGGCGTATCTTCCCTTCACATGGGCCGACACATTCTCCCCAGTGTTACCGTGTGGAGAAGCTCGCCGACGCTACAGGTAAGTCCTGATCCTGCCCCTGATCATGCTGATAAGTCTCCTTCTGCTTCTGCTTCTTCTTCATCTCGGCGCGTATTCGTTCTTTCTGCGCCTTCAAGTGCGCCATCTCAACATCATCCAACAGGAATTTTTGCTCATCGATATCCCTACCACGTCCTGACGCGGATGGCCCACCTTGCAGGTAGAGAGGGTCTCGTTGATACCCGTTACCCGGCAGTTCGTGCTCAACAATGTCGTATGTAGAATGGTAATAGCCATCCTTGGTTGGTGGCAGCTCAGCATGCGCCCTTGGCTCCTCCAGCTTACGGATCGCGCCGCTTTCCATTGCAGCGTACTCCTCTGTCGATGCGTATGGTGGTAGGGGACCGTTGTTGCTGGCGCTTGGGAGATCAATATCCTCCCATGGATGCCTCCTTTCGATCGGAGATGCGGGCTCGGCTTGTAATTCAACTCCTCGGGGTGGTTTCTCAATCATGGACTCATCGGGAGGTACGGTAGGCGAAAATACAGCTGGCGTGGGCGTTACCCGGTTGGGTCCATACGAGACGATTAACGGGGGTCCTGGTCGTTGGGATTGTGAGGTTGTTGGGTTCGGGTGTGGGAACGTAGTTGGAACTGGAATGAGAGGAAGAACTGGCGTCGGAGTTGGAGCTTCAGTTGGAGGAGGGATGGTGTACTGTTCGTAGTTGTTGTAATCGGGGTAATAGCCCCCGAGAGGTGCTGCGGAGGCCGCAGGTAGCTGGGGCATTGGAGGCATAGGGGGTACTCCAAGCCGGCTGTCGAGGGAGATCGAGTCGGCAGCAGCGCGTGCGTTAAGGTCTCCCCTGGAACTTGCCCGCGGCGTTAGCGTGGGAGTGGGAGTGACGGGGTTCGGTCCGTATGACGTAGGGATTGGCTGGACAGTTTTTGCGCGGGCAGCTTCGAGTTCTCGTCCGGTGATGCTCAGGTTTTCCGTCACTCCAAGGCCGACTCCGAGTCCTCCTCTTTCCGTACTCCTCTCCCGCGCAGCTCCTGTCGCAGCATCGTGACCCAGAAATCCTTGGTTGTATGACCATGAAGGTGAATGGGGCATCACCGGAGAATGGCCGTACACATCGCTGGAACCGTTTGACCGTACATCATCATAGCCTGTTGATCCAGGATATCCGTCAAAGACTGGCTGAACCGTATCGTATAGAGGATCATCCGACGACGTTTTCGACGACGACGAAAATCCGCCAAATATCTTTTTCTCGGGACCCCTCCTTCCCTGTCTATACTCATGCTCGGCGATGGCGTTGGCCAGCTCGGCCTGCTGTTGTTTCTTCCGGCGCCTAAAGTACAAGAAGCCGGCCATGGCACCCACACCGATGCAAGCAAGTGTGATTCCAACACCCAGGGCGATTCTAGCACCGAGGGCAAAGTGGTCGTCGGGATGTTGCGGAGGGCCTGGGGATGCGGTAGAGGATACGTCGGCGAATGGCGGTAGGGTACCGAGATTCGGCTGCTCGGTCGCAGTACCAATGGCAGATTGAGTCGCGATGATGGTTGCGCTGGGGCCGATGGTGGCCGGAGGACGACTGTCGGGATCGCGGTCCTTGGCGAAAATGAAGAACTTTGGGCTTTCGGCTCTGCAATCGCCAGAATCGGCTTGAAGCTCGAACCAGCAAGGATATGTCGAAGAAAAACTCAATGGAAAGGAAGTGGTTCCATTACCAGGGGTTGCATGGTCGACCGTGAATTCTGTGAAAGGGAGAGGTCAGTCTGTCTGTCAGCAACAACCTCCGCTGCGATCGCAATGCCGCCATCAGTCTCCTGCTGGTTGGGGTTGCTTTGTTAAAGGGGAGAGCGATTCGACTTGGTTGTTGAGAAGCGACCTGTGACCCAAAGGGCTGGGCATCTTGAGGGGCACCGGGGCTTGCAGGGCTTGGTGCAGCGGGAGCCGAAAGTGCTGTGGGGAGATTGGAAGATGGGGAAGAGGGGGGGCTTGCAGTCTTGCACATGGGCGGGAGCGGTGACATTGTGCAAAGCGACGGGAGCGGAAGTGGAAGCAACCATTCTTCAATGTTTGTGAACACTCACTCTTTTCCTTCTCGGTTGAAGTGCCACACCAACAGGCGAGACTCGGCTTGTTAAAGGTCGAAGTATATGTGACGTTGATGGTGTCCAGAGAGAAGACTCGCAGTTTCTCCGTGGGAAATCCAAAGTCGGCTCCACATTGTGCGCTTGCGGTGCCCGCAGACAGAAATGAGGGAATGATGAGCAGCGTGAGCAACACCAAGAGATGAGGTCTTGATCTCGTCGTTTTCAGCGTCGTCGCACTCCAGTTCCAGGTGGCCGGCGTCTGTCGAGATGATGATGCCGTCGCCATCACCGTGGCCAAGCGAACAAAGCGAATCTCTCTTGCTGCGAATTCATTGATGTCTGCTGAGTGGACGCGGATTCGATGTTGTTGGACGAAGTGGTGATGGCAAAATACGCAAGAACAAGAGGCCGAGAACGAATGACTAGGGGTTGTGTGAACGAGTGACCGGATCGATAAACTGGACTGGCGAGTTGAGTTGAAAGTTGAGAAGGTGAGATTGACAGAGGCAAAGACTGGATGGGCACTTTGGGTTGTTCCTTCTCTCTTCAGTTGCATTCAGACCACAAGCCAGGCCTGACGGGATGTGGGCTAAATGACAGGGGGCTCCCGGCCTCCCGCTCTTTGGCGCCAGATGCCGCTAGACTTCAACCTTCCAGTCCCAAAAACGAAAAACTCTCTTTGGCTCTTTCACTGCACACAGTTCGAATGCAAGCCAAGCGCCCTGCCACACTCCGGTGGACATGTTGGCTCATGGTTTGGACTTTGGTTCGACAAACTCGAGAATCATGCATGCGCCCCTGAAACCCTTCAGCTCACAGCCTCAATCATCATCGTGGTCTGCAAGACAATTGTGACAGTGAGACAGTTAGACAGTGAGCAGCTCAACCCGTTTTCAATTACCCTTCAGTCTCTTCTTTCTTTATTCGACCTTCCTCCTTGTCTCTGGGAACTTCAAGATTCATATAACCATCCTATCCAGGCTCTGAACCAGATCGGTCATATTTTTCGATGGCCTGGCGAGCCTAGGTCGATTGGTCAACGCCTCGCTGATGACTCCGGACCAGCGCCAGAAAGAAGATTACGGTGACGTTACATAGGGAGGTCGCACAAAGACTTTCAGACAAGACTGAACCATGGGCACATGGCCGTATCTTTACGATTCCGCGGTATTGGTAGGCAGTGTCGTTTTCCTCTGGCTTCCGGAGCAATGAGATGATGATTCTCGGTACGCAGTATCGTCGAGAGCTCCTATCGAGTTACGACGAACGGTGCGCTAAACGTTGGAAAGCGGCACTAGCGCCTTCTCCGCGTCTATAGAGGCCGTTGATTGGAAGCCTTGATGACTGAAAAGGAGTCAAGATCTCAACAGGAAACGGGAACCCAACTCCACAAATATTCTCCGTTCCCGAAGACGACGTTCCGGTTCTCCTTGAGAGGTTCTGGAACTTGATGATACGGACGACGGGGCAGCAGTATGCACGTCAGCTGATAGACGCTGCTCGTTGATACATATGTACTCCGCTCCGGCGGTTGTGTACGTTTCTGCCGCGCTTATGTGCTCCTCTTCCAGGGACTACATACAGCACATCCAGATGGCGTATTCAGCCCTACAGCCGTTAAGGCGACACCTGCATCATCATCTGGCTCCCTCCCGTCTGTACAACTGACACCATCAACATCACAGGCACAATCAGGTACTTCCCCGGACAAGTCCCCAATGGAGGAAGAAAGTGATCATGTTTTCTTTATTTCGAAGATCTGACAACTTCCCAGGAGAAACTTTTACGAACACGTGCAAAGTATCGCTAGTTTTAGCGCCGGGTTCTGATGACAGCGGTCCACGCGACGGACAGGCATGCCAGGGTGAAACTCCACTGATGAACAAATATTTTCCTATTCAGTTAAGCTGTTCGTCGACCATCAAAGCCATCCTTTTCATCTCGTGCTAAATACCAGGGTACCTGCGTGCATCAAATTTTGGACCACTTCAGATTCTCTTCGTCGAAGAGACAACTCCTCTTCTCACTTCTCAGTCACCATAACTCCAGACCTCGAGATTCCGAACTTGATATAAAGTGTCTGGGTCATGGTCAGCAAAGTACCAGTTGATACGATCAAGTTCTTTCATCACTACAGCGAAGAGAGAGGAGAAATTGTTGACTTACCCGCTTCAGGACCAGGCGAACCCGACGACCCTTCCATCTGGAGGTTAATGATCCTGTAATATCATCCTCCTAGTCAGCAACCGAACCGACAACGAGAGAAACCTCACCTCGACAACAAGAACCCTCTCAAAACTCACAAATAAAGCGCCTGCCCAACATACCCCCTCCCCCACTGCGTCACCACCAGTTTCCCATCCATCCAAAACCTCACCTCCACATCCTTCCCACTCCCACCATTCCTCATATCCTTCCTAACCTCACACACAACCCTATGCCACTCCTTCTCGCTTCCATACTGCACATCCCTCGCCATAACCTGACTACTAGTATTAAACGTGTTAAAGCTAATCTTCCCACTCCCCTTCCACTCCGCCATATCAATCTCCGGCGGCCATCCATTCACAGCCGTCAGCCAAAACGCAGGCCACGTTCCCTTGGCAACGGGGGCACGGAACTCGGCGGAGAAGTCGTAGCCTGTTACAGCGCTGGAAGAAGTGATGGTGAAGTGCTGCTTGGCGTGGATGGCGCCGGATAGGTATTTGATGGGGATCTGTTTGCCGCCGTGGGTGGCGGGTTTTTGGCCGGTGACGCGGTGGGCGGTTAGGTTTAAGGTGGTGCCGTCTGAGGACGTGGTGACTTGGGATGGGGACATGCGCGCGGCACCGTTGTGGTCGGTGCCCCAGGGGTAGTTGAGGGACCAGTAGGTGTTGAAGGTGGTGGTGGAGTTGAAGGATATGGAGGGAATTAGGAGGGTCTTGGATGAGGCCAAGGTGGATGGGAAGAGACAGAGGATCGTGAGGGTTTTCAGGAGAAGGGGGAGGGGGTGGTGGATGGACTTCATCTTGGTGAGTTCCTTTGTTGGAGCCGCTGTTTTCCTGGAGAGTTGAGCGAGTTGGTAAAGACTTGTCGAGTTCGGCCGGAGTTCTTTGGGGGTTACTCCCCCTTTTAACTGAACAAACATGCCTTGTTCGACACTCACAACACTCTTGAGGGCTACCATTAAGTCGGATTGATTATAGGATGGAACGTATCACGGATGATCTTGATATTCCACCATTCACTCAAGTTACCATACCGGCCTTGAGCTTCGGCCTCAGCCTAAACTACCAGCCACACTATGACGACATTCTTCGGATAACAATACACATGGACGAAAAAATGTGCCAAAAAAAAAACTGTACTCTAATAGATAGTAGTTGACTCAATATCCGTATGTTCGTGTCACAAAATCGGACCCCTTTCTTGCTCTCCAACAGCCAACCCTAACCCTATCTATGGCTGCTGCCCACCTACACTAAGTACCTACCCTGGACTACCGCCTCCCGCTCGGGCCCTGACGTACTGGACCACTCCCCTGTAAATCCCCCGCGGTGGCGCTGAACCGGGTGACTTCGCGGGGTGTTGGCGCGAATGGGATGCCGCTGCCGTGCAGTGACTCCAACGGGCAGGCAGAAAAAAGTTGTCCGCAGATTCGCAATATCAACTTTCCCTCATGAAACCAAAAAAAGTTCCCACGACGCCGATTGACTCCTCCACGCGCCGGGTGACACAAGTCTTTTTTCTACATTTCCCACTCGACGATTCCCTCTCGACATGCCCAGGTCAGAGGCCATGATTGTATAATTCGTCCATGCATTACAAGAAGCTTGCAGTCGCTGCCGCATCAAAGAGGATAAGAACCGTGCTGCCGACTCGACTCTCTACCACCACATCCTCGCTCCTATCGCTTAGACGTTGTCTTTCAACAAGAGACTGTACAGTATCTTCAGACTCGTCAGCAGATCCACCGGCCTTCACGAACTCAAGAATACGCTCGAATCCTAGAGCCACTCCGTCCCGAGATCCTCGTCCAGCGAAGCCAACTACTCCTCTCGTCGTCAAGCTTTCGAGCAAAGATCGGCCTTCCAAGTTCAAGATCCCAGACTCGGTCTCCAAGACAGTCGCTAGAGAACTCCTTCGCAACAAATACCTCTTCTCCGAATACAGTCTCTTCTCGCCGCACCGAGGCTTTCAAAAGTGGAAGAATCACGGCCTTCTGAAGCACACCAAGATCCCCGACGACTTCTTTCGCGGCCGCATCCCTATCAAGCTCTACCCTTATCAGGTCGACGGACCTCGTTTCATCCTTGCTTCTCCTGCTCCAGAAAAAAAGGAAGCTCCTCCAGCGCCTGCAAAACCCGAGTACGGCGCCATGCGCAGTCACGTCCAGATCGTCGCCGCGCCGACGGCCGACACCCCGGGCGCATGCCTCCTCGTCCACTATGACAACCGCCGTTACGTTTTCGGTCACCTGTCCGAAGGCACTCAGCGCCTCTTCACCGAACACAAGATCCCCGCCGCGAAGCTGTCGCACATCTTCCTCACGGGCAAGACGGACTGGGCAACGACGGGCGGCCTGTTGGGTATGATTCTTACGGTTGCCGACGTTATTATAAGCGCAAAGACTGCAGTGGAGGAGGAGAACAGGCTTCGCCGTAAGAAGAACAAGCCAGATATCGTCCACGGCGGCCCTCAACGCATCGAGATCCACGGCTCCAAGAACCTCGAGCACATGTTAGCTGCTGCTAGACGCTTCGTTTTCCGGAAGGGCTTCCCGCTCGACGCTCATGAGCTCCGCGCCGATCCTAGGGCCGCAAACCCCGAGAACAGCGAGCCTGACTATGAGGATGAGAACCTCAAGGTCTGGAAGATCCCCCTTGTCGCCACAGGCATGGAGAGCCGGTCGCGTAGTAGCAGTACCGGCTCACAGAACCCGCGGAAGCGGAAGCTGAACTCTTCGGAGGAGCCCGAGGCTATGGAGACTGTGGCGGAGGAAGAGGACGGAGAGGTTGTGGAGGATGTGCCGGCGGGGCTAGAGAACGACGAGGAGAAGACCAGGCTTCTTATGCAGACGATCATCAAGCACATGTTCGACTCGGACTGGAAGGCGGACACTCTTGTAGAGCAGCCCCTACACAAGGTCAAGCTGCCGGCCAAGATTTTTGTTCGCGACGATGAAGGCAAGATCACAGTCTACAAGGGCCCATTGCCGGGGAGGGACGCCAACGTTCCCGATATCAGGGTGCTTGTGAGGGAGCCTTGGCCTGGTGCGCTCATCCACCGGTTGCCGCCTACGGACCCTTGCTTTGATTCTACATGCTACATTGTCAAGAATCATGCTCGCCGAGGCAAGTTCCAACCTGCAAACGCGCTCAAGTACGGCCTACCCAAGTGGACCTTCAGCAAGCTTGCAAAGGGCGAGAGCGTGACGGCAGAGGACGGAACTGTTGTTACCCCAGATATGGTCTTGGACCCTCCTATTCCTGGCCATGGTTTTGCTCTCATCGATGTCCGCTACGAGTATCTCCTCGATAGTCTCCTCAGGAGGCCCGAGTGGGAGAACAAGGAGATCATGGAGCATATTGATGCTTTTTACTGGATTCTTAGCCCAGAGGTCAAGGACGATTCCCGCCTGAAGGACTTCATGGCGAAGCACAACTCCTTTAAGCACATTGTTCTCGGTGAGGGAATGAACCCCAACACTATCTCATTCGCGGGCGCGTCTGGGAAAGCCATCATGATGCATCGTATGGACCCCGACCGCTTCTCCATTCCCAACCATAACAACCAGGAAGAGGCCTTACCAGCGGGTTTGGCATCTGTTGCGGAGCTGGGCAAGCCCGGCGAAAGACTACTGCTCTCTCCTACGGTCGAATTCCAGCCCAAGTTCGCCAACGCTCTCATGAACACCATCAGGCCCATCAAGGAGCTCACTTCCACCCACGCCAAGGCCTTCAACCTGGCGCTCGAAGCGCAAGAGAAGGTTTCCGACCCTGCTTTCGCCGCCCGCGTCGCCGAGTCCGAGCAAGACATTCCCAATCGGGACGCCGAGATCGTCACCCTCGGCACCGGCTCCGCCCTTCCCTCCAAGTACCGCAACGTCTCAGCCACGCTCATCCGCGTCCCCGGCTACGGCAGCTACCTGTTCGACTGCGGCGAGAACACCCTCGGCCAGCTCCGCCGCGTGTACGGCTACGCCGAAACCGACGCCATCCTCCGCGACCTGCGCGCCATCTACATCTCCCACCTGCACGCCGACCACCACCTCGGCGTCCCCTCCGTTCTCGCCCGCCGCGCCGCCGCCAACGCCGCTCTCCCCGCCGATGAGGCCCCCAAGCCGCTCACCATCATCTCCACCTCCAAATACATCGGCTTCCTGCACGAGTACAAAGACGTCGAACCTCTCGACTGGTCCAACATCAAATTCCTCACCCTCATCGGCACAGGCCGCAAACCCACCGACGACCCGTCCGGCCCTCACTCGGCCGACCTCGGCCCAGGAAACAACCACTTCAACATGCTCCCGGGCACCCTCTGCGCTTTACAACCCGCTTCCTTCCGCGGCAACCCTTCAGAAGCCCTAGAATCCCAAACCGGCCTCGCCTCCATCGACGCCTGTTTCGTAGATCACTGTCTCGGCGCCACCGCCGCCGTTTTCACCTGGCCGTCTGGTCTCAAAATCTCCTTTTCGGGGGACTGTCGGCCCTCGGATGCTTTTGCACAAATCGGCAAGGGGTCGCATTTGTTGATCCACGAGTGCACGTTTGACGATGAGCTTATTGGGGAAGCCAAGGCCAAGAAACACTCGACTGCGAGCGAGGCGCTGGATGTGGGGAGGAAAATGGGGGCGAGGAGGGTGTTGTTGACGCATTTTAGTCAGAGGTATCCGAAGATGCAGGCGCCTGTTTTGGATGAGTTGGAGAGGCAGGAACAGAGTGTCAGTGGTGGGGAGAAAAAGGGTGACAGGACGGTGGTATTGTACGCGTTTGATTATATGAAGATCAAGTTGGGCGAGTTCAAGATGGCGGAGAGGTTCTTGCCGGCGCTGAGGGAGTTGTATGGGGAGTTGGAGGAGAATGAGGAGGAGGATGGGGATGGGGCGGAGGGTAAGGAGTAAGTAAATATGGATGGTTGTTGGGCATGTTACCGGTATATAGAAGGTTGGTTGCATGGTTATAGATAGAGTGATGAAAGATTTAGGAGAATATACCCTGGTTGTCTGGATACAGATATATGGCACCTTCGATGTGTTGAGGTCTCATCGTGCACATGAGGCGAGAGCACCAAAGCTTTTCTATCATGCTGCAGGTAAAGCGAAAGCCAACGATTGGCATCACAGAAGTATCTCATCACACTCGACATTGGATGGATGGGCATCGGATTTTCAACGTCAGGTTGGGATTGTCAAATGATATAGTTACTAAGAAACAGGGACCTCTGTACTCATACAACTTGCAAACAGATGGATGACATTGAAAATACCTACCCAAAATCCCCCTAATTCCATCCACATCTGTACGCGGGATTAAAGACAAAAGAAACGATGAAAGACGAAAGAAACTCTTTACCGCCGGCGCCGATCATCTTTCCTTGTCCCTCCTAGAACTAGACGTACCACTCCCTCTCCTCTCCTCTTCTTCTCTTCCTCCACCTCCTCCACCACTTCCGCCTTAATGTCTCTTTCTCGCCAGATGCAGATGGTCCTTGATACTCAGTAGTTTCAGAGCAGTTCGTGTTAGCTCTGCATCATCGTCTGCTCTTCTATGTCTACGAGAGGAGGAGGAAGATGAAGAAGATGATGATGAGGTACCATGACGGTGGTGATTATCGCCATGACGGTCGCCTCCTTCGTGACGGTAACGCTCGCGGTCACGATGATCACGATCACGATCACGATCACCACCGTTCTTCGCCCAGTCCCTAGTATCTGTAGAAGACGAACGGGAATGTTGTTGTTGCTGTGAAGATGGGTGTGAGGAGCCATGACTGGTACTGCTCACCAGACTCTCCTCTCCTTCATGCCTGTACCTCTCACGCTCCTTACGATACCGCTCCCGCTCCCTCTGGGTCTGAGCCTCCGCTTCTTCTCTTTTAGATTTACCTCCTCCACCTCCGAGACCTCTCAAATTCAAAGCCTCAGGCACAGCACTCAAGTGACTCCACGTCGCGACGGACATGATCTCGATCTCGTTGTCTTGGTCGTTTTCGTTGCTCAAGTTAGTTACTCTCCGATCACTGCCAGTGCCAGTGACAGTGGTAAAGCTATTGCAAGTAAGCGTGGTAGCGTCGTCGTCAAATTCGCCATCGAACGACTCACTGTCCGAGTCGGAGTTATCCCATTCTTCTGAGGGGTAATCACGGGTTCGGACGAGAGCGGTGCCTGTGCCTGGGACTGTGACTGTGCCTTGGACTGGGACTGGGACGGCAGTGATCTCGTACCTGGGGGACCCATATGTACCGTATGTACGGGATACGCGGCTGGGTGCGGGTGCGGGTGAGACTTGGCTGTTGGAGAGGTTGTAAAAGGAGAGGGGGACGGTGTGTTTGGATGAGTAGGATTCTCGGTCTCTGTTTCGGGAGGAATACGGTGAAGAAGAAGTGGGAGGGCGGCGAGAGGAGGGGGAGGGGGAAGATAATTGGGGAGGGTGAAGGGAGGATGAAGAACGGTGGGAAGAAGAAGAGGAGGAGGAGGGAGGGTGACGTGAGGATGAAGAAGGAGGTAGATGACGGGAGGGTGAAGTGGAGGAGTTTCTTTCCTCAGGGACTGGCTCCAGATACCGCGACCTGCCAGTCTCCTCCTTCACAGGCAAAGTATCCTTCTCCTCGTCAAGGGGGTCTTCACCCTTACAAAAACACTCCCACTCCCTCTTCACAGCCCTCTCAGCCTTCATCATCCTTATAGACGGGCTCGGCGTCAAGTTCATGTCATAAGGATGATACGGATCAGTTCCGAGATCCGTATACAACCATTTGTCGCGCCCTTGAGGCGTTTTCTTCCACCTCAAATATTTCCGAATGGTAAAAAGCGTCAAGGCCAACTTCTTCGCCTTTTCCTTGACCACCTTTGCCCTCTCCTCACCCAGGTTCTCAATCCACGTGTCAACCAGTGGATATAACCTCGGCAACCCCCCGTCCTCTTCCGCCACATCTTTGTCGTTCTTGCACGGCGCCCTCGCAATCATGTTCGCCAACAACGCCGCCAACACCTCCTCCCCGCTGCCCGCCACAACTGACAAGTTGCAAGCAACACAGTATTCTCTGGTATTCCCCTCCCCGGACAGCTTACGCTTGGAGGGTATCGCATCCCCGAAGTACTTCTCAAACTTCCCCTTCTTTTCCGAGTCCGGAAACCACAGTGCCCCAATACCAGACATGCGCTCAACAAAATCCCTGGCTTCCCTGACCGCCTCCTCCTTTTTCACCCCGAACCTTTTGAACGGATTCTCATCATCCTCCTCCTCCTCCATCTCCCTTCGAACCCGCTCCCGCTCCCGATCCCTCCCATCCTTCGCCCTCAACCTATCATAATCCTCCTCCAACAAAAACGCCCTCACCCGATCCACCCTCTGACTCACCTCCATCTGCAACCAAAACCAGCACCAACCCAGCAAATAATGATTCAGCTGATTATGGCCCCCAAGCTCGCAATACGGCCGCCAGTTATCCATCTTCCTCATAATCCACGGCGGGATATCTCTGGAAAACATAACCATGAAGTCCTCGTGCAGGGTGCTCAGGCTCTCCATCGTCAAGAACTGGTACTTAAAGACCGGGTGCTTGCGGGGGTTTCTGTCGTCATCCAAAAACCAGGCTTGGGCGCGCAGCCAGTCCGACCGGGGGCAGATGGTGGAGGAACTGGGCGGGGGGTATTGGAGGAGGTCGGCCAGGACGAGAAAGGGGGTCCCCCAGAGGCGGAGGAGGAGGTTAGACAGGGGCCGGCTGGAGTCGTAACGGATTAGGTCGGGGTATTTTGAGGGTTCGTAGAGGTACTGAACGTGGGACAAGACGAGGTGGTTGTTGTCCTTGTCAAGGAATGCCTTGTGGTAAAGGGGGTTGGGACGAGAGGTTTCGCCTTGGAGGCAAGAAGGGGGGTCGGGGTCTGGGAAATGGTCGCGGTGGCGTTGATGGCGGTCTCTGTCTCTGTCTTTGTCGCTTTCTCTGTCTATGTGTCTGTCTCTCTCTCGCTCTCTGTCTCGTTCTCCGTCTCGATCTCTATCATCCCTATGATCTCTTGTCGATTTCGACCGAGAAGAGTGAGAGGGCCGTGACGAGGAAGAATGCTTGCGGTCGGAGTCTTGGGGACAGGGCATCTTGATGACGTTGCGTTAAAGTCTTTCGGGTTTCCAAAAGTGAATGGTCAATAGGTTATCGAGAGTGAATAGCTGATGATGCTGTTTGATGCTTGCTTTAGAATATTCGAGTGCCTCGACGTACTCTGTAGAAAAAGGGATCTCTCGAGTATTTATCCCAACATGATCGAGTTGATTCTCGATAGTGCTGGGTACAGGTAGACATCGCATTGTCGGAATTTACTGGAGCTGTTCGTATACCAGCCGTCCTGTGGTAGATTGCCTTTGAGTCCTTTTCACCTGTCGGTTTTTTGTTGGCCGTGATCAGAACAAAGAAATTATTCGCTACATGCGAGAATACATTGTTAGCTTCACCCGCCCACCATTTGGTCATGCCAGAGAAAGAGTCTTACCAAGGCATGCAACGGGCAGAATATCGAAAGCACTCAGGGTGTGTACGGTCTACTTGTTCATTGTGGTCTGTTAACTGAACAGCGTATTTCTTCGATGACGTTACCTGGACGGCGGGAAGTACCGCTTTGAAATTGTATTTGCCGAAGTCGTTTGGACTCACAAAGAGAGATATCGATCTGACGTTGGCTGACTGTTATAGGCAGCCAGACGTCTGTCGACTACCAGACTTCGCCGGACATCTTGTAACCGATGTTGACATCCAAGCAACCCTCATCCTTTCCGTCAGGTGAATGCAACGGAATACAGGTCGACGGCTGAGTATGTGGATGTTATTTAGTTGCAAGAGGAAGAAGTCCCCGGAACTCGCCAGGCTCTGTGGACCGGTTTATAGTATGCAGGAGGGGTGAAGGCATCGTGGCTTTTCTGTGCAGCACCCAGTGCACCTGCAATACCCGTGGCAGGCGTGCCTGACAGGACAATTAGTTCTTTCGGACCGTGCCTTCCTACAATATTTGTGATATGAATGGAAACTCACAGTCATAGAAGGCTGTCCATCTCCCAGAGCAGGAACTACCAAGGCACGGGAACAGGGTTTCTTTTTTTCTTTTTTTTTTTCCCTTTTCTTTTTGAGGTGGTCTATTCGTACTGTCAGAAAGGTCTTACCAGACTGTACCCCACCCACCCTATGTACCTTTCATTAGCCACAGCAGGGAACTGCGACATTAACTGCGACCGCGACAGCAACTGCGACACCGATTGCACTTTTTGCAACTACGATCGCAAATGCATTCCGACCGTGGCAGCGATAGAAATTCTAATAGAAGTAGCCTTGCGACAACGATACTAAATGTCGCAGTTCAATTTCAATCGCTGTTTCAATCGCTGCTGTGGTCATAATTCAATCGTGGTCGCAGTTGCATTGCATCTCAGTGCTGTAGTCACTGTCGCTGTCGCTATCGCAATCGCTGTCAGAGTATTATAGTCTTCTGGGCGCAATTCCAATGACGAGGTACATGGTCAAATTTGGAGCGATGAAAATGGCCATTTTTTATTGGCTGGACCGGGTGGAGTACAGTCCGGTAAGACCTTTCCGACAGTACGAATAGACGACCTCTTCTTTTTTTATCCCGTGGGAAGTGTACCATCTGTATCATCGAAAGATTCGCCCTCAGCGACCTATTCCCTACACCACGGACACTCAAACAAAATATCACCAGATGATGAGATAAGATGGATTACTCACTTACCTGTCAAACAACCTCCCACGCTTTCACCCAGTGTTGTCCACTGTGTAGATCATATTTATTCTGACATCTTCCCGATGCCCTAGACCTAAACCTAGTTTTCTCAACCACCACCTCACCAGCATCTGGTCGGAACAGCATGTAGTGTAGTCAACCTAGCCAACGTCGGTCCGTAACCCAAAAGCGCTAAAACACGTTCATACAATTATTTATTTCATACCCAGAGAGATCGCTGCTTTCAGTTCTCATTTCTTCCTATCCTATTCCCAAGCTATTCATATAGCAATGTCGGGATTGGCTGCGTTTCTAGCGAAAAAAAAATAAAAATAAAAAAATGACAAAAGGTGGACAATAGCTCGCCGATATACTGGCGATCAGTTCTCAACCACGACGTTTTGTTTTCGTACTGCACGAATGGACTTGAATCCATTTCCTTCCTTCGTGCTTACTTCCTTCCATTCCATCCTTGGAGACGGAGTACACAACCCCTTTTTGACTTCCTGATATGATTCGTCGCGCTGCTCGTCGTGGCTCGAGGGAGCTCCAGTTGCATGATTTGTTGTCGAGTGGTGGATATGCTCCTCATCGTCCGGCTTTCTGTGTTCTCCCCCAGACAGAATGCCATCCGCCTTTCCCCATGGGGCCACAATGCCGTATACAATCCCAATCCATCGAACCCCAAGATCTCGTCTTCGCCCTTGTCCGATACATCCACATGCTTTCTCCCCATGGCTTTCCCATCGTCGTGCACTTTTCGCTTTGCCTGCTGTCTCCAAGGGCTTGAGGCCTTCTTCGGCACGAACCCAACGGTAAAAGCACTGCTCTGACATGTGAAAGAACCCGTCATGTTCTGTCTTCTTTCCCATCTATTCTTGAAAACCCTCAGTGTGTGCCCAACTTCCATCTCATACCTTTTCAACCAAACTTGGTGTGTTCAAAATCATCAATCCCACCTGCAAAATGGGTTGCCGGCAATTTGGTAGAACGGGGTAAGATCATCGGCTCACCGAGGAAGTGCGCGGTTAGTTTCAACCGGAGTACAACCCAATCTTACCACAATCTGCCTCACTCACGTCGGACACCTAGCCTTCGAAGACACCAGAGGGGAGATGGCCCTTGTCCACTAACGGAAGTATAACTGGGAATCGCAACACAAAGAAATCCGAATGGAAAAGCTAGGTCCATAAACCAACGAGTCAAAATCCTCGACCATCCATCCACCTATCCTCCTTCCGGAAACCGCTCATCAAGGTCATGATAATGAAAGAAAATTCTAATCCATATAAGGCTGCAAAGGACTGTGAATATGCGTCGTCCATAAGCAGCGGATTGGTGCTAGTGAGAGTGGTGAATTTATAGATCAAGTCTGGACGACAGCACTGTCTCGGTAGCCCAACGACAACTTTGGAATGGTGCCATCCACGACAAAATGGGACAACGCTTGGTGCAATGTGCAATTTCGCTCCATGCTTGAAGAGAGGGCCACAAGCCAGCAGTATGGTAGGTTATCGACTAGACGGATTCGTGCCAAATGAACATGATGACCCGGTTGCAGTATTTTTAGTCTTTCTCTGCTTGTCGCAATACCCCCTGGCGAGGTCTTCCGAGGTCGGGACGTCTGCGCAGCATGGCTTTGCTGTTGATCCGGCCGCGTTAGGGGGGATCGAGCCGGGGGCACGACTTAAGCCACTCTCCTCGCGCTTATAATCTGTGTGACACTGTATATGTCTCTGTATACCCCAGTGTCACTTTCCGGGAGGCTGGGACCGGGAGAAATGCATCGGCCACCGCTCTGCTCCATATCGCCTCCTTCTCAAATCTCAAAATATTTCCTCTCTGAGGTTCCCGGGAGAACTTGCGCTTGCCCCTCGTCAAGATGTCGAGGAGGACTCCGGCGTCATGCTGCGTGCATGGCCGGTAGCATAGTTCTACGCGCTTCCGCCTCCCGTTGTTGTCTTTCTGTTACTTTTTCGAGTCTGATTCGGGTGGCTTCGGTACCGTCGTCTGGTGGGAGGTGCTCTCTGAACCATTCGTGCTCAAGGGCTTCCCTGGCGGTGATACGCTTGTTGGCGTCATACGTAAAGATCCTCTTTAGAAGATCCAGGAACAGAGCAAGGAAGCGACTATTTCTAGCAGGAATAATCTCCTGTGCATCCTGTCAGCGGGGCGTCAAACTCATTTGGGATCCAGTAATACTGACATCGAGAGGCTTCATGCCCTTGACAAATCTCTTGGACGCACGGGTGGTATCGGGAGCAGGGTAGTCCAGTTTTGAGCGCTTGAAAAACCTATACAATCTCGATAGCCGCGATTAGCCCGGTGAAACTTGGCAGAAGAGTAAGGGGAGGCACATACTTGGCGGCCGGGTTGCCACCATTCCTGGTCATCCTGTTGACTTGCTGGACGAGCGAAGGATCAATCCTATGATTGACTACCGCCTCCATCATTGCCAGATGCTCCAGGTTGTCGTGCGTCTGGAACAAAGCGTCACCTGTATAAAACTCAACCAGGATGCAGCCAATGCTCCATATGTCGCAGGGAAAGGACCACCCCAGGCCGAGTATAATTTCGGGCGCACGATAATGTCGAGTGCTCACAACGCTAGAATGGTATTCGTCTTGAAATGTGGCGGACCCAAAATCGATGAGCCTGATCTCCGTGTCTAGAAGAACCTTTCTATGCACGGCTCGGCGGTTGGTGAGCGTGGAAGATGACGGAATGGTGCGGGAGTATGTAAACGTCTGATACTCTTGATTGCAGAGCAAAATATTCTCCGGTTTGAGATCGGTGTGAATCAGGTTGAGGTCGTGCAAGACTATGTTCTCGTTAGTACCCTCTCTAGTAATACAAAGAACACAAAAAGATGCTTACAAGCCACGCTAGTAAACAATTGACGAGCAAAGGCCAGGATTTGACTGTTGGGAAAGGGCACAAAATTGTTGTCCTTTAAAAAGTCAAAGACGCTCTGCCCAAGCAAATCCATCACGATGCAGATGTGGCCACGGAAATCGAAGCAGTCCCGGAGATGAATGCAACGGTTCCTGTTCTCCTCGTCGTTCGCCTTCAACGTTGCCAGGACGCGAAGTTCTATCTTACTGGCATCCCTATACTTTTGCACAGAGCGAATGATCTTGATCGCGACAAGCTTGTTGCGCTTCTTGTCCTTGGCCTGTACAACTTTGCCGAAAGTGCCTTGGCCAAGCAGCTTCAGTATCTCGTCTGCAACAATCGTTAGTTTGTCAATCACCCTCGGCAGATGGCCACAGGCGGTCGACTTACATCTCTCGGTAAGGTCATTCCCGGGAATCACAATCATATGACCATCATCGTCATCAACTCGAGCATTTTGGTTCGGCGAAGTCTGCAAAAGCAAGTCAGAAAATGACTACAAGTCGACACTCCATGGTTCCAAACTTACGTCCGGAATGACCTTGACATGCACCTCGCCGGCCTTCTTGGGAGGATAAGGAGGCGGTTGATACACCGCAAAGGTATCGGCATGAGCCGTTTCCCGACGCTTAGCCTCGTTGGCCTGCTGTCGAGTGATCTTCCTACGCTTTGTGCCTTGTTGTGTGTAGTCATCGTTGTAACTCTGCGACGAGAGGGAGCCGAGCGAAGTCGCCGTCGTGGTGTGCTGGGCCGAGTTTGTTCTATTGCTAGTAGACGCGGGTGAGTTGAGGGAATTGGAAGCAGACGGCAGCGAACGCTGTGTTTGGACGTAGTTGTCATGGTGGACGGGGTCGTAGTGGCCATTATTCGGCCTGCGCCTCTTAGCTGTTGGCTGAGTTGGAGCTGACTGGTTGGTGACGACGTGGGCATTGGACAGCGTTTGAGAGGCTACGCTCCTGGTGGCCGTACCCTCGGGCTCGGGGGTGTCATCAATAACAATGACTTCCTTGGGTAAGCCGTTTTGGTAGAATTCGGCCCAGTTGGTCTCTCCGCGTCTCCTCTTACGATTCTGCTGCTGTGAGACGGGCTCAGACCCCTCAGGGTTGGGGGCTGTCGCCATGGCTGTATGATCGATCCCGGGTTGAAGGGTCAAACGCTGGGGAGGAAGTTGTTGCGACGAAGAAAGGCGCGGGTGAGGGGGCGGTAATGTTCGGGTGATGGGTTTGAGGACGACCGAGGAGGCGATCAGAGGTGGCGGCGCGTTGACTGGCGGTTGGTGGTCGACGAGCGAGTATTGAGCCGAAGGAGAGTCTGGAAATGGTTGTCGTGTTCCTGTGGGTGACAGAATGCTCGGGAGATTGGGAGTATTCTGGGAATAAAAGGAGGAGGCGTTGGCCTGGACGGGATAAGGCTGGTGATGATGCTGATATGCAAACTGCGAATGGTACCGGTCCGAATAGGAGCGATGCAGCGTTGCTGTGGCGGTTGTGGGCGTCGACATGGTTTTGTGCCTGTAGGGTTGATCGCGATTCCTTCTGCGTGCAGAGGAGGGTTGCCGGCGACGGGGTGAGTTGTGCGTCTGCCAGCAGTTGCGGTCGGGGTCCTTGCGGGCGCAACGGGAGACGGGCTGACGTGATGGAAGGCGCGGTGGGAGGGGAAAGAAGGAGGAAATGGACAATGGGTCGAATGGGTCGGGGCAAGGCCCTTGGAGGGGGGGGTGGATGGTGGCCCGGGCCGGGTTTTTTTTCAGTTTTGAAGAAGGCAATGAGAAGAAGGAGGAGGAGGAGGAGGAGGATTCAATGCAGGTTTACCGGGAGATGGTGGCCAAGCTGATGGCTCTTCCGACGGGAGTGGAGGACGGCCTTGTTGCTCCCGCCCGCTGTTGAATTGTGTCGATGTGGGCGTGGGTGGTAGGCGTGGCGCTGAATATGGGAAGAGGTGGGTGTGCTGAGACGTGGTAGGCGTTGCCTTGGGCAGCTGGAGCGCAAAGGGGAAGAAGCGAATCTTTTTGCGTCTGGTTGTCGCAGCCTGCCTGTTCTTGAATCCCTCGTGGAGTCTTTGGGCAGACCTCGGGGGAAACTGGACGTACTCGTAAGGCGTTTCAGGCGTTTGTTTCGCGATTGCAACCCGTCCGTTGGCAAAGGCACATGCAACTCTGAAGGAAGAGTCTGTGGTGATGCGCTGGTCGTCGTAGGAGAAGAAGCAAGGGCGAGTCAAATAAAAATGTGTTGTGTCACGGGCTGCTGAAAGGCAGCGGCTAGGTACTGAGTGCTTGGAATCGGAAAGCGGAGAGTCGAGTGGCCTGGGGGCTGTTTGACCGTATCGAGGTTTCCAAGCCAGGAGCCAGGGCAAGTGTCTCTTTGCGCGACGTAATTTAGGCCACAAGAATAGGGATAGAAGGAACGGTCCAAACCAGTGTCATCTGGATACAGGAGAGCAGTGACGAAGACGACGAGAATCACGACGGGAGGATGTCGTAACTCTGAATTGGCCCCGGATGGGGAGGGGGGCGTTTTGGGCCCTTTGGGATTGGTGTTTTGGTCGTGTTTTGTAATGATAAGATTGCATTGGACATTCATTACATTACAGGTGCTGAATTGGCAGAATGCGCGACGCCCGGCCGGGGTGGGCTGGGCCGTATCACGCTACTGGTACTGTGGTTTTGAGCCTGTTGTTGCTTAGGTTGTGTAGCTGGATGTCGAGATACAACTAGCTCAGATTGTTGACTTTGTGTGTGCTTTCGTGTATTTCTTGTTACTTCGGCTTCGTTTTCTTTTGTCGCGCAGGGATTGAACTGGGATCACGTCGTTCCTACAGGTCCACCTAGATCGAAAGGGTTTGGACTTTTGAAAGTCCCAATTTGTATATGGGAAAGGGAGGTCGTCGAGGTTGTTCGGAGTCGCAGTGTAGTCCGATGCCTACAGGTACCCGACGTTGTTAGTGCAATGCGGCGCGGTGCGTGCAGTACGCGAATATTGTACGGTATCGACACCACCGTCCAGCACGCCACAAGCAGTGGACAAGTCACAGCCCTGGTGTGGGGATTGGGAAATGGTCCGCAGTCGTAACGACGTTCTTACCTAGGACCGTGGTTTCTCTGGATTCTGGTCCAGTTGATCAATTTCAATCTTCTTGTCTCCTCTCTTCGATTTGCGGTTTGTCTGACACGTGGGTACACCCGTCCGATGAACAGTCTCGGATTTTGTTAGGCAGAGTATATTCTGCCACCCGTGTATATATCGGGATCTGCTTCGTCTTCGTTGCAACTGTCGTTTACCTGCTGGCATAGTTGCCACGTTCGATGCCGTCTGGGTAGTTTGATTGTTTCCTTTCGGAAACAGAGTTGGCCGGCCCTCTTCTGCTTTTGTTCTCTGCCGTCTGATATCGCCAGTCGGCGTTGTACTTGTCTTCCAAGTCGGCGTGGTACTTGATATCGCTGACCTTTTTGTTAGTGCTCTGCGCTGCCAAGGTGGAGATGGAGACATCGGATTAACATACCAGGCAGAAAACTATGAAATCCCCGAGGAGAGAAAGTTCCAATGGAAGCATTCCAAGAATCAGAGACAAGATGAAAGCTATGAAGTACTTGTCCATATGAGGCTAACGTCTGGTTCTTCAGAGGTCCATATGGATTCCAGGTCGGTCGGATCAAAGGTAGAGAGATGATGTTGTGGATTCTGTCACAATGGTTTCCATCCAAGCTGTGAATGAAGTTGAAAGGTCTGGATTGCTTTCCTATTCAATGTGGGAGCTCCCATTCATTTATACTTTGCTCTGCATTTCTAAGTTACGTGTCGGTCGAAGCCTTTTCTTGGACTGCATCGGAGGTCCGGTTTTGAATGTTTGTGTAGAGCGTCGATGATGGTAGAAGCATTGATTTCTCATACTCCTCGACATGCCCGTGTGCCCGGGTTGAAGGACATGGCTTCGAAATTTGTCTTCAGCATGCTGTATGCATTATGCGGTCTGCGGCAGGAGACTTTCTTGCTTTCCTTGGCTCAATCGCCACCATCTTGGTTATATAAACCTGTTCCCTTTTTCCTAGTGAATGTGATTTTCAAAGTTTTCGAACCGCTTTCTCGTTCTCTTTGTGTGCATATATAAAAAGGTTCACCTCCGGTGTCAAGACTTTTTCGTGTAGATAATCAGCGTGTCTCAGCCGAATGGAATCATCCTTAACTCTTGGCCGTTGCCCTTGAAACGTCCAATCACATAACCGGAACGGGACGGCAGAGCCCTTACCCTTTTATTCAATTTGTTGTCTGTTGGATTTTTTGGAAGTTGCATGCACGCCAGGAGGCCAGGGAAAAATAGTGGGCAATAAGAACGATTGCAAGATCTCCAGGGTCCTCGCCAACGACGCCAAACAAACAGGGCGCTTCTGTTGCCGGGCCGGAAATGGACGAGACTTGTTGGTGTCACCGGCCGAACGGTGTCAGACTCTCGCCCAAATAGTGTAGCCTGGAGATATAAAGCAGGCCCACTGCCATTCACCTAGAACGAATCCCAAACGCACAATGATACCGAAACCGCCCACCGGAATCCTTCAGCTCCGCAACAGTGCTGGTTTCTGCCATTGCCTCCCTGACATCACCGATCACCTGCTCGTTCAAAGGTTGTCAGACAACAACAAATTTGAAAGGGAAATGTCTTCTCCGGCTTGACATATCGACAGTCCTTCAATCAGGCCTTGTGTTTTAAACCACCTCACTTCGGATAAATCCTTCCCCCCCTCCAGAAGTTGTGAACGGCGCTTGCCCAGGGCCCTGGGTCTCCATTCAGGCGGCGCATTTGCCATGGAGGAAGACACCCATCTGGTTGGGAAACCCCTCCCCCCCCTGCCCCCGCACTTGGGACATTTCACAATCATCACTCGACACCATGTGTCCACCACGAGTCCTGTACAACACTTCGACAGTCTGGAGATCACGGTATCCCCAGCCTGAAAAATGTTGAAGATTACTTACCTAGTAGTAGCATCTCCGCTTCCCTGCTATCCACGCTTTCTTCGTCAAGCCCGTTGCATACCTATCGATTTCGTTGGTGTTCTCCCCGGCCAATTACACCCCAGACCGTGAATAGCAACGGGCTGTCGCCATGCCCATGGCAACAACCCGGCCGTGTGCCGGGGTGGGTAGTGTCGACGCCGCGTCGTGGTTGGTCAGGGAACAACGAAATGGCAAAGTGCGTGCATCTGGGCTTTGGACATGGTGGTTGCTGACGGGCAGGCCAGACTCTCTAGGCCACAACCATCACAACAGCATCCCGTCTTCGCTTGTGTCTTTCCGTTGAGGAGGAGGAGTGCTGGTGGTGGTAGTATTGCATCTAACAGTAGCAAGTAACGGCGGGGGAATTGATGAGATATCACCACCTTTGCTGTATGGATTTTGACAACGAGAAGACAACGTTCATTCACAAGAGGGGTTGTGAATAGTGTCCATGTTCGGCATATGCAATGCGCGGGGTCATGCAACATTTAATCCTGCATTATGCAGTAAGCACAGCGTTTAGGAAATCATTTTATTTGAAAGGCCATCTTTTTCCATCATCTTCAGTTTTGTTGGTGATTCTCTGCCTGTCTGTCATGAGTATTCCCAAATGCCAACATTAGGAGATAATACATGGGTGAGCAAGGCCCAGACATCTCCAGGGTTGTCGATATTATACGTTACACAAGACACGATGGGAAGTGTCCAGGCCGGGGCGCGAGAGGGCGTGAAGGCGTTAACAGGGACGTCTCGGCTCCGGTTCGGTTCCTGCGTGCTGCAATCCCTGCTGCGATTCGGGAAGAGGCGTGACGGGGTTTGGAGGCGCGCATATCAAGAGACCGTGACTTTTCACGTGGGCAAACCACCAGTATCAAAGGATATGACTGTCGAAATGCTGAGAGGTCTGCGTGAAGATGTTCACGTCCAGAAACTGCAATTGCGTCACGGGAGTATCTGCATGTATCAGGAAAATCACGAAGGGCTAGCATTACTCCTTCCTCGCGGCGATGCAGGGTCCGTTCCCTGGCTCCGGCTTATGTATGTGCCAAGGGTTATTTTCACGCGGGAACCTCCGTCCTGTACCGTCTTGTACAGCCCCAGGCATGCAACTTGAATCTTTTGTGTGAACTGCCTCTGCAGCTCTTGTGCATAACTTCACTTCCCACACCAAAAACAAGCAAAACTCAGCGCTAGGACTCAGCTGGAAAATAGTCTTGCTATTATAAGAAGCAAATGCCAATTCGGATTTACGTAGTCTGTTAGTCAAAGATGATCCTCAAGCAATTTTTTCATTTTGTTCGCCAACCGTGGTGCTCTCCGATAGCGTGAAAATTGAACATGGTGGTTGGGAGAACGATGTTAGGGGACGGGTCGCTATAACCGCCTGTAAATGCGCTGTACACTAACATTCTTGGTGGAGATTTCGGAGCTTTGGCACAACATTGACCTGCTTGTTGGGAAATTATCCGTTAAAACGATTTTATATCATTATATCGGTCTCCTGCCATTGTTTGGTCAGATTTTGGGTCCTCAAATGCTTTGTTCGTGAGTGTAATTCACGAGTTTTGCGGGAGTTTGGGCATTTGCGTCGGACTTTTGTCCTCCCACGGACTGTACTTCAGTGTGCATTTGGACACTCCGGCTTTTGCTACACGACGACTGATGCAAGGCGATGACGAAGTGTCGCGTTTAATGGGGTCATCATGTACTTCAATTCGATAATGCTCCTCAAATCTTGTTTCTGCTTCCCAGCTGGTCTGTTCTTTTCAACTTCCATATCTGCATTTCGAGGTCGGATGGCCGTAACAAAAACGCCAAACCTGTTATCATACCTGAGCTCTTATACCTCGATCGCTTCAATAGCTCTTCGTCAAGCCAACTCAAGCCAACTCAAGCCAACTCGAGAACTATTCGCGTCTTTGCAAAGAGGGAGCAAAACAGCCTGCATCATGTACAAACACAGAAACCTACATATGTAGGTACTGCTCACGCTTTTGAAATATCAGAAATGTCCTCGCAGGAGTGGCAAAAGACCTGCACCTCTCTTATGTCCGGCATGCCGCGCTTACTGCCCACTGCCCCCCTATCTCCGGTAAGGTATTGTTGTTCTCTTCGGGCTGGTGAAAACATGGAAAGTGTTTCCTTGCCTTTCGCCTGGCACCTGTCCCTCTGTCTGGAAAGCTGTCATGTTCAACTGCTTCCTCTTGTTCTAAACCCCCGTGGAGAAACGGTGTCATCAACTCCTTTCTGCTTTTTCGGTCGTGCTGCATATTCCTGATGCGAGGCAGACACCTAACTAGAAGGGAGTTGGACAGATTGAACGGTGCAATCAATGAACAATGAGAGATTTCACAGCCTTGCCGTTCCTTCCCACGATACCATCGGACAGTAAGGAAGTGTACCGAAAACCGAACGAGGCAGTTGCCCTTTGGTGTTCCAATATGTGTTGCTGACTCCAACCAGTGAATTAGTGTTAAGGAGATGTACGGGACTAGATCCCTAACATGACTACCTACACCTATTCTCCTCCTAGGTACCTAACTGGAGAAATAAAAGTTGTTCCGGGGGACTTGATGATAGTGACATGAGCGTAACAATGATAGTGACATGAGCATTAGAATTTATTTCTCGTATATTCTAGGTATATATCAATTGTTACAGGCTCAGGCTATTTCCACTATAGTTGATAGCGTACATTCCCTTGTCTTTACATCAACATTATTGCCAGTATGCTAGAAATCATCTTCTAGAATAAATCTGGGCAGCTTCTTTCTCTTTGTTCGTAAGAAAAGAAAGGGGAGGAAACAAGGGGAGAGGTTCGCTTTGACTTCCCCAATCCTTTCAAGTGTTCGTGTTGTTTAAATCCTGAACCTCTTTCAAGGTGACCTCCTTTCTTGAATGTTTCTCGCTAACAATATTTTCTTGATATCTGCTGCCCTCCATGTCTACGATATCGACTGTCGTCGACTGTGCATCTAAAGTATGTTCTATGATTCTGATTGGCTTCTCTTGCTTCTTATTATCTCTCGTACGTCAACAGTTCGATTCCAATCGGGGGGCTGTTTTGGACCTTTTTTTGCCGATGGGCAACTACATGAAGAACCAGAAAGTCTGTCTTCTACTTGCCCAGCCACGGTAGCCACCAGAGCTCCTTAACATATGGTACCACGTCAACGACGACAAGCACCGTATCTTACCTGAAGAATACAACATGCAGGCTCGTGATACAAATCACGTCGACGGGGAACAAATCCTAAAGTCAAGGACCAAAATGAGGCTAAACAACAAGTGGTCAAGAATATAGTACCAGGTCGTCGGGTATAAGTGAGAACTAAAACCAGCTCCTATACTTTTCGGCTTTCGGCCCTGTTTTTTATATCGAGAAAAGTCAAGTCGATCAGGAAAAGATGGTCCAGGATGAGTTAATCTCGAGTGACACAAGCCTCTAAATCCAAGGCCAAGGGCTAGATCTTACCAGGTCCAGGCCCAGTCGAGATTCAAGTCAAGGTTTAAGACAGGTCAAGTCAATGGCCATTCATGACGATGGACAAATCACGAAACTCAACAACAATGGCAGTTGTGAAGAAGAAATTTGTGGAAACGGTCAACAAGACCTGCCGCTGCAGCTTAGTGGCACTTACAGATGGCTGGACAGCTCCAGGTCAAGTCTAGGGCTTTGCTAACTACAGGCCCTTCCTCGACAGTTGACAAACCACGAAACTCGACAACTATTCTACCATGATGTTGCAAGGTGTTGCAAAGAAGAAGTGAAAGGCCAACTTGACCTAACCTGCGGAAGCTCAGGGGCACTTACAAATGGTCGTACAACGCCACCAGGATACCTTATCGATGACACGACCACCGCCGACCAAACGCAATTATCAATCCCAGTTTGCCCAGGCAGCAAACCCGATATTGCAGGGAGAAGAAGAAGTAAAGATGCTGAACGAGGCACCATAGAAGCATGTCGAGCAGTGCTGGACACCACTGCTGGGTATCATTGCCACAAAACTCAAGCTTGTGAAGAGAAGACGCGCAACATCTGGTGACGTGATACAGCGCGATACCGGACCAAGGCGAAGGCAAGGAGGTACTTAGTGCCCGTAAACCAAGTTCGATGAGGAGTCAGAGGCAAGGTAAGCCGAGGCCCGGTGGAAACCGCTGCTGCCGGGGAATTGAATCGGAATGAAAGGGGGGTGTTTCGAGAAGATTCTTCAAGAAGAGGTTTCGAAGAGAAAGTTGAGTTCTTTTGATTAGGGACGGCCTTTATAGGTGTGCGTCATGGAGGGAGGAGGGGAAAGAGGCGGGTATGGGTAGGGGGAGGGTGAGGATGAGGGTGCCGAACCCTAACTTCCGAGCTCTGTCGGAGCCTGCCCGAGCTCTGCGGGAGCTGCACTGGGCACTATCGAGCATTACCAACTTGAGGCGGGATTGGACCTGCCTAGGGAGCGAATCCCAAAAAAACCGAACTGAGGGGAAAACCTGAGGTCTGTCAACAACCTGCGGGATCAAGGGGTCCAGTGCCTCGGGGCACGGAGGAAGGGGTTGTAGTACTCATCTCATGATAACCAAATGCCGTTGCTATCGCATAAAGCAAAGGAAACCAGAAACTGAGAGAAGAGAACAACGATGCAAACGAGGGAGCCAACCCAACCAAGAGGATGAGAAGGGCAGAGGCAAAAGAGCAGAAAGAAGAAATGACTAAAAAAAACACAGCTTTTTGGGATATCGCCGCCGCCGCCGCCTTCGCCATGTGAACAAGAAAACTCCAAGGCTATGCCGCCCATTGTATGTACACTCCTCCACAGTCCTCCATCCTCGAGACAGAAGGACCTAACCCATCTCAACAGAACCCGATCCTCTTCTTTCCCCCTTTTAGATACCACGGTTGAAAACAACCAAGCCCTCCTGACCGCCACGACCCTTGAACTCTCCCTCCAACTTGTCCGCCTCGATCTTCTGCATCTGGGGGAACGCCGCCAGGGCCAACGGCAACACGGCATAGCTGGTCACCAAGATCAGACCGAGATTGATCGGGGTCGTGTACCTCGGGTGCCTCTTCAACCACTGGGTAGCCTGGAGCCTAACCAGCACAAGAGGGGGGATGACCATGATGGGACTGCTGTTGAGCACTCTGCTGACGGCCGTCTCCGCCACGGCAATGGTGGCCGCCTTCTTGCTCTTGCCCAGGCTCTCCACGTCTCCTTCGCCCTTGCCCTCCGCAACGAGCTTAGCCTTGTCGGCGGCCGAGAGAACTGGGTACACGTCGATGCCCGTGCGCATTTCCTCGCCGCGCATGAGGAAGACGTTGAGGGCACCGGCCGAGGCGACGGCGGCGAAGGGAACCAGACGGCTGAGGATCAACCGGGTCGAAGGCGCCAAAGACTTGAGGCGCGGGACAACGCTGTTGAGACCGACGGCCACGCCGCAGGAGGCGCCAACGGCGAGGAAGTAGGACTGAGCGATCTTGGACCAGCTCAGGGGAGAAGACTTGTTGGCGTTGGAGTAGTTGATGGCAACGTTAAGGGACTGGTTGGCTACTTGCCAGGCGATGGTGCCACGGTTCTGATTGTGGGAAAGAGTCAGTAAGAGGAAGATGTAGAGGGAATGATGTAGAGGGAAGGATGTAGGGAGAAAGAGGTAAGGAGGGAAAGAGGCAAGGAGGGAAAGAGGTATGGAGGGAAAGAGGTATGGAGGGAAAGAGGTAGGGGAGAGGGGAGATTATAACTTACACCAAGGCCGGGTGTCAACATGCCAGCTGTTACGACCAAGTTGGAAAGGACGAAGCAGGACATGCGGAAGGGAAGGAAGACTTTTTCTCCGGTGTCTGTGTGCCATATTTTGTAAGCCCATGTGTCCTTTCCCCTCTTAGACTTAGGTTGTAGGTATGTCGACGCAGCGGTGCGCAACGGCATGCGTTCAGGAGTATGTCGGCGGATGAAGCATACCGGGATGGAGAGTAGAGTCGACGAGCTTCTTGGCCTGCCACAACTCGGGCGTCATGGACTTCATCTGTCCCTGCTTGTAGGAGACGAGGAGCTGCTTGGCTTGCTCGAGACCGGCATTGCCAACGAGAAGCGTCCTGGGAATATGGCGGCACGTTAGCAAGACATGCCTGTAGGTTTCGGTCTTCTTTGTCCCGTTCTTAATCCAGCCTTTCATTGCCCCGAAGTTTGCGCCAACAGGAGACGCAAATGCGCCATCTAGGCAGCATGTCCAGCCCCTCTTCCGGCCCCTTCTTTCTCCCTCCTTCCAGTCCCATCCCCAGTTTAGGTGCGGTTGTTCTCACCTCGGATCGGTAAGGCCAGCGGTATGCCTGACGCGGCCCCAGTAGGTGCTCAAGTCATACTGCGAGTCGGGAAGCGCGCGCGCGCCGGGCAGGGAGGCGGACATGTTGGTTTGCGTTCTGGGTCGGGTCCGAGAGGGTGTTTTGTCGAAGAGTGTTTGGTGTAGTGCGCTCTCTTTGCGACAACAAGAGGGCAACACGTTGGTTTCGTTTAGCTGGGGGCGGGTTGACGGCGACGATCTCGGAGACAAACAAACAACAACTTCACAACAAGCAAAGAGGAAGATAGGGAAGAAAGAAGATGGAAGTGGAATAAAAGCAAAGCGGTGTATGACTCCGGCTTGAAACAAACACTATGACAAGAGGGTTTTGTTATCTTTCCCGTCGGCTCTCCACGACCCGACTCCAGCGCAGCAAAAATAAAGCGGATCCCGATCTCGGGGATAGCCAGGTATCCCGGCCTCGATTCAGGACCCCGGAACGGGACCCCAGATGATGGCCCGTCTCACTGTCCTGCCTTGCATTCTGTACGTGTGTACTGGCTGACTGGGCGGAACTAGTGTCATGAAATGGCACAGCAGACAGTCAGATAAAGTCTGGATTCGACGTCTGCCAGCGCGGTATCGCAAGCGACTCAGCTCATGTCATTCCATGTTGTCGCGTCCAGAGTCCTGAAAATGATTGTAAAAAGAAGACGAACACCGGAGGGTTCTGAATCGAGTTGCGGGGCGGGGCAAATGTCGCGGCGGCCAGACGCGGTCCAAATCCCAAGAAACCCAAGGGTTGCACGAGCCAATGCTGATAGCGATAAGGTTGTACATAAACCGGGATTGGGCTCTTTTGATTGGCTGCATTCCCGGTCGATGATGTACTTCCTTGGATGGGCGTACGCCAGCAGGCCAGCCCCGTCATCAGTTTCCGCGATGCTTCCGCTCTCCTCCCTTCCTCTTCTTTGCTCCCGAGTTTGTTGCAGACGACACTCGTGATACCAAATTTGTTTGAAATGCTTGGGCTTCCATCAGTGCCGCTGTAAGCTTCGTTTCGTGGAAGAAGGCTACTACACACAGCGTGATATTGAACCAATGTGAAACAACCAGAGACTTGGACCATCAACATTTCCACTTGGATGCTTAGCCAGCCCAGATAGGAATCCCAGCACTATCACTTATACGGATAAACACCAAAACAAACCATATCAAACCCGCACAATGGCTCCAAACGACGGCCGACCCGGCCAACCCTTCGACTTGGGCGCTTTCCTGCTCCGCCATCTGCCCTTCTCCTCATCGACGACACCTCTGCAAGCTCTGACCTACCTCTTGGGCATCTCCCTCTTCAGCATCTCCTTCCTCGTCTTCCTCAACAGCAGCGTCTCCTTTGTCATTACCGACTTGATCGGCGTCAAGCATGGTGTCGGTGACATTGTCGGCACTCTCGGCTTCGTCGATGAAATTGTCGCCTTGATCGCCTGCCCCATCTGGGGTTTGGTGTCTGATCGTGTCGGTGTAAGACATGTTGCCGTCACCGGTTATACCATTATTGGACTTTCGCTGTTTGTGTTTGTTCAGGCTACGAATGTATATCCGCAGTTGCTATTGGCGAGGATTCTCTTTGCTGTTGGAGCTACTGCTGCGTAAGTGATATTCAACACGGTGTTCTACGACAATAGCTAATGATCATTCGTGACAAAGGGCGACCATGGTTACGGCAATCCTCCCTTCGTTGACCGACGAGACCCAGGCGCAAACAGATATTGTCGAGAACCCCCCTCTGAACCCGAGGCATAGCATAACACCGTCAGTGGCGTCTGAGGTTACCATCACCCCCGATCGGTTCCGCGATCACAGCACTTCCGAGTCTGGGTTTAGATTTGATGGCACCCAAGGGAAACCCGAAGGACGTGGCAAGCCATCTGCTCTGGCTGGCTACGTGGGGCTCTTTACAGGCTGCGGTGCCCTCGTTGCCCTCTCCCTTTTCCTCCCTCTACCAGCACGGTTCGGACAGATCAAAGGCGTCACTCTCGGCCAGGCGGTCCAATACAGCTACTACGTCGTCGGCCTCGTCTCCTTCCTCGTCGCCATCTTCGTCTTCTTCGGTCTCCGCGGCATCAAGGGTGAAGAAGGTAAAGGATTCCGGACCCTATTCGGACTCAAACAACGAACCGACGACCACTCAGCCCCCTACTCCTCCAAGCAAGTCTCCCCCTACCTGCACCTCCTCCGCGACTCGATCCGCCTCGGCCTCACTGACTCCGACATCGCCCTCGGCTACCTCGGCGGCTTCGTCGCCCGCGCCTCCACCGTCGCCATCTCGCTCTTCATGCCCCTCTTCATCAACGCCTTCTTCATCCGCAACGGCTTCTGCCAAGGCTCGCCCAACGACCCCTCCCCGGAACTCAAGAAAGAATGCCGCCAGGCTTACATCCTCTCCTCCATCCTCACGGGCGTCGCCCAGCTGATGGGCCTCCTCTGCGCCCCGCTTTTCGGCTACCTCTCCAGCCGCAAGTTCACCAAGCAGAACAAACTCAACTACCCTATCATCGTGGCCACCACCTTTGGCATCGCCGGCTACATCGCCTTCCCCCAGCTCAAAAGCCCCGAGTACAAAGACAAGGACGGCCGCGGCGGCAGTCCCGTCGTCTTCTTCCTCGCTGCGCTGATCGGCATCAGCCAGATCGGCACTATCGTCTGCAGTCTGGGCTCGCTAGGCAGGGGCGTGCTGAAAGTAGATGTCATCAACGTGATCACGCACCCGCACCGCGTGGACAGGGAGAGCGAGGTCGCTACTGTTACTGAACCGGCTGATGGCCGGGACGAGACGGCACCGCTGCTTGAAAACCCGGTAGCCTTGCCGGAGGATACGGTGTCTAGAGTGAGACTGAAGGGGTCCGTGGCGGGCGTGTACTCGTGGTGCGGTGGCGCGGCCATCTTGTTGCTGACCAAGGCTGGCGGGTACGGGTTTGATGTTTGGAGCACGGGGGCGCCGTTTTATATGATGGCTGGGTTCAATGCGATACTGTTGGTGGTTAGTTTGGGGATTGATGCGGGGAGGTTTGGGTTTAAGAGGAAGAGGGGAGGGACTATTATTTATGGACATCAGGTGCCGAGTGGGCTTTGAGTTATTGGGGGTTATAAGGTTGTATGTGGCCGGGGTAGGGATATGGAGGGGGATTGAAGTTGCTCATGATAGTTATGATATATGATTCTTTTACTTTAAATATGAAATTGTTCACGGTTCAATGGGAATGTGATGCATGATTAACGTTGGAGTATTCACCAGAAAAGTGCTGCTACGGTGATGATAGTAGACTTGAATGGTAATTCACTCCTCAGTTACTCGTCCACCCTTCCCTCTTCGCGAAGAAAAAAAAAAGAAAAAAGGGAAGAACCATGAAAATGGAAAGAAAAGGTATGTACATATAACACCGTGTCCTCCGTCAACTATCACCGATCCAACGACCGCAATAGCAATCAGTCACTCGCTAAGCTAGAAAAGTGAAAACCGAGAACAGAACTCCCGTCCGGACTTCGGCCATGTACCTACCGAACAGGTACCTACTTACAGGGTTTTCTGTACCTTACCCTGTAGGACTGGCTTACTGTACCGTCGCTCGCTGTAGGGTTAGGTTTGAGTGCCGTGGTGCATGCACATAGAGTATCATACATACCTCTACAGCTGGAGATGCGCACCAAATTGGCCGGTAACTTGCTTGATGCTGCAGTCTCCTGTGAAGTGTGAGTGAGTCCAGCTGGCACTGTGCTCTCTCAGGTCTCTTCTCTTTAAGATGTTCTAAAGGTCTTCTTCATCAAGAAGAAGAAGGCGGATTTACGAAGGTAGGTAGGATGGAATATGGGGGTCCCAACCAAACCTCTACAGAAATTTGTTAGTTAGGTTATGGCTGGTTGGCTGGCTGGCTGGGCGTAAAAGCGAATTAGCGGAGAATTCCCCAGTTGAATCTGTAGACCTAGGTAGGCACGTCTTTGAATCATATGAGGATTGAGGATTGAGGGCAGATAAATGTCTCGGAGTTAAGTATATAATAACTCTCGAGTGAGTGGGTAGGTAGGCTGGAGGTTTGTGTCAAACTGAAGGGACATACATGGTGTTGTCATGGAAGAGGGTAGTAAGGTAGATAGACGGGAGGTTACGCTGTGGTAGCTACCGGAGATTTGGATAATCTCGCGGTTTGTTTCTTGAGGTTGTGTTGGCGAGTGCATCTTAAAGACGTAACAAGAAAAGATCAAAGAGACATACACATGATCTATCCGGACCTAGGTTAGCGAGCGGTAGTTGGCTAGAAACGTCGAGTTCGAGGCTGGAGATGGAAACACAAGTGGCATCACGGGAATGAACACTTCACTTTTCCCAGGAAGACATCAAGGTCAACATGGGTGCACAGTAAACAGCCAGGAAAGTGCTGAGAAGTAAAAATCACGGATCGATATCAGTATGTGCCTTTGCCAGAGGAATCCAAAACGCTTGTTTTGATATTGCTGCTCTGTCTGATGCCCTCTGCCATATGCCATATTGGGTGCTAATCCAAAACTGGTCTGTCTTATGTCCATTCTCACGACCTTGCCATGGCCGAGCTATGTCTTAGTGCCACCTAGACTATAGCGTGTGTCTTTTTGCCCTCCAGATGGTTGCCATCCCATTCTTTGTCCGCTGTTTGATCCTGCTAAAAGAGACATATATCCTAGGTATAACGTTCAAGTGCAAGGGAAGGAAAGGGGATACGGGGAAGAACCAAGTCATACGAACGCGCGCAATTTTAACTTTCGAGCTTGAACATTTTTACTTTGTTCGATTTCGCGGTAAGTGGTGGACAGATAAGGAAAACCTCTTTCACGGTTTCGGCGTTACTTGAAACCACTTTGCCGCTAAAGGTGAATGCAACCGAACACCGACCCCATGCTGGCTGCTTTTTGTGTTATCCCAAATCCACCGCCATCCTAATTCTGACAATGCCGCCTCGAGGAGAGAATAAAGGGGTGCCGTGTGACTGAACAGTCTGGTTTCGATGTATGGTCGTTATGCCGATATTGGGAGGCATTTAGTTGCCGAGGCTGGGGAAGGCAGACTCATCGTTGGGGTTGATGGGAGCAGCCTTGTTCTCGGAGCGGGGGGCACCGCCACGGGCAGCACCACGGGGAGCGCCACGGGGAGCGCCACGAGGACCGCCACGGCCACGGCCGGCATCACCACGGGGACCACCGCGGCCGCCGCGGGCACCACCACGAGCAGGACGCTCGGGCTCGACGAAACGCTGGTCGATCTCGACGACCTGCTTGACCTTGCGCTCACGCTCGCGCTGCTTCTTGCCGGCGGAGCCAGCAATGAACTCCTCGGTCTCATCCTTCTTGAGGGGCACGGCGTTGGCCCACTTCTTGTTCTCAACGACACCCTCGTTGGCCTTGCGGACCTTGAGGGCGGCCTCAGCCTCGAGAGCGGCCTTCTTCTCGGCCTGCTGGACGAGGTACTCGGCGTAGGAGACGTGCTTATCCTCTTCCTCCTCGGGGGTAGGCTCAGCGGCGGCCTCACCCTCGGTGGTGGCCTCCTTCTGCTCAGACTTGGCGATCTCCTCGGCGGCCTGCTCATCCTTCAGCTCGGCCTGGCCCTCGGTGGCGCCCCAGGACAGGGCAGCCTGCTTCTCGGAGCCGCTAGACAGGGTGTTAGTGGACGGAGGAGCCTGTGGCTAGAAAATGCGTGACCGGAACATACGAGGGGATGGACTTGGAGTGGCGGTCGTCGCCGGGAGGGGGGCGACGGCCACCGCGACCACCGCGGACGCGGGCATTAGCACCGCCGCGGGGGGGACGAGCAGCACCCTCCTCAGTGGGCTTGCCACGGTTGCGATCGCTGCCGGCGGTGCGGTCGCGGAAAGCTGGGGCCGAGTGTCAGTTGAGATGGTAGCAATGGTTGGCATGCTGGATGGTAAACATACCGGCCTCGTTGCCGGAGGTCACGTTCTGGCGACGGCCAGAGCCCTGAGCGGGGGCCTTGGTGGGAGCGACGCCATCGGTGTTGCGCTTAGTAGTGTGGGTCGAGGTCTTCTCGACGATCTTAGCAGGGGCGGCGGGAGCGGTGTTATCCTCCACGTCGTTGCCTGAATGAGTACAATCGATCCGTCAGTATTGGTGGTTCCTTGGATTGCGGTTTCAATGTTCCTCCTCGTCCTGCCAATTTCGTGGGTGCCGTCGCGTGGCTGCGTATTTCACAGGAGAGTGGGTAACCAACCGAGCAGATCGAACAGGTTCTGTAGGAGAAAAATCGCAGTCGGTTAGTTTCTTGCTGTCTTGAGCTCTAGATTTCCGCCGTGGTGGCCGGCTGTTCTCGCTGTGCGTCTGGATTCCCATTCTCGAGCTTCCCTCCTCTTGAAGACCCCGGATTGTCGCGGAGAGCCAATATTGGCAAAATTGAAGCTCTCAGCTTCGTTTCATGGCGAGGTGTAAGGTCCATTTATCCACTGCACAGCACGCAGCTCTCGGGCGACCGTAAAACCGGCCATTTCGGGGATTGACGGGGAGGGAGATAAACACACCTTGGAAGCGACCGACATCTTTGCGCTTGACAGGACGTTGGCCTGACTCAATGCGCTTCTTCTAGACGGGGTTGGGTAGGGGGCGGACACAGCGACAACGACGTCTGATTCTCGCCGTGGTGTCGTAAAAGATTTTGGCAAATCGCTCCCGGGCCACAGGGAGCTCGGACCAGTTTTGGCAGTGGCACGGATCACATGGACGCTCGTGCCCCGCCAGCCTGCACCCAAATCCCCCTCCACGGCCCTGCTCTGGCCCTCTTGCCGCAGTTCCCCGCTTCCAACTTTGGCTGACGTTTTGGCTTTTTGGTGAAATTTCAGTGCGCCGCTGTTATTGGTGGTTAGGGCTACCACTTTGCACGCTGCCTGCCCTTTGTTACCAATGTGACGTGCGTATCGATCCGTACACGCCGTAACTTTGGCAGCTTGAGCTCTGTTACCAATCCGGCAAGTCTTGGCAGTGTTTGCTTGATATCATCGTCACCAACGTAAACAAACGACTGGAAGCAGTTGCTCCATCACCAACACCGGACGGCAGCTGCCGTGTTATATGTCAAGTTGCCGCATTCGGCCGATGTGACAGCCTTCTATGAGATCGGACCTGCCTTATGTACCCCAGAGTTCCTGTCAACGGACTTCATGTCAAGAAGGCACGCATTACCGTCGTGCTGCTAGACATCGGCCGTCATGTCTCTCTCGGGGAGGGATTACTTTGGTTGCTGTGCTTGATACTTCCCAACAGGTGCTTTACCGTGGCCACATTGGTGAGAGGCATCTCGGGCCACTTGAGCAGTTTGATATGCAGCCTGGATCTTTCACCTCCCAACTTGTACTTCTATTCTACTTCCTTTCCAAACATCTGTGGAAAGTCTTCCATATGCCATGATATACGACAGGGTCGGACGTTGTACAGATTCTGCGTGTTTGTTGAATTGCATCACCTTAAAGTCACGGCATTTCTACCTGCGTTTTCACAAGTGTGGTTTTTGATGGACTCACCCGTTGGTTTGCAAACAACAGTCATGGCAGAGAGTTGACGCTGTGGTGATCAAGCTCAAACAACAATTATATCAGGACGAATCCCGTTCGCCAGATGAAGCAGTTGCCAGTGGATGATATATCCTTGAAGATTCCCTGTTCAACACACTTATGTACTTCTCGTGGCCCTTTAACACGAAGATGGACATACACCTGCAAAATATATCTCCTCTGCCACATTCAGGACCGTGTCCTCGCCTGAAGAACGAGAGATGGTCATCAGCAATCGTCTCTTTGTCATAGGTTAGTTAAACTGAGGACTTATTTGGGGGTAACAACGAGGTTGTAGGTTGATACGGATTTTATATCCCGATCAACTGAATCCAGTTATTGCACAGATAACAAGTCACGGAGAGCCATTTCATCATGATCAATATGCAAGTCGACTTCCTTGCTTTTTGCGGAGCTCTGCAATTTGTTTCTCTCTTCATCACCTTCCTTTTCGCGATTTCACCGTATTTCTCGTCTCTTGCTTTCCACATAACATTGCGTCTTTCATGTTAGTTATGGCATATTGTTTGAAGTCAACTTACAGGTGTGGTTTAAAAAAGTGTGTCTCCGTGTTTCTTAACAACTAAGAAGGTGTCCGTGGTGTCGCAAAAGAAAGTCAGCGCATGTACCGGAAAGGAAGCATCATCTAGCCTGGTTACCATAGTTTGGCATGAGATGGATTTGCTTCAGTTGAGCTGATGTGTAGCTCTAAGGCTATGCAAAGAGTCGTTGACGGTAGGAGTCGTCCTGACCAGACATCACCATGTCCATGACTTTCACGAACTCCGTGTTAAGGAGTTTGTCAATCATTTATGTGTAGATTTGAGCCACGTTATGCACCTTATTATACGATATCTACTCTTGGATATTGGCGAGGGATGTCCGAGAAGGCTGCTATAAAGTATTTCTTACTTTATACTTCCGTTAACTGTATCAAATACGCCAGAACATTATCTCTGTGAGCGAAAGCCACAGCTCAGGCCTTGGGCAATAGGAGAGCACCCGGCCGGTAGAAGTTGCGATCAACCCATCTCGTTAACATGTACCTCTCAGGTCTTGCTTGATACAAGTGCTAGTTCACGGGCGGACAAGATATCTATTACCAGGCAAATATGCATACGGAAGCCACTTGCCAACCGCTCAAGCCAGCAAAACTGGAGGTCTCGACAACACAGCACAGAAGTAGGACACTTTGCGCCTACAAGCACTACGGCTACAACCTCAAAGATATTACACTTCAATTAGGACCACAAGCTCTACGAAGCAGCAAAAAAAAAAAGTGCTTGATTGCTGAGGGCTTGAAGGACACTCCCACTCTCGACATCTCCGCAAGGCCCAGAGTTTCGAGCTGAGCCCGCCTACTCGTCCATGATTTGTTCCAGACTGCCTAGAAAGGGGGCTCTCATCACACTCCAAAGAAGATTTTGCCTTAAGACCCCTCGGCTCTACATGGAGCTAGACAAACAAAGTCCACGAAGAAGAATGATTCAGCTGGTCAGTAGAGGTTTTAGAGACCTATCCCTTGCTTTGAGAGTTGTCCAGCAGAAGGCAGTTTGTAGTTGGGTCACGAGATTATTGGTGTGACTCATCCTGCGTTCGGCTTCCCCGGCATTATGTTCGCCAGCGTTTGAGTTGAGTTCAACCAAATCTGGTCCGCCTTCGAATACGCTTCGGTCTTCCAGATGATCTCCAATCCAAGCATACTGAAAAGAGATAGCAGGAGGTAGTATGGGTGAATGCTTGAGGGTAGGCTCGACATATATGTGCGACCACCGGTCAGCGTGTCAAGTGGCGCCTCAGCGGCACGGTCAGGATGGCGACCCGAACCTTGTCGAAGCGGATGCATGGAAGGGTTCCCGCTGCGGTTCTACTCTCGACACTCGACAGGCTGGAGGAACAGGGAAGTACTCAAACCAGAATGAGAGGATCCAAGAAAGCTCCATTCGGGCCCATCCCGTATGTTCTGGAAGCAGTCCATGTTGCAGAAGTGCTGAAGGGCAAGCCGATACGTCGCGATGGCTGGGCTGACAGAAGTCCACCGGCTATGTGGTCGCCTGATCGTTCCTTCTGCACACGGCTATCATCGGCACCTCCACCAGAAGTCACTATCCACACTTCCACAGGCAGGCAGCTTTCCGATGTGGAACTGAGGTTTCACTGGAATGGAAACAACACTGCGGATCCTTCATTTGACTCCAGTCATTCCCGTACCTACCCCGGGGACAGTTCCTTCTCTTCCGGTGGTCACAACAGATGGCTGGCCAGCTGAGTCCAGACTATGCAGTGAGCTGCACGCAGGACTCTCGCGCAGGGTCTTCTTGCAGACGGGTATGCTAATATTGAATGGAGTATCTATGTGTCATTGTTTACCCTATGGGCTACAGCACATGGCATGGGTGGAAGCATCGTACCCATCATCTCCAGAGTTAAGGACTTGGTATCAGCAGAAATATACTGTTTGTCATAAGGGGGACAACTGTGTAGGACTATATCCAGCCTTACAGCATGTTGAGATACAACGTTGTGTCTCAATATCAACCCAGAACCAACAACGCCAACTTGGCTGCTTCACTGAAGACCTGAAGGTATTCTTTCCAAGTAACACCAACATGCCATAATGCTAGTCCTAGGCCCAGACACTCTCTAGAAGTTGCCAGAAGGCAAAATGATGAAACTTCGGGTCTGAGGAGAACTGGAAGACGTCCTGAAAACAGCTATTCTACACGAAGTAGTCTATGGGGCACCCACCCCAAAAGAAGTTTCGAAGCTTCATCACAAAAAGGCTAGTTGACAATCATGATAAACCGATCACCGCTAGACTCAATGGGTACCGGTCCCAAATGCCTTTCTTTCCTAACTGCGTGTGTTTGATCGTGTTATGCCATCGACTGTTCCCAGAAGTATCACATGGTTGTCTTCATCATGACCACAATATCTAGGTATTGCACAGGAAATAACTCCCGACTCCTCCTCACTTTTGAACACATATCACTACCTCTAACTCCCTCTACCCTTAAACATAACCTTCAACCGTGAAAGGAATTCATCGATGGCGTGAGGGGAAAAAGATCCAGAGTCAAGTCAAAGTGAAAAAGAATTCGTAACGCTACGTTTAATATAGCTAAAAGCCCAAGCTAGTCTTTCTCCAGCTTTGGTTGCTGAATTATGACATGAAACTGAGCAAGGCCATTATGGTTTGCTTTCCAAACTCTGGAAAGATATTTGGAGGGTCTGTATGTTCTCTTCGAACATTCTCGTGACATTCGGATTCACTTCTGTTCGCCTTGAGATCTTTTCATGCCTATACATCGCCGACGAGGTATTGAATACACTCAGTCACCAGGCACCTACAACATCGCTCGTTCACATTTGTTTACTTTTCCAACCCCCAACTCCCAATCTATTCATTCACTTGGCGGCTCTCATCCACTGCTGCCAACCTCACATCACAATGATCACATGTCATCCATCCTCCATCCTCCATCTTGTTTACAGTACTCACCCCTCTATCCAACCTTGGCAGCCAACTCAGCATTCCTCAGCTCCTCCCATCTCCTCCTTGACCCCTCGCAGCCTCGGCGGGCGCCCCCCACCGTTCCCCGTTCTCCAGCCCCCGTTCCCGTCCGTCTCCGTCCTCAGCCCCGACCCCCGGTCCACCGGGGCGCCGCCAGTCTCCACAAATCAACCGGACCCGGACCTCGCTTTGTTGATCTCCACTTCGCCCGGTCCGGGTCCCATGTCTGCAAGAAAAAAGGAATTTTTGCGGGCTCCAGCTGACGCAAAAACAAAAACAAACACGGTATGGATCCAGCAGGAAGAAAAACGGTTATCGCAGCCCTGTAGGTTTCGGTGATAACAACCGGGAGAGGGAAGGGGTCCGCTATTTTAGGCGAGATCTTCTTTTTGCGCGTGAGGTGGGACTTTGTGATGAAAGGCCTAGTAGCCGGCTTTATTGCCGGACGAGGCTTCCCTGACTTTTCGAGAAGGGGACTTCGTTGCTGCTTTGGGCTTGGTGAAACGGAGTGCCGGGGGGGGGGGGGGGGGGGGCTGGAGTGGGAAAAGCGTAGGGGACAAGAAACAAAAAGACAAACATGCAAAAATGTGGAAGACGAACACCTCAGAAAGTTCGGAAACCTTCAATCGTGAAGGGCGCATTTATTGCTAATACAATCCCTATTAACCATCATAGTTAAGTAAAGGCCGAGTACAAAATAATCAAATAACGCCGTATTGTTAATATAATCCACCAGACCTCAAAAGGCGGTATCAACTTGTCAACTTCCAAGTCCACCACACCACAGGGAACCACAGAATTTATCTCTTTTTTACCCATCCCATGAACATTTAGATCGCCAGACAAGACTGTACAAAGACTGGATCTAGATTCATTGATCGCCAAGCCGCTTGGCCGTTATCAACCCATTCTCCATTTTCTGTTTTACCACCAACCGCTAGCAGCTGTCCGTTCGTCAATCCATGCCATGTGTCGTTTCGGGTTTCTTCTCGACCGGTACCGGTCCGTTTATCTGCACACGGAGTACCGGCCCGTAGCTTGGGGAGGAGTTGGATGTGGAGCGTGCACGCTCCGATGACAAAGCCGGTCAGGAAAGAAGAGTCTTGGCCCGTTACGTACGCGTCTCCGCCGCCGTTGCTGGCTGCGGTCTTGCGGGTTAGGTAAATTTGTGAGGCCAATCATTTGATGTGATGTGGTGTTAATGACTCTATAGATATGCGAGTTCAATATGTTTGTTTGTTGACTTTTGTTGTTATTTCTTGGTGGTTGTTGTGCAGTAGTAGGTGACGCTGGCTGGTATGGCTATTTACATCAGGTAGACGGGACTCGGGGTAATGTAAACAACACTTCCTGCTCCCCATGGCCCGGTTGTCATCATCTGCCGTTGCCTCGACTGTCTCGTGGTATTTCCTCCGCACCTTGTTCGTTTTTAAAGTTCCGTATATCGTCATCGTGATGACAAGTTGAGTGTCATGCTCCGCCGTTCCCCCATTTTCCATCCAAATTGCCGGTAGCCCAACAGAAACTGACGGTTAGAAATATCAAACGCCCAAACCAGACACCATGCTTTTTGTCGAAATTGCGAAAACTCCTTTTTCCTTCTGTGATACGAATCAAATCATCCTATTTTCAAGAACATTTTCGTTTTCTGGTAGAGATACAGTGAAAGTAGACGAAGACAAGATATCAAAACATCCTGACATCACCAAAAGCCAGTTGCCATTCACAAACAAAACCTCGAAAAATTATCCAAAAGAGAGAACAGAAGAGTGGGGAGACGGGTTTCTCTCTCCCATAAAAAAGACAAAACCCGCTGATTGTGAATTTTACCCAGTGCTAAATGCTTCACGGGTATCTTTTTAAAACATTAACTTTTCCGGTCGTACTTTTGTTGTTGTTGTGTCTTCTCGCGTTGTCGTCGTTCGTCCGAAGCGGCCGTAGTGCCCACCAAATTTTTGTAAACCTCCTTTCTCCATTGCTGTGCAATTGCTGATCCGGCTAAGTTGTGCTTGTTGTGCCGGTTTGTCGGTCCTTCCAAAATGTCGAAATCCAAACAGATGTGTGTCGAATCGAGTCACGGTGAAACCCATGACACCCCGCGATCCCTCCCTAAACCATACCAATATCCTCCTTTCTATCCGTCTCTTTTACCGCATGTTGCTGGTGTCGAACGAGAACTGTGTCGGAAAGGCCATGCTGGCACTCAAACCGAAAGGATCGCCAAAGTCGTATTGGTGGTCGAGAAGCTGGGCCATTGGCGGGTACGCAGGATGCTGTTGATGGGAGCCGTTTTCGATCGGTGACTGCTGGTTTCCTTGAGGACCGGTGGTGACAGGGGACGAAAGTGACATCGCCTGGGGGTCGCCGCCGTATGCTTGGCCGGGGTAGGGGCCGGGTCCGCTTGGAGTATCGGGGGTCTCGCCGGGGTCGTCCATCATGTCGGCTGCGGCGTCGTACTCCTGTTCTGAATTACGGAATGAGCCTAGGACGACAAAGTTCTATTAGATGGGGAAAGGGGAAGGAAGAAAAGAAAACGGGTCAGCTTGCCGAGTTGTTCAATATGATTCTGGAAGGAAGGCGTGGGGTAAAACGAAGTCGTGTTTCCGCCAATGCTATTCCTCATGTGGTTCTGTCCTTGCTGAAGTCCGGGCATCTGCATGTGTCGTTGTTGCTGAGCTAGGCCGGGCACTCCGTTGCCCAGTTGCGACGGCGGGTGAATCTTCAATGCCGAGGCGGGTGGAAGATGCGGTCGGATCGGGGGAATCATGCCGTCGGAAGTGGCCGGTGATGCGCCGCTATGAGAACCAAAGGTTGCTGTCGTTGATGGCGAGGCCGAATGCGATGATGGTGTTGGCCGACTCTTGGGCGATAGAGCTGATGCGTGAGAATGAACCGGAGGTGGCAGGGGAGAGATGGTGATTCCGGGCTCGAGTTTAGGGGCGATGCTCGACTGCGATCTACGGGCATGTCTGTTCAGGAGAGCCCGCTGAATCGGCGGCTGCTGTACCAAGTTCTGGGGCATATGAGTAGGTCCGAGATTTGGACTGCCCGTCTTGGCATGGAGCTCTGCTTGAACATCAATGCCTGAGAAGGAGAGAAACTAGAGTTAGCAAAGCAAGACTGGTGATGCGGGTCCCCCAAAAAGGGGTGTAAACAAAAACGCGAACATGGGAAAGTCGTAGACAAAAGTACCTTTCTCAAGGAGGATGCGCTCCAAAAGCGAATTCTTGTAACGAAGCATCAGACATTCGTCAGCGGCATGTCGGTGGGCAGCTTGCAGATTGGCAAGGTTCTGCTCGTGGGTGCGGATAGCATCTTCAAGCTGCTTGATGTACTCAGTCCTGCGCTCACGGAATGCAGCTTGAGCCTGACGGTTCCTCTGCTTCCGTTCCTCGGAGGTGGCATAGATCTATACACATGTTAGGAAATTATTCACCACTATTTACGTCCGCAAGAAAAATAAATAAAGTCAAGATCTTACCGGCTTGCGACCGCCTTTGCGCTTGGGCTGTTGGTTTTCCTGGGGAGCGGCGGTTGTTGTTGTGGCACCTGTATTTTGACGATTGGCCTCACCAGCAGGTGCCTCTCCCTCTCTCTCTCTCTCGGGGCTGGACTCCATTTGCGAGTCTTCGCTATCGTCTTTGGTGGGATCGTGCTTATCGATAGACATCTTGTCTGCCATGTCCTTTCCTTCCCTGATTGTACAGAATAGTTGCACTGGCAGACGTTGTGTGTTCTGCCAGTGAGAGTGTATGATGTGTGTGCGTGTGCGTGTGAGCGTCTGTGACTGTGACTCTTGTGCAAGGTACTCCGTAGTAGAGGGCTCGGCAGGGGGGTTCGGTAGTGGTGTGTCTTTGTTGATGCGGGGCCTGCCCAGGAGCAGCAGATTCGGGGAAGAACCTAATGCGGGTTGAGTGCCAACGTGTGCTGCACCACGGCACTCCTCGCCCGACAGCGAATGGGTTTTCGATATGGGATGGCAAGACACGCCCAGGTCTCGGTTTCTCCTCTCTCTCACAAGTCCCCTCCTGCTAAAATTCTCCGAACAAGATGGACTGGTCCAGGGACAGCTTCGGGAACCAGGGATGATGGCGCCAATCAGTGCGTAATGTCGAATCTGAAATCTGGGGAATGGGGGTAGGATCCGACAGTCTGGGACCGGCGATAAGGTAAGGCAGAGAGCGTCTGTACGGAAAAAGGGGGTTGGAAAATCAAAACAGTCCCGCGTTCCCCCGGATTCCGTGTGTCAAGGCTCGACTTGAAGACGGTTTTTTTGGAGGGCCAGAGATAAGCTGAAGGTCGATGACAGGTTGCGCATGTGTAAAGAAAAAGAGAAGAATGGGAGGGTTTTATGTAATGTTAATCCCCCTGGTGGTGGGTGGAGGGTCCGCAAGCCTCCGCCCATGTCCACTGGATTCCCGCTGGATCCTCACTGGATGTCGTCCACAGGGCCCCGGGGGTCATACCCTAACCTACCTCAATGGCCCGCATACCGCCGCTACACTAGGCCTTGTTTGGCTTGTCCCTCGAGCTTGTCACTCGCGAAAAAAAGACTGGAGGAAGGGAGCCCCGCCGGCAGCTTGAGTTTGTGGTCTGGTGAGTCTGGCCAAAGACAAATATCCAGTGTCTTCCTACCCCCGAGACAACACAGGACCGCCTTCCAGCTCTTCCTGGGACCAAAATGGGTCACCTGCGCCCGTTCTGTTGGATGGCACAGATGGCCACCATTGCCCCTGACGACACTAGCCCGGAAACCATATGGCTCCATCGACTCCCTGGACGACCGACGTTGACGCCCCGTTCCACCCCCAGCCTCCGAACGCATTCTTCCACGTTGCAGGCTTCCCCAGACGAAAGTTCGAAACATCAGCAACGGCTTCTCTCTGGGTACGGCTATGTTCCGTAGTGGCTACCGTACCTGGACCCCGCGGCCCTCAGCAAGCCTTTCCCGTTCGTCCTGGTTCCTCGTGTTTTCCACATCGACGGATTTTGCTTGGCTGCCAGCCCGCTCCCCACAGTGGCATCTGGCGGACGAGTTCGTCTGGAGCCAATGGTGCCTGTCGTGTTGTAAAGTGGAATTCCGATACCGCTTTGGGAAGTCTTTCTGCAGCACCCGCACCATCAGACGATTCGAGTTGCGTAGGCTTGGCCGGCCGGCCGGCTGGCTCTCTGTCTTCCGTTGTGCTCGTCTCCAGCTACCGTGTACCTCGATGGCTGCTTGTCGTTACATACCAGCAGCTTTGGTCTGTTTTGCTACAGGAATGCCGATAAGGCTGGGCAGGTTTCGTTGTTAGATCTCGGAACTTTGCGTACGGAGATCAGGCTGTCTCTACTCCCAATGATGGTTTGTCTAAGAGTGTTAAGATGATTTGGCACAGAGAAATCATAGACCAGGTACCGTGACAGGTCGCATGAACCGTCTCAGGAACACGTTGTTAGTGCGATGTTCGCCGGAGCAAACCACGCAAACATCCGAGCCAACTTGAAATGGCAATGCCTACAGGTTCCGGCTCGCAACTGGGCTATGGGTTGCTGTTCGTTTCTAAGTCCTTACTACCCATTGTTGGTTGCATTCTTATGAGCCTCCTTCGTCACCTCAAACGATGGAGCAACTGTCGAAGGCAGATCTGGCCTTGGGTCGTGGCGTGTAGGACTCTAGGACTACTCGCCTCTGCAATGTTCTTATGGTTCGGATGTGTGAAGCAGAATCGATCGAGTCTTTGGTGTCGAAGAGTTCTCGCTTCTGGAACAAATTCTTGGCCACATTCCGATGACGCATCTCAGGCCGTTGAAAGCCGTACAATTTTTTTCTTTTCCTCCAAGAGGGGTATAGAGACACGTATTATGGATGAGGTGGTGTCTCTCACCAACAGGCAGCTCAATACGGCAGTGAGCTTCAAGCTGCCATGAAATCGCAGCTTACACCTGGCTTGTGTTCCCAAAGTCTGCAGACAATGACGTCCGTCTGAACAAAAGTAACTCGCATTTTGAGGAGGTTGCCAAAACCTTTGGACTGAGGTTGTCAAGTTGTCAAAAGCTGTCAGCGAGATCGGTCTCTCCACAGCGGGCGGTGGGAGGGGAACAAAGGGTGGGAGGTGTGGTATTGCAGGTTTCATGCATCATTGGCGCCCCGACCTTGAGGGGCATATTGCGGATCGGTAGCGGAGCTAGCGGAGCCACGTTCATGTCTGTTGAAGTCCCTCGCCTTGCCAAGGCCCCAATACCCTCAAAATTTTCCATGGTCACCTGAGAGGGCCCACCAAACAAGCGGGCACGCTACTGGCAACTTCCGCCCTGACAGCTTGATCCTTCCATTGTGGATCGTGATATTGGGGAATAGTCTCTGGTTCATGTGTGGCCTTGGAGAATGGAGAAAGGAAAAAGGTTCTCGTCCATTGTGGTTGCTGCTCGTTTGATATTGTGAGTGCCAGACATTGAGCCAGCGAGTTGGCTGTTCAAACTGCTGCTCCGGTTACTCTCCAGGACCCCTGTCTACAACGTCGTCTAAGTGCTCTACGTTTGAAGGTTGTGCAGCGGGCTTCGACCACACATTTTGCTTGGCGAACTCGGTATCGTCTCGGCTGCTGTTCTGAGGGCACGCGCCGAACTCCGTAACGGGTCCGGACGGGCCAGGTGACACATTCAGGTCAATATGTTTGAATCCAGTAAAAGAGTGCATAGAGAATGCAGTGGCTGTTGAAGTGTAGGAGATTCCAATAGGACCGGGAAGTGGTGGGAAAGACTTGAGATGAGTGATGCCAAGGACCGATGAGTGTGATTGGTTACCCTACCATTGACCGGATGAGCTGCGGCGTTTTTGGGGCTGACTTTGGCGCCGCGGGGAACACGAAGGTGCACAATTGTGCGTGCATAAAGAGGAGAAAAAAGCAACGACAGTTCTCCAACTCGGGATTAAAGCCCCTGCTTGAGGTGGTATTGGCCAATGCAAGTTTCTCACTCTGGCACGCTTCCCTTCCCACCTGAATTCTCAGACGCTTCCAGGTTGCTGACCAGAGTCCGGCAAAAGAGAGCTTCAAAGTGGACAATGGGGTAAAGCAGCGAACTGCATGCGGGAGTCCTTGTCATGGAAGTTGTACCCGTGGGATTACCCTGCCGCGTTGTGTGCAATGCCTGGAACAAAATCAGGACAAGAACAGTCCAATGGGGGGACAAACAGAATTGGCGGGGTAGACAGCGAATCAGCACGGATTCCCTTGCAAAGTTTGTTCTTTGCATCTCCGAGGAGATGATGCCTGATGGTGGTTTGGTGGTGGGAGGGTGGCTGTTGCCCGGTGCCGGCGTTGGTGCTGTTGGGTGTTGGTAGGTCTGGGCGAATCAAATCGGACCAATTGCGTCCGAACTCGCTTGAATAGAGCCGCGTTGTCGGACTCGAGAACGTCATGGCACTTTCCGGAACCAGACTGTGACGGACCGGGAGTTGTGATGGAAAAGTTGTGTTTAGTGGCGTACTGGATGGCTCGACTGGACGACTCGACGGGATGTTGGGACGGGTACGAGTCTGAGTGAGGGTGATGGCTCGCTTTTATAACGCTTTAGAGTCTGAAGCGATCTGGCCGTGTCCAAATACTTGATAGACTCCCCACCTAGAAATTTTCCACTTGTATTAGCGTTGTTAGTCGCAACATCGTTGATTTTCCTCTGAGTCTTTTTAGCGCAGGACTAGAACGTCAGCGAAGTCTGTCATAACTCATAATTTTCAACAACCGAACCCGCGTGTGATGAACCACTGAGGAATTGCGGCACGGCCGACACTGACTAAGAGGACGGCCCGACAGATCTTCAATGTAACCCACGCTGGCACGTAGCATGCACAATAGGCGAGATGCGACGGAGACCACCGTCTGCAGGCCTTGAGGACTTGAGGTGATGGAACGTTTTGTTCCAAGAATTGCGCAAGTTAGAGGAAGCTGGTCATCCACACCTGTTGGGTTGGTGTTGCTTTGAGTGTATGGCTGGCTGGTTGCGGTTTCGGAGCAGAAGCCTGGAGATGTATGTGTAGATGTACTGGCCCTTCTTACCATAAGGCCGTCATTGAAGGAGCTGGTCCTGGCCATGGTGTATGCCACAATCCCAAGTTGCAGTCTGACATAGCATTGCATGTTGTGATGTATGTAGCGCAAAGTTTGAAGGGTTGTTGAACGTGCATGCGTGGCACAGGAGAAGGTCTCGCCAGATGTAATCGCAAGTCGGTTAAGGTGATGCGAAAAACAATCCCATTCCGCCGAAGGCCGTTGACAATGGCAGGATATCGATCCGACTGCTGATCGGAAAGGGTAGGCGAGATACTGAGAGCAAGCTGGCCATGGAGCCGGGCGACTAGCTGTGCATCCTACTTCGTCTTTCTCGAATCCCGACCTTGAAGTCCTAACATCGTCTCTTGACGAGATCAATTCGTGATATCGAGTAGTTTAGTTGTAGCGTTGTCCGGTGCTTGAGACCACACTACTCCGTTGCTGGTCATGAGGAGGTGAAACCTGTTCCATGTGCCTGTTTCAGCAAGTGAAAGGATGCTTTTCCAACTCTGCTGTTTCGGTGCCAATATTCGGTCGCGATAGTGATTACTCGGTCCATGTGTTGCTAGGCCATGACGACGGTGTCTCTTTGGCGGGAAATCGAGGTTGACGACATGACGACGAAAAAGCAAAAGACAAGTGAAGCCTTCAAGACATTCATATGGGCTGAGAAGGGGACCGCAGAATTCCGGCCTGCCACTTGGGTTGTTGCTGAAGTTCTTTGTAGGGCACAGAACCGATACCAGATGACGAGAGGTTGAGATTGAGTTGAAGAGAGGCATCACTTTTGGAGAAGAAAAGATTTTTCAAGTCAAAGTGAAGAAGTGGTTAAGATAGGAAGGTGCATTTAACTTGTTGATGAGCTCGGAAAACGGAAGTTGCGTTGGATAGGTACAGTGTCTTGACAGGTTTCCACTGTGCAACCACGGTGCAATCACGGTGCAGTGGTTTGTTTACACTGCTGCGTCTCCCGTCTTGCAAACACACAACAACAATCGCTCCACCCCACCACTGCTGGGCTGCTGCTTTCGCTTGCCTCTGCCCAACCTCGACCTCCTCTTTTCTTCCCGCCCTTCTTTGATCTGCGACTGACATCATTTCAACCCCTACACGTCTCAATCTCTCTTAGCCTTCTTCGCATTTTCCATTCCCCATCGCCGCCCATCGTCGCCTTGCGCATTCCAACCGCCTTCCAACCGAAATCACACGACGCACAAAAAAAGAAACAAGCCACTTCGACAATCGTCGCGAATCTCTGCATTGACCAGCTTTGTGTAAAAGGATGACGCGCCGTTCTGCACGATTAGCAAGCCTGTCCCAGGTACGAGCTCCTCCAATTGTCGCGTAAACAAACCTCAAACAAAGCAGCGAATACCACCTATGATCCTATCTGCCCGTGCTGTGTCCTGTTGCTACCATGCCGCCGCTATTACGACCACCACCTCTACCAACACCGTCGCCGTCGCCGTCGCCGTCGCCGTCACCAACACCCTCCTCCGTGCGTGTGCTAACCTTGCCTCTCCGATCCCAGGCGCCAGAGTCTCCCGTCAAGGAAGCTTCATTAACGTCTACCCTTCACTCCGTCTCCGAAACCCAGAGTGGTGCCGAACCAGAAACCCTCCCCGCGCCTCAACGCCGCAAGAGTCGCGCCGCAGCCTCGTCACCAATGCGCGTCCCTAGGACCCCGGGCAAGTCGTCGCCCGTCAAACTGCCCATGTCCGAGATGCATCCCAGCAAAGTCCATCCGACCATGGCCCACGCCCCTTCGTCTGGCTTGCGCTTGGGGTTTACTGACATCAAGCCAACCGCCAACCGCGACGGCGACCTTCCGGCCATCGCCCAGTCTACCCCCACAAAGATCTCGGTCCCACAGTCCGACTTCACCTTCCGCCGTGTCGCCCAATCAGCAGCCGGCGTAGCCCTCAGTACCCAAGCTCAGAGCATGATGGAGGACATCCGCAAGGAAGCCGAGAAGTACAAGGACGAGATCCGCCTGCGCGAAGCCGAAAAGGAAAAGGAGGAACAGGCCAACCGCAAGATCGCAAAGCCTACCGGCAGGAGAGATCGCTTCAGCGAAGTCCACATGGCCCAGTTCAAGAAGATGGACTCGATCGAGAATCACCCCTCCGTCCTCCGGGCGACCAAGGGCCGCGTTCCCGATCCTCTCAAGAAGGGCGTCAAGCGATCTCAGTCCAAGGCGAACCTCGACGACATGGACCCAAGCCGTCGGTCCAAGGAGCCCACTCCGACAACTTCTGCCGCCAAGGCCAAGGATGAGGACGAGGAGGGCCGATCGCCTGCGAAGCGTCTTCGTCAGAACAAGGAAGATGATGTCTCCAAGGGTCGTGCCATCATCCGCGATGCCGCCAGCTCCATCCCCAAGCCTAAGCCTGCTTCGACCATTCCTCGGCCCAAGTCTGTCCGCCAATCCATCATGAGCCCCACAAGATCCTCTCTTGCTCGGTCAACAGGCGCAAGAACCGCGGTACGACAGTCGTTGTTCAAATCCCCCGCCAAATCGATCCAGAGTGCCTTGCCTCGACCTGCCACTGCGAGCAAGCTTTCCACCCTCAAGGAAGAACCTGCCAAGAATTCCGCGAAGCAATCCGAGACACAACCTGAGAAGCACGCTGAGAAGCAGGCCAGCAAGGAGATTAAGCAACAAATCGACACCGAGAATAACGAAAAGGAAACTCAGACACCCCAGCAGACCCCCCGCGCTGATGTCAAGACTCCCACGAGCCGAATTGCTAGCGCCAAGTCGATTCTGCGGAGCACCACGACTACAAAGATCCCTCTGCCCGCCTCTTTTGGCTCCAAAACACCCACGTCCAAGACCCCGACTGCATCGCGTACAGAGGAGACCGCTACCTCGGCTCCTCTGACTACACCAGGCGGAGGGCTCGCCAAGTACGTGGCCTTCACTCCTGAGACGCAGCGCGCCACCGTCGCTCAAGCGCTGAGGTCCCCCTCTCCCGTCAAGCTGGCTCTTTCCAAGTCCCAGCCCCGTAAGGTGCACGGCGAAGTCTACTACCCTTCTTTGGACGCCATCCTGCGCGAGGAACAACTCGACCGGGGTCTTCTCTACCCCAATCTCCCCGAGGAGACTGAAGCTCGCCCGGTCCAAGAGCCCTCTGCCGTGAAGCAGTTCAAGGCTGACTCCACAACAGTTGGGACATCGTCGGCTTCCAACTCCTTCTCGTTCCGCAGTGAACGCACCCTCAACTTTGAGAGCGTGCCCCGCCCATCGTTCGGCGCCTCCCCGGGGCAATCTACCATTCGCCCTGTTCGCCCGTCTCTCCTTCCGACTGTGTCCGAGTCTAGCATGCCCGGTAGCTTCCCCGACCCAGAAGAGCAGATGTCACCCGTGGTGTTGTCAAACAACAAGGAGAATGAGGCTCCAGCGGACCCGTCGCCCATCTACCTCGCTCTGCCACACGGCCTCGCCACCAAGAAGCGCAACCGTGTCAGCACCGATGAAGAGGAACTGGAGATGGCCGAGCGCGCTACCAAGAGACAAAAGCAGGAACCGGTGCCGGAGGGCGATGCCCTTCTTGCCCCGAGACTGGTAGGGGCCAACGCCAGTGCCAAGAAGCCGGCTGCAGCGCCGGCCAAGAGCAACGGTGCCAGAAAGAGCATTGCTCCTGTGAGCCCTCGCAAGAGCCTTGCTGCTAGAAAGAGTCTTGCTGCTGGTGCCAGGAAGCCCGCCACTGCTTCGGCTTCTGCAACTGCTGCTAGCAAAGAAAAGGAGTCTCACGAAAGTCCGGTCAAGAAGGCGGCGGCCAAGATCAGTCTTAGTAGGTTGAATCAGCTCGCCAGGCCAAAGACCCGCAAGTGAGGGGCAGATCGGCGCTTGAACTTGGACTGAGAGGCTTGACTTTTGTTGCCCTAATTTGGCTTCAGCACTGCGGGCCACGACTCGTACTGTCACCTATTCTCCAATTCTCCCTTGTGTTCTTATGTACGGTTGGATTGGCAGTCTGTATCGATTTTCCTACTTTGTACTTATGGACCTTGCCCCCTTGTTTCTCGTAGTTTCCTCGGGGAACTTCAGAGGAGGACCCACATGACTGTGTTATGTATCTGTTCGGCTGGGCGTGGTGCTGTTATTATTTTCACATTGCTCGATCTGTCATTCTAGGGTTAGAAAGGGCGTTGGCTGGTAATGGAGTTGATGTGTATATGGACATGGTTACAAATAGGAGGAGGCTTTGATATTTCGCCCGCCAGTTTCCTTTTGTGGCTATTAGTTTTCTTGCGAGTATTGCTGGAGTGTGGATATAGGTTTTATTGTAGGATCACCTCAGCAAGCTGAAAATATTGTACTTTCTATTACACTTGAGTAGCTCTTTCCTCGCCATGCCTGTTCCCGGCGTGTGATTGAATCTGCGGGGGCTCTTGCCAATGTTGATGTAGGTCAGTATTTCCCGACCTTTGCTGTAAACACGAGCTGACCTGGAGGCTTCAAGCTGGACAAAACCCACGGCACCATCATGTGTTATTCTCGATGAGAAGCCCGGCAGAGTATCTGTTTTGACCGAATTTGACATTGAATATTCGCTCGCTTTCAGCCGATCAGCTTCCATATTTACCAAGCATCAACCAACACACATCCGTTCAGCATAGAGTTCAGCATACGTAGAGGTACTACTCACCTTAACGTACGCTCAACAAACATTCGTTTCTAGCACCTGCACCCACCAACAATAATTATCACAGACTTCGAGTAACAGAAGATGTGAACGCCACCTTCACTTCCCACTATCCAAGAGCTATCAGATACTTATTAATCTGCTCCTCACTCGCCAATGCCAACGAACAGGACTTTCAAATGACGACACTGACCTTTATAAACCCCAACCTCGCTCACAATGTCCTCCCTTCCCAGTACCCAACCACAACAACCCCCTCCGCGCCGACCCCTCAACATCCAACGGAGACCCTCGACAAGAACCCGAGACACAAACCCACCAAAACCACCTTCCCGCTCTTCATCCTTTTCCTTCAGCAACCGTACCTCATTCTCATCCATCGACTCAGCCATTCACACCCACCACCGTGATCCAACCTCCAAATCCAAATCAAGATCCAACAGCAGCGGCGGCGGCGGCATCCATAACCCAGTCCCCACCACCACCACCACCGCAGCGACCAGCACCCTACCTCCAGAACAACAACAATCATTCACCTGCACCTTCTGCTGGCGCCTCTACCCTTCCTCCGATCGGCACATGTTCCATCGCAGCAGCACCTCTAATGGAAGAGGCACAGGCAGCTGGAAAAAAGAAGCACCAAGACCAGCCTGCCCCCCCTGCTACCGCGCCATAATCGATCTGTCCATCTACTGGGTGTGCGGCGAAGTAGTCGTGCGCGGAGAGGAGTGCGTGAGTCTGGGCTGGTGTTTCTGGCATAGAGCTTGTTATGGGTGTTTGTTGTGCGGGAATAAGAGGGTGGTGAGACCGCCGGGGGTGGGGGTTGGGGTTGGGGAGGGTTTTGGGGATGCCCGGACGGGGGAGAATAATGATGGAAAGAAGGGGGGAAGGGAGTTGGAGATGTTGGGAAGGAAAAGGGGGAGGGAAATTGATCAGGTGCCGCTTTGTAAGGGATGTTTGGTTGAGGTTGAGGGAAAGGGGCTTGGGCTTGGGGATGAGGAGGAGAGGGAGAAGGTGGTTGTGAAGAAAGGGTTGGAGAGGATTGATAGAGTGGATGGAGGGTTGACGAGACGGAGGTGGGAGATGAAGGAGGGGGAGAAGGAGAAGGAGAAGGAGGAAAAGAAGATTGGGGATGGCGGTAAGGGTGGTCTATTGCCGTTGAGGAGGGGGGCAGTCGATGACCGGTCTTTGACGAAGGACGAGATGGCTTCAAGCCCTGGTTCTGATAAACCCGAGACTATCTACGTCAACATTTTTGACCCTGTTGGGCGAGAGGCGTTCAGACCTAGCTTGATGAAGTCGATTCCGGAGTGGATGCAGTCGGGAGCGCGGGAACATTTGGATCGCGAGGCCGGATCTTCATTACCTGTCAACTTGGATCATCAAAAACTCAGAGAACAAATGGCTGACCGCGCAAGCACAATATCGACGCCGCGACCCATTAGCCAAGGCTTATCAGAGACTTCGTCCACTGCTACGGTTATTCAAACACCACCTCAGCCGACAGCTTCTCGCGCTGCGTCAACCCGTCGACGATCCGGCGCAATCTCGCCCCGAGCGACAAGCCCAACGCCATCCATTGATGCTATATCCAGGGCTTCCTCAGTCCGCACCGGAACTTCCTTCGTGAGCGAGCAACCGCTCGTCGTCCCCTCCATGTCCTCCAACCATCCCAAAGAGACAACCAAGGGCCCAGCCAAAGACACCAGAGACTCATGGCTCTCAACGGACTCCAACGTCTCCTCCAACCCGAATACCTCCTCCTACAACAACAATCAGCCGGAAACCCTCTCCCGTCCCTCCGCCGTCCGAAGCGTCGCCACCATCTTCGAAAGAGGCATCGCAAGCAAAGACCAGCGCCACACACCCGTAAACCAACCGCTCCCTCTCCTACGCATCCTCCAACAGCCCTACCGTCCACTAACTCCCACCCGCTCCGACACGAGTCTTTCCTCTTCTTCTCCTCACCTTCAGCCAAACAACCTAGCAACACGACCGCAAAGAGCTCAGACCCATGAGCTTGGTGCAGCAAGTCTGCCGAAACCAATCCAGATCTTGAGAAGTGGCCAGGCAGGAAAACAATCACAGATAAACCGAATGGGTTCTGCGACGGTGTCGATTCCAGTTGTGTCAACTAGCTCCGAGTATCTGGAGCGGTATCAACCTGTCAAGGCTTCTACAATTTTTCTTTCTTCTTCCTCCCCGGCACAGGGGGCTCGGTCGTCGGTACGCTCGATTCGGGCGGGTGGACCGGGAGTGAGCGCAATCACGAGGGGGTGGGAGGGTCAACTCAGTAACACATCTTCGTCGGGAGAAACTGAGAGAGGGGACTTGGCAAAACGGCTTCCGGTGTACTCGACTTCTCAACCACCATCGTCTTTTGTGCAGTCTTCGTACACAAAAGAGGGACAGACAACTTCTATCCGGAGGTCTGTGTCCCATTCCATACGCCAGGAAGGGGCTCTTGATGAGGGACAAGTGAGAATGGGCCAGTCTTCACCATCGGAGACGTATACAAATGGTCAGGGGCAGATAACCATCCGCCGGTCGATCTCGCACTCTCTCCGCCGTGAGGGAGCTCATGATCAAGGACAAAGTCACCACTTCACATCCCAACCTCAGTCACCCAAACCTCAGTCACCAACTCTGCCGTCGAGACGCCTACCATACAGTAGTTCACCCAACAGTCCACCCAACGGTCCCAACGGCCCCACTGCCCCGATACCCCTAAACTTCACCGTACAAAAAAGATTCGTAAAAAGGAATAACAGCACAAAGGGCGGACCAACCATTGGGGGGTCGGTGGTAACGGCTTCTTCAATCACGGGGACCGAAGGAGCGGCCTCTACGTCGTCGGAGTCTTCGCCCGGGATGGGGACGGGGACAGGGACGGGGACTGGGGAGGAAAAAGGAGGAGGAGGAGGAGGAGGTTCAGGTCTCTCAAGGGGCAATAATTGGACGCGGACTCGGACGCCGAGTGCTGCAGGGAATGCAACAACTTCGGGTACTGGTACTGGTAGTACTCCTGTGATGTTTGGGGTGGTGCCAGTGAAGACGCTGTCGAAACGGAGGAGTGGTGTGCATGCTGAGTTGAAGAGGTTGTTTGGACGGCAGTAAAGTAAAGTAGATTGGCGTTGATGAACGTGACCGGACCGGGCAGTGATTACAAGATGCATTAGTTTGAGTATTAATACTGGTAGATTAGCTCATGACATTGATACGAGTTCGACGTCATTGCTTCTCGCTTCTTTCATCTCCTCGACGTCTGGTGGTGATGACATCCGTGGAGTTACATACCAGCCTCGTGCCCCCTCCTTATAGCATTACCAATCATGTATACACACTATAAGCCATCTACAGGCTTTACAAGTAGACAGAGATGTTTCTGTGCAAACACGCAAACAAATTCGAGCAGTGTCCTCGATTGTGGTGGTGGTGATCACTATCATCATCGTCCCCCACCAACGAATTGAGCATTGGTACATAGGCATCAAATCACAAACTGTGTATAATAACAAGTAAGGGCGTGTGGCTCAGTTGGTAGAGCGTTCGCTTAGCATACTTATAACATTCTTATCTTCAGATTGTGAACCTTGTATGCGAAAGGTCCTGGGTTCGATTCCCAGCTCGTCCAATTCTTTTTTGCAATTTTCTTCCCCTTTTGGCCCCACTACTAGTTAGCATGTGTGTTGTTGGGTTGATCTTTGTTCTTTTTGGTATTACAACAGTCCTTGGATGAGGAAGAACGAGAGGGAGGTTGCACTGCCCTTTGCTTACCTATCTACCGGCCGGCTGGTGATGTGATTTCTGGCTTGGAAATTATTCACTGGTTTCGCTTTTAACTCTCGCATCAGGAATGGGCAATTATGAAATCTTTGTATTCCCTTGAAGCTCAAAAGCCCCCTTCTTGATAAGCATTCCACCTTAAGTCCATACTGTGCCTCCTATCCATGATCCTTCATAGAGAACCTTTATGCGCATGCTATGTATGCCACGATAACCCCGTTGCCTCAAGCAAACCAACTCAAAACGCCTGATCCCTTTTGTCCTTTGTTTCTTGAACGCCCATACCCAACAAAACAACCATGTAAGCCCTCACATGCATCCACGAGGCCCAGATTAGCAATTGGAAAGGAACCGCCGGCGGCTACTGATCACAGCCACACTTCCTTCCTCTTTCGCTGTGGTTGGAATCGTCACCGTCTCTCCCAGTTGGCCGTCCACATCGTCCACACCTCACTCTTTTGAATCCCATGCTGCTGGGAGCATCCAGCGATGCACCCTCCTACTGCCCGCCTTGCTGCCCTTGTCCCTGCTGTCCCTCACCAACACTCAAACTCCCCACCACCCCCTCCCTCGCCCTCTCCTCGCTCCCCTCCGCCGGCCCCGGCCCCCCAGTAGCCTCCACCACCCTCCTCACATCCTCCCTCAACTCGGGCAACGCCGCCTCCATCTCGCCCGCGAGAATATCCCGGAAATCCCTAAAGGCGTGCATCTTGCCCCGCATCAGCTGGTTGCTCCTACGCACCAGCTCGATGAACTCGCGCGTGTACACGTCCGGGTTCCTTCCGTTCTCGACATAGGTAATCAGCGGGATCGGAATCCCTGGGTTTTGCGGGCCCGGCTGGTGTAAATGGGGGGCGTAAGGGTTGTGCGTGCTGTTGAAGGTGGAGGCGAATTGGGCGGCTTCGGCGCGTTCGAGTTCGGTGGTTCCCTGTTGTCCATTTGAAGAAGGGTTGTTGAGGCCTCCGCCCGAGGGGGAGGAGGGGGAGGAAGGGAGGAGGGTCGCGGTGCGGTAGACGGAGAGGAGGGAGGCGTCGAGAGTTTGGAGGGATTGTGCGATGACGTCGCGCGAGGAGGGGTGGCCGCCGCCGCCGCTGGCTCGTGAGTTGTTGGTTGGGGTGTTGTTGTTGCTCGAGGAAGGGTTGGTGTCGTATTGGGAGACTTGGACCATGAGGTTTAGGAGGTCTTGGATTACGTTTTTGACGGACTCTGTTGGTGGAGGAAGGGGGGTTAGTCAAAAGATGTCGTGGATGGGAGGTGGGAATGGGGAGGGGAAGAGACGCACCCTGCGCCTCTTGGTGGGTGGCGGTTACGGGCGCCATTGCGAGTTAGTTGTCTGCGAATGAATGTTTTGAAAATGAAGTTAGGTTGCTATGGTCGCCCGGATGGATGGTAGCGGTTTGAAAGACATTGGTTTCTTTGCGTTGATGTGGCAGCTCTCTGCTCCAACGTTGAAGGAAAAGTTGTTGGATTGGGGAAAGAGACGGCGAGGCTGTCGAGCTACAGAGGTGACGTTCTATAATGTGGGTCAGGGCACCCAATATGCAGAGGTGATTCGTTATCGGACGTGCTAGGCTTATCAACGAACATGTGAAGGTCAATCCGGCTTCGGTTTACAACTTTTGGAAAATCATCAGCTAGGATAGAATATAAACAAGAGTATCCGTGCTAATAGCGAAAGTTTATAACGGTGATATCTTTCCGCTGTTTCATCTGCTGTCTCAACGGCCGTTGTGTCGCTGTGGTAACAAAGTCACACACAGCAGCCCACCACAAAACACTTCTCATACTTGGTTATTTCGACATACAAAAACAAGGTGATACGGTCATCGATGACTTCAACAAAATAAATTATTGTAGGTTCTGTGACCCAATATAGTGTGTGTATGTCTAAGTAAAGGTTTTGAACCGCCTTTTAGTATTCTACGCATCGCAATGCAGCCCAACCCAACCGACTTATGCTTCCTTTTTTCCTTTGGTTTCTTCCTTCAATAAACTCCAACAAAGTAAAACAGATATACCCTTTCAACTGTCCTTTTCCCACTTCAAAATTACTCGTACACTATCCCTATAGATCCCTCACAACAGACATTTTGACTCAGACTCTGCCTTCTCCTAGTCTTGCAAAGCCTTGAGCGCCTGGTTAAGTGGCACAATCCTCAAACTCCTTCCTCTCCTCAACCCCGGGCCTTGTTGACCCTGGCCAGCTTGTCCCGGGGCCTGACTCATAATACTAGAGTTGCTGAAGCTCCTGACACTTCCTGGGCTCCTAACGTCGGCAGGAGGGCTGCCACCGCCAACACTTACGTTGCTACCAAGGTGATTCATAATGGTGGGGCTGAGAGAGTCCGACCACTTGCGGAACACGCTCTTGAGATCGCGAGGGATACCCTCCAGCACGACCGTGGAGATGGGGACAAAGGGACGGTCTTCCATGCCGGCGGCGAGGATGGAGTATTCCTGGGCGAAGTCGAGGGCGTTGTGGAAGGAGGCGTATTGGTGCTGGGAGCGGGCACCGACGATGATGTACATTTCGAAGAAGGCGTCGAGAATGTAGATGTTTGTGGGGAGGAGGTCTGTTTGTTTGAAAGGAGAGATCTCGACGATCTGTTGTTGCGTTAGTGCATGTTAAACTGAGGGACAAACAAGGTCACAATAAGAACTCACCTGATCCTTGCCAGAGGCATTGGCATTCGAACAAAACAGTCTCCCACAGTACTTCTCATAGTTTGGCTTCAACCTCCAATGATCCGCGCTCATCGGTCGGACTCCCGGTCCCTCACCCCCAAAGATATCCCTCCAGAAGCTCTCCGGCTCGAATCCTTCCTCAATCTCTTCCAGCTCGCCCATCAGGCTCAAGTCCATACCAACGAGCCTAGCACAGCCAAGCTCATCCACATCCGACCCCTTACCCTTCCACAAGCAGCACTTGCCCTGCTGAGTGATCAGGTAAGGGAAACCAGAGCACAGGCTCGAAGGCGCAAAGTCTACCTCATCAAACGCCACCTGTCCAAGGAAGCGTCTGCCACAGAACATGGTTTGCGCGAGCGAGTCAAACTTATTGCTGGAACCGCGACGAATGATGACAATGCCGCCTAGCGCCTGCATGAACTCGCTGGTCTCCTTGCCCTGCATCATCTTGACCAACTTGCCACCAAACGCTCTAGCCTCACGCGTGGCAAACAGTTGGGCGTCGTCAACGGCGGCCTCAGGAACCTCGTCGCCGACCCAGAAGTACACCTCGCTCACCTTCTTGCCCGATTCGTTGGTGAAAGTGTGCGTGCAGAGGTACATTTCCCGCTCAAAAAGAATACGTTCGCGGTGGGCGGGAACGGGCAGCTTCTTGCCATCGGCGGCGAACTGGTAAAGCTGAGCGCGCTGGGTTTGAATGCGGAAGCCAGGGTTTGGCCGCCGCATGATCACGTCGGCGGCGTCGGCCATGTAGCGACGGCGAGGACGCTCAGTGCCAAAGAAGTCACTCAACAGTGCCTGGGCATCTGAACCGTATTTTGATGCCGACCTCGTATGTCGAAGACCACGTGGCTGTTGCGGAGTTTGTTGGTGTTGGGGTGACTGTGGCTGCTGCTGCTGCGGCTGCTGCGGCTGCTGCTGAGCTTGCTGCTGAGGTTGTTGCTGAGGTTGTGGCTGAAAGTCGAACTTGGGGAGAAAAGGAAGCGGGATGCTGTCCTTACGGGGCACAGGAGGAGCTTCGGCCTCTGGGGTCGCGGGTAACGGCCTAGCACCCTTGGGAGGGAGCTTTGGTGGCGGCGGGGACTGCATCTCTGGCTGAGGCTGGGGCTCTGGGGTAGGGGCCTGTTCAGGGACGGAAGGTCTACGGGATGAAGTGAAGGATGGGCTCGATAGTGCAGTAAGAGGCAGCCTTGGTGGTAGCTCCGTTCTAGGCTCGGGAGTTGGCGTCTTGATGAGACCACGAGGAGGAAGAGATGTGGTCGTAGCGGCAGCCGGCTCGGTCGGGGGAGGCGAAGTAGGTTCCGTGGTTACTTGAGGCAGACCCGCGTTAGCACCGCCTCCAAATAGCGCAGAGCCAGCCTTGACGGACACGACTGGTTCCGAGTCGACCATGGTGTCTTTTACCGGCGAGACGTCCTTCGTTGACGAAGTCCGAGGAAAATCGGGAAGAGCCCGTTGTTTGACAGGGGAAGACGGCCGTGAAGTCTTTTCAGTTTCGGGATTAAGGATCGGCTGGGTCTGCTCATCAAGGAACCTAGACATTCTCTTCATATCAAGCTTTCTTGGGGAGGGAGACTGAGCAGCCATGTCTGCCTCAGGCTCCACCGGCTTCATTTGCTGGCCGGCTGTGGCAAGAGCAGCCAGTTGCTCTTGAACAATTGACTTTGCGCGAGAACGTCCCCTGATCGATGTAGGCGTTGAGGGAGCTGCTTCCGCAGCAGCCTCAGAGGGCTTTTGACTGGCCGCAGCTAAAGCGGCAATTTGCTCGTGGACCTTGGTGGATTTCGAACGGGTATGTCCCATCGCAGGTCGAACAGGCGAGGTCTCCGCACTACGCTCACTCGGCTCTGCCTTCATTTTGTTCACAAATGCAGCCGCCTGCTCCTGTACCTTGGACTTGGAGCGGGTATGGCCGAGCGCCGGCCGCACGGGCGACTGGGCAACCGGCCCCTTGATAGGTTCGGCAGCTTCTGATGGTTGCCGGTTCAGTGTCGTGAACAGAGCTGCTTGCTCGTGGACCTTTGACTTGGAACGAGTATGGCCCAGAGCCGGGCGAACAGGTGACGCAGAAGCCACCTCGTTCTTGGGCTCGGCGGATTCTGAAGGCTGCTGATTCAGGGCGGCGAACACGGTAGCTTGCTCAAGAACCTTCGTAGCTGAACGGCCGCGAGTCTTTGTAGGTGAACGGGAGGGAAGATCAGCAGTGTTGGGCTGTTCAGCCGGCTTAGGCTCCTCCGCCACCTTTGTCTTGAAGGAGTTGACGAGGTCGGCAACACTCCCAGAGGGTTGTTGCCTGTGGCTTTGCACAGACGCTCTAGAGTCAACACGAGTGATAAACTCTGGCTTTGGCATAGTCGGCGTGACCTGCTTCTCCTCGATAGGAGAAGAAACAGCCTCCTTCGCAGCAGGCGGTGACTCTACTACAGGTGTTTCCTCGGTCTCCTCAGCTGGCTTAAGAACGGAAGTCGGCGCCTTTCTCCTAGGTCCACGGGCACGATTCTTCGTCATGTGCGTCAACTGGGGTGCAGGCTTGGGCGTAGCATCCTCTTCAACTGCCCCAGATCCCTTACTAGCCCCTGAAGCCGCTGCCGGAGGGCCTTTGGCCAACATTCCCGCCAAGGCAGGGTTGAACCTGTCGGCTAAGCCGCCCACCTTGCTCAGACGTCCTGGAACATTGACTGCCTTGGGCGTTGTGGATTGCACCTCGTTTGTAGCAGAAGCTTCCTTGTCCAGGCTAGTGGTAGGCTTTGGTGCTATCTGAGCTGCAATGTCAGTAAGTTCTCGCTTCTTGGGAGACAAAAGGCCCGTCCGGTCAAAGTCCAGGATGCTGCCTGGAGAAGCTACACTCGGCGACGTGACCGAAGAAGCAGAGCTTGGTAGATCGACCGACTTGGAGGAAAAGCTTCCGGAGCGACCGAGTTCCAGTCTCCTGGCAAGCGCCTCAGGAATTGACTTCTCGCTAACGACAGGGCTGGCGACTTTGGTGGGTGATTGGCCCTCCTGCTTGGCCTTCTGGAACTCCTCTTTCTTCTTGAGAATGGCCTCCTTGAGCTCATCTTTCCGTTCGCTCCTCATGGGACCTCCGGTTTGATTAAGCAGAGACTTTCCTCGTAGAATGTTGTCCTTGAGCGGGTCAGGAGCCACCCATTTCTCGGTCTTGGCCCTCCGAAGTTTGCCAAAGACGTTCTTGAGCTCATCCACTTCACCCTCGGCGCCTGCACCAGAAGAGGGTCGTGCACGCGACTTCAGATTCGCCCGGAAATCCTTCAAAACGGGGGTGGTGGCCTCTTCGGTGGTCGGTGTCTTTGCCACCAAAGATGCCGGATCTTCGCTTCCTCTCCTCAAGAGAGGGCTGACAAGATCGTTACGCAAGCCGCTCAATGCGGGCTTCTCTGCTGCAGGCGCACTAGTAGAGATGCTCAGACCGGGACCAGTAGAGGATTTGAGACCGGAGCCAACCGGGGTAGTCCGCATAAGTCCACCCGTTTTGACTTCAGTCTTCCTAAGAGGTACCGAGGCACTGCGCGAGAGATCAACGCTGGTGTTACCGGTCTTCTGCGCCTTAGCCTTGTTCAACTCGACCATCCAGGCCGGCTGGTTGGCGTTGGGGGCTGGCTTGGTCTTTGGCGACTCGGGCTTGTTTAGAGCAGCCTCAAGCCAGCTCGATGACTTGGAGGGGCTCCACCTCCTGGGATCCATTGTCTTTGAGGGACTGACGGGTACCGACGTGTTCTCCTCCTCGCCGCCTTCTGTGCTAGTCTCTTTGATTTCGGTCGTAGACGGTTGTGGGGTGATGCTAAGCGGAGCGGGAGTGACTGGTCTATCTTCTCCATGGCTCGAGACGGGTCTTGAAGCTGGTCGTAATGCCGACGTAGAGTTAGAATCGTCCTGGGTTGGAACATCGGGCTGAGCGTCCTGCTTGGTGGGACTGCCTAATTGAGAACCCAAGAGACTGTTGCGATTCGAGGCAGTTGATTCAGCACGCGCTAGGCCTGCCGAGTTCACGCTCCACCGCTTTACACTATCGGAGCGCTTCATCATGGCACTCTGTACAAAACCACCCAAGCCCTTGGTAGGAGAGCCGGATCTTGGAGTGGCAGGCGAGGCACGGCTGTTGGGAGACATCATCGACAGGCGATTAGAAGGCGGCTCAGGCTCGTCTTGGGTGGCATCTCCAGTTGGAGGGTCCAGACGCGGTGCGCTGGTAATCAGGGGAGAATTGAGCAAGCTCTGACGGGAGGGCGTCGTCTCTGGTTCTGTAGGGGTAGGGGCATTCGCACTGGCGTCTTGGGCCATGCCGGGAAGCTGGGTGCGCGACAAGTCGGAGGCGTCGACGATATCCTCATCTGTTTGTGATTGTGGTGGCTGTTCCTCTGTGGGAGAGGTTATGGCGGCGTTTGCCCGAGTGGCGGCCGCATTCTCAGCAGCGAAAACAGACAACGGTCGAGTCTTGGGTCGCTCAGAAGCTTGAGATGTAGGGCGCCTCTGCCAGGAGAGGGGACGGGCAGAGGGCATGGCAGCCGAAGGGGAGGTGAGGATTTGGCTCGATCGCTTGCTTGGTTCGGACGAGTCAAAGGGCGACGGCGATGAGGGCGACTCGTTCTCCTTTGTGGGCGAGGCCAGCGATAGGGGCTCCATGGTGTCGGATAGCTGGACAGAACGCGCTCGGGGGCTTCCAGTAGTTTCGTGTGCGGGCGAGGACAGGTCTACGCCATCGGGGGGCAGAATGGTGCTGGCAATGCTAGCAATGCTTGCGCGGTGGTGGTGGCCGGTGGGGGTGTTTGCCGGAGACGATTTCTGAGGGGAAATGGACCTTGCGCGCTCTGTGAACATGGGACGAAAAATAAGTCAGACCTCATCAGTCAAGTCAAGCCTCGCATTCTCTTTGCATATTCGTTCATATGTGGTCACCCGTTGGCCCCGTATTTGGACTATCTTGTTATCAACAACAACAAGACCGCTCCGAACATTGGGCAACAACCAGCCCCTTTGACGAGCAGCAGCAGCAGCAGCAGCCCCTTGGACGTGTCTGCGTGTCGTGCGTGTATGTGCAACCTGAACCTCCTGACCTGATCCGATCCCCCGCCTACTTAGGACATGGAGAGAGAACAACAAAGGAGTTGTAGCAATGGTAGATAGATAGAATAGAGAACACACCTAGTCGCCTTGCTTGTCGCTCAGCCTTTTCCTGCAGTATCTTTTGTTCCAGCTCACGCGAGCGTGCCTCGTCTTCTTCCTCGCGTCTTCCCTTCAACAGCTCGACGGAGCGCAAAAAGTCGGAAACCTCGTCAGACATGTTGGCTGGCAACCTCCGGGGTACAAGGCCCAGGTATTAATTATAAACAAGTTATTAAAAGAACAGACCACTCCCAGCAGCACCAGCACATCCAGGCCGGTGCGTATGCAGATGAATAAGGAGCGGAACCGGGGCGACGCTTGACAGTGCGTGCTGCTGTCGCTTGCTGTCTGTCGCTATCTGTCGCTGTCTGATGTGGGCGGGAGCCGAGCGGTACGGACGAACGAACGAACGAACGAAAGGGGGCGCCGCCGGAAGGGAGCCGAAAGGAAGCGGAAGGGTACGAAAGGGGGGAGGAGGGGGGTGGATGGGCGGCCGAGAGAGGAGGTGTGGAGGGAAAAAGGGATGGAGCGATGTCCCGGGCACGCGGTCAGAAATGACGGCCGTCAGTTCAGATTGCTTGATGTCAACGAAATATGTACAATGAACAATCACCTCCTGGGCGGCTACAATGTGCTTCTTGGGAACTCCCACAAGGATGCACGCAAGGCACGAAAGCCGGGATGCACAGCGGGAGCGGGGCACACTTTCAACGAGCCTCCAATGAGTGGATCCGATGCCATCTGTGCAGCTGGTGCCCACTGCCTCGAGAGCGCCATCTCAGAGCGAGCAACAGCCGGCGACAGGGCTGCCCGTGCTGCCAAGCTCAGCCCAACGAGTCCAAGAAACCAAAATGCCCTCGTCCTTGTCGACCCAACAAGCAAGGCGCTACCGGCCTACTGCCCTCCACGTTTCATTTCATCAATCACTTCCTTGAAACACGTTGTTTGAGGCTCCCGTCAGCCGTTGCGGACTGTATATCCGTATCGAACTGGGAAGGTCGGATCGTGCATCGGAAATCCAATATAAACATGTCCATCACGGTCCCTTCATCGACAGGTACCAACTTGTTCAGTTTTGTCTCTATCCACTGTTGCCCATCACCGCTCATTGTTTGTGTACTCCACCTTTGATCGAATGCCCGTCTTTCTGGAAGACGCGGAACCTCAAGGGGATAAAAAGGGAGGCTCGCTTCCCCTGAAGGCTGACCGCTGCTCGACAGATCTCCCAACCGTTTTGTTCATGTATCGCTTCGTATCCTCAGGGCAAAACAGACAAGCGAAACCAAACATCGTCTTACATCTCGGATACGGCCCGTGCCTTGCGGGCCATCATTCCAACCACTAACCAGCTCTTTGTCCTAGTACAGGAAAAGACGAGCCTTTGCATCTTCAACCACCCACGCCAAGCCCTCCTTGAGATTCTCTCCTGTCATGGCACTACACCGCAGAATATTCCACTTATGCGTCCTGATTTCATCGAGTTGCAAAGCCTGGGGAGATTAGCATCACTTCTTTCGCAAGATGAGAATTCCAAGGGAAGATCGTCAAGTACACTCACTTCCCGCAGCTCGTCCTCAGACATGCACCCCCTTACATCGGTCTTGTTGGCAAACACAAGCAAGCTTGCTCCCGACAGTCGCTGGATGTGTAGGTATGGGTCAGTTTCATGGACAAAATTGGCAGACTGGAGTACAAGACATATTTGAGCGGAGATTACTTACCTCTTCCTGGAGCAGACCGTGGAGTTCATCTTTGCAGTCCTGGATGCGCAGCCTGTCCGTGGCATCAACGACCCAGATCAACGCATCTGTCTTTTCAAAGTAATTCCTCCAGTACGACCGCAGCGTTTTTTGACCGCCAACATCCCCTATGCGTATTGTGATTAGAATCGGACATGCCGAAAACTACGCTTGAACATCTTACAAATGTTTAGCTTGTAACCCTCATAGTCGATGGTTTTGATGATGAACCCGAGTGTTGGGCTGACCGTGTTCACATCTTCATTCATGATCTTCTTGACAATCGTCGTCTTGCCTGCATTGTCAAGACCTCTGCATTGGTACCTGTCAGCAATTGCGCATAGTACAAAGCAAGCAAGTGATCGCCTACAGCATGAGGATGCGAAGCTCCTTGTCCTTGAGCTTCGCTTTTCTTAGGATTGACAGCATCTTGTTGGCGGGGGTCACGAAATGCGAAAACCAAGCGGTAGGTGGGTTTTCTACACGGCCTTTTTGTGTACAGTGATGACCAAAGATCGAAATGGCTGACAGAAACTGACTTTCTCAGGTATTGCCAATTCTACGAATCTGGTTGTACTGGCTGCCTGGCCGTTGATATTCCAGGTGATGGACGTGGACATCGGCTGCCCCTGCTGTTGCATGCATTCCCGTCCCCACCCTGACGAACTTGATCCAATCAGAGCCGTGGATTCTATTTACGCGGGTACTTGATTTTCGTTCCCACGTGATACCCTTCAACGTCAACACTTCAACCATCCTGAAGACACTCTGATTCGACACGCGCAACGGACGTCGCAAGTGGAAAAAGAAGGCAATTTCAACGTGCATCTCATCCCATAATATTTCAAGTTATCAAACACCGGGCGTGCTTTGAAACTGGAGTGGGAATTCGACCCTTTCTCTCTGGACATTTTCATGTTGGCCTCGGACGTTAAGGCTACCACTCAGAATCAAATGCATAAATCACAAGGAGAGTATTCATTCCGCGCGGAACGATTGAAATTAATGAAGCGTATACGATGCAGCTGACCAAAGTTGGAAGATACTGCTAACCTCAAGTCAAGCCTCTCAGTTTAATCAACAGACTGAAGCGTGCATGCGAACAGAGACACTGAGCCACGGACTATTTACTTGACTGAGGCTTCGAGACTTGAGACTGGCGTGTGGTTGGCATATATGCTCATTAACACACAAGTTGTCATCTGAACTCTGGCCAAGTTCCATTGAGCTGGGTTGGCTTTGAAGTCCAAGGTTGGATGAGAGACGGTTTGGTTGACCTTGGAGGCCGCATGCACCCCTTCACTTCTCTTCTCAATCACCACAACGGTCTGAGTGTGTGATCAATGCGATTGGATTCGAATTGCAACTAAACCTGGATCTTCAGTTCGGCACCTTCCAGCTTCCGCCGGGCAACCTTCCACCAAAATTTCACTTCACTAGAAGGAAGGTACGCACCGCCTGCCAGACCTCAAATCAGATTCTGGTCAGCTGCCAGCCACTTTGTTTGAGGTGCACTTGCCATCCCATCTTTTCACCTTCCATTCACCACCGCGCCTACTACTGCTCAACCCCGCCTTAAAAGGGCAGTCTTGCAGCCGCTTGCTCCTGCTTTCTCTTTCTCGCAACATCCCGCCTCTCCCAACCCATTCCACCTTCCTCTCCCAACACTCCCAAATTTCACCGTCTTTTTTAATCTGCGACGAGATCCTGTTCCCGGAGCTGCAGAGCGCAACCGCCGGCGTCGATCATCATTCGACTCCGACTGAGTGCGACAAGCACTTGTCGCTTCCCCTTTCTTCTAGCGAACTATCGTACTCTTCGCCTCTTCCGGCACTTCCACTCCAATCCAACTGACATCACACCAAGCATCTGCGACCGGAAGTTTACCTCACCACCCAGCGCCCGTTAGAGGCACCTACACGAGCTAGTTGACTGTCGAAGCAGTTCGACCTACGGCAGGAATACCGAGGACTTGGAGTCGACGACGATCCAACATCACCTACTCATCAACGGCATCTCACCAACTCACGACGGTATTCTGTCTCGAACAGGCACCCATCATCTGCTACTTCTCCTGCCCCGCACCTAGGTGTATATCACCTATCTGCATTTCTGGTTTGTTCGATCGCCGAACCAAGCAGCTTTTGCGACCTGAATGGAACCTCATCGCGGCGACTATCAACCTCCCGACGCCTAACAAAGTGAGTATACGCAGCACTACACTTGCTTATCAAATGCTAACCATGGTTTACCGTTTATTCAGGTCATTGAAAATGACTGCCGAAAAGCAGGACAAACCCGAGGCTCCCGCCAAGCAAGGAGTCGATTCCGGAAAATGGGTTGACTCAGGTGCCCCAAGCACAGGAGAACGCCCCTTAGCTATCAACCAAAATTTCAAGCCAAAGATTAAGCCAGTCCCGGGAGTTCCTCCTCACCTTTGGCACCGTCACCAAGGTCGACGCATTGTCATCAAAGACCATACCGGCAAAGTTGTGGACATCAGCAACACCAAAACTTCCCCCCCTCCAGCACAGAGCGTACAGCAGCAACCAAAGGCGCAGCCCAATGTTAATTCGAGCCCAGACGGACCCAATAGATCTGCATGGGGAACAACTCCTCAGGCGGATAGCTCCAAAAAGTCCCCATGGGAAAGTACTGCCCAGACAGGATGGGACCCACAAGTTACGGAAGCCGATCAGCCGGTTGGCGCCGGAAACCAGAACTCGAATGCCTGTCCACACAATCTGAAGGGCGACCAAGCCGTTTTCCATCAGGGTAACGTGTCTGCAAACCCCTGGGCAGCAGAGAAGAAACCCTGGCAAGCAGAGAAGAAACCCTGGCAAGCAGAGAAGAAATCTTGGGCAGCAGAGAAGAATCGCGGTGCTCAGCCCGCTTGGAAGTCAAGAGGACCACAAGAGCATCGACCTCTGCCGGTGCCTGCTGATTACATGGAGCATGAACTTCCTTGCCGCCGACTTGACTATCCAGGCTCGCACCGGAGCATGCTCTCCGTCTCTGACTTTCATTTCAGCGATGGTCCTGAAGAAGTCAAGGAAGTCGATCCAAAGATGTCCCATGACATCCGCAACGAGATTGGCGTTGAAGTCCCCATGTACCGGTTCAGCAACGAGATGGGCGACCTCGCCATACGGTTCGGTCACTTTTACGATGGCCGGAACTACGATATAGGCCTTCAGACTGAAGAGTACAACAAAGGCCTGGTAGAAGCATGGGTCCAGGACGTAACTGTCGATGCGAAGGCATCTTTCAAATCCAAGCGCAATCACTTCAATTGTGATATCAACCCAGAGACGGGATGCTTTCTCGCACCTGTCAGTCACCCTTTGACTCGAGTTAGTGAGGCACAGGACCCGGAACTTCGATGGCGTCAGATGAACTGGTCTTCAGATCTGCTGCGCAAACGCAAACTCGCGTCCAAGAGAGGTGGGAAGTTTTATCGAGGAGAGGTTCCACCGTCGAGCCGCCAGCCACCAAAAGTTCAACTCAACGTCAACATCGCAGACTTGAATGTACCCCAAGTACCATGCCATTTGCGCCCTGCTGAAGCTTCCGATATGGAGGCAGTGGCATCCATCTACAACAGCGAAGCCATCCAGAAATTCGATTCTGCACCTTTGGGAGCAGCGGACTTTGAGAAAATCCTTACGGACACCCATGGGCATGAACTTCCCTTCATTGTTGCCGTTAGCGGCTCAGCTAGGGTTGACATGCTGAAAGATGGCATTAGATTTGAGTCGAGTCACCCACAGCAGACGGTCCTTCCTCCAAGTCTCAAAGAAGGCGCGGTTCTTGGATTCGCGTACCTCTCCGTTTGGAAGCCCGGTTTGGCTGGCAGCACAACAGGCACTAGCAGGGCCACTGTTGAGGCCCACGTGCATGTTCATACTTCTTGGAGGCGCAAGAAGCTTGGATCTACACTTCTGGATAGGCTTCTGGCCTCAGTTTCACTCAACGCGAAGTCAAAGGAGATGTGCGACTTCTGGGATCCTTCACGCAACCCTGCTTACGCGGCTCCCTGCCAACATGACCGCTATACCTTCAAGATTTACACGCAGTACCTTGTCAAGACCGAATTCGACGCCAACAATGGATTCAACAATAGGGAGACTCAAGAAAACCAGGTCGATGATATCGCGTGGTTGAAGAACCTCCTCGAAACCAAATTCAGATTCAAGGAAAAAGTCCGTTTCGAAGCGGCCTATCGCTCGCCAAAAGTCGAGGGAGAAGCTAGCTATTGGCTGGATTCTGTCGTGTTTGAACACACCTGCTGCAGTCCTTCATGGATCGATCTACTCTACTGAGGCAACCTGAATTGGCGATGGGTATCATACCCTCAACCCAGTTGGGTATCGTCCTGCTGCACCTGTGTTTCCTCTCATTTTCTTTTTTCCTTCCCATCTCATTTCATTACCATTCGCAAACTCCTGCTCTATTTTCTTTTACTTTCACCGTTTTCTTCTCTTATGAGCAGATTCAGCTGCCCTAATGAGGCCTATCGTATGCCTCTCGGATGAGCAGCTGACAAGAGAAGTAAAAGACTGCTTCCATCTGCTATCAATCTTCTCATCGTATGCAATCCGCGAGTTCGAGTTTAGCGGGCGGTACGATGCTTAACCTGGCTTTTATCAGGTTAAGTACATTCGATATAAAAAAATGGAAAAGGTTCAAATTACCTTGTAGTTCGAACTGTTTATGTCTTGTTATAGTCGCTGTTGAGATTGCTTTTCTGTTACTTGCTCATCAGAAACCCATATGTTCAGGACTGTACTATAGTAGTTAATGTTAGTGCATTAACAAATTTTTAGTCCGAGTTGGTCGCTTCGGTCATCGGGGCAAGTGCTGCCCGTGAAATGTCCGAAATCCCTGTCATTCCTCCACAGGCTCCAACTGGTCAAGTCAGCAAGCAGCGATGAACCACCCAAAGGCTGTTATCGATGCTTGCCATTGAAACCCCCTTCATTTCGGTCAGGAGTCAGGAGTTCCAGGTTATAACGTGTCACAGCAATCTGAATCGGCCTTCGGGATCATTCATCATCCCCGGTTTGCCCGGTGTTCGTTCTCGGCGTCTTGTTGCAGCAAACCCGCGAGTTTACGATAAACGAATTGTCTTCAAGAGCCCTTGGAATTAGGTAAGCACGCTTAACTGATTTGGGCAGCGAACGGATAACGGGGTTATCGGGCATGAGATGGCCAACGACAACACGGATACCACAACGACAGCCGAAGGGACGTCGGGAGTTGGGTCAGGGGTCCGACAATCGGCACAAACCTCTCCAGTTGCTGGACAATCAGACTCGGATCTCGAACCATTGGCATGTGTGACATGTCGGAATCGAAAGCTGAAATGTGAGTATGCTGTTCAGCAGTGTGGACGCATCTCGCTCATGACACTCCCTTCTATTGACTGATTTGAGCGTCTAACTTGCTGTGACTCTGTGATTTAGGCGACCGCAAAAAGCCGGTATGCACACGGTGTGGGACGGCCGGGGGTGAATGTGTATATCCTGAATCCAGAAGGAAACCGAACTTCAAGCGGCGGAATGTGAAGGAACTCGAAGAGAGACTGGGCAAGTCATTTCTGTTTGTCCGACACACGGGCTAAGCCAGCTAACATTGTCAACGATAGCTCAAGTGGAAGGCCTCATTCGAAATGTCACCAAGCAGTCCTTGGGCCTTGATAATAAGGGTGCAAGTGATGATGTGAGCGCTACTGCTGCCCTCGACAAGATGAGTGCTACGACAAGCTTGGATGAACTACCAGAGGGGACAGTATCGGGCTCTGAGCGAGCCAGCTGCTCGTTTGGCTTTGTATCTCATGGATCAGCATCTTCAGAAGCTAGCCCCATGGAGGCTGTCCCGGCACCTGACAGAGTAACTTCGTCAAAGCGGCCACACTCACCTCAACCTTTCGATGCGCCTCGAGAAGGAGGGGGCATCGGAGGCTTCAGTGACGACCTGATTGAGCTGGGAAGGTTCGAGGGGTTACCCCCTTTTGAAATGATCGAGGAGCTGTGAGTTCCCTCTCCAACCATCCTATCCGACTGCATACGCTGAAATAACGAGACGCAAAGACACCGATTGTTCTTCCAATTTTTTCGGAAGCCAAAGATCGTATCCATTGTCCACCAGGGAAATTACATGCGAACATACTACTCTCCTACGCATATGCGTCCGCCTATGTGTTTACAGTACGCAATCTGGGCAAATGCGGCAAAGGGACACCCCATGTACGACCGCTACTATGATGTCTTCTATCATCGTGCCCGTCAGTACTTGGAGGCTGATGAGCTGAAGGTTAGTCAATTTTCTAGGATTGCATCCAAATGTTTTTCGAGCTGATTATGAATAATCAGGGACTCGGCGAGAATTTTATAACGCTCCATCACGCCCAAGCGTTGATTTTAACCGCCATCAATGAGGCCCGCTCTCTGCTATTTACCAGAGCTGCAATGACTGCCGCAAGGTGTGCCAGACTTGTGCACATGCTGGGCCTTCAACGACTCGATGACCCTTCAGAAGACGCAGAAGGATCCGATGGGCCCATCTTACCTGCTCCCAAGAGCTGGGTTGAACTGGAAGAACGTCGGAGAACATTCTGGGGTGCCTACTGTGTCAACGTTCATGTCACCAAGAACACCGGGTGGCCCATCATGATTGATGTGAAAGACGTAAGAATACCCGCCCGACGGCCTTTATTTGAGTTATCAAGACTAAAGTCGTAGCAGACCACAACCCACCTTCCTGCCTCGGAAGATGCCTTTAACACAGGCTTTCATGAAGCCTCACCCACGCTCCAAGAAGCTTTTGGCGGCTCCTCCTACTCCTCCTTCGCTAGCACCGTCGTCATAAGTTATCTCTTCAACGAACTGCTCAACCATGTGCACCGACCGAAAGTATCGGACCGACCCGACGACATTCAAGACGGCCCTTACTGGAAGCGCCATCGCGAGATTGACAACAATTTGGGTAATGCTTTTATGTTCTTACCCGAGAAGTTCCGATTGCCAAGCAATATCACAGAGACGGTGGCGCTGCAGGTTAATCTGAATCTACACGCGTCCGTAGTCTGCCTTCATAGCGCTGCTTGCGATGCAGTGAAGAAGTATGGGCTCGACAAGCGGCTGGGCGAAAGGAGTAAAGAGAGGAGACTGAATGCTGCGAGGGAAGTCGTGAAGATCATGAGGCTGGCTAGAGAGACCGTGAGCCCTTACGTAAGTGGTTTTTTTTTTTTTTTTTTTTTTTTTTTACACCTCTGCCACCGCTGGTAATTCATTTACTAACAATTTGCCAACAGAAAACCCCCTTAGTAGCCCTCTCCATCTACTGCGCCTCAACAGTATATATCGACCTTGCCCGAGAAGCCTTCTCATCGCCCTCGTCAGTCCCACTCCCGCCCTGGGTGACTTCCGAGCTCGAATTCCTCGTCAACTGCATGGAATCTATCGGCCGGCAATACATTGTCACTCGTGCCTACCTCAACCAACTCCTACTCGACATTGAGCAAAGCGATCTCAGTGCCTTCTTCAACCTGCCCAACATCAAGCGGTATGGGTGCTGCAACCATGGGATTCCCCTGCTGGTGAGGACGGCTGTGTCGAGGTATACGAAGAACGGTGGGATGCCGGTGGTCTCGAGAATGATGCCTATGGGGGGTGGAGGTAGGATCATACCTGAAGGAGCAAGTTGGAGTGGTGGTGGTGGTGGATGTGGGGTAGGAGTGACGGCGGCGCAAGCCTGTGGTGGGAGTCTGAACGAAGACGGGGGAGCGGCCGGACCACCACCGGATAGTGAACTCGGTGCTTGTGGTGGTGGTATTCAGTGTCCGGGAAGGCAAGGCCAAAGTGGTGACACGACGGGAACTAGCGGTGGAAGCGGGCCGGGTCTCGCACCGGAAACCAAACGGAGACGGGTCGACCACGAGCAGCAGTCCTTCATCGAACGCATCGACCTTTCCGACTTGTTCAAGTTCGGTAGTTCCGCACTCCCCTCTCAGCATCAACACTATCAGCCAGCAGCAACAGTACCACCGAATCTCACCACCGGAGGCAGTGACGAATTCAACGACGGCTGGGGTCCAGGGCCCGCGACTGCCGTCGGACCTCCTCATCTAATGACACCCAGCAACAACACATCTAGACCGGTAGTCCGGTTACCTTACAGAACCATGAGCGACTCATCCACCGCCATGTTTGCTAACAACACTACCGGTACCGGACCTTCATCACTCTCGGATTTCGACCCCAACCATATTCCACTTGAAGACATCACCAACATGGAGGACATCTTCTCCAACGTCACCGGGATGGAAGGGCTAGGTCAGATCGACCTGGACTTAACAAACGTCATGGTCGACCCCCTGTTTTTGAGTACCGGCGGTAATGACGGCAACGGCGGCAACGGCGGCAACGACATCAATGGCAACAGCAGCAGCGACGATGGCAATGCGTGGATGTTGCTGACCGATACGGAGAATCCTACGACGGAGGACGATTCTCCTGCCACGGGAACGGGAAGTTGGGATAATATCCACTGAATCCTGAAGGTCGATTGATGGGGGCTAGGGCGAAGGAGGGCATACTTGTAATATATCTGAGCATAAGCGTTGTGGCGTTTCTTGGCGTTTGGGTTCAAGGCCAAGGGCAAAGGGGCTCAGGTCATTCAGGGGGGAAAGGGTGTAAAGTAAACAAATCCGCTCGGTTAGAAACGGTTTTGGAAGAGAGGGTACCTTCCACGTTAATAGATCACATCTCCTGTAAACAGCAAGGACGAGAGCCCCAATGAATCTCAGTGACCGATTTCTTATGAGGATTGTGCCATTGAAAGAAAGGCTTCATCTGTTTGTACATTCAACCGGTACACGTTGCAAATGGGCAACTTTAGTTGCCATCGAATTCAGATCTTCTCAACTCTTCGCCGTTCTTGTGCGACGCATGAGAACATGGTACCCAAAATCGAGCATATTATAGTTATATAGGGATAAATAGCTGGCATCCCACGAACTGTCTTGTGCATAGAACAGGACAGCTTCGCAGACTCCTTTTTTCCTTTTTTGATCCTTCCGGTATCGGCGACTGCGCTCTCAGGCCAAGCCTCTCAAGACGCGAATTAACCGAACCCTCCCCTTCCCACCCCATATTATATCACCCCCCCATCTTTTCTTCCTCCTCTAGGCGCGGCCCAGACCGACACGCAAGGGCATCTGATGCATACGCTTAGAAAGCAAACACCTGATCCTCCAACTTGCTAACCGGCTTAGCCTTCTTAAAGCCCAACGCCTCCGTCGCCTTCTTCAACCCACTAATCATCGGGGGAGGGCCGCACAACAGAATCTTGACATCATCCGCCGGCTTAGGCAACAACTTCTCCACCATCTCCTGGGTAACAAAGCCCACACCACCAGTCCAGCCCTCAGGCGGGCGATCGAGTACGTAATGCACGCGAATCCCCTTATCCTCAGCCACCAGCGCGTCCAGGTCTTCTTTCAGGAGGATATCCTGCTGCGTAACGTTGGCGAAAATCAGATCGACCTCGGTGCGGTCGCCCGCGGCGCGGCCGCGCACGATGGCCCGGATGACTTGCAGCATGGGCGTGATGCCCGTGCCGCCGGCTACCATGCCGAAGTGACGCACCATGTTGGGGGTGTACACGAAGGCGCCCTTGGGACCCTTGACGCGGATCGTCTGGCCGACTTGTAGCGAGGCCATGTGCTTGCTGATGTTGCCGGTCGGGTAGGACTTGATGAGCAGGTCGAAGTAGCCCGGCTGGTGGTCGCCCGAGATGGGCGTGTAGGAGCGCACGATCTCCTTGGTGGAACCGTCGGGTTGCTCGATGGCGGCGCCGATGGAGATGTGTTGGCCGATGGGGAGGCCGAGGATGGCGGCGGGGGTGGGGAGCTTGAAGCGGTAGCTGTTTTGGGGGGGAGGGGATTGTTAGTTTTTTGGTTTCTAGAGAGGGAAGAGGGGTTGGGTGTTCAGGGGTTAAAAAACAGTGGACGTACATGGCGACGTTATGGGAGATGACGGTCTTCTCCTTGAGCTCGAATTCCTGGAAGACATTGGGCTTGAGGATCTTATTGGGGACTGCATATAGGCTGTTAGCGCGCGTTGATTTCAGCATCTTGTGAGAGTAGGGATAACGTACGCATCCTCCAGTACTTGATCGCGCCCAAGACGAGGGCCACGAGGGCGGCGTAGAGGGTCCATTCCGACTTGACGATGACGGTGCCGAAGACCAAAAGGCCAGCGGGGATGTAGATGCCGTCAAAGTACTTGCGCTCGAGCAGCGATTCCTCAGCCATGGTGTCTGTCTTTGTCCCTTCTTGTCGGTTACCTGAAAAGAAGGATGAAGAAGAAGAAGAAGAAGAGGAGGAGGGGAAAGAAAAGAAGAAGGAGGGGGAGAAGGAGAAGGAGGACGGTGAGGTGGGTGAGGCGGGACGGAGGAGCTCCTCTTGTTAGAAAAAAAGGGATTCCACTTTCTTCTCTTGTCCGACCACTCCCCAAAGTGCCCGTGAAAGGCCACTCTTCTTGACTCGAGCTGCCCAAAAAACGCGGGAACGGAGACGGGGGTCCAACGATCCAATCCACTCGGCTGGATCAAACAGGGGGTGTGTTTTGGGACTGTGTGTTGAGTGTTGAGGGGTGGGTCGATTCTGCTGCGGGCCAGACCGGTTTCTGCCGTGCCATCGACGGGACCTGGAGTGAGCAGTCAGGCAGTTGCCCCTGTGACAGCGTGCTACAACAGGTGTGCCTGCCCTGTTAAAAACCAAGAAGGCGAAGCATGGGAATGATTGGTAAATTGTAGCTTGTCAGGAAGAAGAATCCAGGGAAGAGATCTGGCCCCGCAGTCTGGAATAAATACAGGAAACTGGCAGTGTCGGTTGTACCTGCTCACACCTGTGCACCCGCTGTAACAGCACCCCTAAACCACTACCAATTGGCGCCCAATTGACCAACACCATCCCGCTGAAGGAAGGCGGTGACCGTCAACGCCGGGGATGTTTTGTTGACAATGCAGGTCCCGTCCCGAGGCCGAGGAAACCCCTCCGAATCACGGCACGGCAGTCCCACTTGCACGACACTGGACGACAGGGGAAACAGCGCCCTGAGATCCGAACCAGCTATGAAGCTCAGAATGACCATTACTTCTTTTAATCGTGTTGTTGCCTCTATTCCCAATGGATGTCTCCGAGGCAATATAACCAGTTTTTTTCACCAATACCATTCTGACTTCTCGCACTCTTTTACCGTGTTGGTACAACAAAGGACAAGCCAGCGTACATTCGCTACAACCTCTCACCAGTGTCACAAGTAAGGAAACAACCTCAACCTACCACCGCCCAGAAACTCCGACCCCGCTCCCGCCCACCGAGTGTCCGATCAGTGATTTTTCGATCCCGCGCTTTCGTGATTTGCAACAAGTTTCCTTGTGAACGGTTAAACTCACATAAACATCTCTTACCAAAATCACAAGCGAACCGAAATACCCCACATCGCCTTCCGGTCCTCTTGTTCCCGGTTGTGAAACCCGGGAAAGAAAGAACGCTCAGATGGGTGACAACACGCTACCATCCAAGCCGCCGGCAAATGATCCGAATCCGAACCCGAACCCGGTCCCGGTAGTGGTGGAGGAGAGCCCCTTTCCTCTTACGGCTGCCGACAAGTGGGTGCTCTCACAGACGGATGAGGAATTCAAGTGTCACTCTTGGGATGAATTGCGCACTCTTATACGTAGGGATTCCTGTTTCTTTCTGTCTTTGTCCATGTTCATCATGATCATCATCTCATTACAATTACTACATGTATACATCCAAGCATTATCAGTGATACAAAACCAGCCCGCCCGTCTTGCTTTTTCTGTCCATGTCTCTAACCTTCGAATCATGATCACTTCCAACAACAACAGAAAACAATGACCTCTCCGTCCTCAAACGCAAGCCCTCCGATCTCCGGCGCTACATGAAATGGACAGCCGAGACCAAAGCCTCGTACGGCAGCATGACCAACTACCTCCTCGCCCACCGCCTGCCCAAGACATGGGGCGAGCCGCCCTTCACGCCCGTCTCCGACGTTCCCTTCGCCGAACCCTCCGACTACTGCGTCCTGCTGAATGACTGGCCGTACGGCTTCGAGCCGGGCATCACCCACATCGTGGTGTGGACGTGCACCGCTATTGCAACGGATGACGATAAGGGCGACATGACGCCCGAGAGCCGCAATATCGTCGGTGATTTCGTGAAGCGGTATTTTGTAGATCGGCTGGGTCCCGGGGGTGAGGAGAAGGTGCTGTATTTCAAGAACTGGGTGGCGCTGCAGAGCGTGAGAGCGCTGGAACATATTCATGTGTTGGTGAAGGATGTTGATCCGGCTCTTATCGAGGAGTGGACGAGGGAGCAGGAGTGGCATAAGGCGTAGGTAACTGAGGTGGTATGTAGTCGGCAATGGCGGCGATCTGGTTGGGACCAGGTACAATAGAGATAGATAGACAGCGCAAAACGGATAGAACAGATGCAACACCACCACAGTAAAGCTTTCTCACTTTAAGCAGCAGCACGTCTCTGCTTCCTGTTGCCCGCAGGAACCGCACCAGCACCAGCACCGGCATCACCGCCGGCGCCCATACCGCCCAACCCAGCCATCGACTTGGCGGCACCCATCAGGCCAAAGCCCTTGTAGACGCCATAAGCAGGGACAATGGTCCAGAAAATCCAGGCCCAGTTGCCGAAAAGGGTGACGAGAACGGCAGCCGCCCAGGTGACCCAGACGACGTCGAACATGTACTCGGTCAGGCCAGGGGCGGCGAGGTCCTCGCCGGAGGCCTTGAGAGCCTTGGTGGACGGGTCATAGCTGGGCCGGCCCGTCTTCTCGAGCGTGTACTGGCAGAGGAAGCTCGGGATGGAGAGGATGAACCAGAACAGAAGGGAGCGCGACCGGAAGAGGAAGTGAGAGAGCAGGAAGATGCCGTTGACGGTGAGGGAGCCGATGTGGAGGTTCTTGAGCGTGGTCTCGTTGGACTTGGCCCGGTCTTTGCGCGCTTTTTGAGCCATTGTTGAGGTTATATGGATGTTGTTTGAATGGAATGGACGTTGACTGGGAAGTGACAGAATGTGGTGTCGTTGGTGGTGTGAAGTCAAGAGTCCACGGTTGTCGTGTGTTTGGAAGCTGCATCCTGGCATCATTATGAATGGATGCTTACATAAGCAAATACAACAACTCTCGGCTCCACATCACCAGGATGTCTTCTCCCCACTTTTGACCTCCTGGAGTCCTAACCTAACACCCACGACACCAATGACGGGAACATCCATCAACGCGATAAGTTGACATTTGTTCAAGGCCCCTATTCACGAACTCCATCGAAATTGGTCTTTACGACACTGACACCCAAAGCAGTCCAACGGCATTTTGCTACCTAGCTGGCGTGCTTTAGCTGTTTGACCAAGGCCTTTATCCAACATTTGACAGGCTACAATATCCCGTCACATCGATACCCCTTGACCTGGACTCCAGAAGACATGAAAGGTACGAGGTTTGAAAAAACCGCGACAAGAAGAGTCATTTCCCTCCCGTGTGTACAACGCTCCAGGACAACTTAATATCAGACAATAGAAGACAAATCAGCTTCACCCCTTCCAGTTTCAAAGTATTGCAAACGAGACCACAACGAGCACGATGTTCAACACAGCAGTGAACACCTCCATTGCTGACGAAAACATGCCTTTCGCCTTGTCCGCGTTCGCTTTCCGTTGTTCCTCTGATATTTTCCTCTTAACCTTTTGACCTACCTTGCCTCTAGCTTTTATTTCTCGCTGACTTGGTTCCAGTTCATTGATCGTCTTCTGCAAGTCCTCCTTCCTTCTTCTGAGTGCCTTGACTTCCGCTTGGTTCCTGGCCATCTTCCCGTCATCGGCACTCCGACGGCGGGACCGTGTTGCGTTTGCCATTTGGGTGTCGATCTCGTCAATGGAGGTTTTACATTCTGCGATATCATCCTCAATCACCTTCCTCAGAGACTTCCCCGCTTTTGTCTCGCCCAGCTCCATGTCGCAATCAACAAGCTCTCGCTGCACCTCCAGAACAATGCTTTCATCATCCGACATCAGATCTAGTACAATGCCCTCCGCTGAATCGTGGGAGCCACTGAACTGCGTGTTGGAGGACCCTTTTTCGAGCATCGGAGCCCACCACTCGTCAAGAAGTTGTTGCTCACGGCGCAGTGCCTCGCCCTCACGATCTGTTTCGATATTGTCCCAATGGGTTGTGACAAACTTGACTTTCCTAAGCGCATCGTCGCCGCACAACAGCTGAAACATTTCGAGGAATTGACGAGACGAGCGCTTCATGCGATTCTCGTTGATGGAATGCATGTAGATGATACCCCTCAACGGAATTTGGAGGGCGTATTGCGCTGCCAGGTACTCCGTTATTTCTGCAAGAACTTGGGTGTTGGAACGCCGGGTGTCGTCAAAACCAGGAGTGTCAACGACGGTGACTGAACGGGTTTGTTCTTCATCCAGGAATATTTGTATGGCTTGGGGTGGCGCCTGGGCTTTCCACTCGTGTAGTTAGTCTCCGATGACTGGTAGACATCCACGGTTGGTAAGTGATTCGCTTACTTGACTCCAGCGTATGCCCTACTGTGACCGAGTCAGGTTTGAGTGCGTTGACGAAGGTACTCTTTCCTGCACCGGTAACTCCCATTACCAACACCATACCTCCCAACTCCGGCGATGTGTCCATTCGGTCAAGTGACTGCATAATCTAGACACTTTTGGCGATGGGAGTAGTCAACAGGTTGAAGAAGAGAAGGCTCGATGTGTCTTGTCTCGTTTGTGGTTTTCCAAGGATCGTGATGGCTCTATAGGCGACGGTTGCCTGTGGAACGACCAGCATCTGTTCGAGTAGTGTCGATGGGCCGCTACATAGGTTGGACTTAGGTTGAGTCAGGTGATGCCGGATCGCATTAGCCGCATAACGATATTGGCGACCTCTCAGAACCCGAGATCAAGTGTGGACACTATTCCGAAATGGCCATATGCAAGCCTTCATAACAAGGTTGCCTCGTTCAACTGCAACGTTAGTATCTTCAACCGAGAACAGAATGCCATTGGCGACTTTGTTGTTCCAGGTTGCCTTGTTCCCTACATACATGGGCACGGAAAGAGAGCAGCAACGCATGAGCTTGTTCAGAAGGGTACGTTGGGCTCCTTCGCTCCAACATACTTGGGCTGTGCATGCACGTCGCCACCAAATAGTCGATCGGGATTGGTAGCCTTGCGCCATATGCCAACCAACACAGCCCACCCCCGCACAGGAGATGGAGAGTAAATGGTCAAATGGACCGGGGGGGGGGGGGGGGGGGGGGTGGGGGGGGGGGGAAAGGGACGAGAATGCGACAGCGAGTGAGGGGGGGGTTTAGCTAAGAGAGGACACAAGCATCAGGTTGAGATAAGAGGAGGGAGGAAGAAACCGGGCACACGAAAGTTTTGCACCGTTATCGAACATCGGCACATACAACGTTAGTATCATTTGGAAAGGGCTTTTAGAGGTACTGCCAACGACGACTGTTCCACCCAGCATGGAAGCCAAAACAGCCAAGGTCAAGCTATCGATGGAAGGCTTGAATAGACCTCTTGGTGCTCCTCCCGTGCCTTCTGTCATATCAAACCCACCTGACCCTGAAGACCTTTTGCAATCTCCTGACGGGACGCAGTCTCCGAGTTCACCACAAGTCCAACCTTCGAATTCACCCCAATCTTCGGATTCCTTACCATCTGCAGATCCAGCACAAGTTTCGCCCGGATCTTCAGATTCACCATTGTCTTCCGATCACTCATGCGCAGATCCACCACCTTCGGCAGATTCATCACAGCTTCCAGGGGCATTTCAGAAACAGAATGAGACTTCACCCCTGCCTCTGCGGCGGAAACCGCGGCGAAAAGCGCCTGTCAAAGACAGTAAGGAGAGATATATTGCGATAGGAATTGACTTCGGGACAACGTAAATGATCCCGACACAAGACTTCCGTTACTCCCACACGTTTCCGGGTCGGCTAACCAAATAATCAGTTACTCTGGCGTTTCCTGGGCGTGTTCCTTTGATCCGGAGAACATCCAACAAGTTAAAGGATGGCCATCTGCGAACATGAGGTTACAGGACGAGGTACAGATACCGACGCAAATCAACCTCAAATCAAAGAAGTGGGGTTATCTAGTTTCCAAACACAGCGACCCAGTTCGTTGGTTTAAGCTATTGCTTCTTGACGAGCAAGATATCAAACAAGATGTCCGCAAATCCTCTTACCTGACAGAAGCAAGATCTATGCTGCGGTCGCATCCCCGCTATTCGGGCGATGGCATTATTGATCTTGTTGCTCAATTTCTGAAGGAGCTGTGGGACCATTCTCTCCAAGATATCGGAAAGCGAGTCGATGTCGACAAGTTACCACTCAAGGTAGCTGTCACGGTTCCGGCGATATGGCCCAGCTATGCCCGTGCTAGACTGAAGGAGGCGTCGAGGAGAGCAGGCATTGAGCAACCTAGGCTCATGGGCAAGACAAAGCTTTCCCTAGTTGAAGAGCCTGAGGCAGCAGCTCTCTGCACCCTCCACGAACGGCGAGAATACCCCGAGATTGAAGTTGGTGAGACCTTCATCGTTTGCGATTGTGGGGGCGGAACAGTGGTAGGTCACTGATCGAGTTATGATGATGCTCTTCACAGGCTAACGTAGCCGCAGGACATTATCAGCTATAAGGTTAAATCTACTGACCCTTTCCAAATTGAAGAAGCGGTTAGAGGAGATGGTAAGAACTCGCGAACCTTCCCTTTGACTGCGTACTTACACCTCACCTGACAGGCAAGCTCTGCGGCGCATTTCTTACCGATAGTGCCTTTGAGAGGTGGATAAAGGCCAAATCCGGTCTCAAGTTTGATGATGTCGAGGAAAAGGAATTTCGCGCCTTTCTCCAAGACGAATGGGAATATACAATGAAGCGCGCCTTTAGCGGTAAAGAGAACCAAAATGCTTTTGCCATCAGACCTCCTTCCAAGGCCATGAAAAAGCTGAAGCTGAAGAATAAAGGGGATAGCTTCCCAATCTCTAAGTCAGTGTATTCCTTGAGCTTTACAAAACGAAGACATTTGTTAACACGCACAACAGAGACACTCTCAAAGAAATTTTCTCCAAATCATGGAATGGCACAAGAGAGCTCATTTCAGGACAAGAAAAACGCATCGTGGAGACTTACGGTAAACCACCCAAAGTACGCACTTCCTCAACACCGAGTTGGTTTAGGATATGGTTTGACTGATAATTCACCTGCTGATAGAAAATCCTCCTCGTGGGCGGGCTCGGTGCCTCCCCGTATCTCTACTGGCGGCTTCACGCGCAGTTTAATGGAAATGTGCTGCAGCCGACACAAGCGTACGTCTCCTTCCTCAGACACAACATTTCTACACCCATCTCCAGTCAAACGAATTAACATGGTTATTCAGATGGTCGGCCGTTGCTAAAGGTGCTGTAATCGCTGTGCTTAAAAGCACAGACGATGTCATCGCTTCTATGCCTGTCGTTGTTTCTAGAGTAGCCAGGTTTAGCTACGGTGTGCAATTCGGGTATTCACCTAGCAGCTTGACAACTCTTGGCCAGGTGCCAGGCGATCGTGAGAAGGATGAATACTACTTTGATCCTGATGGTACAGAACTGGTCCGCAGGATGACGTGGTACCTCAAGAAGGTTCGTCTGCCAACCCCTATCCTGAACCCAAGCTTTGTTTGAAACGTGTAGCCACTAACGACTGCTTTCCAGGACGAGACGATTGATAACAGGGATCCAGTAACACACCCCTTCTCGCGGTGGGTTCAATTCCATGAGTTGTCGGACATCAAGATCACTATTTTCACCAGTCATGAAAACCCGCCACCTTTTCGGAAAAATAACTCGGTCAAATTAATGTGTGAGATCGGCATCATTGCTCTTGTTCCTTGGGAATCCTTGGAGCGGTGCACCAGTCCTTCTGGGGAGGAGTATCGAAATCTGCATGGCGTCCTGACTATGAGGTTCGAGGGCGAGCCCAAGTGGTCCTTACAAATTGGGCAAAGCAAGGTAGAACGAGATGTCAAGGTGCGGTATGAAGGGGTCTAACGCCGAGTAAGTCTTTTTTGCGGATTGATGAGTAGAAGCAAGCTTATATAAACCAAAGCTAGTTCACTTATCCGTTTGGTTCTTCGGGCAATGCCTTTCTTTAGGACAGGAAAGGCGGTAAGAAAAATCGTAATGCATTAACCCAGTATGATGACGATTTTGCTCCAGGGCAGGCCCCTAGCACATCGGGCTTACTCGATGAAAATACACAAGATGGGAAGCCAAGACGCTTGACAAACACAGTAGGTCCCCATGCTGATACTTAACTTGGCGTATTGTACAGTTCATTATCGCTGGGATGACTTTGCCTGTCAGTCTTGCTCTTGGATAACATTCATCGCAGATTCCCAAGGCAGTGTCCAAAGCGTAGGTATACTTTCCGAGTACGTGAACTATCTTTACATCACTTTTTGGTTCGGTTTTGACCAGAGCAACATCCTCTAAATTGAGCAAGGAGCATGATGTCAATGTTGGAAGGCAACGGTAAAAAGAAGAATTGTCCTGCTAGAAGGCACAGAAGGAGTGTAGTGTACCTAGCTACTTGTCAGTCATCAAAGCAATTCCTAACAATTCAGATTATCGTGTGAAAGGCTCCAGGTAATCGTGGAGCTTGGAATTAACTGCATGCAGATTAAATAAAAGAAGCCCATTTGTCGTACTTGTATGGTTGAGACCACATGAGAGACAACACAGGTAAGGGGGGGACAACGTGAGGCTTGCGGTACAACGCACGATGTGAAGCATTCCATTGGATGCCTTTCATCAGTTGCCCCTGCACGTGTACGCTCCGCCCAGTAAGATTTGGTGGCCGCTCGGTAGTGATTTTCACTTCCAATTAACAGTGCCCAACCTTCAGGCGAACGAAACCTACACCTACAATCTTCGGACTGATCAAATTTTTCCACCCATCAACTCATGTTCGCAATTGCCTTCCATCATCATCAAGAGAGGTGATTCAAGTAAACCGAGAAAAACGATCCGGTTTCTGTGTGTCCGCCATGGAGGACTACCCCCAAGGCACCACCGTCTCAGAATGGCGCGTTCATGTCCCTAAAGAAGACGGAGGAGACGGAGACGGAAGCGCTCTTGTTGTTAACGCTCCATATACACCCCCTTTCCAACCTCAACATGACCCACATGGCCACCGCCAAGCACCCAGCCCAGATTTCTATCACCCGCTTTCATACTTCGATAGCAGTGGCCAGCAAAATGCCTCAAACGGCTACCATCAACACCATAGCAATATTCTCAGTGGATGGGCTGCAAACCATCCGGTCGCTGTCGCTATTCCCGCGACCCAGAAAATAACCAGAATACATTCAGACCGCTCGGGCAAAGCCTCAAGTTTTCCGGACCATAAAGGCAGCACCCATGTCTCTTCCAGCGGCTCTCATCCCAGCAGCCCTTCGAATTATCCCTACTATGACACGACCGGTGTACCTATCGGTGGGGGAAGGTCAACGGGGGGTTGGAGATCCATTCGGCAAAGCATATTTCCGCCACAACAGCGACGGCAGCGACAGCATCAAGTTGAATCCACGTCTACTGGAAGCTCCCCCAAAAGCGAGGCCCGGCATCGCGAATCGTCTGCCGGAGGAAAGGCCCATAGATCGACGGGCGCTGTGCGTCGATCAGATCAGAAAAGAAATAGTCATAGCACCAAATCACCGGAAAGGTCCTCAGAGAAGGCCCCTGACACCAAAAAGCAGCAACCGAATCCACTCGAATCATCCATAGCAAAGACAGATGCAAAGGATCCACGGCAACCAACGTTAGCGGCACAGCCAGAACAACACAACCATCAGGGCAGTCCTTTGGCGCACAGCAAGGAAGGTCAAGGGTCTCCCGTTTTCGTTGATGACAGGGCGATTGTTCAAGAACCAGAAAGCTATTACCGATCCAAAGACCAGGGTCAAGGGCAGAAGGATCAACAACAGCTCAATCCAGATCAGTCGGTGCGTACGAGTAGTGAGGTGGAATACATCACTGAAAAATACTATAAGCATAAGCAAAAGGCCGCCGAGTTGGAACAGGAAGTTGCCACTTTGGAGGATGAGAATGACACTCTTCGAGATCTCTTGAGTAAAGAGGCTGCATCAAAAAATCTGATGAATGGCATGGGGGCAGGTAAATGTCACTTGCAAGACAGCGACATCTATCAGCAATGGAAACAGTTGGCATGGTGGGTTAGACAATGTGTTCATGTCGCGAATGACGCCAGCAAGCAAAGGGGTGCAGAGGGAGCAACAAATCGCAGCCGCCAGGTCGACGATCACAAGGAGAAGCCGTCGCCGAAGAAGCGTCCATCTCGTTCGAAATCGAAATCACGAAGAGAGACGGCTGGAAAGGAAAGTCATAGCGGAAATATGGAGGCTTTGATAACGATCACGCCATACTATGATGCGTTTCTTGACACTGACAAGCAACGGATAGCGTTGGCGGAGGCCGCAATCTGGAAAACACTGCTGGAAAAGGGTATTTTTACTACAAGTTCAACTATCAGTCGCATGGAATGGGCCGGGAGATATGCGCACAGCATACGTCCAATGCGTAAGTCTTTCACCACTATGCCCCATGTGTGGAGGCGAACAGGATGTAATGGAGGTTCAGTATTAGCAAGCTAATCATGTAAGTGCGTGACAGTGGCCGATTGTTTCGAGCGTTGCCGCACATCCAGGGAATTCCACAGCTGGCGGTGTCACACTGCAACGTTCCTCGCATCGCTAACCTCCGCGGATGATTTGCTCGTCCAAGTCAATCCGGTAGTTGAGATTCTGAAAAGCAGACTCAAGCTTATCTTTGACATTGAAAGCGCCGTCCTCAGCCACGATCTCAAGAACATAGTACTCAACGCCTTCAAACTCGACAAGCAGCTCTGCCAGCAACAGGCACTCTGGTTCTGTGATGACCCCTCGGAGGACGCTTGGGCCAGTCCTACCCACTCTGAGAGTGGCGATGAACTTTCAGCTGCCGTGAAGTTGAGAAGCAGAGAGGTGTGGTTCGAAGACAAGCTCATGGCGGTGACGGACGCAAAGAAGGAAAAACTGGGGAAGAGCGCGGCAGTGACTCTGATCATATGTCCAGCGCTGATCAAAGCGGGTAATTCGTATGGAGAGGACTACGATGTGCTGCAAGTCCAAGCCAAGTGCGAGGTCGTCATATCGAGGAACGCTCCAAAACTGGCCACATCCGCACCAAGGTCAACATCCGCACCAAGGCCAAAGCCAATGTCGGCGTCATCCTCGAAAGTGATGCTCTCGTCGTCAGCAGCGCCCACATCAGGAATCCAGTCGAGGTCAACATCTGGCCAGCACGGGATAATGGATATAACTTCGGGCATGATGAAGGCTAGCCCTCGCGTTGAATTCGACATGAGCGGCAACAGCAGCCAGGACTCAGACGACCAGGAATGACAGGTTAAAGCAGCACCTTGTTCAAATCTCCAACGAGTTCGTGGATTCATAAGGCGAAATGTGGAAACGCGTATTGAGATTGTGTGAAGACATGTTTGATTGTCATTTAAATATCGTTTTCCTTTATACAACTTGTCAAAAGGTTTGACATCTTTTGTATGGCCTGTTCCTGCGGTGGCAGCAGATGGCGTACCTGGCTGGTTTGCTAACATTTCCTTGTTTCTTTAGTCTTGTGATCAATTCCAATCGCAAGGAATACTCAAATGGTCGCTCAACTTACTTTAAGGATCCGTGAATTATCAGATAATACTATAACGTGAAAAGATTCCCGGACCTCGTCAAGCATAACAGAGAAGCCGGTCACGATTGATGGCTAGAGAACTCACAGACTCATGAGCCATTGCGCTTCGTAAATCTTGGGAGAATGAAGGAGGAATCCCATGGTCGACATGGTAGAGAAGCCTACACGTGCACTCGCAAGAGACTAGCAGCTACGTACGGCCAGAGATACTGAAAACCACCAAGATCGACCAACAACGCACAAACAAACGAAACCAACTACAGTAAAACCAAGTCTTTCAAGGGAAGCAATTTTCATCATGGTTAAAGATCCGGGAATGAACGCAGGTAATGAATTCAAGTCCAAAGCATCAGTGACCATGCCACCCCTCAGGCTCCAGAGTCTGAGCAATAACCATTTTGCCTGGTGTCCTGCTTGGCGAGGAGGATGAGCGGGCACACGCTGGTGTCTGGAATTGCTATGAGATCGGCCAGGGGTGATTCAGATCACCCCAGGAGCGAGGGTTAATTGACCAAGGGGGAGAAGAAAAAACCAAATGTAGATGAGAGGACAGAACACGATTTCAGAGGCATCTTGGTGCATGTGAGCCTGACAGATGTGGAGGCAAGCTGTGCAGCCGTCGCCATTGTTCAGGCTGTATGGGTGTTTATGTTGATGGAATCGACGTGATTTTGAGATATGCAGAGTGCACTTTCTCTTGTTGCGATGGAAGAGTGATCGAGTCCCCTGCTTGCCCGGTGGCTGTTCAGGGTTGAGAGAAGAAGCCAACGGAAGCTGCATCTTGGCATCATTGCGACGAGGGATTGCTTACTAAGCAACTTGAAGTGAGGAGGAGTTGGTTAGGGAACTGGGAGAGCAATTTCCCATCACGACTTCCCCACTCTTAACTTCACGTTGAAGGTGTTGAACCATCATTAAAGTACTATGTTGACCATTTCTTTCGTTCTCAACTAAACTAGCGAGACTAGGTACATCTGCCTACATTGTGGCAAGGGAAGCAATGGTGAGTGCCAGGTTCAATACCTTTACGAAGATTTTGACTTCTGTTACAACGCCCGGGCTATTTTTCAGCTCCTCCCTTATGCGCGCTATGCGCATCTTCACCCTTTCGCCGATGTTGGCCTTCAGTCGTTCCTGCCTTTCCTCCAATTTGTCGTCTTGTGGGGTCCCTTGAACAGTATCATTATCTTGATCATCGCTCTTTGCGGCCGAGCTCATGAACTTCGCAATCTCCTCGTCCACTGTCTGCTTGAAAGGCAATCCCGCTCTCGTTTCTCCCAGCTTCTTGTTATAATCGACGAGCTCCCTCTGTACGTCAAGGACTATACTTTCTTCATCTTGCGTTAACTCTAGAAGAATAGCCTCGGCCGATTCATACGACCCATGATACCGCGTCGGCACAGAACCCTTCTCGAGCATGGGTGCCCACCACCTATTGATCAGCTCCTGTTCGCGAAGGAGGGCGTTGCGCATATCTTCCGGCTTGATCGCGTCCCAATGCGTGGTTACTAGTGAAACCTTTTTCATGGCCTCATCTCCGCACAGGGACTGGAACATGTTTAGGAACTTGAGAGATGACCCTTTCATCCTGACCTCGGTTATCGAGTGCATGTAGATAATGCCTTTCAGCGGGACACCTAAGATATACTGGGTGGCCAAAAACTCGGCAATCGCTTCAAGCACTTTCTCGTCGGAGCGAAAAGTATCATCGAAACCAGGAGTATCGACCACAGTAACGGACTCGGTATGATCTCCATCCAGGAATAATTTGACGGCTTGCGGAGCCTTTGTGGCCATTCGTTGATCACAGAGGGTCAGTTACTTGTGCTTGGTTAGGCTGTTGTTTGTGGTAGGGAGCCTCATCTAGAGGTACTTACTCGACTCCATCGTATGCCCTACTACAGCCGACCCGGGCTTTAGTTGGTTGATGAACGTGCTCTTTCCTACACCAGTCACACCCATTACAAGAACGATTCCTTCCTTTTCTTGTGAGGTTTCCATGACGATAGTTACTAGCACGGCGACTGAAAATTGCTGACGACAAGGTTTGACTGGGTGGGACGAAGATTGCGCTGTTGATGGTGTTAGTACAGAGCACGGGGGAAAGGGATGGAAACCAAGCAAGGCGAGGGATGGAAACAAGGCCCAGCGCAGCAGTCGGTCCCAGCACAGGAAAGAAAAGGAAAGTAGAAACTCACAAAGCCCCACTCCACAAATACCTCCTCCACCTTTCCTTCTTCCTCCTCCTCGGAAAGAAGCCCGCGTGGGATTGTAAATTGTGGTGTCATGGGTGGTTGGCTTGGGGAACGGCTGAGATCAGTGGCGACGGATTTCTAGGAGGGTTCGATTCTGTTGCATTCTGACTGGATGCCACTCACGCGGTCTGAAGAAGGGGTTGTGCCTCACACAAGGCTGTGGCTATAATTTACATGCGATGTGTGTCAAGGTCCTTGTGGACGCCACGTTTCCTCCGAGATTTGACGGAAGCGAAGGCAATTGGGCATCCGTCAGGCAACCGCGGGGTTATTAACTGTGTGCGAGAGTCTGCCACGGGAAACGTAAAACAAGAGTGTGGTACGGCCCATCGCAGTTCAGTCTCGAGATACAGCTCTTGGTCATTTCACCCAGGACGTAATTTTGAGCAGTCAGAAAAGAATCAAGTCATTAACTGAAGTCAACCCAGGCTACCAGGTAAGTTCAATGGTACGAAAAATTGCCGTGGACGACAGCACTTCCTTCGATTACAAGTACCGCCCACCTGCGCTACGCATACACTATCCCTCATCCTCTTCGTTCAGCTTCGTACAAACATGCTAAACGGAGCAGCGCGAAGCAGATCGACAAATTCTATTGGCTGGGACATGTACCAGAAGGTTGTATGTTGGGCAGTGTGGCGTAGTCAAGCTCTGCGTGTTTTTGCGACCGTGACTGGGAACATGTCAGACACCTCTACAAACAGCTGAAGGAACAAGACGGTTCTGCTTTAGAGGTTTCCTCTGTAATGGGCCGAGGCGCTCGACACGACAATCAGACACTGAGCCTCTTCGCGATACTCTGCATATCAGAAAATGGAAACCGATGATGGCGACGACTATGTTGCGATCGGGATTGATTTTGGGACCGCGTAAGTTGACCATTTCCTTATTTGCTTGACTTCAGCATTGACGAGATTCGTAGGTACACGGCTGCATCGTGGGCCTGTTCCAAAGAAGCAAGTAACATTCACCATGTTACAGGATGGCCGTCGCTAGAGGTAGATGAGCGACTGATGAACGAGTCGCAAATTCCAACTCAAGTTGATCTCAAGACAGGAAAATGGGGTTTCCTAGTCCCGAAGAACGCGACCCCTATTCGCTGGTTCAAACTGCTCCTTCCTAACCCTGATGAGTTGGGAGAAGATGTTAAGGCATCCCCGCATCTCAATAAGATGAAGTCAGCTGCTTGAGGTGCATGAGAAGGCGACTGGTTACGGCCTTGATGATTTGATTTCAGACTTCTTCAGTGCGATTTGGCAGCACATAATTCATGATATCGATCGCCACATCAGTGTGGGCAAACAGCAGTTGAGGATTGCTGTTACTGTTCCCGCCCTTTGGTCGGACTGTGCACGTCAAAGGTTGATGGCTGGGGTCAAAGCAGGCATTCGCGGCCACAGCCTCTACAGCCAGACGGATGTCACTCTACTTGACGAACCCGACGCAGCAGCAACCTGTTTACTCTATGAAGGTGGGCTATCGCCTGGAATTGAGGTCGACGACGCTTTCATATTATGCGATTGCGGCGGGGGGATGGTTGTAAGTCGACCCTTCCTCAGCACAGAAAGCCCCTGATTTATCTTAGATCACCTTAATTCGCAGTGACTGACCGACGCAATACACTGGTAGGATATAACTGCTTATGTCAAAGTTACTGCATCATCGCCGGCTAAAATCCAGATGATAACACAGGGAGAAGGTAAGAGAGCAGCGAGGCCACACTTGCAAGGTTAGCAGCATCAACTGACACATGAGTGTAATCAACAGGCAAGCTTTGCGGAGGGTTTCTAGTCGATACGAGCTTTGATAACTGGATCAAACGCAAGTTTCCGCGTACCAGCACAGCAGACAGTGAATTTTGGGATTCTTTGAAACGTCAATGGGAGTATACAGTTAAGAGGACGTTCAGCGGCAGTGATCTTCACGAGCCTCTCGCTATCAACTCGCCCGCCGATTATCCTGGGAACAGCATCCAGATTCCAAAGTAAGCGCGTAATTATGTTTGCTTTCGGACATTTGTTTGAAGTATACCCTGCTGACTGCGTCACGGAAATGACAGACACTCTGTTACTCAGTTCTTCGCGAAGACTTACTCTGGGGTTAGACAACTCATCAATGAACATATGAAGGCGGTCGAGCAAGGACACGGGAAGATACCAAAGGTAAGTCATCAGAATAGAGGCTATCGCCACGCCGCCGTGGACTGACGCTAATACTTGGATTTTTTCTTGGCAGAAAGTGTTCCTTGTTGGGGGTCTCGGCGCTTCTCCCTACCTATATTCACAACTGCAGAACCAATTTCAGAACGTTTCACAACCTTCCCATCCGTAAGTCATAACGACCGCAGACCTTGTTTAGCCTTATGACGGTCGTGATTCATTTTCCTGCCGTCCGCTAACATTCCCTCCTTTCCAGACCGTCGGCAGTGGTGACAGGTGCGGTTATCATGCTTTTGAACCGTCGATTCGCCATAGTCTCCAAAAAGTTCATGAAGGCAACAAAGCCAAGAGGACTTGCGTTAGGGGCAAAGACATTCTTGCAGCCCTCGCAGACAAATTCTATCCAAGTCTTGTCTCATGAGTCGTCAGACAACGGCGGCGACCCGATTGATGCAACTTCAACAGCTAACTGCTGGCCTAACGCTGTCGATTTGTCAAGTTCTACTACTTCTAGCTCCGAGGATCCTCGCCTGGAATTATCAAACATTCTGGGCAAGCAAATTATGCTGTTACGGAATGAAAACAAAGGGCTGAGACTAGAGCTTGAGCGCATGGCGGGGAAAAAAAGAATAGAAAAGGAATACCAGCCTCAGGCGGGCGACGATCATCGACGGACGAATGCCTCTACCACTCTGAAGTATCCTCCCAGTTCCTATCCTCTTGCTTTAACAGTTGTTCCACGGCCGTCGAGGGCAGCCTGGCCCGCCTACTATGAGGTATCATGGCCAAGGCGAAACCGTGCTCAAAAGTACATCGCGATCGGAATTGACTTCGGAACAATGTATGTTACATTTTCCACCATCACCTCAAGCTTTCATGTGTCTGGGGGCTAACTCAATCCCAGTTACACGAAAGTTTCGTGGGCCTTCTCTGTTCACGCAGATATTATCCATGATGTGACAGGCTGGCCCTCCATCGTCCCCAGCCTGCATGAGGTGGAGGTTCCCACTCAACTCGACCCCGGGACGGGTAACTGGGGTTATATGATTCCCGATAACCACGATCGGATTCGCTGGTTGAAGCTGCTGCTGCTCAACGATGAAGACGCCAAGGAATATCACGACTCACAGTATCTGGAACGGGCGCGCCAACAACTGAAGGGGGTTCCAGGATACGCGGGAGACGGCGTGATTAAGCTCGTTGCGAGATTTCTCAGGGAAATATGACATCACACACTGGAAGATATCAGACGTGAGATTAGTATCGATACGTTGCCTTTAAAGGTTTGCCTAGCTGTGCCCGCTATCTGGCCGGCATATGCGCGAGAAAGACTGAAGGAGGCAGCTAGAAGGGCGGGTATTGAAGAGAGAAGGAGAATCGGCGAAACAAAGCTCATCTTGGTTGAAGAGCCGGAAGCTGCAGCCTTGTTAACGTTATATGAACGAAGGAATCATCCTGATATCGAGGTCGGAGAGATCTTCATCGTTTGTGATTGTGGCGGTAGCACGGTGGTACGTTATAGGGCTCCTAGTCCCATCGTCGTCGTCGCATTAAGCTTGAAAACTAACTTTTCGGCTAGGAGGTTATTAGTTATGAGGTTACTTCGACCGACCCTTTCTTCCAGGTCAAGGAAGTTGTCAAAGGAGACGGTAAGGAAACGATTGAATCTGATGATAGGTATGGCTACTAACAGTGGTACTTACAGGCAAGCTTTGTGGTGCTTTCCTCGTAGACAGTACATTTGAGCATTGGATGAAGATGAAATCCGGTTTGAACTTTGGAAAGGTCGAGGCCAATGAGTTTCGCTTGTTCATGAACGATGAGTGGGAGCACACTATAAAGCGAACCTTCAGTGGCAGAGAGGCTCAAGATACATTTGTGATCAGGCCTCCAGCCAGGGTCTTCTCGATGCTCAAGAAGTTCAAAGGCACTACGGACAAGTTCCATGTTCCCAAGTCAGTAGAGGTACATTTTCCGCATGCTGAATGGCGAATAACTGACGGCATTGCAGGGATACTGTCGAATATTTCTTCCACAAGACGTACACGGGCATTCGGACACTCATTAGTGAGCAGTGGGCCCTGATCCGAGAGAAATATGGGGGCGGCCCAAAGGTGAGCCTCGAATCAATGAAAATCATTGTTCCTCTGAATGCCGGGGCTAACGATGGATGTAAAGAATATTCTTCTGGTTGGTGGTCTGGGTGGTTCGCCCTACCTATACAATCAGCTCAATGGACAGCATCAGAACGTACTACAGCCAGAACGAGCGTATGAATCCCCTCAGCTACTCCTAGTAGAAGCGCTCATGCACCAGACAGGCTGTTGACTGACCTGAATCTTGACGCAGATGGTCGACTGTAGCAAGAGGAGCTGTGATCGCTGTCTTGAAGGGAGCATCTGACACCCTTCCAACACTGCCTTCTGTCGTCTCGCGAGTAGCTAGGTTCAGCTATGGTGTCGAGTTTGGCTGTCCCGTTGATGGAGTGCATCCACCTCTGGACCGGTCAATAGACCGATGTTACACGAGTTCCGATGGCAGAGAAATGGTCTATAGGATGTTCTGGTATCTTAAACAGGTATGAAAAGCTCCAAGAGTGAAGACTCTCCAAGGAAGTCCAAGTACTGACAAGACTGGCGTAGAACGAACCGGTGGATAACCGCGAACCGGTAGAATATGCATTCTACAAGTACATTCGAACTCCGAACAACCTGAAAAACGTGGAATTGGACATAATGACGAGCGATGTTGAGAACCCACCCGTGAGAATAGACCACACGGGCTCCGTCCAACATCTGTGCACCATCAACTACGATACATGTTCCTTGGAGCGAGTTGTCGCAGATAAGGGATTCGCAGGGCAACATCCACCGCCGGATGGACAACTTGCGGCTGATGATGAAATTTGAGGGCGAGCCCAAATGGTGGTTAAGAGTTGGTAACGATACGATTGAGCGAGAGGTTAATGTGCAATACCGGGGACAACGAATGATCAGTATGCTGAGCTTGAAGGTTTGACTTCTGGTACCGTTGCTTGGTATCCCTGCTTGGAGAGGGGGATAAGCAGGCACTCGTTGGTGTCTGGAAATCACCGTGAGGCCGGCTAGGTGGTGATCGAAAGCGTGGGTAACAGGGCTAAGGGGAGAGAGAGAAACTTGAATGTAGAAGACAGGACAGGATAAGATATCAGAGACATCTTGGTGCGTGTGAACTTGGCTGATGTAGAAACAAGTTGTGCAGCCGTCACAGGGAGTGTAGTGGATTGAAATTTGAAGTGATGATAAGTAGGTTGTTGATAGCAAAAGAGAAGGAAATTAACACTGAAATGGTCCACTTCGCACGGCAGGAACAACTTCCCAATCCTCATTTATCTCCACGGCAGGACCGACTGAATGAACCGGAAGAGCGCACTTGCTCCTACAGTTCCTGATACATTCCACTTGCCAACTGAACTGTGAAGTCAACCCAGTCAGTAGAGGGCAGGAGCAAGTGATTCCACGAACCACTCAGGATGCATCATAGCCTATACACCTAGAAACTCCTTGTCATAGTTGCTGCATGGGGAAGGTCAGACCGGTAATTTTGCATTGCAAAGGACGATGCATGGATGATGTGGAGGGAAAGCGCAGCTTGAAGAAGTCCATGGTGTTGATGTCTTGATGTCTCGAATGGATCCTCACCAGCCACTTGGAGATCAACTGTGGCTGGTGATGGTGACCCATTGCGCTAAATCGATTGACGGCACTGTAGGCACCAGGGCGCCATGTGGCTTTGACTACAGTGGGGTTGAGCCGTTCTCGGGGCTGTCAGTTTGCAGGGCAGTTGCAGAACCTCAACTGAAGACGGGACCGGGGTCAGGTCGGTTGTCACTGTGTTGCCCGGCAAGCTCTCCCCACCAGTGTTTGGTTTGAAGGCAGCGTCGCGTAGCCCGCCCAATTGGTCGCTGCCGCACCCAACCACAACATACACCCAAACCAAAGTCTCACCCTGGAGTCGCGAACGAGACTGACAACCAGCCAGCGCTGCAGCCGCAACAAGCAAATCAAGAGCCCGGTCGACGTAACCCTTTCCGACTTACCGTCTGTATCGCGACTTCATTGAACGCTGCCGCGCGACCGAGACAGCCCTTGCTGCCGCCGCCATCTCAATCCCTCCTCCACCACATCAGGTGCTTCGGTCGCAACAAAGTGTTTGGGAGAGTGGAAAGTCATGTCGTGTTGACATACATCATAGGTTGCTGTTGTCGTCGTTGGAGAAGCTGGCCCTTGGACCCTTCCCTGTCGGTGACCTGCTTGCCGGGTGCATCATACATCTTCAACTCTTTTTTTGTTTTTCCCCGACGTCACAGACCATCTTGTGCTTCTCGAAAGCGGCATCTTCAGCATTCCATCACTCTCAAATCTACACTTTGCGACGCTTTTAGCAAACGACTCTTCTTTTGTTGATACTTTCTTAATACAGCAGCTGCATCGTCCATTGTTCGCGCGCCCTTCATTGAGCGCAGCCCATCTCCCCCTTGCACCCGGCTTTTGCTTTGACCGTGCAGGCGCAGACTGATTCCGACACGATTGTCCCGTCCATTCACGAGTTTCACGATTACGAACAACGATTCAGCCCTCGCTCATTCCCTGCGTCCTCGACAACCATTCCTCCGTCTCGAGTCAACCTTGCGAATTTGCTCCTCCCACCGACCCTCCGACACTCGGTTTTCTGGACGAGGCGCTTCACCCTTAGTTCACCATTTCTTATTCGGTGATCCCATGGATCGGTTTTGCCGGTAGCATATTTCATACGCCACTGCGACCGCGGGTTTGGTGGTTCGGCCATGGCTGGGAAGATGACGCCAAATAATGTTACCGTCTCTCTTTTGCTACGGCAGGCCATATATTACCATCTCGACAACTGTGCCTACGAGAGCGCCCTCTTCTTTGCCGAACGACTTTATGCCCACGACCGATCTTTTTGCGATTCCGCCTATCTTCTCGCCTACACTCACTTGCGACTCGGCGATGCTCGAACCGCCTACCAGTTCAGTCGGGGCCCAGGGTATAGAGGCTTGCATTTGGGGTCCTGCTATGTCTTCGCTCAGGCGTGCTTGGAGTTGGAGCGATACAAAGATGGGATTACGGGCTTGGAGAATGGGAGGAAACAATGGTCCAAGTCGGATAACTTGGGGAGACATACCTCTTTTACCAGGATGCCGTATCCCGATGCGGCCGCCTTCAGTTGTCTCCTGGGCAGACTCTACCGAGCATACGACGACAAGAAGAAGGCAATACCATGTTTTGAGGAGGCGCTACGATGGAATCCGTTCATGTGGGAAGCCTTCACAAGCCTTTGCGACATGGGAGTGAGAGTTAGAGTGCCCAACGTTTTCAAGGCGAGCGACGGTCTTGCGCGCAACCTCGAGCATGGCCTTAACGCTACGCCCATCCTTGCCTGGATTGCAGGCCCTTCTCCACAGCCACCGGAGCCATTACAGCAAAAGAAGACGGGGCAGCAACAGAATAGGCAGCCAAGCGATCTATTCGGGCCATATGGGACATCCCAGGAATCAGCGTCGTTTCCAGATTCCGAAAATGGCTTTATATCCAAGATGTATCTTTCTCAGTCAGGAATTACATCAAGTCAGCCAGGGAAACCATTCGAGGAAACCGATACGCAACCTGCGCCTGCTCCCACCGCCCATAATTCTCAGGTTGGTCGTGCTGGACACCAAGCAGAGCCGCCGCAAGCACCACCTCGCAGAACTCGGGCGGCTCAAGCAGCGGATTCTGCTTTGACTGATGCGCCACCGAAAATGGGTCACCGGCTGGGAACAAGAAGGAAAGATAAGGCTCAAGAATCTGCCACAGACCATGCGGATTCCGGTGCCAAAACGTCGACTGTCTCCAGTTCAACTGCTGAAAGGAAACGTACGGCAGCGGGGCACCCAGTCCAAACCAGATCAATGAACAGTGATGAACCCAGGCGAAGCGCAAGACTCAACGTGGTTCCAAGATCAACGGCAACCAAGGCATCGAGCACGGCAGCAACCCGCGAGCTGAGGAAGGCTAGGCCCCCAATATCTCGATTTGCTCGGCCGGGCTCTAGTGGAGCAAACCTTGGTCGGGTTATCAGTGGCAACCGAAAGCCACCACAGGAGGATAATGGTATGGACATTGACCACGCCGAGGCACCACGCGCCAAGGAGCCGCCGGTGGTGCAGGCGGCACCACCTCCGCCCCCCGCCCCTAAACCAGCCGAGTCTGAGTCTGTCAAGGCGGTTGAGGAAGCTTTGAAAACAATATTCGACTTGTTGAAGAAGTTGGCATCCGGGTATTCGCTCTCATCCGAGTTTCAATGTCAGGAGGCAGTGGCGGCCTATATGTCACTACCGCGGAGCCACCAAGACACACCGTGGGTTTTGGCACAGATGGGAAGGACGCAGTATGAGCAGGCGAACTATGCCGAGGCAGACAAGTATTTCAAGCGTCTTCGCGTTATTGCTCCAACTCGCCTCGAGGACATGGAGGTCTACTCGACTGTTCTGTGGCATTTGAAGAAAGAGACGGAGCTTTCATTCCTCGCCCATGAGATGATCGACTCGGTGTGGGATTCACCAGAAGCCTGGTGCGCCCTTGGTAACGCATGGTCATTGGCGTATGATCATGAGCAAGCCCTGAGATGCTTCAAGCGAGCGACGCAACTTGATCCCAAGTTTGCGTACGCATATACCCTACAAGGACACGAGCACGTGGAGAACGAGGAATACGACAAGGCCCTCACGGCCTACCGACACGCCATCGCGGCTGATAAGCGCCACTACAATGCTTACTACGGCATCGGAAGGGTTTACGAAAAACTGGGCAACTTCGACAAGGCACTGAGCCATTATCACGCTGCTTCGGTCATCCACCCGACCCACGCGGTGTTGATCTGCTGCATGGGCTCGGTCTTGCACAAGCAGAAACAGATCAAACAGGCCCTACCGTACTTCACCAAAGCGACCGAACTGGCTCCGCGCGCCCCTGATGTCCGGCTAAAGAAGGCTCGTGCCCTTTTGCAGACGGGACAAGTGAAGGCGGCGCAGACAGAACTCATGATTTTGAAGGACTTGGCTCCAGACAGGGCCCAGGTGCACTTCCTTTTGGGCAAGCTCTCCAAAACACTGCACGATAAGAAATCGGCGGTGCGCCACTTTACCATTGCCTTGAGCTTGGATCCAAAGGTGAGTTTCATCCTGAAGGGTGTGACGGAGCAACAAGATTTTGCTAACTGTCGCTGCTTATAGGCGAGCCTTCAAATCAAGGAAGCCATTGAGAGCTTGGAGGAGGACGACGAGGGACCGGATGATTCCATGATGCAGTGATACCCCTGAAGTTAAACATGTTGCTTTCGGTTTTGGCGGTATGGGTTTGATGGGACTTTCTTTTTATGGCTACGGGTTTAGGTTGCATGATGATGCGTCTTTCGAGTTACATACCCCCAACAAATTGCGTTTGAAAAGCATGGCTTACCAGATGGATATGATGTTATTGGCGACGGATGGGTGACAGAGTGTCATTAATCTGATGAACGGGGATTTCTTGCTGGATGCCGGGATGGGACAGGAAGAGCAGGCCGTTCGCTTCTAGATGCAGCTACTGCTTCACATTCACATTCATGTTTGCATGGCAATGGCGTTTTTATGCTTGGGAACGAGGATCACATACGGGGAAGTTTGAGGAAGCCGGGTTTTGGCATCCCCTCATTCTTGGGTTCAGATCTCTCACCTACATGGAATTCTTCAAAACGGCATACTGGGCGATCAGACGGGGAGGTTTGCATTGAGTTACCTCAAAATCGCATTGGCCAAGATGGGTATATCCATTGGAACAGGAGTCTGGGATATGCGGTTATGTCTTCTTGTGAAGGAGGCAGAAGGAAGTTCGCGGTTCAGGTCGGAGGGAGTTGATGAAGGAAAGGACAGTCATTGCAGATTGGAATCGAAGAATAGGTACTAATGCAAGATGTCAAGTCTGACAAGGTACTCGAACTGGCAAGAGCGTCCGTATGGCTTCGTATGCGACGCCTGGTAATTCGGACGGGTCAACTTCGTCGTGGTGATTTGGTGAAGAGAAGAGTTGCAAGAGCGGATGACACATGCGAAGAAGGCACCACGACGCCCGGAGATACCAGGCCAGAAGTACCGGACTGCACTGGGACAGCTTCAGCAACTGCAACCCGTCTGGAGTCTGGAGGCAACGTGAGGGTGATCTGGGATGGGTGACTCCAGTGCGCTTCAAGGTTCTAGAATATACAAATACATCAGAGGACCTTTGAATCCCCAGATTTCCCGACGCTCCTTGTTTCCTCCTTTTGTTTTCCACCTTCTCTTCAAGAATCTCACCCATTTCAGACGCGATTTCCAAATTGGAACCAATCAGAGCGAACCTGCTCGAACAATTCGAGATCAGAATCAGACAAGAGCGGTCTGCTGGCCCGTTCTCGGTTTCCAGACGACGCTAAAGCAAGGTTGAGCCACGCACAGATCATCTTACGGTCTTTCCCGCATATTTTTGGACCAACAGCACAACGCGATGTGCAGCGGGCCGCTCTTTTGGGGGAAAACAAACGCTTCCTAGCACCACGCTTTTGGAGCAAGAAATAACAAGCGATTTGCACGTCGCAAAATACGGCAGTTTTGATTCAGTTCTAAAAAATAAATTCACACAACGCACGCAGGCACCACCACTCGTAATTCCGAAAAAGGATTAGTGCCCTTTTGCTATCGGCCACCTTCCCACTCATTCCACCCTTCGTAATCAGCACCAACCCCCAAAGCCGCAATCCGGGCAGGCGCGCAGCCACCTGTTGAAACCTTTCTTGCCCTCTGGTGACCCGCTGATTCCATTTCCCACCCCCCCGTTTCCCGTGCCTATTTAACCAGATCCTCTCCCTCGCCCCAAACCCTCTCCATTTCCTGTTCCTCTTCTCAGCGTTCTTGGTGTCTGCTTTTTCTTATCCACAAACAGTACTCCATCAATCTGTGCATCGCGCCACGGATTATCTACATCAAATAAACAACTCCATCAACTAATCAACATGACTGGACGTAAGTAATAATCATTTGTTCTCATCCTCTTCGTCGACGTCGCTGTCGTCGATGCATGGCTGCGCGGTTGCTTGACCAAGACTTCGCGATACCTGTTTGGCGGTCGAGCGTGTACGTGGGGAATGTGTGGTAGTGATGCATGGGGCATGGCTCCTTAACGCGTCACGTCACCTCACCTGCAGCACACTGCCTTCAACCACATCACGCATTCACATCGTCAACAACCACCAACTTGCATCTGACCTTATCGTCGTCGACAACCATTTTCTATCTGTCCTTCAGATAAAGCTGACATGATGGTTCTATAGGCGGAAAGGGTGGCAAGGGCCTCGGCAAGGGCGGTGCCAAGCGCCATCGCAAGATTCTTCGCGACAACATTCAGGGTATCACCAAGCCTGCTATCCGCCGTCTCGCCCGTCGTGGTGGTGTCAAGCGTATCTCTGCTAGTATGTCGCCTTCCTCCAACCATCCCACCAGTCAACAGTCAACTAACCCTTTCTCCCAACAGTGATCTACGAGGAGACCCGTGGTGTTCTCAAGACCTTCCTCGAGGGTGTCATCCGTGACGCCGTCACCTACACCGAGCACGCCAAGCGCAAGACCGTCACCTCGCTCGACGTTGTCTACGCCCTCAAGCGCCAGGGCCGTACCCTCTACGGTTTCGGTGGTTAAATGTGACCATGAAGCTTTATACTTCTGGTTAGGGGACGTTCACGACGATAGGGAGAACAACAAACGAGCGATTGATTACTACAACATTGGCATGAAACTTTGGGCGAATTTTTGTGTTGCGATTCAAGTTTTGATACAACCGCACAAGGGAATGGCGTTCTTTGGGGCACACGGGTACTACCGCTTTTGACGGCTGGTTTTGGCGGGGGGCGTTGGTTAGTCATGGCAAAGGCAAAGGGACGACTACATCTTTGATATGATGAGAAACATACAAAGCGAGATGGATGGATGCAGGGGAAGATTTGTTGTCACAGTGCGTTGCGCGCTTCTTCTCTCTCCATTCTTCTGTTGTTCAGTTGTCACCAAATGAGAGAAAGGAAGATGTATGATGGGCACGTAATAGGCTAGTCATCATCGATTACTTCACATGATAATTCAACGTCCTCTGCAGCGTGTTTCCTCAGTCTTGGGTCCTACACTATGTCGGCGATGTGTGATGCGTGCATGAGTGATGGCGTACGATTTAGGCTGCTAGGAATTGGCATGTTCTCCCAAGTCCTTGCTGAACAACGCCGACAGTTTTGGATATGATCATGAAATGCGTCTTGGTCTTTTATGGCTGAACGATACCGCTCGCCGGCTCGATTTGTATGCTTCAACTAATAAATGACTTCAACCCTTCCAGCTAATCCAAGGGGTATAAAACATTACGAGTACCGTATCACATCCCTTCTTGTCCCTAGTCCTATCATCATCACATCGACAACCAATTCCCATCTCCTCGGTGACGTCCCACGGCATTCATACCATCCGACTGTAACCTAACACTCTCAAAACCACCCAGACATCCATCCCCGTTCCTTGCTGTGGTCTCCTTCGGTGGTATCACCTCCTCCCGTTTCTCTGCCCGCTCCGTCTCCAGGGACATCTGCCTCCCCATCCCCCTTCCACTCAGGATCACCACCTCCACTCTCGTCTGCCCCAACAACCCAACCCACTCTGTTCCTACCAGCATCATCACCGTCTTTTTCTTTCTCCTTCTCCTTGTCTCTTCCCTTCTCCCGGCCCTTCACCTCGTCCAGAGCCTTCACCTTATCCATTGCCTTCCCTCTGGTCTTCCCCCAACTACTACTCTCCCACTTCACAACCCTGCCACCAGTGCCGCCACCTCCAGCGTAGTATCTGTCCTACAAATACTTCCTCCCCGCAGCCGCCACCCTCGCCCTAAACACGGGACTCCGAATCTCCATGTTCGTCTTATAAAACGGACTCATGATGGCTTTCACGTAGTTCTCATACACCTCCGCAAAGAAATTCCGTATCGCTTCTTCGGTCTGCGGGGAGGTCGGGTTGGCTGCTATCGAGGTCGAGGTTCGCGAGCTTGTCCCGCCGCCCCCGATTAGGGTGGGGGTGCTGGAGTTGGAGCCTCCGGTCAGGGTGGAGAGGGAGGGGATTACTGATAAGGAAGAGGTCGAGGCGGAGGTTGGGGGGTGGTGGGAGGATTGGACTAGAGTGGAGGTGGAGGAGGAGCCGGAGGAAGAGGGGTGGGGGAGGGCAGAGGAGGAGGAGGAGGTCGAGGGGGGTTGGTGCAACAGGAGGAATTTGATGTTGGAGGCGGTTAGGAAGCAGGAGATGTAGGAGGTGAAGAAGCGGTCGATTAGTTTGAGGTACCTGGGGGTGGGTATGAGGTTAGTATGGGGACTGGAAGAGGAGAGTGAGAGAGGGGAGGGGGGAAAGAAGGGGGCGAGGGGACAATGGGGGGAAGGAAGACATACATCTGCCCGTTGGTCCATTGGACTTCTTCGACTATGTCGAGACTGCTGTGGATGATGAATTGGTTGAGCTGTCGCGCTTGTTCGGTGAAGCGCGCCATGCCGTCGCCGCCTTGTTTGCTGGTGCCAAAGTCATACTCGAACAGCGGATTGTCTTGGGTGCCGATGATGGCGAAGTAGTAGCTCATGATTGTTGTTTCTGTGGTGGTGTCTGGTATCCCTGATGTCCTCTGTGCTGCGCAAGCTCCCCTGTCTGGTGTGTTGGTCTATCGATGATCGATCTATCGTTCGCTTTCGTGTGTTTCTGCGTCTCGTATCGTGCGTGGAGGTGTCGTCGAAAATGTGTTTGCGACCAGCGCTATTTCGTTGGTGGTTCGGGGTCGCGACAAGCTAAAAGGTCCGGAATTGGGTTGGGTTGTTCTGTTCTTGTTGCTGAGAATGCTGGAAATCGTACAGCGGCCGGTTTGGCGGGCGGGCGCGGTTGTTGGAGCTGGAGGTTCGGTGACGGATGGCGCTAACGCTGCAGGTGCTCCCGTGTCCCCCGTGCACCCGTGTGTCCATCTGCCGCGGACAGTGCGCGGACAGCGGGGTGATTTTTGGAGCAAATGGAAAAGATCGGGGAATTTCACAAAGATGGGGGCTCCACGAGGCTGAACAGTGGACCTTGCAAGGGGGGTTCCAGTCCTTAGGTTTCAAGGACTGGGCCTTGGCACCCGCTCCCTCCAGCTGGTCCGAGACATTGAGACAAGCGCGCTTCGTTCGGGGTTGGGGTTGGCGAACGGACCCGCGATTTTTTTGGACGGGACTGTTTGGACGACGACCGCCCGCCCGCGCCGATTCCCGCGATACCTTCGGGACCCATCCTGACGAAGCGAACTGGTTGCAGCAGCTCTCCCCCCAAACATCCACCACCACCACAATGTTTGGGGCTTTCAGATTCACAAACCCCCTCTCCGGGGGTCTTCTTTGGTAAGTGACCATGTTGCAGCTGCGCTAAATGTTAACGGCAAATGCTAACCATGATGCGACAAACAGGAAGATCCCATGGCGCATGTCCAAGTTCCAGAAGCTCAGGCAGCGCCGCAGACTGAGGGCAGTCGACAACGTCGTCGACACCATCGAGAACGCCCTCGCCAAGAAGGGAGAGACTGTCAAGGCAGTGGAGCGCTGGAGGGCTGAGATGCCCACCGAGGCCGAGATGCTGCCCAAGGACAAGTACACCATCTTCGACCGCAAGGAGAAGAGGTACCGCAAGGGCATCCACAGTATGGACCACCATTATGCATCGATTTATAAGGGTCAACGACCAAGGCTAACATGGAATTTCTTCTTCAGAGCTTCCCAAGTGGACCCGTGTCTCCCAGAGAGTCAACCCTCCTGGTTACTAAGACCTTCGATCCGGACGATGGACGATATCGTGCAAGCATGTATATCACTTGTAACATTACGCAGCCAAATGGCATGGATGACATCGGAGATACCGGTAACCGGACCGTTTGCTTGGGGGAAAGAAGAGGAGGCCTCCTGTCTCGTCTCGTAAGGAGACTGACTGACTTGAGGTTCTGTCCATCATGGACACTTCTACTCGTTCCGTGTTGAGATACCAATGCAGAGAGCAGCGCAAACACGGCCAGACAAGCATCACAGAAGAATGTGTGAAGCCATACCGAATGGATGGAAAATCAATAATTTCCCGAAATACCATAGCAAGATACCAATACAAGAACGAACATCATGTCTCCCAAGGGGTATTTGTCTTTCACGCTTCTCTGTTTCGCCTCCACCTGCCCTGAATGAAAACCCCGTAATTTCAGGGTCTGATTGTATGTTCTGTGTCGATTTGTGATGACGGCTGGTTGAATACCTGTGCACTGGATCATGATGCACTCCTCATTGTCCCGCGCAACTCCCATGCAATGTTAACTTTAGCGCAAGCGGCCGTATTGTTCGTCGTTGTCGTCGTAACGCTTGTGGTCATGCTCCCTCATTCTCTCGGCCTGGATTTGCCGACCAAGACCACCGCGGCCCTCGTCGTAGTCCTCACGGTACTCATCCCTAACTTGGCCGCCCGACTTTCCACGGCCGTACTGTCGCCCTTCCTCGAAGCCTGGGTCGAGATCGGTTCTAATGATACGCTCGTCCAACTTGGTGCCGCCAATGTACTTCATGCAATCGAGGGCGTCCTGATGGGTGTAGTATTCGACGAAGCAGAAACCGCACGGTGTCTTTTGTAAACGATCGAGGCCCATGACCAAGCGCTTGATCTCGCCGCATTTGCTAAAGAGTTCGTAAACCTGTTCTTCGGTAGTGTAGAAGGAACTGCCGAGGCAAAATCGGTTAGTTTTTGATTAAGGACTGCATGTGGCTATCACCAAGGGTCAGCGTGGGGCAAACTTACAGATTGCCGACGTAGAGAGTGGTCGCATCCTTCAACGGGTCATCGAACGCTTCGGGATGCATGTTACTGTCCTCATTTTCTCCATCGCGGTGGTCCCGGTCATGGCGTCTGTTGCGCCTGTTCTGTGTTGAGTGGATGGGTCAGCGGTCGACCGGGTGCTAATTATGGACAGGAGAGATTGGCAATGTTTGGGCATGGAAATGCCGTCAGGGACTGGAGCACTCACCTTGTTGAAAAAGTAGGCGCTTGGCCTGTCAAGGCGCTCTACGGTGCTCCTTTGGCGAGTGTTCAACATTGTTAGTGAAGATGGATTATCAGTTTTTGGGTAAAAGTGTAACCAGGAAGAGGAAACCAAAAGCTTCCAGCTCAAGTTCAGTTGTTTGGAGTTCTCGGCTGAGACCTCGATGGGGATGATGGTTTGCCAATGGAATTGGAACTGCTAAAGTACAGGCAGGCAGGGCAGCTTGCTGAGCGCGACTGGACTGCCCGTGGACCGCGACGGCAGGCTTAATTGTTGGCGCACAGTGTCACAGTGCAGGGAACATCATCGCAATCCAGGGCAGTCTTGGCACTTCAACGGGCCAGCCGTTGGAGGTGGGTCAGGTACCCTATTTTACGAGGTGCCCGCAAATATGACGACGGCAGGCAAGGGCAGAGAGATGGAAGCAAGGGCAGAAGCAGTGGAGGTGCTTTGATCCAACAATAATTGCCGGCCGATTGGACCGCAATCTGGCACCCAATTTGTACAGGCGCGTCACAACACTACCTCTACTGTACCTTACCTTTTATAGAGGTAGTCTGTAAGTCCCGAGGTTATCCATTCCCGTCCCCTCTCATCCCGGGCTGCCCGTCTCCTGTTGATCAATGATGGCGTGAGACGACGCGGCGAGCACGGTCCGAACAGTCTAAGCACGGACAGTTGAAACGGAAACGGCTGTGGAAGGAGTGGAAACGCGCTAAAGTGAAGCTAACACGATCGATCAAGACAAGCAACGGAAAACACACGGCATACACACGGAAGGGGACGCCTCTACTGACGCCCTGGACGCCTCATTTACAGCACTGGCTCGGACTGCCAAGGCATAGTGGCATCCAGCATCCATCCAGCACCATCCATCCATACCTAGCACTACACGCTAGTCAAACCTTGTTGTTACCATCCTGACCAGCCAACCGAGACCACTAGCAAACTTCGCTTTCCCGGCTTCCTTCCCATCGAGGGGCCTGCCGCTTCAAAAAGGGATCCCAATCTCTCTTTCCCTTCCCTCCCTTGGCCTTCTGCTCTTGATCACCTTTTCAAACTTCAAAAACCGAGAACCGCCATTACCAGTACATAGGTACATACCTCGACCATAGCCCCAGTGCGCCTGCCTAGTACCTACATTACTTCAGCAGAGAAACCGAAGTGCAGCACGACAAACCGGCCCGTGCATGCTAGGACCTCTACCACTAGCTATTTCTGCCTAGCCAGACACCAACTTCGACTTATTTGCGCAACACGAACCACCGTCGTTTGTGGGATTCACCAAGGTTGGATAGTATAGCGACAACAGCCTTTACCACAAATCAGTCGGGATGCCCAAAATCCAGAGCTTCTCGGCGCCCTGGCTCCAGGAGCCAAACCCCGGCCACAAGCTCTTTGAGCAGTCCGAGGAAAACAGCCGGCTCCCCGCTTCGATAGCCTTCTCCAGGAACGCCAGTCAGGGACCCAAACGCACCATCGCTCAACGAGGAAACGAGGTCTTTGTTGCCCGCGGAAGGGAAATCAGATGGGGAGATATCGCCTATCTGAAGGACGCCTGGGAAGCCCATCAGTCACGGACCGGTGCTGCAAGCCACCTCAACGGAGATAGCTCCGATAGCTCCTTCGAGGTCTACGATGAGGAGACAAGCCGTCTTCCCCAGGGACCAGGCTACCGGGTATGTGGCTTCACTCCCCCGAGACTCGGCGCATACGGCGCATCAAAGATGGCAGAAAGAGTGTGGTATCTCAAAGTCAGGTACTGACATAGCCTTCCTCTTCTAGATCATCAAGACCCCTGTCGCCAGCGAGATTCGGCAGCTGGTCATCTCCCCTAACAAGGATCAGTTGGCCGTCCTGACCTCCCACACAGTCCACGTCTGTATGCTGCCCGACACCTCTCACCTCACCTCTGGAGAGACGGCCCCCTTCAAGCCCAAGTTCTGGACCCTCGGCCCTACCACTCACGTCACCTCCAAGTCCGCTGTTGTCAGCGCACTATGGCACCCTCTGGGCGTCAACGGCAGCTGTCTGGTAACCGTCACCGAAGATGCTGTGGTCCGCGAATGGGAGCTTTCCACTATCGATCGGTGGTCCTTCGACACCCCTACCCTCGAGGTCGACCTCAAGAGGCTGGCCGACGGCACTTCAGTGGACCAGGATTTCGGTGCTTCGACATCGACCAACAAAGCCTTCTCGCCCGATGACTTCGACATGAAGGTCGCTTCGGCCTGCTTTGCCTCGCGCAACTCGAACGGCTGGGCGCCAATGACATTGTGGGTGGCCATGGCCGAAGGAGATGTTTATGCTCTGTGCCCCCTCTTGCCGCGCCGCTGGTCGCCTCCTCCGACACTCATTCCCTCGCTTTCCGTCTCTGTCGCCCAAAAGATCGAAACCCTCGAGAGCGATCCGGAGGCCACTCGGGAGGAGAAGCTCCTCGCTAAGCAACAACTGGAGTGGATGGCCGATCTCGACAATCAGGAACCCAAACTCCTTGATGGCCCCTATGGAGAAGTCACTGAGGTGTATTCGCGCCCCTCTCGGCCGGGAAGCATTCCTCGACTCCAGGGTCCCTTCGAGCTCGCTGTTGCTCCCAAGGATGAGCAGGACGACGAGGTTGAGCTGAAAGATATTTTCGTCATCGGCGCTAAACGCAACACTGCCGAGCTTATGATGGGCGAAGATTTCGAGCTTTATGCGGATGATGATGATAAGGATAGTCTCTCCATGTCAGTCATCTGCCTCCTATCGACTAGCGGACAGGTCAAGATCTGTCTCGATATCGATGGGGTTGAGGCTCAATGGCTGCCTCCGCGGAACGCCTCGACCCGGGGTTTCCCTGACCACGACATCCCGTCGTTGCTCGTGTTCCACACTTTCGACACGCTCAAGCCAGCCGAAATCACACCCGACAGTTGGCCGGTGTTCAGTGAGGATGTCACCACCCGCTATGCGTTCTACGTCACACATGCTGCTGGCATTACCTATGTCTCACTGGCTCCATGGGTTTCCCTTCTAGAGAGCGAGCTCCAGAGTGACTCGGAGGCTGGGGTTGACTTCCGGTTCGACCTCATGGTCAAGGGACAGCGTGCCGAGGTCGATCGCATCTACACCCCCCAGCATGCCCAGAATGTCCTTGCTGCCGCTACGGCTTTCAAGAGCTCCGATCTGGGCCACTTTGTTTTGTCCGCTACTCACAATGACCCGGTCATCATTTTCTTTGATACGCCCGAGAGCGAGTTGATGTCGGATCGTCAGGAGACCCCCGTGCCGACCGAACATGGAGATACGCCTGAACCTCTTACGGTTTGGGAACCTCGGCCGCTGTTCCATCCTTCCGAAGTATTGAGCCGGCCTAGCACCCTGCCTCCGTGGGTGGATGCACTGAGAACTAGCAGGAAGCGCCCGCTTATGCAGCAGGAGGTCCGGTTGTCGGTTGCCACCCTGGAAATCTTTACCGAGGGTCATCGCCTTGTTAGCTCCGAGGTGTTTGAGCTCAATAATGCCGTCGCCGAGCTCTTCAGGAAGTGTGAAGCACTGACATACGAGCTCAAGGAGCAGATCACCAAGGTATATGAGGTCAACCAGCGGATCGAGACCATTTCTGGAGAAGGAGAGAGCAGAAGCACCAAGGAACAGAACATTTCTGAAGAAATGCTCGTCAGAAACAGGATTGATGTGATGAAGGTCAGACAAGAGAACCTCGCTCGCCGAGTAGACAACCTGCGCAAGCGCTTGGGTCAGGTCTCGACCCGGGAGTTGAGCGACAAAGAAAAGGCTTGGGCAGAGGAGGTCCGCACTTTGGCAAGCAGTATCCTGGGCGACGAGGAAGAAGAAGATACCACCACGGCGTCTATCTCTACTGCCGGGCAGTCACTCAAGCGTTTTGAGGAGGTCCAAACTCTTAGAGACGCCCTGTTTGAGCAAGCCCAACAGCTTCAGAGCACGGATAGCGTTGACGGTACCTCCTCGCAGATGCCCGTGATGAAGATCCCGTCGGAGATTCGGAAGCAAAAGGTCGTGCAAGTCATGAGCTTGTTGGATCGTGAAACTGCTCTCGTGGAGGCAGTGAAGTCGCGTCTGGAAAAGTTGAGTATTGATTGAGTCTACCTTTCCGCAGGTTCTTGTTTGGACAGTTAGATGGGTTGGTAAGGGAGGCTCTTTGGTTGAAATTTCTGTAACAAAGTCAATAAAAGCTGTTTTTCAAGTCGCGACTTTGTGTTTTCGGTGTTGAAGGCGTGTGTTGGGTTAAGGCTGTCACAAGTGTGAACCAAAAGTAAGCAACTGAAGGTTTCAGGGATTGTGCCAACTTCTCTGCTGGCATTGAGTTTGCCTTACTTTGGTGTACCTTCAAGAAGAAATGGGTTTATGCCCAACCACTGCATTCAAGCGAATGTTGGCTGCTGCTAGCTCATCTTCTCGATCGGAGGTTCGACCACTTCAGTTCGCGGTTCATTGCCTATGCTTTTACGCCCCATCTGCTGTGTCGTTCAAATTGGTCTTGCGTTCATCATGGGTTCGATTGTCAAGTTATCGTCACCCCCTCGCTTCTTTCATGCTTTATTTTCATTTGTTTAAACGGGAAGCACAAACTCTAGTGAGACAAGGATAGTTTTAGGCAGTCGAACCATGCAGTTCCCAAGATCCTGGATCGTCTAAGCCGGACAACGTTGGACAAGGACAACAACCTGTGTATCGTTAAGAGGCACGTCAATATCTCTGCTGTGTCGCCGGGCCCATGTCCGTGGCTTGTTCTTCATAGTAAGTGGAAGAGAGCCATGCATATCCCTCATATTATCAATAACAACCCATACCCAGTTCCAAGGCTTCTCGCTGACGCGGTTCCGAATCTTGCACAGCTAAAACCGGTCACCCTCATGGCCTAACCAGCTCTAGCGAGTCCCGGTCAAGTTCACACGAGCAACTTTGGTGTACGACGTCCGACGTCCGACAAAGAACAATCACAGGAAAGTCAAGTGGAACCTCAGCGGCGTTTCTCAACTTCAATATGTCTCTTTCCAAATTACGCTCCCCCGGTTTTCTCGACTCGAGGCTATCTGTGCTCATTTCGGTATCCCGACAGCCTCGAGCTTCAAAGAGCTCGTTACCACACTTGGCCTCACTCACGCGGCCCGTTACTAATGCGTACACGAGTTACACCCAGGCTAGGGCTGTCATTCATCAGAAGGTATTTAGCATATTTCTTTATGTCTTTGGGGGGTTATTCAACCTAACCCATGATCATCGTTTTGCAAGGCGGCGGTGTTGGCGGTGCTGTGACGGCAAGCATGCATACACAAAAACTGTAGCCTCACTTTTATGAAGACAAATTAGGCCTAATAATGCCGTGTTATGTTCCAATCTATCCTTTCGAGGCTCTTGGTTGAGTTTGGATCACTTGGTCGCTTCTTTCCAAGCTGACACTGAAATCAGAGACCGAACTGACAACATACTGATCGCTACAAATACGTTGTTGTTCCTCCTTGACATGACACTCTCGAAAACAACCTCGCCTACTCTATCATTCCATACACGAGCTGTATAACACCCATTCCGGAATGCTAGTGCCCTCGGTCGAGCCGAAGATATTTGCGTCTCCTAGCATCACTGGCCAGACTAACAATCCCACGATGGCGCCCGTCACTGATCCATTTCCTATACCTGGCTTGGAGGGCTTGATCTTGAGTGAGTTTTTCTACTCAGCTGGTTCAAAGTTGCAGTGCTACTCGTTCCTCTCACTCAGCACTGGCTCTTAGGGCCTTCCAAAATCACAGGCATCTAACAAAAACACCATACTAACTTCAACCAGAGAACTGTAGATTCTTCAGTAGCACAGACACCGGGTTATCTCTCATAATCGTCAAAGAAGCAGGCCAATTCAAAGCCGTGGTCCTACAGACCAAGGATAACTTCAGGGGCCCTCTTCTTGTCGAAACGGGACCGACCATTTACTGGGCTCTTCACTCATTGATGGTCAAGTCGGCAGAGTCCGTGCAAAACTACATCCAGACCAGCGGATTCTCTATCGTGCCCGGCGCCAGGGAAAAATCCAAGGCCTCCAAAGAACCTCACGACTTCAGTGACTCTGATCATGGGTCCGCCGATAACCAAGCACACGATGACCACTCAGACACCTCCAGGTCTACTTCTTGCACCTTGCCTTGCTGCATGTCTCCCGAGAAGAAGAAGAAGAAGGATAAAGGGAAAAATGCTGCCCGTAGCGGTAGAGAACTCAGAAGACCCAAGCAACGTGGAAGAACCCTCCGATGGCGTTCCGTCTCAAGTTCTCGTGAAGACAGCTACTCCCGTTCACGATCCCGGTCTCGCGGACGCTGTCGGTCAAGTTTGTCATCATCTGGTTCTGGATCCAGCTCCGAACGACCACGTTCAGGCTCAAGAAGCTCATCTTCATCCGGTCAACGCTCAACATTTCGCACTGACCTGAGACCTTTGACATACACCCGTCAGTCGGTCCCTGCGCCCTTACTACCCCATGTTAAGAGGCATAACATGCCATATCATAACCGTATGATGGGTGTGCCTGGTATTAAGCCCCCTCCTCTGCCACCTCCACCGCCGGGGTGGCCGCTCAGGAATATGGGGTTGAATGGTGGAATTGGGAATGGAGTGAGCCATGTGCCTCCTCCTCCCCCTCCTCCTCCTCCGCCGCCTCCTCCCCCAGCCGGTCTTGCTAGCATTGAATCTGGGAGAGCACCCTATGGGGCGTTGCAGCAACAATACGACCGTTTTCAGCCCCAGAATACGAGTTCTCATGGACAATCAATGAGGCCGACGGACCAGTACTTGGGGCCTAGTATTCGGCATGTGCAATTGCCGTCCCAGACACTTCCTACCACTACGGCTTTCCAGTCAGCACTGCCGGCTCTTTCAGCAATCGGTGATGCTGTACCTGGAAATTCTTCAAGGATAGATAGTCATCCGTCAAACACAGCTCAGTATCAGCATCATATACCGCCACCCCCACCACCTCCCCCGCCCTTTCCACGAATGTCTCGAGGAATCAGCCACTTCTACGGCTCTGTCCCTTGGCACGTCGGGGGATCCAATCCATACACCACCGTTGGAACCATTCCTCCTCCACCGCCACCTCCACCACCACCACCTCCTCCTCCTGCTTTCATTCATATACCTGCCTCTTGCTCAACCTCTTCCTCTTCCTCAGCAACAATCACCGTAACACCCAATGACTCTCCAGATCTACCACCTGTTGGATCCCCCCTTTCCCAAGGGACGTCTAGCACCGTCTCCTCATCCTCTTCTGCCCCTTCCGCCTCTTCCGCATCTTCTTCTCCCAATGCCAAACACAACTCCATCACCACCCCGTCCTCCTCTTCCCCATCCTCCAACAGCGATAAACATGGAGAGACTAAACCACCAGCCCTAATAACCATCATCTTCCCCTCCCACCTCGACCGCTCACAGCTCACGATCCTGCGATCTCTTCCCCACCTTACCGTGGCCTCGGTCCAAGCTGTTGTTGTTGATCATGTTTACAAGCACAAGTCTTCTTTGCGCTCTCTGGCTATTACCTCTAGTCGAGAGAAAGAGGAAAGGGAAGCGGAAGTACGGATCACCGCTGTCAGGGCTATCTTGTCTGGTTCTGGGTCTAGCGATGGGTGTGATGGGGTAAGTGGCCCAGCTGCGAGGGCAGGGGGAGCGGCCACTGGAGGGAATGGTGCGCAGGGAAGGGGGCACGGGAGGGGGAGGAAGGTGGTTGATATCAGTGGATTTGATGAACATACACCGGTGGGATTTCTGTTCGATCAAGACAAAATGGCCCGGTTTGAGGTGGAGGTGGTGGTCGAGCGCGGTGTTTCTATGTCCCCGTGGTCGGTTAGACCACCTGCTGCTACTTCTGGGGCTATGGGGATTAAACCAGGGCCAGAACTGATGCCTCCATATCCTGGACCGCTACCTCCACCTCCTCCGATACTCGGTAAACACCATGGGCAGCATCGTGGGAGCACATTGGGCACTATCCCGCCGCCGCCACCACCACCACCTCCTCCTCCTCCTCCTCCGCCATCGTCGCTGCCGATGATGCCGTTATCGATGAGGATGCAACATATCTCTCTTCTTCCTCCGCCACCACCACCACCACCACCGGGATTCGGTCCCCCTCTGCACAGATCAAACGCACCAATACCAAACTCGAGGCCATCGATGACAAGGCTGACGTCAATGAATGTGATACCACCAGCTCCGGTTCCCGGTAGGATGGGTGCTGGCAGTGATGACAGATGGAAGAGAAGCGAGAAGACATGGAGGCACCGCCATCCTCATGATCAGCATCATCGCCACAAGGATGTCAAAGGTGGTGGCGGTGGGCACCGGAGGGGTATTCGGAGGAAGGGTGGTAAGAGGGAGGAGTCTGAAGAAGATGAATCGGAGTGATTCACTACCTCTACCTACCTCTAGAGTGCTGAGGGATGGTTTTGCGAAAGGGGGCTGGCTTAGTGAAAGGTCGGGCTGTATGAATGAAAAGGGGAAGAGGCCAGTGTCTTCGTGATGGCTTATCATCTATCTACATGCTCTTTTTGGAGGTTCTCTTTCCTTTTGTTCCTTTATTTGACACTTCGGCTGTCTTGCCATCAGCTCTCGTTTGGCTGTCCCTGTTTCATCGATCTTGTTGTCTCTCTGTTTAGTTACGTTAAGGTTCTCACGACTCATTTTCTGACAGTCTTTTGGCTTTCTGTTGAATAATAAGCGAGGGGTTGGTGGTGTTTTGGCATGGTAAACCAAATCAAGTCATTGCCACCTAGCTAGAAGTGATGCTAGACCAATGAAGTGTGCATATTCTGTCTTAATTCCGTCTCTGTAATGGTTGTATGTCTGTGGCTGAGTTGAACGCCACACTCCCTCCCTGTGGGCTTCCAGATCTCAGAAGGAATTAGCCGTAATAACGCCGGTCTCGGAAAGAGACGGACTCGAATCGTTGATCACACACATGTCGTGCCACTCCTCAAGGTATGTATGTACTCGCACAGAAAATGGATGGTGGTACCTCGTCTTCGGGATCGCGGCTAGTTGCCTTACTGACGGTATATGTAGTGATACCTCCCTTCAAGTTCGCTGTTTACTGAGTAATGCATCGTGTTTCGACCTCGGTTCCAGCACCCGCATGGATGCCACGTTGTCTACTCAAGCGGGCGGCACGACAGATCTGTGGTCGTCTAGATGTGGATGGGTCACTGCATGGGCGTGGTGAGTCTTGTTTCTTTCAAGAGGTAACTGTTTTCATAATGTTTAATGGACGTTGTCACATGTTGAACAGTCTTTCTCGAACATGGCAGGGTGACTTTGTGTAGTACACTTATTTCGAGTCCAAATACTTCATGTTGTGTTGTGTTGTGTCTGGCTTCGGGGAGTGTTTGCGTGGTGAGTGTCTTGGATTTCATGGATATTAGGTCTGGTAGCAAGCAGCCCTTGATTCGATGCCTTACAACCTTAAACTTTCAACCTCGTGATGTCTTCACTTCGGGAATTTGAAGCCTTGGGGAGCAGACCCTTCAAGCCTTGTTATCGCCTGCTGATGACTGAAAGAATGGGTGGTCGTTGAAAGAAGCTCAGCAGTCGCGATCAGCAATGCAGTGTACTGTCGATCGTCTCTGCGTCGAGGCCTAGACTCTAGGCCCTAGACCAGCACCGTTCGGAACGACACAATCAGTGCTTTTCCTTGGGGGGATGACACATTCTTGGAGAGCACATGCATGCCGGGTTTTGGTTTGGAAGCCCGCCCAATACCTATCGTCGGATCATAAGATGGTAGCCTTCTGTGATTCCAAAGTGAGTCCAGAGTGATGCCTACCGATGGTGCCAGCCGGCCGCCCTTGCGCGCCCGTTTCTTCTGCCTGCTTGCCTTCCGCTCTCGCGTGGCCTCTCCCTTCTGCCTAGAGGTGCCCCGCGTCGTCCGAACTTCCTCGGGGGTATATAGGTTCTCTTTCCAGGCTACCTTCCCGTGGTTCGTTGGTGTAATGAGCAACATCCCCGAGGTGGAAATTCCACTTCGGTTACGGCCTTGAGGAAGATACCGGTTCGAGTCCGGTACGGACCACACATTTTTTTTCCTTTTTTGCTCTATTTGTCTTTTTGGCTGGCTAACGAGCGTTGGTCACAGATACTTCGGTATCGTGATGCGACATGACGAGGATGGTGGCACATCCATCTGCCAACGTGGCTTCGGCGTGTGAAACGTGGCAGAGCGGGACCCGTTATACGACGTATAGGTTGCCAAATGGGCTTCCCTCTCAGTAGTAAATTGAAGAGAGGTGTACTGCTTGGGCAGGTGGCTCTTGAGGGCTCAAGTGTTAGGTTGTGCGACCTGCGTCAATCACCATTGGGATACAAACGAGGCTGTCGTCGTCGAGGATCGTGGTCATGTGTGATCGGGCTGTCTTTTTTCGTGCGGTCTATTCTCGTCAACTCGCAAAAGCTCCTCGTGGCCTTTGTACACGTCCATGGCCCCTATTACCTTGGGCTACTCGATATATCCCGTGCTCCAAATATTCAACCCAACTTTAACCCCTTTCTCGACTGGCAAGCCAGCATGCCACACCTCATCCCATCCTCTGCCGGTACCATCCGACCGGAAGTTCTCCCAATAGACAGCATTGCCCGGAATGACTTTAAAGGTCACGCCCAAGTCGTCGGGGGTTTGTCCCTGTTCATCTCCCCTGTCGGCCGTTTTCTCGGGACATTCAACAAAAGTACACCATCTGGGATCCTTCCGCCTCTTCATCCTGGAAAACTCAGTCCCGCCGCCCACCATGCTACCATCACCGTCGTCGACCCAAACCATGAAGCTGCTGACACGGCCCCAGCCACCCCGGTTGGAGCTCCAGTCGAAGTGGTGGTTGTAGTGGCCGCCCTGGCGGTATCGCTGGGTGCGCAGCCTCTCGATGAAGACGTCGTCCCTCCAGCCTTGGATCTCGCGGGCGCGGTTCTCGATGCACCGTACACGATCGGTACGGGGGATCACGGCCACTTCGGAGTCGCGGACTGTGGTGTTGCGATGGGTTGTTTGGCCGCCATCGTTGGTGGTGGTGGAGGGTTCGAAGAGAGGTTCACTGTGGGTGTTAGTGACAGGTTCTTGGCAAAGTACCCCATATTGGCTTATAAAAGCTCGATATACCCACCTGATGTCAAGCAAATGATGTCGCTCGTCAAGACTTAGGAAGTTCTCGATGTAGAGGACCAGTGGTTCCCTTGAGTAGACATGAACCACAGGAGCGGGAGTGTGGGGCATGCATTGTAACGATGAGTTGCCTTCTAATGCGATTAGGTCCTCTTTAAGGTTGAGTTTGGAAAGCGGGATACGACGGAGTTGCGGGACCTGGCCGGGACATTGGTTCTGGTTTACACCGGAGAATAGAAGGTTGTTGATGGGGCTGTTAAAGACAATGAGAATGCCGATCAAAGCGACCGCATAAGACAACATTATGGCAAACCAATGCTTTTAAGTCCGTGCTTCAGTAATATGCATCTCTTAAACAGAGGCAGAACTTTGTGTTTTCGACTGGCGGGCTTGGCCGGTGATGAGATGATGGTTGTACCAATTTGCAAAAGTTGTGTATTAGAGAACCCTGAATTGCCTTGTTTGTGCCGTTGAGGGGAAGAGGCGCAGTCGAGTCAAGCTTCGATCCCAGGAACGCCGACGGCAAGTGGGGGTTCAATCCCCATTGATAGACAAGGGAGGCATGTTTCGACTTGAAACAGCGTCGCATCCAGGATAGTCGTTATTTCCGTCATGTTTTGCAAGGGATGTCGCGAGCCGAGGCATTGGGTTTCCAGAGAGTTTACAAGACAATTGTGATGAACTCTTGGTTGTCAAGACAGATGATATTGAGAGAGAAGAGCGAGAATCGAATGAGACAATCGTGAGGGAAGGAAGAAGGATAAGGAACAAAAGAGGGGGAGGGGTTGAAGTTGTAAACAGATCAACAGAGCCCATACCAGCCAATTTTGCCGCATGGTTGTACAATTGCCAGGCTATCCCTTCTTAGAGACTGTTTCATGTCACAATTTCAACAAAGCGAGGGCCCATTGGCCTAATGGCTAAGGCGTCAGATTTCGGCTCTGAAGATTGCGCGTTCGAGTCGCGTGTGGGTCGCTTCATTTTTTGCGTTTTTTCACTTTTTGTATCCCACTCCTCGGCAACACGCTGCATGGTGCACTTGGCATCTTTTCAACATGTTCCTCAAAACAACAACACTTGCACTCACAGCAGTGATAACGCTCCCTTCTCATCTTGTCTCTTGTGCCACGGGTGAGGCACAGTCTCTCTTGGCTGTTACAAGTCAAGGAATCCTTCGGCCGCCAAGTCGGCGACGGGCTGCGAACTCGATCCTTTTTCAAGTCCTGATCTTCGATGATTCTTCGATGCTCGTTTCGAAACGTTCTCTGTTCTCACAAACGCATAATGACAAGGGCCTGCTAAAGATCAGATTCGATGATACGCTGCCGATCTTTTCGTGACCACTCGGTGCCAAGCGAAGGACCCAGGTTCCTGGATTGAGCCTCCCGCCGTGCCGTAAGCCATTTCCCAAAAAGATTCGGGGACTCACCTCCGGACCGCGACGACATCCGCCTTCCCGACCGGCCGCTGACTGGTCACTTGGCCTCCTTTGATTACAGTCCCATTGCAGCAATCTGGCCGGTCATCGAATTGTTGCAGACGCGCGGGGTTGGCCTTAAACCGGAGTCAGCACCATCACATCCTCCGTGCCCGACAACACCCAAAACCATCACCAACTATGCCCGATGGAGCTGAACGGAGCAAGACGGCCTAAGCCCTTTGGAGAGACGGGTCGGCATCGAAGAATCCGGGGGTGGCACTCCTGCTGCTATGAGCACCTCCCCAGACTGGCTTCCTCTTGTCCATGCCCTAGAAGCTGACAAGGAGGACAGCCGCGACCATTATCCTCCCGCTGGCTAACTGGCTTGACTGGGTTTCAATGAGGGGATGCTCACCATGCGTTAGCCTCGTTTTCGCCTTCATTCCGCTCTTGCTCACATCCCCATCCGTAAACACCTCGTTCTTACCCCTGGATCATGGTGAGCACGAGGTGGCATACCATTCATTCCATGGGTCTGCGCTGGTATCCAACATCTTGGCTTCATCCATGTTACCCATCTCATACCGCCCTGCCCAAGTTGAGCGATGCAGTGATGCGTCTGGGACACGCCCATGGTGTAGAGCAGTTACATCCAAAGCCGCAATCTCGGACAGGGTTGCCGCCCCTTCCATCTACCGGAAGTTTTGCATTAGCACCCCTTTCCGGTCACCTCGACATCAATGCTTCTGCTTTAGGCCGTCTAGATGATGACCTTCTGAGCTGACCCCCATGTCCTCTAGTTCCTAGGAAGGTGGGCTCCCCTAGACCGTAGTGTATGTATATAGAGAGCCCATGGAACCCTCCATCATGGCCTTTTTCTTCATCCCCCTCGCGCACCAGTAGTGTGAAGTGGTCTCTTAGAATTCACTGTGCAAGATGAGGACTACCTCGGGCTTTCTCAGTGGCCTGGCGGCGGCGGCTTCGTGTAAGTAAATATTGACACAATGAGCCACTCATTCTGCTCAACGATACTGACATGACGATTCTCAGTGCTGTCGTCCACCTTCGCCCAAACCGCCCCTAACACCTTCACTCACCCTGGTACCGGCATTGTCTTCAACACATGGAGTGCTTCCACCGCCCAGACCCAAGGTGGCTTCACTCTTGGTATGGCTCTGCCGTCGAATGCTCTTACGACCGACGCGAGTGAATTCATCGGCTATCTGGTACGTCTTGGGAAAGGCAGAATAATTATCAAGTGTCCTCGTGTACTGACCTTTACGATCAGGAATGCTCCTCCGCCAAGAATGGTGCCAACAGCGGTTGGTGCGGTGTTTCTCTCAGGGGTGCCATGACCAACAATCTACTCATCACCGCCTGGCCCGCTGGCGGAGAAGTCTACACCAATCTCATGTTCGCCACGGGTTACGCCATGCCCAAGAACTACGCAGGCGACGCTAAGATCACCCAGATCGCGTCCAGCGTGAACGCTACCCACTTCACCCTTGTCTTCAGGTGCCAGAACTGCTTGTCATGGAACCAAGAAGGTGTCACCGGCGGCATTTCTACCAGCGCAAAGGGTGCCCAGTTCGGTTGGGTCCAGGCGTTCCCCTCTCCCGGCAACCCGACTTGCCCTACCCAGATTACTCTCAGTCAACACGACAACGGTATGGGTCAGTGGGGAGCTGCCTTCGACAGCAACATCGCCAACCCCTCTTATACTGCTTGGGCTGCCAAGGCCACCAAGACTGTTTCCGTTTCGTGCGCTGGTCCCTCCACGACCAGTGTGGTCTCAACTCCCGTTCCCACCGGCGTTTCCTTCGACTACATTGTCGTTGGTGGCGGTGCTGGTGGGATTCCCGTCGCTGACAAGCTCAGCGAGTCCGGAAAGAGCGTGCTGCTCATTGAGAAGGGCTTTGCTTCCACTGGTGAGCATGGCGGTACTCTGAAACCCGAGTGGCTGAACGGTACTTCCCTTACTCGCTTCGATGTCCCCGGTCTTTGCAACCAGATCTGGGTTGACTCTGACGGCATTGCCTGCTCCGATACCGATCAGATGGCTGGCTGCGTGCTTGGTGGTGGTACTGCCATCAACGCCGGTCTCTGGTACAAGCCCTACACCAAGGACTGGGATTACCTCTTCCCCACTGGCTGGAAGGCCAGCGATGTCGCCGGTGCTACCAGCAGAGCCCTCTCCCGCATTCCGGGTACCAGCACTCCTTCTCAGGATGGAAAGCGCTACCTTCAGCAGGGTTTCGAGGTTATTACCAGCGGCCTCAGGGCGGGCGGCTGGAAGGAGGTTGATGCCCTCAAGGACAACGACCAGAAGAACCGTACCTACGCCCACACCCCTTACATGTACATTGGTGGCCAGCGTGGTGGCCCTCTGGCGACTTACCTCGTCAGCGCCAAGAAGCGCAGCAACTTCAAGCTGTGGCTCAACACCGCTGTCAAGCGCGTCATCCGCGAGGGCGGCCACATCACCGGCGTCGAGGTCGAGGCCTTCCGCAACGGTGGCTACTCCGGTATCATCCCCGTGACCACCACCACTGGCCGCGTGATCCTCTCCGCCGGCACCTTCGGCAGCGCCAAGATCCTCCTCCGCTCCGGCATTGGCCCCAAGGACCAGCTCGAGGTGGTCAAGGCCTCCGCCGACGGCCCTACCATGATCAGCAACTCGTCCTGGATCAACCTCCCCGTCGGCCACAACCTGGACGACCACACCAACACCGACACCGTGATCCAGCACAACAACGTGACCTTCTACGACTTCTACGCGGCCTGGACCAACCCCAACACGACCGACAAGAACCTGTACCTGAACGGTCGCTCGGGAATCCTCGCCCAGGCCGCGCCCAACATCGGCCCCATGTTCTGGGAGGAGATCACGGGCGCCGACGGCATCGTCCGTCAGCTGCAGTGGACCTCCCGCGTCGAGGGCAGCTTCGACACCCCCAACGGCTACGCCATGACCATGAGCCAGTACCTCGGCCGCGGCGCCACCTCGCGCGGCCGCATGACCCTCAGCCCTACCCTCAACACCGTCGTCTCTGACGTTCCGTACCTCAAAGACGCCAACGACAAGGCAGCTGTGGTTCAGGGTATTGCTAACCTCCAGAAGGCTCTCGCCAACGTCAAGGGCCTCACTTGGGCTTACCCTAGTCCCGGCCAGACGGCCGCTGATTATGTTGATAAGGTAACCTAAGCTATTCTTTCCATTTCCTCTCCCTCTTTTTTTTTTCCTCCCCACTAACTCCTTCCCAGCAACCCGTAACCTACCAATCCCGCCGCTCCAACCACTGGATGGGCACCAACAAGATGGGCACCGACGACGGCCGCAGCAACGGCGGCACCTCGGTCGTCGACACCAACACGCGCGTCTGGGGCACCGACAACCTGTACGTGGTGGACGCCTCGATTTTCCCGGGCGTGCCCACCACCAACCCTACCGCCTACATCGTCGTCGCCGCCGAGCACGCCGCGGCCAAGATCCTCGCGCAACCCGCCAACGCGGCGGTTTCCAGGTGGGGCCAGTGCGGCGGGTTGACGTATAATGGCAGTCAGTTGTGCCAGGCGCCGTATACGTGCCAGAGGCAGAATGATTATTATTGGCAGTGTTTGTAGATGACAAAGGGGGGTGGGTGGTGGGAGAGAAGGGGGTTGTGGTGGGTGATTGATTGGTGGGATAGGTCTCGGTGATGGTGATGAAAGGTGTCTCGAGAGGAGACTTTTCGCTTCTTCTGTAAATACTTGACTTGATCGATGAACATAAATGACACACACGTACATATTACAATGCACTTACTTACCATTTTGTGCTCGTTAGTGTCTGTCTATTGTGATATTTAGAGCATGAAAACTTTACTAGCATTCGTGAAATCACCAAGTCCGAACGAACTTTGAACTCACAAACACGACAGTCACGGCACCACAGAAAGACAGAAAAGTATAAATCATAATCTTCATTCCCATACCATACCATTTCTCATCACAATCATCTCTCTATAACCGAACAATGCACTCGAAACTCCGCGCCGCGCAGGCTATACAAAGCTAAGTAAGGTAAACCCAACGCACGTCATCATAATCCATAAGACCAAAAGCAAAGCAAAGGAAAACAAAAACAAAACAAGCTAAACCCTCCTTTCTAAAAGAGAAACAAGACACAAGAAAAACAGCCATCATTTTTCGATGCTGCCCTTCCACAAGCCCTTCATACCCACAACACTACCCAGACACAACACACAAACACAGACAGACACATCTAAGATATGCTTCGCCATACCATACCAATACCGCTTTTTCCCAACCAACGAAGCAACCCCCCAAAATCAGACTTTTGTCTTTCTCCTGATTGATGCTCATTGCTGAAGATAAACAGGAATACCATAAACAGCAATAGCAGCCGCAGTGACATAGCGAAACCGACACGCTCCCCTCGCGCTGGCCACCGCTTCTACCAAACTCTTCTTCTTCCCGTTCTTCTCTTCACCATCTCCATATCCATCTCCCTCACACTCACCCTCCGTCGTTTCCCTCTTCTCACCTCCATCATCATCCCCCTTATCCAAACCCTTCCCCTTCCCCTTCCTTTTCTGTTTCTCCCTCTCCCTCCTCTCCTCCCCCTCACTAAAAACCCCCCTCCCCAAAAGTCCCCACTCCTCCAAAACCCTGCCCGTAAACCGATCAATATCCCGATCCGTAACATCCCACAGTGTCCCGACCACCGCCGGCGCGCCCGCCATCATGTAATTCCACGCCGGACCATAGACTTCGAACCCTTCGCCTGCCTCGTTCAGCTTGGCGGAGCTGCAGCCCATCAGCAGGACCGTGGCCTTGCAGCGCGGGGAAAGGCGGCGGATGGTGCGGCCGCGGATGTATTGGGCGCCGGAGCCGTGGCCGAAATATAACAAGATGTCGGAGTTGGTGAGCGCCGAGGCGAATTCGGACTCGGTGGGCGGGCGAGCGGTGATGGATGTCCATGATGAGGGGGAGGGGCCGAGGTGGGAGGTTAGGAGGGGGCTGAAGGTCTTTTGAGTGGTGAGGAGGTCGGAGGAGGGGTTGAGGATGTAGGTGCCTCTGACAGAAGAGGCGTGGTGGCCTTGGGGTTGGTGGGATGGTGATGTCCCAGTGGGAATGGTGTCGGCGTCCAACATTATTGAGTCGCCGTCTTCTTCCTTTGTTGGTTGAGCATGAGCAGGTCTAGGGGCCTTCATGTCTAGAATGGCGCGGCGAAGACAGCCTAGACTAGGCATGCGGGATACGGCTAGGTTTTGCAGGCACGGGAGAGACTCCCAGGGGAAGACGTGCAGAGCCTTGTCGAGCATGAGGATGGTGTGAGCGTGCTCGTCGCCGCCCCCGTCGAGTTCGTTGACAGCCGCGTGATAGGCGTGCAGGGCGTCTAGCATTTCGACGACCATGGAGTCAAAGTCGATCTCGTCGTAGGCGTTGCGCTCGCCGTGGAACTGGAGGATGTCGACAACGAAATAAAGGAGATCGGTGAGTTCCTCGTCGAGATCGACGTTCTGGCCGCCGGAAGTGGCAGTGGCATCGCCAAGACCGATGAAGAGTTCCAAGATGCGAGGATCAACGGTGACTTTCTCTGACCGCGGCTCCTGACCGCCGCCAGCATTCTTCCCGCGATGATGCACCTGTCTCCGGCTGGGAAGATACTTGTCCAACATGTTTTCGAATGTCGCCCCAAACTTGTTCATCAACTCCTTCCTCTTGCCGCCTTGAGTCTGGTGCTGGCTGAAAATACCCCTGAAGCCGCCGAGCCAGATCTGCTCAATGTTCGTCAACAGATCCTTCATGCGATTATCCAACGCCTCACGGTCTGCCCACCAAGCAGTCTTGGCGCCCTTCACAGAGAAGTCTCGGGCATCGTGGCAAGTTTCGTTGGCCAAGCGAATAATTTCCAGCAACTCAGCCCTTCCCTGCTGGTAGTTGAACACCTCATTGTCTGCGTCGCGCGAGCTGGCACGATCAAGGGGAAGTCGAAGAACGAAGGGTGTGCAACCTGCCTGTAGCTTGGTGATGCACAGATCGTGCTTGTTGTCGCTCAGTGAGATAGACACCACACTCCAAGGTTTGGGAATAATGTCGATGTAGTCTCTCTGGAACTTTTGCAGGTCCAGCGAGAAGCCCAGACTCATCCGACCAAGGGGCTCAACAGGCAAGTCCGTGAAATTAGGCCAGCTGTATGCATCAGTCTTGGGTCCGTTCTTCTCCAGCGTGAGAGCTTTGCGTTCTCTGCGCCACGTGAGGTTTCGGCCCAGCTCGACGGAATAGGCAGTGTGTCCAGAAGGGGTGGATGCCTTGGCCTTCCCAGATGATGCCGTAGCGGAAAGAAGGAGACCGACATTCTGCAGCATCACAGAGATCTTGTGAATGAGACTTGAGTCACCGCAGACTGTGGCCACGGCATGGGCCTCGAGAAGGGCTTGCTGCGCCTGGCGTAGATTATCCACATACTCCGCCTTTTCCTGATCTGTGGTATCCTTAGTGGCAACCCGCCTTCTCTCCTGAAGAACAGCTGGGTGACCTCCAGAAACCCTATCTTTTCCATGGGAATCAGAAACAGCAGGATATGAAATGGTGGAGTCGTGAATGACCGAAAACACCGGATCGTGGGCCATCTGCTCCATGCTCATGCCCAGCAGACAGGACGCCATGATGATCTGCTCATCCGAGATGATCGCAGACAGCGACTTCTTGGACCGCGTTTTGACTCCATCAAGCATCGCCAAAGCCGAATTCCAATCCTTCTTCGCCAGCTTCGCCGTTGCTTTTTGCACCATGATGGCCGCTCTGAGTTTCGAAAGCTGAGCATCCTCAACAGGCTGAGGGGAAGGAACAGGTGCCGCCGTCTTTGGTCTCGCCGCAAGCGCAGGTCTCGAATGTCCACTCTTCACCGCCTTCGACAGTTGTCTTACAGCCGCAGGTCCCTTGACTCCCTTCATGGCCGTCCCCTTCTCCTCATCCTCCGTCTTCTCCCCAGCAACCGGCACCGACGTAGCACTAACCTCCATCAACCCTTCCAAAATCGCCTCCGCCCTCCCAATCATCGCCTCGGCACCCTCAAAGCTCTTCAGATCCAAGCACATAGCCCCAATCTGGCAAGCCAGCACGGCCGAAGAATACGAATTGCTTTCCTCCGGTAGCAGATTAGCTGCCTCCTGCAACATCTCCATCGCCTTGGGGATGTTGGCCGCCTTGACGTACACCGAGCCCATCCAGGTCGCGCAGCCAGCTTTGAGAATCTCCGAGTTGGCGCTATTGGCGATCTTCTGTGCCTGCTCCGCGTAGTACATCGTCTCTTGGAACATACCCAGGTGTGCGTAGATGGAAGACAAGCGTAGAGTGTTTCGGTACAGAGTAAGGGCAAGTTTCCACGACTCTGGTCCCAGGTAAGGCGTCTCTTTGCCGGTGGCCGAAAGATCGCAAGTGGCGTCGTCGGTATTGAACATGGCTGAGTCATCGGTTGACGAACGGGCGGATGATTTCGCTGCTGCTAACTGTTGTTCTACCTTGACCCAGTCCTGAAAGATGCAGCGGACGCTCTCTCTAGCATAGACCAGGGCATGGTGAGATTCACCGCGTTCCTGAGTAACGAGAGAGTGAAGGTAGGAAGCATAGGCTACCAGATATTTCCGCCGAGCACGGGAGACCTTTCCTGGAACAGCTTCAGCCTCGACTGCAGCCCGGGCCTGAGAGAGATGGTATTCTGCTTGAGTGAGATCACCAACGGCGATGAAGTGTTCCGTCCACGAGAGGTGGAAAGTGGCAACCGCGTCACCGGGTAAGTCAGCTTGCTTCTTCAGATACTGTAGTGTCTCGGCGAAAGTCTGTTCAGCTTTGATGGACTGGCCGAGATTGGTGTATTGCAGAGCCATCGTTGAGGCATGCTGAATAATGTCTTCCAGCCTGGGGCCGTCTGCTAGTTTGGCGATATCCGCCGTCAGTTCCAGGACCATAGCTACCATGTTATCGTGACCGCTCAACCGCAGAAAGTCGGCCATAGCCTGCAGATGATCCAAAAGACCAGGGATATCGTCGATTGATCGCTCCACATCCGTTTTGGTTTGGCAAGACTTGACGATCGACTTCCACGTCTCAAGGCATCGTTGAACCGCTCCAAGATCAGAGTAACCATCCGACAATGCTGTGATAGAGTGATAGAATGCTCCCATATGCGGCACAAAGCGGGCTAATCCAGCATCCTCACCAAGGTTATCCGGTTCCACCTGCGTAGCATCCCTAGTGATAGCAAGCAACTCGGGTACCTTCCGCTGGTTCCCAATGGCAGAGCTCAGGAGCGCCAAAAGCACTCTGAGTCTTCGTATGGGATACCGTGTCGGGATATAGATGCGGAGCAAGGCATCCACAACAGGGTGCTCGAGAGTAATCTCTTCCTCCCTCTTTCTCCCACTCATGGTTGGATTGCCACCCAGCAGAATGTAGTGCAACCGGTGTTCGAGTCCGGCAGATTGTTCGGCTTCTGGTAGATCCACCGTCCAATCCATGAAGACATGCTCCATCTTCGCGATAGCAACCAGAGCACGGGACAGAGTCTCGGCCTTCTCGTCCCTTTGCCACACGATGAGCGGCGAATCTGTCGCTAGTGCGCCAGCAACGCTTCCGAGGATACCATCATCCAACATGCTCGTTCTAATTGTCTGTAGCGCGGCGAGAGCCTGCTCATTCCTGCCCAATGTCCGAGCCAGCTCGGCCATCCGCTCCAACTTCAGGATGAGCTGCGCCTTGTCTTTCTCTGCTGCCGATCTGTGTTTCACGCAATCGATCGAGCGACGGAGAGCTCGTAAGGGCGCCACATCCTTGGGTCCGGTAGATTGTTGTCGTAATACATTGTACTGTAGATAGTAAAAGTGTGAAATCTTGACATGGTACATGCTCTGCGAGCCAGCAGCACCCATGTCCCCTATGTATTCCAAGAGCAAAAGACAATCATTGAGAAGCGAATCCATAAAATCCCAGGCCAGCCTCTTCTCTTCGAGGCGGGTCTTGACGATGATGAATGATGAGTCGAGGGTATGCTGTATAGACTGTAGGAGTAGTTGACGGCGCTGTTCGTATCTGAGGTAGTCCTTGGTGCTGCTCTTGGGCTCCGGGGGTTTACCGAGCCATCGTAAACAGAAACGAGGACATTGGAGGACAAATGATTCTAGAGATTCTCGGCAATTGGAAGTAAAATCAGCAAACCCATCACTTTCCTTTTTCAGCAGGGCAAGAAGAAGCTTCATCGCTGCCCTCCTGACGGAGCAGACATTATTGAGCAGCTCGTCGAGGTCGCTGGAATCACCCCGCAGGGGACCTGAGAGACCAGCAACTACCTCCTCGAGAAGCTGGTTATCATGACAGTACTTTACCGGGTCCTTGAGCTGGAGGGACAATAGTTGCGCTGAGATGGAGCATATCTTGGCGACAGAGTCCACCTTTGGATCGACCCCTTCCTTGAGCTTCGTCGCCCAAGAAACCGCATCTGCCAACTTTCCCGCCTCTCGTGCCAGAACCGCCAAAACCTGGTAAATCTGAGAAAGAGGTGTCCGTGAAGCTTCAGAGAGTTGTGCTCCGTAAGTATCGAGCTGAGAGCGAACCCTGGTGAAGACTGAGAGGCAAGTAGCATAAGAAGAGCGCTCACTCTCCTGGCTCCGACGCACGAAGGCGCCCATGTACCGAGATAGAGGCATGATGATTTCCTTTTCCGCATCACCCTTATGTTTGGCCAACTTCCACCATTGTATTCTCGTCTCCAAAGCAAAGGCCTGCAGCTCGATGGCGGATACCGGGGAGATACTAAGCCGCGGTTCTATGCTGAGCGTGTCGTCCTTGCTGGCAGCACTTGGGGTCAACGATATCATGCATTGTGCCAGAGTTTCCATCTGGCGGGCAATCTTGGCAACATCGGCGCCCTTATCAGTCGCTGACCGTAGGAGGAGGGCAGTTGGTGATGAGCTATGGTCCTGGCGTAGGAGTGGGATGATGGCTTCGATCGCATTTGGCTTTTTGTTCGCAGAAAGGAGGCGCAATGCCTGTATTTGTGTTGTAATGACGAGAGCAAGGGCTGGCCCCGAGGATTTCACCTGGCCAAAATCGAGTATCTCCGCATATACTTGCGCTGCCGTCTTGGGTGGTTCGGTAGCAGTCGTCTTAGTCGGCTTCTTTATTGTCGTCGAACTGGACGATGTCTCCAGTCTCTTCTTCAAGATACGCAGTTCCTTGAGAGCTTGATCGTGTAGTCCTAGTGTAATCAACCTGGCGATTAGAGAAGACATGCCGGTCTCGAGTTGTAGCTCCGGGAGCGTGAGCTTGCTGGACGTGTGTAACTGGCGCAGGGCGCCCAAAGCAACGCGAGCACATTCGACCGTGGCGAGGAGGTTCGTGTCATGCTTCGGGGCTTTGGCTGGCGAAAGGGAGCGCTTCGAGAGGGCCGGAGAAGTGGTGACCCTGTTAAGGGCGCGAGGCTGTAGGGGGGATAGTGGTGTCGAGTTTGTAGAGCTACATCGTTGAAGCGGGTTTCTCGTCGTGGCTGACCTTAACAATTCCTCCTCTTGGGGCGCTGGCCGCTTGGTGGGCGTTGGGGGTCTCGCAGTAGTTGCTGGGTTCTTTGCATACTCGCTCAGGGCGCGAAGGGTTCCGTTGACAACATGGGTGGCCAATGTTGCCTTTTCCTTGGGCGAGAGTCCATCATCTTTCTTTGCTGCGGCGGCGGCCTTGGTGGTCGTGTTGTTTGCTCTCGATCGCGGTCTCGTTGTTGGTGCTGTCTTTGTTGTTGTTTCGGTCGCGGCCGTGGCATCGTCTTTGGGTAAGAGGAGGCTCTTGAGAAGAGCTGTGATGGTAGGCGTACATGTTGTCACCGAAGAGACGGCGCTGCGCACGGCGTCAGCTTGCGAATGTATCGTATCCATGAAGCTGTCGTAATGTAGAGAAAGAGGGTCTAATGGGCTGATTCCTAATCATGTCATCGCCTATAACGTAGGACTAGGGACACCAAAAGACGGGAAAAGAGTGTAGTGCATGAAGGATGGTTGGATCGTATGCTGTGTAAATGGAAGTGGAAGCAAACGGTAAGGTAAGGTGGATCGCGAATTGGTGTCCAAGAATGGAGCTACTCCCCCGGCCACGAGTCCGGATACCAACGACGGGGAAGAACCCTTGTTGGCGGGATGTTGACTTGGTCGCAACAAAGATTCAACGAGTTGCCCGGGCAACTGCAATACAAGGACGGCAAGGTACGAAGGGTACGTACCTCGCTGCTGAAGACAGGACGCCGGCGACGTGGGGCGCATTGGCCAGCCAGAATGACAGAAAGACCCCACCTTTGCCTGCCGTGCGGGACGTCACTTCTGGGATTTTGGTGCAGTGTCAATGCAACTGCAGTGAACTTTTGCCGAAGAACGAAGCTTCGAGTCTTCTCACTTTCTCTTCAGTTTCTCTTCAGCAACACTTGACTTGGACAGCTGCCGCGATCCGTCTGAATCCTACTCGAGCTTCAACAGCCACCCTCTTCCAATCCAAGACAACTCGACATTTTCGAATCGCTGCCATGCACCGAACTGCTCTTCCTCAGCGCCTTGGGCGCAATGCGCATGCGGCCTTGCTCCGTCGTCAAGTTCCCTCGACAGTTCTTCGAGCTTCGTTTTCGACCTCGATCCGCGCTGCGAGCGGCGCCCCGGATGTAATCGTCCCTAGAGTCGCCAAAGTGTCCTTTTGGAAGTCGCTGGTTCCCAAGTTTCTGCGATTCGGCGATGACTCCATCCACCACACCAAGATGCCGAAATCGAACGAGTGGAACCCGGCCACCTTTTTTATCATCATTTTTCTAATGATTGGATCCATGGCTATCCAGATGATTTCTCTCAAGAAGGACTTTGCCGCCTTTTCGCGCCAGGCCGATGTGAGAATTAATACCCTGCGCGAGGTGGTCGAGAGGATACAGAAGGGAGAAGAGGTGGATGTTGAGAAGGTGCTGGGCACTGGTGATCCGGAGAAGGAGGCTGCTTGGGATGAAGGTACGTCAAAATCAGATGAAACTGCGATACGGAGAAGACCGGCTGACATCATGATCCCATAACAGTCCTCAAGGAAATCGAGCGCGAAGAAATCATGCACAAGGCAAAGCAACAAAAGGCAGCGAAACTTGCCCAGCAAGCCAAGCCAGAGCCTGCAAAGGAACAACCCCAAACGCAGACCCAGACCGAAACGGAGACAACGCCCAAGATTTCTCCCGCAGCCCTCAAGGGTGCCTTCTTCTAAGATGACAGCACGTCTATTATTCTATTAAAGACGGGCGCTCGTTAGGGGACCCGCTCGTAAACGCCGTACCAATGGGCACCTCGGTCACCATGGCTCCATTGTTATAACTTTTGAGCTCCTCCACGAGCGCCGGTAATAGCTTTTCAGTAGCCATCTCCACTCTAACCCCATGAAAACCGGCCATTTTAGGGTCCAGATCTTCAAAGAACATCTCTTCGCGCCTCACACCACCGATGCTCACAATGGCAATTGGCATTCCCCGGAGTTTAGCCCGCTGTGCCAACCGCCAGGCCGAGTAGGTCGCCAGGGAGGTGCCCAGGATGAGCATTCGTCCGGCATTGTCGATGGCATTTTCCGCGTCTCGCTTGACCTCGGCACTTATACTCTCTCCAAACATGATCACCGCCGGCTTGAGAACTCCCGCAGTGCTGGACGGTATCCAGGCGCCATCTGCGTCAATCTCCACCCGTGTCTTGGTACCATCTCCGAGGCGCGGCGGCTCCTTCAAACATGACGGGCATGCTGGGTAACGAAACGTGGTGTAAGGTGCCTCGGCCAGATCCACATCGCCATCCGGGTTCATCTTGATCCCCCTCTTGTTCCGTTCCTCGATATCCTCCGTCTCCAGGGCTCCCGACGCCAGCGCCTCGCGAAGGAAATCGGCCCAGATGGGGTTGAGCCTGGCCAGTGTGGTCTGATACTCGTCTCGAGGGAACTGGTTCTTGCACGATGTACAAACAACCGAGGCTAGACTCCCGTGCAATTCGACGGTTCGTATTTCCGGATGGCTCATCTTGTGGAAGGAATCCACGTTCTGCGTGATCACGCCCGTGATGCTCTTGTTGCTGTTCTGGTCGCCGCCGCCACTGCTGTAGCGCTGGGCGAGCAGGTCCCCCAGGTCCCGGATCGCGTGGTGTCCCGGGTTCGGGCCGGCCCGTCCCAGACCCCTCCATCCGATGTAGCTCCGTGCCCAGTATCGCTGGCGCGTCTCGTGACTGGTGAGGAACTCGTGGTGGAAAATGGGCTTGTAATTCTTGTTAACCCGGTAAGTGCCGTTGACGCCGCGGTAGTCGGCTAAGCCGCTGGCCACGGAAAGGCCGGCGCCGGTGAGGATGACAGTTCGGTCGGGTAACCCGGACGGCGGGGGGGTGGTGAGGAATGACTTGAGAGCAGCGACGGCGCCGGGGAGGGTCGTGGCAGTGGCAGGAATAATGGTGGTCGGGGGAGGAAGCTCCCGGTAGGGAATCCGCATTCGGAGGGTGCCGGCTGCTGTTGTCGCAAGGGAGGACATATTTGATGTTCTGTTGGATTTTTCGGATCCGAAAATGGTAGTATTAGTTGTTAGGGGTCACGAGGCGGCGCGCGCCGCTTTTTACAAATGTCAAGTCTTCCGAGTCATGTTGGTTGTTGTGAAGTTTGTCTCCAGATGCAGAATCGTAGTGGCAGTTGGAGAGATCGGTTCAGTGCTGTCACCGAATAAGGTCTGAGGAGCTTGGACCACCTTGGCATTTGGATGCTTTACGGATCAAGGGACATTGTTTACTCACCCCTTTCGAAGAAAGATGGTCATTGACAACTAACGGATTATCTTTGAACATGATAAAATCACCATTGAAGCTTTCCACACAGTCTTCTAATTGCAACACTTTGATTGAAGAGGCGTGCCTATCCTGTGTTCCTGTTGAGCATTACGGGATCCTGTCCCGCCCCTCGCTTGGTGGGTGGCTGGGTTCCTATCTACATAAGACGCTAATCTGGCGCTGATTTTCAACAAAGTCGTATGGTCTAATGGTTATGATTTCTCGTTCACATTAGTTGAATCTGATCCGAGAAGGTTCTGGGTTCGATCCCCAGTACGACTAGTTTTTTGACTTTTTTCCCGAACCCAGCTTTAAAAATCCACCTGTTCTTCTTTCTTTTTAGCAGTTCTGTTTTGTTTTCTTTTTCTCGGGCGTTGAAACTAATGGCGTCCATAAATGTGATTAGGAGAAAGCTCCAACTAAACCTGGAAGCTTCAAATCGACCTTTATTAGTTTAGTGAAGATTCGAAAGCTCTGTTTACTTCGTTGAACACATGCATTTGCGCAACTACTAGTTTGTAACATAACATTGTTGCGCGGCATGGTGCTGTGTCAACATGATGGATCAACACTCAATGCGTGTCTCCTGAACCCCTTTTCGAGTTTGTTTGTATGCAGTGTCCCATATGGTTCCAGCGAATACATGATGCCTCACCCTTTGATTTCAGACAGCTATGCGAAGATACTGGACAAGCTCCTGAATGGCTGCCATTCGCACAATGCAATAAGCACACCAGACCGGCCAAACGGTTGGATCTCATCCATTGTCAGATGCGAGCGGACTTGAACCTTCAGGTCCAATTGGCGATGGCGTGTGAATGGTCCATCGAACGTTGGAACACGGAGGGGCAGTGGGGAAGTGGACCGGATAAAGAGCGAGCTTGCTGCCCTGGAACATGCGCCGAAGCCAAGCTGAACAGGGACGGGTCCCCGCCGACTCAGCCGCGCCAGCCCGGGATGGCCTAGTCAGTTTAGCAGTCAACCGACAGTCGCTGCAGGCAGGGCCAAGTATCGGTCAAGTACCCGCCTCTCTAACCTCCTGGTTTATTACTGGCAGGTACCCCATCGGCCGGTATCGATTCCCAAACCACCAAACAAAACAACTCCCCCCTATCTCAGCTCTACAGTAATCCATAATCGAGTCCAAGTCTCTGGACCCAACACTGCTCATTATTCCCTTATTCATACCAGCTACCAGCTAGCAGCTTACTGCCTTAATTCCTCCCGATGTCCGGCCGTTTCGTCAGAGCGTCGAAGTATCGTATGTCGATCCCCCGTCTTTCTCCCCGAGTCCCGTTAGCACACCAGCTGGACGGATAGCTCCAGAGGTAGCGCCGTATCCACGATAGGAGTCGCGACGAGCTTGAGAGAGACTGACACGATAGCCGCGACTGCTAGGACACGTCTTCGGCAAGCCCACGCGCAAGGAGTTCTGCTATGACAACCTCCGCATCAGTCACAATGCCTGGGACACCAACCTCATAAAGGTACCTACTTATACACTACGCTCCTCTCCACCACTTGCGCCCTATCGATAGCCTCCGTAGTCGTTATACTGACCTTATATCGTCTACACCTAGGCCAACCCCGAGTACCTGGCCGTGAACTGGGAGTCGAGCGGTGGTGGCGCCTTCGCCGTCATCCCCCTCAACGAGCGCGGCAAGCTTCCCGACCAAATACCGCTGTTCCGTGGCCACACCGCCGCCGTCCTCGACACTGACTGGTACGCTCTTACACATGCGCTACAACGACCCGACAAGATAATCTGACCTAAGCTCCTCTTAGGAACCCCTTCAACGACCGCTTGATCGCCTCTGCCTCGGACGATGGAAAGGTGTTTATCTGGCAGGTCCCCGAGAACTTCACCCTCTACACAGACGCCGAAGAGCCAGCCGATGTCTCACCCGTCAGCAAGCTCTCTGGTCACACGAGGTATGATCTACACCCAAAGTAATATCCAGAAGGTTTGTGCTCACACAAATACAGAAAGGTCGGCCATGTCCTCTTCAACCCCGCCGCCGAAAACATCCTCGCCTCGACCTCTGGCGACCTGACGGTCAAGTTCTGGGATGTCGAGACCGGCCAAGCCCCCATCGCCCTCAAGCACCCCGACATTGTGCAGTCTCTGTCGTGGAGCGCCAACGGTACCATGCTTGTCACCACCTCTCGCGACAAGAAGCTGCGCGTGTGGGATGTGCGCCAGCAGTCCGCAGTCCACGAATACCAGGGCCACGAGGGCGCCAAGAACAGTCGCGCTGTGTGGCTGGGTGAACACAACCGTATCGCTACCACTGGTTTCTCCAGGATGAGTGACCGTCAGGTTGCCCTGTGGGAGCCTGGCAGGCAGGACCCCATCGGTGGTTTCAGCTCGCTCGACTCCATCTCTGGTGTCTGCATGCCTTTCTGGGGTAAGTCACTGCTTGAATTGCTGCTCTTGTATGCGCCGAAGCTAACTGTGGTTGCGTAGATGACGGCTCTAACTGCCTGTACCTTGCTGGCAAGGGGTAAGTTTGGCGCAACCCAAGATAGACACGATAGTATGCTAACGTTCGCAGTGACGGCAACATCCGTTATTTCGAGTATGAGAACGACAAGTTGGAGTTCCTGGCCGAGTACAAGTCCGGCGACCCCCAGAGAGGTATCGCTTTCGTGCCTCGCCGTGGTGTCAACGTCCACGAGAACGAAATCATGAGGGCCTACAAGACCGTCAACGATCAGTACATCGAGCCCGTCTCCTTCACCGTTCCCCGTCGTGCCGAGACCTTCCAGTCCGATATCTACCCCCCTGCGACCGGCCTCAAGCCCGCTGTGTCCGCCAAGGAGTGGTTCGACGGCAAGGACGGCATCCCGGCCAAGATCGACATGGAGAGCATCTACGAGGGTACCGCACCCAGGGAGGTTCCCGCTGATTACAAGCCTCCTACTGCCTTCTCGTCTCCTGCCCAGGCCCCCGTGCCCAAGAGGGAGTCCACGCCCCCATCTGCTGCCCGCGCGCCCCCGCCGAGCGTGTCGGACCAGAAGGCCTCCATGTCCGCTATTGCGAACAAGTTCCAGGATAACGAGGACGCCGAGCCAAGTGAGGGCGAGTCCTCTCCCTTCGAGGAGGTTCCGCGCCCCGCTCCTAGAGCCGCCGCCCCGGTTCCCGTGCGAACATCTCTCCCTCCCGCTACCCCAGTCCAGAAGCTTGCCTCGCCCGTCAGGACCACCACCGCCGCCGCCCCTGCGCCTGCTCCTGCCACATCCTTCCCTGCTGCCGCTGCCGCTTCCTCGGCCGTGGGATCTGTCGAGGCCTCTCTTGCCCAGATCACGCAGCTCCTTGAGCAGCAGAGCAGGGTCATTGGTGCCCAGAGCGACAAGATCCAGGCCCAGAGTCAGATCATCAGCCATCTCGCCACCGAGGTCGAGACCCTCAAGAAGAGGGTCGGACCCGGCCCGCAGGATCAGAGCGAGAGAATCAGACAGTTGGAACTGGAGCTCGAGGCTGCTAGGTCGTAGGCGTCAGAGTTTTGAGAGTTTTGGTCCAAAGTTTCTACGTCTCTCTCTCTCACTGGGTTATACTGCCAGACCAAGTCCTTGAACATACGTCCTTTCTCACCGATTTATAATGAAAGTCAATGTTGGGGTAAGTAATTGTTGGACACGTATGGATGATTGGAACGACGATGATAGCTTCAAATGGGGAATGAAACGAAAAAGCAAGCAAGCAAGCAAGCAAGCAAGCAAGCAAGCAAGCAAGCAAGCAAGCAAGCAACTTGAAGAAGAAGAAAGAAGGAAAGCATAGCCAAGGCAAGCAAGGGAAAGCGTTCAATTGGTGTCTATGGAGTATAGTAACTAGTTTTTCAACTTGTTCATGCTGTATAATGTTAGTGTGAGCTCCTCCTCCCTCTTTGTTTATATAGGGAAAGTAGTTTCTAGCTAGGTAGGATATGGATAGTATACTGCCGTTCATGAACTTTTCATTCTGAATTTCTTGCTACTATTATGGTACAAGCTAGCCTGGCTGGATTCAGGACACAGGAGCTGCTGAGCACATTCCTCACTGAATGACACACAACACTTGCTATAAATCTACTACATAACAACATCCCCCCCAAACCCAACCGGCCTTCTCCTCCCATCATTCTCCGGCACAATCGCCAAAGCCTTATATATCCTCCCCATCCCATTCGGTCCCCGATCCACCAACCGTTCCCAACTCCTCCTCAAATCACTCACAAACTTCTCCCTCTCCTCCTCCTCCCCTTCGGATGATCCCGGCCTCTTCGCCAGTCCAACCTTTAACAAGTGCTCAACCCTCTCCCGCCCCCCCATCCCCTCCAACAACCACGCCTGCTCCACAGGCCCATGCACCTCCACCCCCTCGCTCGCATCCGTCGCCGCCTCCGCAACCGCCGTGAAATCCACGTCCGCACTGAGGTCAGTCAGGCCCGGCTCCGCGAACGGGCTGACGAGGTGATGTTTCCTGATTCCCCTAAGCGAGTTGACGGGGACGCTGCCGTCGCCCGGGCCGTAATCTAGTATCAGCGCTGCGCCCTTTGGACCGGAAGGTTTGGGGTGCGAAGGAGAGCCGCCGATGCGGGTGGCGAAGTCGGAGGCGAATAAATAGGCGTCGGGACAGATTTCGATTAGGGAACCGGGGCCGCCGGCGCGGGTGGTGCCGTCGGGGAGGGGGACTTGAGAAGAAGAGGAGGAGGATTTGATGGCGCGGTAGCGGGGGGAGAGGTCGGGGAGGTGCAGGGAGTGGCGGGTTGGAGAGGGGGAGAGGGTTAGTTGGAAGTCGGGGGGAGGGGTTAGATGGGGGTTTTGAGAGGGGGGCGTGCGGAGGGTGAGGTGGGTTGAATGGGGGGGAGTGGGGGAGACGAGGAGTTCTCGCCATTCGAGGGTTGGACCTGTGGTGGTGGGCTTTTTGGATTGCCCCTTGGGGCCGGAGGTGGTGATTGTTGCGATGGAAGATGGGGGAGAGGGGTCGCTGGGGGGCACTTCGACTAGTTGGAAGGCGTGGATGGGGAGGGCGTCGAAGAATTCGTGGGCCATGATGAAGGGGGTTTTCTCGGGGTCTGTTGGTTGTGGTAAGATAAGATGAGGGTGTCAGTTTGTTTGGTTTGTGTAGGAACAAATAAGGTTGTTGGGAAGTGTGAAGGGACCCGAGGGACATGACATACCATAGGGGATGGACTTGATGGTCTCTGTCCAGACGATGGGGATGTTGCCGTACTTGCAGTGACTATGATAGCCGACCTTGGACTCGCTCATGGCGGCGTCTTCTCCGCATAGCAAGTTCTTCTGGGCTATTCTGAGCTGGGGACTGGCTTCAACCATATAAACAGCGTCGATGCTCTTAGCCATCTCTGGGAAGTTTTGTATTGTCTGATGTTCGCATTACTATTAGCACGGTCTTCATGACTGAACTGAGTGAGGATATGGTGAGAGTGAGTGACACTAGACATCACATACCCGAAGCATATCATCCATCAAGGTACCACGACCGGGGCCGACCTCGATGAGTTCGACCCCTTTACTCGGACGTCCTTGGGCTAGCCATTCGGTGACATACCAAAGCCCGCAAAGCTCACCAAAGACTTGGGAGATCTCGGGCGAAGTGACAAAGTCGCCTTGGACGCCGAACTGGTCACGGTTCTGCTCCGATTTCTCGATGGCGCCGGTGTAGTAACCGCCAATGTCGCCAGTCAGACACATGCGCATAAAGCTGGCCAACGGCACTGGGCCGGTTGCCTATATATTTATGTCAGTACATTCTGTTGTAGTTTTCTGGGGACCTTCTAATTAGCATACCGTGATGGCCTCAGCCAGCTGCTTTGCCAGAGGAGTTGACCATTTTCTTTCATCCTCGTCGTCGTTCAAACGGCGAGCGGTTACTGATAGGTTGCGGGTGTAGTTGGCCAAAGATGGGGGAGCCCTGTTCCTGAAAGATGGGGTTCTGGGGAGCTGTGGTCTCGATAAGATGGTGGCCCGCGGGACGCTCCGCAGCGCACGAGTCACGGCCAACCGGGTCATGGTGGTGGCTGATAGGTGAACAATTGAGCAGCAATTGGGCTCGACTGTTTTCCTACCGAGAAGGAATGAGGAGGAGGAGGTAAGTTAGGATATTAAACTCTCGGTTTAGCGGGAGCTTTCATCCCTTTTCCGGTTTGTGATACACCACCACCCTTCTCTCGAGAGCTCTTGGGGATTTCATCCCAATCGATAAGAACCGGACCCTAACCCTCTTTGTGTAAGTCGGTGGATCCCCATACAATATCCATCGACCGCGGATATTTTCTGTTTTACATGATTGTTCCATGTGTACCATATATCAAATATGGCATGATCGAATTTGATAGTCTGTCGATAATACCCTAGACCGTTCGATCTTCGTTGCCGTCTGGTTGCACACTTCATGTTGTGAACGGGACGAGGCTCGAGCGGTCACATTTTCAAAGTTGCTGTCCAAGGGCAGGGGTTAGGGTTGACTGAGCTGGTTAAGCTCCTCTTGTCTCTGCAGCTGCAGCGTTGCACTGATGTCAGTTCTCAAGCCACGCGGAAGGCCCCTGTCGGCCCACACAAGCTCGCGCCTCACAGTGCGCTGCAGTGGTCCCAAGTCCAACAGGACATTTGTCCATCAATGTCCTCAACTTGCGCCTGAAACATCGTCATCAACCACCCTTGGGACGGCATTCGGGAAAACTACGAACATCACAACACAAAGCAACAATTCAATATCTTTACGGCATACAAAATGGTTCGATATATCCCAGGATTAACAACAACGGGCGTTACACCGGTTGCGCGCCCAGCAGATCCCCTGACGGATCTGACCCGACTGCTCAACCGCCTCCAACAAACTATCCTGCGCGCCGATGCCGAGCGCGAAGCCAGACTACGGGCAAGCGAGTATGAAAGAGAGAAGGCGCAGGCAGTATGAAGCCACCCGGGACCCTACGGTTCATGCTCAACAAGCTAACAGAACAATCGCAGAACATCAACTATGCCCGATCACTCCTCACCAAGTTAGAGCAGGAGGCATTAGGGGTCAAGATCCATGTCCGGAAGAACGAAATCCAAACCGACTTAATCAGGAAGCGAGAAATCATCGAACAACTTACGGAGCGTCTGAGCGACTTGGCCGAGATCGCCACAGCAGAAGAGGCCAGCAAACATGGAGGGGAGGGTGATAATGGGGAAGATACGTCAGACAGTGAAGATATCCTTGCCGACATAATAGCGACACCAAGCGAGAGTCTGGATTCCAACAAGTCACCGAGTGCGCCAGTACTGGTGGAGGACGAAGAAGAACACGGCTGGGGCGATGACCAGGACCAGGTAGCAGAAGATGCGCCAAACGCAGAGGGAGAGGGACAACGGCCACACGACCAGGACTGGGACGAGAAGAAAGGAGCGGAGGTATCAACGGAAGAGACAAAAAAACAACAAGCCGAACCCCTCTCAGAAAAGCAACCATACCCAGAAACAACCACCTCACAAACAATCCGCCCCCGCCGACAGCCCAACAACAACAACAACAACGACGACACAATTAACGAAAAGCCAACAGCACAAACCACATCCTCCTCCCTCCTCCCGCCCTCAACAACAACAACTTCTTCATCACAACCAGGGACGATATCCGCCACCGCCGAAGCCATCCTCGACACCCAGCGGGCCGAGCAAGACGCTCTCTCCGAGTCCATTCTCAAGCTCGCCACCGAGCTAAAGGCATCCTCGCAGGCCTTTTCGTCGTATCTGGAGGAAGACAAGGAAACGCTGGAGAGGGCCGGGGAAGGGATGAATAAGACGGAGCAAGGCATGACTAAAGTGACGGGCAGGATGAGCACGTTGCAGAGGATGACGGAGGGAGAGGGTTGGTGGGGGAGGATGATGCTTTATGCTTATGTTTATGGGTTGATGGTGGTGTTGCTGTTGGTGGTTTTTGTGTTGCCCAAGTTGAGGTTTTGATGGGGGTCGAAGGTTGTTGTGGACTTGTGAGAGGAGGAGAGGGGGAAAGGGTCATAGGAGAGGGGGAGCAGGTTTGTGTTGAGGGAATAGTAATTCATCGCTATACTTTTATGGACTAAACTCGCTAGGGTCTAATAATACACCCGAAGTCGGGATACCATCGCCGACGATTCCCTTATTGCTCCTACGCTGATGGCTCGTCAATGAAAGGCTCTGTGGTAGCTAAAAGCGAACTCCGACAACACGAAACCGCCTTCCCATCTCTCCAATGCTAAAAAAGTTCTCGTCGGGCGTATAAGTAAGAACCTGTGTTTTTGCCTGGCATACCCGTCCAAGGGACCGACCATCCGTCTGCATTTCGTCCGTCCCCCATGAAACTTCCGCCTCGGCTTTGCTGAGCTGACATATGTATGTCCTCGGTCTCCCCTACCTATGACTTCCTTCCACGCGCCCTTGTCCCTAAAGTCCAATAATACCTGTCCGATTCGTCTGTCAAGTTTTTTTTCCCTTTGAGCTGAGGTCTCCTCTCGGAAAGTGTCTGTTGTGTCCGTTCGCCAACTCCCGGCGTTGAATCGCAACTTTGTCTAGACGACAACCTGTGCCTCAACATCCACCACCACTGGTATTACGGTGACTCTGTTGCGTTTCCTCCAGTGGGGTCTGCAGTTTGTGTGGGCAATGACACTTCCGCCGCCGCTGTCTTCATATAGCAGCAAGTTTCCAGTGTATTCTTCTGTGTGTCGTGCCGGGGCGTATGAGGAGAAATAGTAGTGAGTTGAGACTCATTATGGTGGTGCTGATTGTGATCGTTCTGATGCGTTTGATCTTGACTTCCTTCCTGCGACGGAGCGGTAGGCACTTCTTCATGAGTAACTTTGGGTCTGAGAGACAGAACAAGTTGAGCGCTCGTCATAGACTCGGAGCCGGGGTTGATTTCTGCCTCAGGGTTGGGTACCAAAGTAGGTTGACTGTTCGGCATAGACTCCGAGCTGGTGTTGACTTCTTCCTCACGTGGCGGAGTTGGCTCCTTGGGGAGGTATTCCTCTGGGACCCAACCAACTGGTTTTCCGCCCGTCTATTCCGATCACATCTCTCCGTTAGTCTTGTTGTTCATACGCTTGGTATCGCAAGGGGTAGAGAGTAGACTCACCGGTGGCTGATAAGAAAAGAACTTCGCCCCCAAGCTCCCCACGCCCCTGATCAGTCTCTCATCCCACGGGTATCCGACTTTGATCTCGAAAAAGCGTTTGAAAGATTCGTATTCCCGCTGAAAGTCACGCGGCGTCTCGCTAAGTCGGTGGAGCTTCGGGATGGTGTCCTTTTTGCTTTTGTAGTATCTGACGCCCACGTGGTAGAGATGAGGGAGGGCGTTGGATTCGTACAGCTTTCTTGATGTTAGTTGTCTTTCAAGCCTAAAGGGACCAAACTGGTTGTGTGGAGGATTAGACGTCCAAGATTTTGTCCGACGGAAGGGAATCTCAGAAGGGGTGACCGCTCACCTTTACCACGTATCTCTCCCCAAGGATACCCATCTCCTCGTCATCTCTGGACAGGGTTATGTTGTACTGAAAGAAGTCGGTGGGATCCCAGTAGACATTGTAAAAGTCTGGTTGGAAAACACATGTTAGCCAACAATGCCGTTCCAAATGCATTTCCAAATTTCGGCGGATGGTAAGTCACAGGCAAAACTTACTCTCATTCACAGCCCTATCCTCCTCCTCTACCCCCTTCGCAATCTTCTTCTCTAGTCTCGCTTTGTCCCTCAAGGCTTTAAGCGTCGCCACATGAGAGTACTTGTCCTCGGGCAGACGCTTCTCCTTGAAGAGCGAGTCTTCAAGCCAGTCCAAGGAGACGATATGGCATTTTTTGTCCTTCTTGTACGCCCGTGCGAGTGCTTGTTTGACTGATTTGGACCGGATACGTCAGTATCATGTTTCTTGTCCCACGCCGCCATACCAGGGATCCTGTCCAGTCACCCATGTATGTCATCGTTCCTGTCAATATGGAATGGTCTCATCGGGATAACCAAAAAACTCACCTTTGGGCCCCTTCTTGTCAAATTCCTCCTTCGTGCAGACGAGATGTGTCACGTCTTCACTCATCCGCCAGCTGAACTCGGCGGCCCGGAGATTAACCCATCTGGAGATTTTGGTGTCCGTCCATTGGTCGTGGAACGTGCCGGATATGGCTATGTTGAGCCCTCTGAAGATTGGCCTGAGGCGTCCAGTGCCTGCTTTGCCTCTGGGCATTTTGGATAGGTGTGCGAAAGTCTAGAGGTTGATGTACGGCAAATACTTGAGCCTTGCGTGACGGAAGATGGGGGAGAATGTAACGATATCAAGAATAAAGATGCTGGCAGCGATGGTGATCCGTGATGTTCATGTGAGCCAGCGAGAAATTCGATTCCTGGCGTCGAATTGGAAACTGGGTATGAGAATCTGGCAAGCCTTGATGGTCAAGAGTAGATCTGAAACTCGGAATAAGGAAGATACTGAAGATATACTCGTGTGAACTGGCAGGTTTCGGCTGGAAATTGTGAAAGAAGGAGAGTTATCTGGGCTGAGGAGAGTCTTATACGTGAGATCGTGAGAGTCGATGACAAGATGTACAACACAACTATCGAAGTTTGGATGAAATACTTGTGACCAGGGCCATCGTATAGTTCGGACGACTCATACATTGGCAATGAGATCTCCAGCTTCCCAACTGAGTGACATATTCGAGAAAGAAAGCTTCGGAAATGCGATGACTGGGAATGACAACCGCACAAGTCTACCTCGGAGCGTCATGTCAAGTGGTTGTCTAGAGGTGAAGATCAATAACCGGTGCTGAGGACGACATTTTCAGCGCTCAGTTGTGATGGGAGCCTTGCGACAAGGAAGTCATACTCACCGATGATTTCGCTCTGCCGTACGCATCATCACCACCCCAAAGCGCTCCTACCTCTAACAAACTCATCCGCATCCAAAGGCTCCAACTCCGGAAAGGTCCCAGTAAACCCAACTCCAATCCCATCCACCAACGTCTGAATCGCCTCAAGCTCTTGATCCACCTTCGGATCCCCCAACTTCCTCAAAACCTCCAAATCCTCCTCCAAAATCCTCCTCTCCTCCTCCGACAGCTTCCTAGCCCTCTCAATCTCCAACGCCTTCAAAGCCCCCGGTTCCCTCGCCCATTTCCTCTCTCCATCAAGTTCAACCCTCTCATTCCAATACGCCACCCCCTCCCCCCTCCTAACAACCACACACCCATCCACAATCCCCCCCTCATCCACCCACCTCGCCGCCTCCCTCAACCCCTCATAACTCTCATCATGCACCCTCCTCGGCGTCAGCCTCACGGGTAATCCCCTTGACCCAGCCTCCGGCAGCCGTTTCCAATACCTAACCAAACACCCCAACCGACTCAGCCCCTCCGGCACCGCCAAAACTGCCACCTTCGCTACATAACCCCCCCTATGAAAAATCTCAGCAAGCCTGCAAAAATCATCCGGGTGTCGACACGCTGACTCAACCAAGACATCAATCCGGTGCTGGACGGCGTGTTCGCACGCCATTTGCAGCCATAAGCGGGCGTCTAGTCCCGCCAAGACGGAGGCTTGAGCCGGGGGGAACTGGGAGAGGCAGGCAAGATAGTGGGGGTGGTAGGTCTTGTAGGTGTCGGCTATGAAGTGGGCCGGGGGACGGTGGGAGGGGTGGGAGGCGGTCATGGCGCTGAGGAGGGCCGGGGCGAGACGGGTCTTGCCGGCGCCGGTTTGGCCGACTATTAGGATGGCGAGGGGGCGGCGTCGGGTGGTTGTGGTTGTTGTGGTGGTGGTGGTGGCTTCTGTTGTGGACGTGGACGTGGATGGGGAAGGGGGGGAGGGAGGGGAGACGGGTATGTAGGGTTGTTCGGCGGGGAGGATTTGGGTGGTGAAGATTTCGAGGCGGGCGGAGGGGGTGAGGGTCCAGGAGGGTGGGAAGGTATTTGCCATTGTGGTTGTTTGGGCAATTAGGTCGAGATTGGTAGTTAGACTAGGGAGGGATATTGATACTCGGAGGAATTGACTAGACAGGAGGATTAAAGCCCGAGTCCTCGAAGTGGTTCACGAGATATCGACCAACCGCAGTGACAAAACCCAAACGTGTTAACAAATGAATAACTGATGAGCTTGAAGAATCGGCGCCGTCAGAGAGTTGAAGCTCACGAATGAAAGCCGAAAGATCGAACGACGTTCGTCTCTACCCCACGAATTTGCCGCGATGGAACGTTGAGGCTCAAGTTTGGCAACATTGAGGAGTAAGCAGCCAAGCGGAGGAATGTCTCACATTCGGCAACTCATTCCGACCTCACCTTATGTCTTCCCCCACGACAAGACGGGCGTGAGGGGGAAAGGAAAGATGGTCGTCATTGGTAAAACGGGGGTCGCAAATCGTTGATGTTTTGCAAAGGAAAGTTAGGTATGGTTCATCTCCAAATGCTGCTTTCTTTCGTCAGCGCCATGATGTTTTTTTTTTCTCCAGTCCCCGGCATCAAAGCCAAACCGTCGTCTTGGCAAAGAAACCCCTGAATTGAAGAAAAACAAACAGAGAAAATGGGCACCTTGATGACCACACAAGTCACATCTAATCTTGGTCAAGAAGCGCAAGCCCCGGCCCCGCTCTCCCCACGATCCATCCATCAGGCACTCTCCACCACCCACGCTTCATTTGCCGCTCTTGCCGCTTTCAATCGGCATGAGTTTCAAAAGTTGGAGATCCCGCCAACAAACCGGGACCTGCTTGACAAACCAAGCTCCGAAAGCGGAGCGGAGATCAATGGATCTTGATGTCAACAACGATCCCGCGCCTTCGCCTTTAACTCCGGGGGCGGTCTCTGGTTTGAAAAGAAAAATGCTCCGCCACCCCGGAGAGCGAGTCGGTGAATATTCGCCATGGTGGATTAGTAAACATTTGTATAAAAGCATACAAATCCTCTCTCAGTTCTTGTGCTTGTTGATCCATTGACATTTCACTCACCGTCCTCATCCAATCTTCGCAATAGTCAATCAATACCTTCACAACTCGACCATAAAAATGGCAGTAATAAACCAAGCAGCAGCCAAGCTCCGCGCTCAACTCTTCGACTCGGATGAGCTCATCGTTTGCCCGGGCGTGCAAGATGGTCTCTCCGCTAGGGTTTGTCTTCAGCAGGGTTTCAAGAATCTGTACATGGTAAGTTCAACAAGTCCGTCCGCATCAACCTCTCGCAGCATTACCCGACCCCTCCTCCATCTTACCACCCCCACTCTCACCATGATCAATAACTAACAACCCCCGCCCCCAAGACCGGCGCAGGCACCGCCATCTCCCTCCTAGGCATGCCCGACCTCGGCCTCACCACCGCCGACGACATGGTCCGGCAAGCGTCCATGCTCTCCTCGCTCGACCGGTCCGTGCCGCTAATCGCCGACATCGACACCGGCTTCGGCGGGCCCGTGATGGTCGCGCGCACCGTCGAGCGCTACATCCTGGGTGGCGTCGCCGGGTTGCATCTCGAAGACCAAGTAACCACCAAACGGTGCGGCCACCTGGGGGGCAAAGAGATGGTGGACGTGGGGACCTTTGTGGCGCGCATCCGCGCCGCTCGCGAAGCGCGCGAGCGCTTGCAGAGTGATATCGTAATCATCGCCCGCACTGATGCGCTGCAGAGCATGGGTTTTGAGGAGGCGGTTAGTCGGTTGAAAGCGGCGGTGGAGGCGGGCGCGGACGCGGCCTTCTTGGAAGGCGTCAAGGATCGCGAGGAGATGAAGAAATTCACGGCGGCGATGGCGCCCACGCCGTGCTTGGTCAATTTGGTACCCGGCGGACTGACGCCGTTGGTGAACGCCAAGGAGGCCAAGGAGTTGGGGTACAGGATTGCGATTTGGCCGTGCTTTGCCATGACACATGCGTATGTGGCATACCAGAAGGCGGCGAGGGAGTTGATGGAGACGGGGGCGGTGACGGCTGGGTTTACGGAAAAGCAAAAGGGCGAGGGCGAGGGGGAGAAAGCGCCGGGTGGGGTTAGGGAGCTTTTTGAGCTCTGTGGGTTGAGTGAGTGCGTGGAGTTCGATAACAAGATGGGCGGACAGACGTTTTCGAAGGGGGTTTAAGTTGAGGTTTGTATACGCGCTGGCGAGGAGAGGTATGGAGAAAGGAGCGACTTCAGAATAGTCTAATGATATACCCAAAATCCTCTGGCAGAATAATACAATCATAAGATCACGCACTAGGCAACGAACGCGATCGGACATGTTTTCCGTGGCTAGGCGCGGACCGATTGACAGTATATAACATGGGCATGTTGAAAGACCATGACCTGATCAACATGTGAGAAGTGGGAGGCACGGATATATAAAATGTATGTTTATTGTTTGATCCAAATGACAGGCACTCAGCCTGATATCTGCCAGTAACCACGAACTGCATGAACTTGCTTAGTAACAACCGAAACCTGACCTCAAAGGATCCTGGAAAAGATATTAAAACACACTGAAAGCAAAACTAGTCAGAAGAAGCCGCTAACATGACACTCCGAAAAAAACCGTCTTATCAACAATCTGGTAGTAGGAATCCCCCCAAAAATGTATTCCTTCCTTAAACGCCTCTGATAAGTCAAACCGTCCGAAGGTAACTTCAAGTTCTTCCACTGAAGCTCTGCCAAGCGCCCAAGCTTGGTACTGCCTTCGACAATGGAGAGATAAGCCCGAGCCTCTGGCGCCAGCGCAATGTGTACTGTCAAACCAGACCATCTCCTAAGAGCTAGTTCAGGGTGGACAACAGGAAGAAATAAATAAACGCAAACCCTAACTCCTTGGTATGATATGTAGCACGATAAACAAAAATAGATGGATGAAAACAACTGAGATGAGAGTGAAGTGGAGAGAGGCCATGAAGGCGCGATCGAAGTATGGTAGCAGCCGTGGGGCATATGAGCTGTGTAATGCTGATATCTTCGCTTTTGGATCGGTATCGTTCATTCGTAAAACGCATAGTCTTGCTAAGCAGGGACACTGCGGGATGTCATCTCCCCGCTGCGCCGACGCATCAGATTCTGTTGCTTCTGATCCTGTTGTTGCTGTGCTTTCGAAGCTGATTCAATCAAACGCATCTTCTTCCTAAGGATCGTAAGTCTGTTGTTGACCATATTGATCACTATATTAACCCATGTTAGCAGAGATTCAACATTCGTTGCAAGTTACAAGCACGGAAGTTGGCTCACCATTTTGGACGACTTGCTTGTCCTCGTTGTTCATCTCGTCTGATAGTTCGTCCTTGGCGCCAGCCTTCTCCTCCTTTGATGCGCCAGAAACCTTACGTTTCGGAAGATGGTCGTCGTCCTGATCCAGAACAGCCTCCAACATGCGAATCGCTGTGATGTAAGAAATCTCACATCCAGGGAGATCCTCGTTGGCAATCTCATTGATCGCAGCAGCACGGCTCATCTCGATAGCGCGATCGTACATCAGCCTCTCGGCACTGATACCATCGCTCAAGAATACGCCGACAGTGCTGAGACTGTTCAAAGCGGTCGAGTCGTTCGCATGGTTGTTTGGATGACTGGGATGATCTTCAGGTAGTCGCTTCTGTGCTTCAGCCAGCTTAAGTCGAACAATCTCGGCTTTCTCCAAGACTTCATTGAAGCGTGAACGGATCCATTGGACAATACCGTTGATCCTGAGAGCCAAGGCTTCCGAGTTGGCTGAATCCCGTGCCGCTGAAGTGATACTATTGCTCGACTCAACCTTGTTCTTCCGTGACCACCAGAGGCTGGCGATATCCATTGACTTGGCCAGAAGGGTGAGCGCCTTGACATATAGGACCAGCGCCTCCTCGGACAATGAGACGATGGCTTCAGCTGTAAGCCCATCCTCCTCCGCCGACTTCTCAATGGGCGCACCGCCAAGACCATGGTCCATCGAGGGAGCGAGCGGGACAAGTTGCTTGTACTTGACTTCGGCAAATCCGTACACAACATCACTCCGTGTTGCGTGATCCTCTATGCATTGGGCCACACGGGAGTCTTCGTCCACGGGGGTACCTTGCTTCCCATCTGAAATCAAGCCGGTGGGGGCACTAGGGGCTGGATAAGTCGGAAATGGGTTGTACAGCGGCACAGGGGATGGGCCTTTGCCTAGCAGGTGAGGAGCGTATTTGAATCCGAATAACCGCAAGCTCGCATCCTGAATAGCCTTGGAGATTACTGAAGTCGCCTTGCTGGGACTCGTGCCAAGTGCCTTATCGTATGAACCTTGACGGCTATGCCCCTGAGCCAGCTGAAGTGCTCTGGAAGGTGGGCTCGGAACTGCGCCACTCGTCGAGGTGGGTGAACCTTGTTGAGTTGCGCGTCTGACAATTTGTGCCGACTTTGGGGACTGAGGTTGTTGCGGATACATCGATATTTGGTCGGCAAGTGCGTTCACTTCGAGATGCTTCTTGTCCACCAACACATAGTCGCGTTCAAACGCAATATCCTGAGCTGCCCTCTCCTCCTCTGACATGGGTTTTGTTCCCAAGCCTCTAGACTTTGTCCTGGAGACATCACTTGGAGGAGGATTTGCTTCTCGGACAGGAGCCCTGAGCGAGGCGTTTGATGGGTGATGTCGTCGGTCTACATACGAAGATGGACGGGTTGGAGCAGACGTTGACGGTTGAACTTGCGGACGCTTAATCCCTAGCCCTTCGGCAGCTTCCTGTCGAGGAGAATAGCTAAGACGATCTTCTCTCGGTGGCATCTGGAAGTAGTTCGGTTTATTGAAATCGACAGGCTCGTTAGGGGTCGCCAGAGGAGACGATCGGCGGGGTTTTGGTGAAGAGGGACCGGCCACCTGAGGAACACCCTCGCGGTCTGCCAAGTTCTTCCGGAGAGAGTGCTTTCGCGAGGGTACGAGTGACTCTTCCGCCCTACTAACAGGCCTCTCCTCCTTCACGGACCGACGACGTGGTGGTTTGGGGATGTCGTCTTCCACAAGTCCCGGAATAGGTTCTGTGACAACAGGATGGTCAAATAGATCTTCAAAACTTATTCTCTCCACCGGGTTCTTTTTCAAGAGAGCACGGATCAGGCCTTTCATCTCTTGGCTAACAACACTCTCCCTTGTGAACTTGATCACATCGCCTGATGATTCGATTTTCCTCAGAAGTTCCACATGATTGCTGGCTTTGAAAGGCGGCCTTCCGGTTACCATTTCGTACAATACCGTGCCCACGGACCACAAATCCGCCTTGGCATCGTACTTTTCATACCGTAGAATTTCTGGTGCCATGTAAAGAGGAGAGCCGCACAGTGTCTCGGCGAGGGATGTCGACGGAAGCACACGGGCGAAACCAAAATCGGCAAGCTTCAGCATCGGGGCCGAGGCTAGACCGGCAGCAGGCGTAAAAGAGTCATAGCTGCCGCTCATAATGTGTTTCGCCGTCTTGTTGTTGGCCATCATCTGAGGAGACGGAAGCAGAAGAAGGTTCTGGGGCTTGACATCCCGATGAACAAAATCCCCAGCGCGCAAAAACTGCAATGCGCTCGCCAGCTGTTTTAGAAAGTGACGAGTCACCACCTCGTTCAAGCCGGCATTTGGATAGACGGGGTATTTCCGCGCAAGGTCGTGAGTGTAGGGATTTGTGATCAACTTGTCTCGCTTCTTGATGAACAGCGACAAGTCACCAAGTTCGCAATACTCCATTATCAGATTGATGTGGGTAGAGGACTCAACACAGTCATGGAGCGCGACGATGTGAGGGTGTCGAAGGGTCTTGAGGATTTGAATTTCCCCGTACAGGTTTTCCTTCAGCTTCTTATTTAGGCGGGCGAGCTCGACGGATTTGACGGCAACCAATGCGCCAGTGACCTATAAGGCATGATACGTCAGCAAGCAGCCCAAATCACGGGACGGATATGAGGTCAAGGCCGTATAGGACGTTAAGAGATCGAACAGAGGAGGCTGTGGAGCTCACTGACCTTATGCCGGCCCAAGTAAACCTTTGCAAAGCTTCCCTTTCCTATCTCTTGGTCAATGACGAAGGATCCAATGGCATCGTAACTCTGCCTCGTCCTCCTCGAAGACGAGGAAGCAGATGTTCGGTCCGACATGGCTTCCTGGTGTATGTGTTGATGACGGGAAATCAGTGTAAAAGGTAGGTAGCCCAAGGGCCTAAACTATTCGGAAGACGTCAACCTCAAGTCTGGCAGGCATGTATACGCCAAATGGTCCGGTGTTACCAATCTGGTGTTCAGGTGGTTGGGATGATGAAGACGAGCCCAAGGCAGAAGCGGAGAAGTTTGTATTGATCAGGCCGATGTATTGGCAAGCGGAGGCGTTCGGGTTATGCAATGATGCAGGTGCAGATGATAGGTCGAGTATGTGTCGAAGCCAAAGATGAAACGGCGAATGCGTGGTCGAGGGAAGAGGTTCAGGGTACGAGGTACCTTGATGGTTCCTCGAATAAGCTATGCGCCAGGCTCGAATGGGGATGGCAGATGGACAGCCAGGCAACGACGAGGCCGGGTTGGACGAAGAGAGACTATACGGTGGTATGGGATGGAAGAGGAGGTGCGAAAGGGGTCGAGCTCAGTACGATCGTTTCAGGGTCTGGAGGAGTCGGAGGACAACGGAGGAGACGGGGGCCTAGGTGTGCCCGAACGGGTGGCCGATGGGAACGTCGATGCGAAAAAGAGCGGAGAAACGGCAGAAGGATAGGCAGCCGAGCAGGTTGATGGATGAAACGACGGACGGATGAAGGCTCAAGGCACAGTAGAATGGGGTCCAAGCTCCGACACCGACACTGTTGTACCTGGACGTCTACTATCAGTACGGAAGTGTGGTTATCGACAGCTGCTTTTCCTCCACCGCGGCAGACTGACGTCCTATGTCAACTCAATGACTCAGACCCGATCGGCCGCAGGGTGGCCTCGTCCGTATCAGTTGATTCGATGGTTCGGTATTAGGCCCGTCTGATCTCTTGACAGCGGCGAGAGTTGCGGCCGGGTTATATCAAGTTGTGCAATGGATATGTATAGGAGAGCGGATTTGTACTAGGTAGCGTCTATAGGAAACGGGTGTCGAGAGCAGTTAGGATGATGCGATGGCCGGACCGGCATACGGCAGTTGATGCGGTTGATGCGGAAGCGGCGACAGTTGGGTGGTGTCGGGGTAATGGGTGTGGTATATAGCGATAGATGTTGAATATGCGATGGATCCCGTTGATGGCGATCGGAACCCGGGGGTGCGCGACCGGAGACAGCGGAGAGGAAGACCGAAGCTGTAACCTTGGATGGAGAGATGAATGGGCGATATTGGGCGATATGGGGGGGAGAGAGAGACGCGAAGGTGGTTCGGTAGAGTCGGCCGGGGGAGGCGATCCTGAAGGACCCAAGGGCGGTGCTAGGAGTTGTTGCGGACGATGAGTGGATGGGGACCTGACGCAGAGGGGGGAATGGGTGTGGTCCTGTCGTGGGAGTGTCTGGGTGGTCGGTTGGCCGTGGTCGACAGTCGCGGTGATGGGTGATGCGGTCGAGGGACGCAGGAAGGAGTGGACTGTGGATGGACAGCGATAAGTGTGTAGGGGTACCGTATCAGGTACCCAGGCGGTATCGACGTAACAGATACAAGACTGGGGGCCGGGCGGGCTGTAGAGTCGTCGATTTGTGCCCGGGGCGGAGCGCGGGAAAGAGCTGTTGCCCAGGCAATTCTTCGGTTTGCGCGGTAGATTGTGAGTCGTGATATGCGTGTTTTACAAGACGGAAGACGTTATCTTCAGTCTCGAGTTGAAAAGACGGGAGGAAGCTGAAATGGCAGTCGAGTGACAGACGGACAGATTGCGAGCGAGGGGAGACGGCAAAGAGGGAGCCAGCTCCAGGTGGCAGCAGTGGTGACAGCAGACGGGGACGAGGGGGCCAGCGTCCCAAGCGACTTGCGAGTGACACCTGGGCTCGTGATGTGCAAGGGGGCTGGTCCGTGCAGGTGCACTGGAGTCATGCCTCGACATGGTGCGCACCAGTCGATGTAACTCGTGGGTACCCCTGCGGTTCCATCCAGGGCCTTCTCCCCAGCTCCTCCGCCTTTCCAGAAGGGGTCAGGTGGACCCGGGGTACGCAGACGGTACGAGGGCTCTGTTACGTAGCAAGTGGAGACACCCGTTGCTGGTGATAAGGCAGCTTGATAACATCACCGCTTGGAGGTGACACTGACACCTGCTGGAGACTCCCCTCTGCTTCCGCCTTTATTTCTCCACGACTTCAAATGGTTTGGACCTGTTGTCCGAGCACGTTTATACTGTTAAGCCAAGTGGTTTGTCGGCTATGAGGTCTCTTAACGGGCCAGTCTCGATGTTGCCGCGGACCATGTGGTGTTGTTGCTGTCCCTGTCATTTACCGCCTGTCTTGCGTCTTTGGACCACGCAATTGATGGACATGTTTTACCTCAAGCATCAACCCGTTACTATTATCCATGTTGTCTTATCTTGTTTCCGTTTCAAGTCGAAGGTGATAGCCCGGCTAGAGCCCTCTTAACACCCCGGCTGCTTCTAGACGGGACTTGGAATTACCTTTCATTGTTCCAAACAAAGACAAGTATATCTCCCTGCAATAACACCAGAGACTCTGATCTCAACTTTCACTTCACAGGCACTTCAAAAACAATCAACCACACATTTATTCATAGCCACTGTGGGCGTTGTATAGGTATCAAGAGCTATAATGACCAGCCAACCGGAACCAAGAATCTCAGGTAGCGAGTCCTGTCTGGTTGATCCACAGGCTGCATCAGAATGCGGGCGTGAACGACTTGCATGAAGCGATCCCAGCCATTGAGCTTCTCCCGTCACAGCCATGGAACATTGCCTTATTCGAGTTCTCTCATCACTTTTTAAAGACTCAAGACAGTGTCCATTAACACGGACGGACACGCTTATCAATCAATCAGGGCGTCTTGATTCCGCGAGAGTTTGTCCCCAGACGTGGCAAGCCTCCAGGTCGCACCAAAGCACACTTCCACTTGGAGCTCATGGTAATCTCGAACGCAAAATCAGGATTCTGCGCGCGATAAGAACCATGCTGTAATGGCTTTACAACTAGCAGAGCACGCGATTACCGAAAATAGGTGTGTCATTCTCTGTTGGCGCATGAGGTTGATCTGCTCATCCTCGGTGGTCCTGATCGCCAGTTACAACCAAAGATAAAACTCCCAACTACCAAGGCATACACCTCTGGGGAGTCTTCACTCTTCTTGCCCGGTCATGGCGATCGAGATTCATCACACAAACTCCTCCTTGCAGCACAAAGTCCTCCGCGGCGTACCGTTTTCGGCGGCTGTGTCGACCCTGTCGACCCTGTGCCTGTTGGCTTGGCTGGACACAATGGGGCGCACATCCTACGGCAACGACCTGGAAACACAAGCACAGGAAGAACCCCGGCCGCCTGTATGTAGGTGGACGTATTCGACCTGTGTGCGAGTGCGAGTGAGGCTGTCGTGATGCCAGCCAATCCCCAAGCTCGAAATGGAGCTCGGTGTTGATTGCTCTCTTCTCTTGACGTGAAGACGTCCACCCACCACCACTTTAACACCACCCTACTGCACATATGCAAGGCAACGCATCCAGCACCCCTTATCTGGGGATCTGATAGCGCCGCCCAATCAACATGTAAGGTGTAAAGAAGGGTTGAAGGAGGATGGTTACTGGCTGGCTAGAGGTATTGATCTTTGCGATATCGCTTTTCAAATTGAACCTAAGAAGGCCCAACACGTCGTCGATACATCGAGTAACGGGCGAGCGTCCCTTGTATTGCGTCTACGGCGCTACACAGGAGTTTAGCGGGTACGTCGGTTGTAACTTAAAAGTCTTGATAAGAAACACGACATTGACAAGCGTTCGGTTTTCCCCAGATCTCCCTCCCCACGCGCTAAACCCTATATGATGAATGTTGTAGACTGTCCCCGGCCGCCAGTCTCCAAAAGTCAACATCCACCACCAATGATCAGCAAGGTCTTTTTGCCCATAACATGCGCAGCCTCTGCTTTTTGGACTCTTCTTGCTTTCTTTTCGATATCATCTCCTTCAACGCAAACGCGCGGTTCCTGTTCTGCCTTGCCGTCTCCAGCAGAGGCTGCCCTGCTGCTCTCCTGCAGTGGCCTAGTGGCCTGCAGCATCAAGCATCTTTATGAACGTCCTGGCCCACTTGGTTCGAACCCAACTTCACGCCATCAAGCGCAACAATAGGCAGCCTCGCAACTCCCTTTTTGTTCGGACCTTTTGATGCTGATTCGGGTCGGGATCATTGGGCTACACAGTTGTTGACGAAATGGACGAATTTCGATAGGACAACAAATAATTATGAGATGAGGGGAAAGGAAAGGGGAAAGTTTGGGTTCTGGAGTGTAGAGGTAGGGACGGACCCTACATGGAGTTGGTGTAACCACCCACTCTGTTTGGCAACAGGCAACCCACCTCGCCCATTTCATGCCCACTCCCCCACAGTTTTGTGTTGTGTGGCAGCAAGCAAGCAGCCCGCCATCTTTATTGTGACGAACGGGACTGGAAGATTTACTGTTTCCTTCCCGCCGTCGTCCCTTGTGTTCGTTGTTGGATGGTTGGGTGTGAGTTCCATCCCCGTCCGTCATCGTCGTCAACAAACGCAACCACTAAGGAACATTTAAACACAAGTGTATGTACGGAAACAAACCTACCTATCATCACCTCTTTCAATCACCTTTCCTCAATCCCACGATTCTTTGATCTTCCTCGTTTCTACAAGGTTACATTACAATAGTAGACATCGAAGTCCAACCCCACACCCCGGAACCTCGCAACAACAGCCCGATTCGTGAACCGCGAGACTGGCTGTCCCACGATAATGCGTCCAAACCCCAAACACCCTTGAACTTTTACGGCGCCGCCTATGCCCATGGCTTCTTCTCGGATGCGGATGGGAGTTCTAGAAAAGCCACTACCCGCTGCGGCGCCCACACAGCCTTGAAGGCTGAGCCTTCAGAGTTCAGCCCAGCCACTCACCGGAAGAAGAGAAAGCGGTGAGGGAACTTAACATCCAAACGCCAAACGGCTGTGCGGGAACGGAACCACGTAAAGCAAGGTGAGACTTTCAAGGCGTGAGGTGAGGTGAGGTGAGTGAGTGAGTGAATGAACCTGTTCGGGCCGTTCGAGTGGTGTCATGCATCGTGTGTATCTCAGGTACCGAGGGTACCTTATGATGGTGCATGACGGCAGTGGATGTTTTATGCTTGGGTCAGTTATGCAATTCATTTGACAGCCTCGTCCGTTCGTCCTCGGGTTCCAAAGTTGGATTGATGAATAGTCACCTGACTTAATTGACCTCACCTGAATGAAACTTGCTGATCTACACACTAACGAGATCTCTGGGATGGATGCCGCAAGTGATGGCGCAATACACTAGGTATCTCCGTAACGGGGAGGTAGGTACATGTGGGTCATTTACCTAGAGGTATCTACACGTGTATGTACTTGTGAGTTACTCGTCACGTTCGGTAGGCCGGTAGGGAGGTCGGATGAGGCGGTCTTTAGGTGCGGTCCATTGCAGATCTACACCCTTAACGTGACTACAACAGTCAAGTGGTGCAACTGTCATTACTGGTACCATTTGTCAGGGAGGCGACGACATGCGCTTGCTTGCTCAAGGGCTTTAGGGTCCTATCAAGGCGTCATCTACCAGCTGCAGGGACGACCGAGAAGTTCGGGTGCTCGCTCTTTCCCACTTGCTGTCCATCGCTCTTTCTTGTATAGGTACCTTTCGACCGTGGGTCTGGGGAAGGAGCGCCCCGACGGCTATACAACTCGAGGACGAATCGATCAGTCAGTCTTGCTCCATACAACTAGGGGACCTCTGCTCAAGCGAGCTACGGACCACACTCGGGCCTGACATCGCGCATACAACTATTGGATCCAATCCCTTTTTATGTCTGGTTGCAAGAAACTCCGCGGTCGGAGGGTTTGTTTACCACGGTGACATAGTAAATCATTTGTTTTCCTAGAGCACTTGATGAGTGGACCCCATAAGTAGGTATCAAAATAACATGAAGTTTCTCAACATGGAAATATAGACAAGAAGCACACAATCTAACAAAGAAGGTCAAGTAAGATCGGCATTTACAATTCCGTCCTCAAACAAACAAGGGTAACCAACAAAGACTTAGTAAGGCATGGTAACACAATGGACAAGGGTCATCATGCTCAGTGGACACCTGACAAAGACGAGCCGCTTTGAGCAGACCAAATGCAAGGGACACTCGTGGTGATAGCTTCACCACATTGGGCCATATGGTCGATCTAGCATCGATGGCGCTCACGCTGGATGAAGGTGAACATCAACATATAAAGACTCGGGTGTCTCGGTCTTTGCTTGGCTTGAGAGGTACCATCTGATTGCTGTCTGATGCCCCTTGGTGTTGTGGTTCGAAGTCAAGTCTGACAGTTCCCTTGTTAATTCGCTAGTAGTCAGGATGATATCTCGACGGACTACATAGGGCATGGGTGGTTTGGATTCGAACATCGAAGTTGCAACTCAGAGCGTAGGGTCGTTCCTTCCGCAGACTGCGGTCGGAGGGGATACAAGAAGGAGCCATGGAGAGTAAGTAGGAAAGAGCGAACAGTCAAACTGCTCGGTCGTCCCTGCCTCACCTGGAATACCTTTGACGCCGATTCGGGTCTTAGGCAGTCCTGATTCTAATGCGTGCGCTCATATTGCGATGAAAACGCAGACAAACAACGGAACCAACTCATGCGCAGCTTGGATAGAGTTGTCCTCCATCATATCTCTGATCATCTCAAAGACCATCAAGCAACCTTCCTTCACCCGTCCGAGTTGACTGAAGCTCGACACTTCCAACTCCCAAGACACGATGATGTTGTTCCGGGTGTGGTCCTCTGATCCACCGGATGAACTCATGGGAAGAGGACACAATATCAAGACCGGTCAACAGGTCGGTCCCAGCTTAGGATTGTCGTCTGCCTTTATATGTTGTTCAGCCCTTGACATCGCCAATAGTATATTTAGCGTATAGTCTCTCCAAAAGGCGGCACGCGGTGATCATGGGACGAAAAAGTCATTGTTGTGCCACGATAACTCACAAAGAAACTCCCCTGGTCCCATGGTCAGTCAGGGGTGGGTTTGTTCAAAGCCGTGTCTGGGGTGCCGCCTTTTCTCTTTGAACCTGCCCCTTGTCTAGTGACTCCCTTAACCAGTTGTGTGTGTGTGTGTGTGTGTGTCTATGTCTACATGATTACTTGCACCGTACACAATTCTTCGGCTCTACCTTGTAACCGGCAACATCCTGTTATAACACCAAACTACCCCCATTTTTCCTCCCTTCAAGAAGTGACCAAAGTAGACCACCCAATCGGGCTATTCAGCCACACGGGGGCGTTACGCGTTCTTGGTTTATTCATCACTTCTTTGGGAAGATATAAAGACACTTTGGCACTTCCTTCCCACCCCTTTCCCCTTACCCCTGTTTCTGTTACTCTTGGAAGTTTCTCCGATCAACTCTGTACACTCCTTTAGACCCAACTGTCACCAAACCAGAACTTCTCCGACTTGACTCTTGCATACTGTCTACTGTCTATTCGAAACACTCTCGACATACACATCGCAGACCACAAGCAAAGATTGGAACGAACGAAGAAGGAAAACAAGGAACACATCAAAGCACCTATTCAGCAATCGAGATATTGAATAAGCATCGAATGAGAACTCGACCTCGACGATGAGGTTCACAGTCAACAACAACAACAACGCCCTAGTTCTTGTGGCCGCTAGCATCGTCATCAGCAGCATCACAGGAACAGGAAGAGTATCAGCCCACCCTGCCGACGATAAACTCGTCCAGAGCATAGTGGCGAGCCACATCCTGGAAGGGAGAGTTGATACGGAGAGTAAATGTGGTTACTTGTATGTGTTTTTTATTTATTTTTGAATTCCCCGTTTTGATCTACCTTACCTTTCCTCTTCCCTCTACACCGACTCCACGCTTCAGCACCACCAACCAACCATCCTTCAATGCAGCCCTCTCGTCCCCTTCCCCTTCCCCCCTCTCCTTCGCCTTCCCCTTCCTTCCTTCCTCACTTAATCTCCTCTACCTGCCCGCCTACCTCAACCACCCTTCCTTTTCCTCGCTAACTCCTCTCCTCTCCTAACTCACAGCGCCGACCCCCACAACTGCGTCCCCGGCATCTGCCGGTGCCAAGACGACCGGTACTACGCGCTCAACCGGGACAACTTGAAGGCTGGTAAGCACGGGTGCGACCCGCCCTGGGACAGGTACCCTGGGGGACCGTGCTCGCTGATTGCGTCGTGTTGCCCGGTGAAGACGAAATTTGGGAACTACGATGATAATCCTGTTTTGACATGAGGCGGGGGGGAGAAGGAGAAAAAAAAAAGGGGATGAGAATAATGGGGAAAGGGCGGAGGAGGCTGAAGCAAGGAAAAGAACGGAAAGGGAAGAAGAGAGGGAGGAAGAAGAGTGGAGGAGATACCCCATTGTGAGAAGGACCGGAGATTGAGAGATGAGGAGAGAGAGGCCTTCCCTTGAGCTGGTTATTTGCAATGGAACCCAGATATCCTCGGCTGTTCCTCAAATTCGCTGTACGTATTTCTTCGGATTTTGCTGTTTTCTTTTCGCTGTTACATTACTTTTTTCTTTCTATTCTTGCGCCGGGCCTATCCTCGGCGCACATTAGTTTTTCTCTTCTAATTAGAGCACTTTTATAAGCCACCCAACTGACCCAACTCACCCACCTTATACTCTCCAAACCTAACCCCTCAGACCTAATCAAATACACTCCTCTTCTGTTCTGCAACAACCTCATCATAAACCCCCGTATCCCAAACAACCAACCTCCCCCTCCTCCTCCAATCCTCGTTAAAAGCCCCATTCCACCCCTCCCACACCTTTTTGAGTCCAACCCCCATCTCCCTCCCCTTTTTGTCTTCTTCAAAGAATTTCTTCAACACCTCCTCGATCCCTTCAAACCCCACGATAAACCTCGGGATCTCCTCTCCGTGTCCACCACTGCCACTAGTAAGACCATCACCACCCCACATCTCCTCCCTTAAAAACTCCACACCATAGAGTCCATCTTCCTTGGGGCTGCTAGCCTGATAAAACCGATCCGCCTCATCCAAATACTCCCTCCTCTCCACACTCCCGGGCTGCGTATGCAGCGGCGGCTCGCAAGTCAAAGCCCTGGCGCGCAGGGCCGGGTAGGCGAGGTGCGAGCGCCAGGGGGTGGAGTGGCAGGGGGTGAGGAAGAGGGCGAAGAGTTCTTGTTTTGGCACCACAGCCTGGTCCACAGAAGAAGAATCGAGGGACAACGAGTCCGGGTGTATGCGCTCGAATTCGGTGCGGAGAAAGGTCATAACCGACAAAGGGGCGGGTTGGTGGAAGATGGAGAGGTAGGTGGCTAGGAGGAGGTTGAGGGAAAGGAGGTTGGCGAGGAAGATTTTGTGGCGGAGGGTGACGGGGCCGGTCGTTGTTGAGGTGGCAGCGGCTGCGTTGCCTTCGGCTGGGGTTGTGGTTGTTGCTGCTGATGCTGCTGGGGCGGTGAAGAACTTGAAGACGTAGGGAGCGGCTAGGATGTGAAGGATGGGGAGAAGAGGGTAGATGAAGCGGACTTCTTTGTGGGAGACGATGGATAGGGTGCCGACCATGGACAAGACGGCGAAGGAAAGCGTCTTGAGGATGTTGGACTGGAGTACCGCAAGGGTCTTGGAAGATGAAGTTGACTTGTACAAACCAACGAGCGCAAAGGGGAGGAAGGTGGTGGTGAGCAGGGGAATTCCTTGAGAGAGGTAGTAGTGCCATGGCATGTGGCCATAGAAGACGGCGAGGGACTGGGAGATGTTGAAATACAGCCATTTGTAGGGAGGGAAGGTCCAGAAGCCAAAGTAGAGGCGGTCCGAGATGAGTGATACGGCGAGGACTGCACTACCACAGACGATGATCTCTTTGGCTAGAATAAGTAATGTCGATCTCTTGATGGGAGACTCTCCATCAAGTGTCAAGCGTGTGACGGCGAGGGTAAGGACTCCAAGCCAGATGAGCAAGTTGGTTGGGCGTAGCAGGACGGCAACTGCAGCAAGAATGAGTGAGGCCCGGAGGCTACCCAGGTTGCCCTTGACCTGCAGAGGCTCCTGTTTGTTGGATTTGGCATCCTGAAGAAGGTCCCAGGGCCAGTAGTAGAGGGCCGCAATGGTCAGAGTGGTTTCCAAGGAGTTCGAGAAAGTCCTTGTGGAGCAATACCACTGCCATGGGTTGAGGACAGTCATCCAAAGCTGGAGGCAGAAGTCAATGGGTTGTCCGAGACGTATCATACATGGGCTTGCGACTTACAGCAGTCCATGGAATATTGCTCTCATCGCCAAAGATGGAGGTTGCCAGTCGCCAAGTATAAAAGTCACCCAAGGCGGCAAAGACAGACTGGATAATCTTGGGCAAGGCTTCGAGAACAAACGTCTCGAAAGCGGGAGGAAAGAACGGGGACAGGAACCAATGGGCAGCCTTGTATGCCAGACCAAAGATGGCAGGATGGAGAGAGGAGCGGAGCTGATGTTGCCATTCCCAGGTCAACCAAGCACCGCTCTGGTCTCCAAAGGCTAGGTTCCATGCCGGTTCGAGAGCTTGAAAGTACTCGTCTGGCTGGAAGAAGGTCCGGAGAACGATGGCATTGATGAAGCGAAAGACGAGAAGCAAGGTGAGGACATCGTAGACCTGTGCAGAGACAACATGCCGGTGAGGTTTTGTTACTGGGGGTACCGCATTGGGTGGTGTTTTTTGTGTCTTTATATCTCCGGAATTACCTCTTTCGGCCTCGGCGGGCTTGGAGATGGCCGGTTCATCAGACATGTTTTAACCTTGCCTTGGGTGATGTTGAGGTCAACAAGGTACTTCTGTCATCTGTGTAAATTGTTAAGGCATGTTCCAGGGGGCCATAGAGGTCCTCATTTCGGCAGTTGTCAATCTCACACGTGTCAGCTGCCAGGTCTTTCCTGACAGCCCCCGCGCTCGCTGAAGCAAAGAGCTACCAGCCCTATCACGGAGCACGGTAATCAGCGGAGCCGTGATTGGCTAGCGTCCATTTATCGGAGCCTCTCCGTGACAGCACCGATAGTGGCGGGAGGAACCTTGCGGACTGGAGGCAGTCGAGAGGAATGTGAAGCTCGGCCAAATCGATCATCATCCCGTGGTGAGGGCGGCTTCCTTCGGCTTGCATCCGGCGGCGGCGGCTGTCCACGTGGAGGGTTGGCGGATGTCAGGCAAAGCGGTGATGCGGACGTTTATCACTTAGGGGTCTAGTGCATGCCGCATCCTCCCCTAAGTGATAAACGTCCGCATCCTAGACCCCTAAGTGATAAACGTCCGCATTTGCATTACAAGACAGGTACTACCATAGCAAGGTTTTGCCTCAAACCTCCCTTTGTCTCAAGTTTTTCAGTTCCCGAGTCATCCTCTTCTACAAATTGGGTCCGTCCATCAAGTTCAGACACTTCAATTTCTTCAACTTGAATTATTTAGCCCCGAGTCCTCCTACATCTCACGCCTCTCCAGTCAGACTTCCCACAGTTCCCTCTACGACAAACACCAACATCACCACCATCATGGCGCCACACGCTGACACTCCTTCGAACGGCGGTTCTGCCCTCTCGCTCGACCACCTCCTTACCGGCTCGGACAAGTACCACGCTGCCGCGACCAACGTTGCCATCGCCGCCGAGAACGAGTATGCCGCCCACAACTACCACCCGCTCCCCGTCGTCTTTTCAAAGGCTCAGGGCGTCCACGTGTGGGATCCCGAGGGCAAGCACTACCTTGACTTCCTTTCCGCCTACAGCGCCGTAAACCAGGGCCATTGCCATCCAGAGCTAGTCAAGGCCCTCACAGAGCAGGCTTCGCGCCTAACCCTGAGCTCCCGCGCTTTCCACAACGATGTCTTCCCCGTCTGGGCCGCCAAGGTTCGCTCCGTCTTTGGCTACGACATGGTGTTGCCCATGAATACCGGTGCCGAGGCGGTTGAGACAGCCATCAAGATTGCAAGAAAGTGGGCGTACAAGGTCAAGGGCGTGCCACATGACAAGGCCCTGGTGTTCGGCGCTGCTGACAACTTCCACGGACGGACGGTAAGTTTTCTCTTAAAGCTGTTTACGCTGGTATTCTAACTATAACTCGTACAGATGACAGCCATCTCCCTCTCCGTCGATCCCGAGTCGCGTGATAACTACGGTCCCTACGTGCCCCAGATCGGCGCCGTCTCCCCTTCGACCGGCAAGGCCATCCGCTATAACAACATCGCCGATCTAGAACAAGTGCTGGAGGCGCACGGAAAGGAGACGGCCGCCTTCATCGTGGAGCCCATCCAGGGCGAGGCCGGCGTTGTTGTTCCCGACGACGACTACCTCCAGAAGGTTTCCGCCCTCTGCAAGAAGCACAACGTCCTCTTTATCTGCGACGAGATCCAAACCGGCATTGCCCGCACGGGTCGCATGCTTTGCGCCGACTGGGCCAATGTCAAGCCTGACATCATCACCCTGGGCAAGGCCATCTCGGGCGGCATGTACCCCGTGAGCGCTGTTTTGGCCGACAAGGAGATCATGCTCGTCGTTGAGCCTGGTACTCACGGCTCCACATATGGCGGCAACCCGCTTGGGTGTGCGGTGTCGCTTCGTGCGCTGGAGCTGGTAGAGGAAGAGGGTTTGGTAGAGAAGGCGGAGAAGCTGGGTCAGATCTTCCGGGAAGGTGTGGAGGCGTTCAAGTCTCCCATCGTTCAGCTTGTTCGCGGAAAGGGATTGTTGAATGCTGTGGTTATTGACGAATCTGCGGCTTCTGGGCGGACAGCCTGGGATCTGTGCATTTTGCTGAAGGAGAAGGGTGTCCTGGTGAGTAGTGTCCATTCATACATGCAACTGATGATGATGCTGACTAAATAACGTAGGCGAAACCCACACACGGCAACATCATCCGTTTCGCTCCTCCACTAGTCATCACCGAGGAGGAGCTACGGGGCGCTATCAAGACCCTCGGAGAGGCCCTGCAGGAACTCCCAACAGTCAAGAAGTCCGAGGGACACTAAGGAAGATATTGAGCATGGGGGCGGCGTGTTGCATTTCCACTCAGCATACACTGCTTTTGTTCTTGTACCAGGGTGCAACTGGTTTTCTCTCTTCATTGTTCGAATACCCAGGGACTTGCGGATACCACCAGACTGATTTGATGAAATTTTGGGAATATCATTATTATTCCAAACGTTTAAAACGTCATCGGGTTTTGGGAAAAGTCTATCCTATCTATATATACCAACGTATAACATGAACCAATTCCTGTAAAGGAATAAAAACAGAAACGGAATTATACCACCGTATAACATGAACCAATCCCTCCAAAGGAATAAAAAAAACAGAAACGGAACCAATACCGAGTGTGTACGTACACTTTACCTTGTCTCTCCGTGTTATTGTGTAAGGGGCACAAACAAACCCTCGTGGCTAGGCTACCTCGGAGAACTCGGCAACCGTCTCACCCTTGATCGGGCTTTTTGGGATCATCCTTCTGGAACATCGCGAAAGCTTTTGCATCACACACATTCCACACAATTCCACAGACCGAAAAAGGAGCGGACGGAACATCGGGCCTGCCTGTCAGTCAGTCAGTTGAACGTGTCACATCCGTTACCAGCGGGCACCTCCCTCCGTGTTGCCCATCGAGTTGCTCTTCGGTGTTCCTATTCTCGTCACGTTTCCAAACACGGAGCACTACAACATGTACAAGTGAAACCTTGAACAGACATAGGACATTCGACGGAGTCCGGATAGAAGTGTACGGGAAAGGTGTGACGATGATATCACGGGGCGTGTCTTGTCTTTCGGGGGTTAATAATTCGCCGAGAGAACTGAAGTAGATGGATTTGTTTGTCTTTGGTTGTGGCCTTCTTTGGGCCTCGGCTGTCTTGTACAAAATTGTACTACTGTTGAACTGTGAGAGGTCATGCATGGTATAGTATAGGACAGCAGAAACTATGTGCAGTCATGGAAAGGGGGGGTTTTCGAAGGTGAGTGATGAGGGTGAGTGGGTGGGTATATCATTAAAATTCATCATTTAGTAGGCCACGCACATCGAGTAAAATGAATCCTCAGTGTATGTGCGTATGAGCCATGGTATATACTCCAACAAAACAAAGTCATCATAACCAGGAAGTATTCTTTCTTCCTTTCTAGTCATCTCATGGTATCATTTCATTAAAACCCCTTTCCCTTCCATCCCTCATAATCATCATCCAGGTACAATCAAAGCATATACCTAAACTCGGGATTCAAATCCCCCATATCCGCCTTCTCCTCCTCCGTCAACCCTCCATCCCCCTGCATCTTGGCTCTCCTCTTATTCTCCATCGTCACACTAACCGCATAACAAAGACACGCCAGCGCGCTCAAGCAAGTGAAACTCACACAGATCGCGTATCCCTTGCGATAATGATTCTTGGCATCGCTCGCCACAAACGAGTACGTAGCGATGATCCCGCCAATGTTGCCAAACGCAATCTGCCACGCCGTGCCGATGGCCTTGCGGTGGTGTCCGCCCAGGTTCATGTTGAACCAGCACACGATGATGGGCATCGCACTGTAAGCGCCCATGGCGACGAGAAACAGGGCACCGTACTGCGCGTTGACGTGCGCCGAGTCGTGCACGGTCATGAGCACGGCGAAGCCGACGATGGCGACGGCGATGCCCAGGATGGCGAACATGAAGCGGTGGCGGAGATAGTCCGAAGCGACGGCGGTGAGCATGGCGAACCCAAACGCGGCGGCCCAGGGCGGGACCGAGTGCAGCTGCGTCTGGACGGCCGAGTAGTTGTAGGTGCCGATGATGGTCGGGGAGAAGTACGCGTACGAATAAGCGGGGACGATCAGGCCCAGATACATGATGCCGCCGAGCCAGATGCGGTGGTCGGTGAGGGCCTTTCCGACGTCCGCGAGAGTGATCTTGCGCTCGGCCGCCGAGTGGCCGTGGTCCGCCTGCAGCATCGCTTGCACGTACTCGCGCTCGGCCGGCTTGAGGAAGCGGGCCTGCTCGGGGAAGGCGGGGAAGGTGAAGAAGAAGAGGATGCCTGCCAGGACGGTGACGCAACCCTCCACAATGAAAATCCAGCGCCAGCCGCGGTAGTTTTGCAAGTGGTCCATCTTGCCGATGGCGGAGGCCAAGAGGCCGCCGAAGGCGCCTGCCAGAGAGGTGGAGGAGAAGAAGAGCGAGTACCGCTTTTGCGCGTCGGCGCGCTTGTACCAGGATGCGAGCAGGAAGAAGCAACCCGGGAACATGGAGCACTCGAACACGCCCAAGAAGAAACGGGTGGCGAGCAGGCCGCCGTAGTTTTTGACGAGGCCTTGGAAAATGGAGACGAGACCGAAGCCGACGCAGCAGACGGACAGCCAGACGCGGGGCGAGAACTTCTTCATCAGGATGTTGCCGGGGATCTCGAGGAGGATGTAAGGAACAAAGAAGATGGTCAAGGCGGTGTTGAATTCGACTTTCTCCAGCCCGAGGTCGCTCTCGATTCCGAAGGAGCGGGCGTTGCCAATGTTGACTCGGTCCAAAAAGGCGAGCAGGTACAGGAAGATGATGAAGGGGATGATGTGCCGGTCGATCTTGCGCACGATGGCCGACTCGGTGGTGCCCTCGGGCGGTTCGAGGGGGGTCACGGCCGTGGGGGAGTGCGGGCCAACGTCGTAGGAGATGCGGCCGGCCTCGGCGCCCTTGTCGGAGCTGCTGAACCCGGAAGGGTCATGATGGGTCTTCTCCCCGAGGGAGACTGTGAGATTGTGTTAGAATGTGAATGATGCGTATGAGGGGACGTGAAGGTGAGGAGGGTGAGATGAGGAGGCGGGGTGAGGATTGAACTTACGGTCCTTGGTATCGGACATGATTCTTGTCTTACAGCTTCTGGTTCCCGAGCAGCATCCACCTAGAAGAAGGGTAAAGGGGAGGGAGGGAAAGGGGGGAAGGGGAAGAAGTGTTGTTTATAAGAAGCTGGAGAAGGGGGAGGAAAATCCGCGACGACCGGCCATGCAACGGGGGTTCGAGGTTTAAATACTTGGGTAGGGGTCAGACGCGGTGTCAACATGTATCAAAGACGCACGGCGGAGGCCGGTCGGTCGGGGTCGGTGCAATGCATCAGTGCTGCATACGGTTGCATCTGGTATGGTACATGATTACATGACTGAGTAAGGATGCTAGGCTCTCGTCACCCATCTCTCGATTCGAAGTGTTCGATTTCACTAGATCTCTCGATAGCTCCCGTATAATTGGATGAGTGTGACCAACAACTTGGGTGTGCCGGTGGATGGCCGGTGGTGACCTGGATCGTCGGTGTCGCCTCCACTTGTTAGACTTAGACTTTGGGCCCCATCCAGGGGTCCCGGCCTCCGACGGACAACTTTCCAGACTGGGGCAAGCTCGCGGTGTTCGGTAGAGCGTTCCCGGAGGACGGGGTTGGAGACAAGGGAAAGGAAAAGGCGGGGTGACTGATGGTTTACCGTAACTTCCATTCTTTGTCGCCTTGTCACCTTGTCACTTGAGGTTGTCACCCCTGGAGCTAACCACCATCACCAATTCAGCCGCGGTCGATATCTTCTTTCAGCTGAATGTTCAAATCAACTCACCTCTCAGACGATATCGCCATTCGCCCCCATTCCCATCACCCTTCTGTCCGTTTCTTCTGCCTGTCGAATCCCTTGTTACTCCCATGCACGTGTACGCATGTAGTACAGAGAGTAAAGATGTACAGGAGGAGAAGACGCACGCAACCATTCCAATTCCATTCCATCCTTCCATTTCATCAGCTTTGCTTCCACACGGGAACGAACACCACAGGGAACAGGGGACACAGAACTCAGAACACAGCTTTCGTCGGTTCCATGTTTCTTCTTTTCCTTCCTCTTCCTCTTTCTCTTCTTATCTCCCTTGGCCCTTTGGCAAACTCAACTCTTGTGAAACCAAGACACACACGAAACGAACGGTAGGCGTCACGCCACTCCCGTTTTACTGTCGCCTGTTCTGTTATACAAGTTTCGCAAGTAAAATCCCGTCTGTCTGTACTGTACTCACACTCTTTTCTTTGTCTCGGGGCCGGCCGATTCGCCTTCTTGGGGTCGGGTTTCTTCAGTTTTACACTTACAAGTTACAATGACGCCGCACCGGGAATGCAAGCAAGCGATCTCGCTCTTACCCTAGGCAGTAAACTGAACTGACTCGCTCCATGCGTCTTGGCTTACAGTTCCTACTAAACTGTGTTAGGTAGGTCGATCCCTTAACATCTCGCTTGTGTAGTGTTTGGTCGTGTAAATTTTCGACAGAAGGAATTGGCATTTTGCTTTGTTTGTGTCATGGAAACGGAGCCGCGATGCAAGTGTTTGGTCGTGTTTAGGTTTTGGCAGCGGAGGCGGTGGGGAAGAGACGGGCCGGTGTGAGCTTCTGCGGTGGAGATGGTGGAGATGGGAATCCCATGAGGTTTCACCGGGCACTGACAACGACATGGGAGGTGAGAGCGATCTCGGTCTCGACCTCGCCGGATATCGGTGAATGAATGCTACGCTGTTGGAGTCATAAGTTCGAAGCATCCTCGCGACTCTTGAACCGCATCCTGTTTCTTTCGTTTTGCTTCCCTCCATACATTCTGAGGACAGAGGCGAATACCATCTTCCGGATGTCATCACCCACACCTCCCAAGTCCGCCCAAAACCTAGCCAAGAAACCACAAAGATCAAAAGCGGTTGCAACTTGCAAAAGCCAATTGAAGACGCCCGACCAACGGTACTGTCAGAGGTCCACATGTACACGTGCCAAGCCCGAGGGTTGGATCTGTGTGATTTTGCGGGGAAAGATGGGGTAAAAGATTGACGCTAGCCTTTCCTGGTTTGTTCTAGCGCGTTGCTTTTTCAACATCGTGTTTGACGGGTCACGGTGCTGGACTCCGAAATACGGAGTTACATACAAGGAGTGTTTTTTAAGCCAACCTCCTGTCTTCAGCTGCCCCTTTTCTGTTTTGCGTGAATCATCGATGTTCTGTTTTTCGAAAAATCTCTGTGGGATGAAGAGTAATAACATAACGGTGGATCTTTTGAAGAAGAAAGAGGAATATTTTGATGACAGGACAGAGACTTCGGCGTTAGAAGCCCTATGACTCTCGGCTTTCAGTCTCACTCTACAGTCCCGCTCTACCAGATCGGCGATGAGACCATATGTACTCTACATTGGTGCCGATTAAGTACCTACCTACTTCTGACGCTTTACCACCGCCAACGACCATGTGCGAAACTACTCCATCTTCGGTAAGCTAAGGTAGTTTCTCGATTAATGTCGGTCGCCCTCTGCAGCAGGATCATATCGAATATCGAAAACGGGATGTAACACAAACACACGACAGATACGTCTTGGGAACTGTAGCAGCAACCGTAGCCGCAAAAGCAAAACTCAACGTCCAGTCTGCTGTCCTCGGATATGATCCATTACCGAAATCATCACCTCCCGAACAACTCCCAAGCTTTTCCCCAACTTTCCGCTAACGACTTTGGCTTATTGCTTGATTCTTTCTCTTGCCGTGAAAGGACGACGGGCGGGAGGCGGAATTAAGCAACGGGAAGAACGGTTGGAGACAAGACTCGAACGGTTCAGCTGTTCAGCTCGGAATGGTCGGGTGCCGCGCTACGACAACGGCTGAGAGCCTCAAATTCTCAAATGTTTACAGATGCCCCAAGAACGCCAGCCAAGCTGCACTTGTCGATGAACAACCTCCTTCGTCGATTCTGGTATGTACTGTAGAAGTGTCGGTAAGTCAACGAGCTGATCAGAACTACCTTAAGCGGGCTCTCCCAACAAGTGTACCTGCTTGTATGTAAATGGAACTGCTGATTCACTATCGCTTGATTATTGTTTCCCTTTCAACTCCCCAGGTAGGAAACAGTGTGCTAATCCCTCGCGAGGACTCGGACTCGGTAGGTGCTAAGTAAAATAATCTTTCACAAGCCGAAACTAAAACAGAGTCCAAACTCCATCCGGTACTTAAAAGGCTTATGCAACACTACAGTCTACACTACACGTGTAACTCGTTAGAACTGAAATCTAGACTCAGCCAGACTTAAGCGGACTCGCCTCGCTTCTCTATGGGTCTTGATGGTCTGTGACTGGCGCTGTCGACCCGGTAAGCGGTTCTCATGTGTGTGTGTTTGTTTGTGTGTGCGTAGATCTTGTCTGATCTGGAACTCACTCGCTCGCGTGCGTCGGTGCCATTACATATGTAGTGTAGGGGCGATGAAACTCTGAAGATCCTTCCCCGGACGGTTCGAACGTATACATGATCAGGACAGTAAGTACTACGAGCGTTTGGTCCTTGACAACATATACACTTTTTAACCGCACGTCTTTGAAGTTACACACATTTAATAGAGCCTGCCTGTAAAAGCGGTTGCGGTAAACAGGTAGGTACATTTTGCATTCGATTTACACTTTCTATGTTCAATCCCAGATGGATAAGGGTAAAAGGTCGTCAAAGAAGAAGAGAAAGTGATCCCCACACTAGGATTTTGGTAGGCAAACGTGAAAACAAGAAGAAAGGAAATCGTCATCCAATTTCGTGAATTCGTTATTTTTTGTGTATCATCTGGTTTCCCTCAACCGTCCCAAAGTCCATCGACATGTTTGTATATGTTTTGTTAGTGTGTGGCCGGGAATTATCTCTTCGATTCTTCCGTACTGCAGACGACAAATGCGGGAAAAAAAGGGGGAATCAAAGGCTTTGGGCCATGCATGGTTTGTTGTAGAATTTCAAGGTGGGGGTTGACGGATGTGAGCGCTAGGTGGTTGGTTGTAGGTGAATGTTGAGTTGTCGCTGATAATGCCTCACTGATTATGCCCCAAGACACAAACATGAAGTTCTAATACATCTCTGTGTTGTTAAATGGTTTTCCAACATGTAACATGCAGAACAATATCCCCGAGTCTAAAAACAACGATTCGAACCAGTAAAAGACGCTTAGACTCTGTTGTCCTTGGTACCGCAAGTTGTAGCAGAGACAAACAAAATCTTCTTCGGGTATCTCTGGATGGGGTATCCGCGCAACAAGTCCTCGACCTGGCCGCTCTCTTGCGCTGAAAAAAGCTGCAGAAAACAGAACATCCGAGACAAACTAACTTAGACATTAAAACGAAGTGATAGGTTGTGTGGTCGGCCACAAGACGGGTATGGTTGACTTGAACACTGGTAGAATATTGTGCCCTGTTCATCAGGCTTGCATCGGTTGTTTTACTCATCTAGATCCATGTGCCTTGAAGGAGTGGGCACGGGCGCTTCAGCCGGCTGCTCTGGCTGGACATTGGGCTGAACCTGTGCTGGAAGGTTCTGCGCAACAGGTTGCACCTCGACCGACTGCACTTCGTTTTGGTAAAGTGCTGGGGGTTGCTGAGCCTGCATCGGCTGTGGTTGAGCTTGCTGGACAGATTGGGGAGCAGATTGGATGGATGTCTGTGAATGTCCCGGTCCTAGTTCCCGCATAGGCGGTGGTGGCATCGGAATATGCTCATCGCTATATCCCTTTTCGCTCCCGTTGTTCATCTCCCGCTTCATATCTATGCTCTTGCGAATCCGCTCCCCAATGGATGCCGATCTACCATCATGTGCTGGTGGCGACTTGGCCCTTCTCTGTTCCGCTGTCTCCCTATGCTCGCGGTACTTGTGCTTCAGCCAATCGGCAATGTTTGACTTGCGGTATTCACTGCTCTTGTCCCAGTCCCTGTCTCGGTCGTGGTCTCTGCCTTCCCTGGTTGCGTCGCTCATCATCGAACGGTCATCGAGGCTACTCATCATGCCCGCGTCAGAAACATCCCCGCTCACACTTGCCCGGGGTCTGTGATGAAAATAACCAGAACTGCCTACGGAACTGTTGCTCCCCTCAGCCTGCGAATTCGAGCCCAGCATGCGCGGGGAGATGAGAGGCTGGCTGATGTTTGGAGGAGAATTCAAGGATATGCTGTCCTCCTTCTTCCTCGACAGGCGCCACCGCCTTTTCTTATCCCTATCCGGGGATGCCACCTCTGGGCTAGCGAAACTAGCAGTAGTCTGAGTCTCGACTTGGTCGGGATCAGACATGTCGTTGTATGATGTGACTGAAGTGGGCGGAGATTCTCTTGGTTTGTGTTGTGCCTCAGGGACGTTGTTAGGATGCAAGGTGGTTGAGGGCGCTGAAGGTGCTTGGGATGCCCTCGGCGTAGAGTCGGAAGGGGAAGGCGCTGGTTGTCCGCTAGACACTACCGCATCAAGGTTTCCGGGCAATGGTGGGACCGTTTCCATGGGATTCGTAGCTTCGACACTGGGCGAGGCCGCTGCTGAGCGAGGGAGCGATATCGTCGAACTATGAGCACTATAATGACCACCAGCACCAGGCATCTTCTTCCTCAGCTTGTTAGGCTGTCGAAGTTCATTCTCCCCAGTAGGCGCTCTCTGGAAGATATTTGGTATGTTGGGTATGCGGCGTTCCTTGGAGGGGGTTGCGGCCTCGGCGTTGGAATCCAGCAGCTTTTCCTGACTCCTGGTAGCTGGGACAGAATGATTGGGTAGCAAACTCGAAGGAGCCGTGGACGTGGCTATGGATGGTACCGAAGATTCTTCCGGAGGTGTAGCGACCTCGTAAACAACCGCTGGCGCTGGTGGCAGTACTGTCGGCGTAGGAGGCATAACTCCAGGAACTGACGGCGGATGAACCGGCGTTAAGGGACCGACTGGGGAATTAGACGCATCATGCCGATGCGCGAACCTTCCGGGCGGCACGCGAGGCGATCGTTTCGATGGCAAGGTGTTGCTCCGGCCCAAGCCTCCCGTAGGCGTGGAAGTCAATGCAGGGCTTCCCGGGCTCGGCGCACCATTGGAAGCAAGGGAACGCCTTGAAGACGTCGACTTGTTCCTCCTAATCATGCCTTCCTTGGAAACACTTTGGGCTCCAGCGCTGGCATTCGATGCTGTCCGGTTCACTCCAGACTGATAGTTCTTAGGTGTCCCGGGGGCGTTGATGGTAGGCGTCCCCTTCTGGACTTCCTGAACCGTCCTCTCGTCGGCCGCTGTACCTTGCATACCAATGAGGAAATGATCCTGGTTTTCAATGAGGAAGATAATAACACATTGGTTGAGACGATACTCCTCAGGTGCCATGGCGTGGGCGGGATGAGAGAGCATGCCTGGCTGGAAAATGGCGGCCAAGTTCTGCGAGTTCATGCGATTAATGTCGGACTTGGCGGCGAAGACGGCGAGCAAATCCAGGATATAAAGCATCAGCTGGCGATTGAGTGGCGGCATCTCGGTGATCAGTTGCTGATACCTGATGATGGCAGCGTCCATATCAAAATTTTCGACAAATTGGGGGCCGTCGGTGTCGCCAGTGGCCTGCCTAGTGGCACCGTTCAACGGGTTTCGAAACTCCTCATACAATTCGAGAGGGACTACCGGCTCCGGGAGGTCGTTGAGGTAGCGACGGAGGACATTGGCGGCATCGTGAACCGTGTATCCATCCCACACCAGCCCTTTGCCGTACCGGTCTGGCGAGTCGAATATATGTTTAAGTTCCTTTATCCTTTTCTCTGACCCACTGAGACGAAAGATGCCCTCAACGTCGGTTGCTTGGATGAAAAGTTAGGACTCTCCAAAAGTATGCCACGGGATGGAAGGGGGGAGAGGACGGGGGTGATGCTATACGAACCCTTTTCCTTCAAGAAAACACCACATTTGGCAACCACGATGGGGACGTAACCGTAGATGTAGCTTTTCCCATTTTCGTCGACAAGGGATATGGCAACATTGGCGTACTTGATGCTATCGCGAAGGGGGACGCCAAAGATGCCTTTCGGCGGTTCTGCTACTACTGATTTTGTTTTAGCGGGGTCTTGCACCGGCCAGGGTCCATCTTCGCCAGTACATCTTCTACTAAGACGCCAGTTAAGGAAGCGAGCAAGAGTGTCTAGTTGAAGAGGCTTCTCATAGAAAAGTGCGCCAGTGGACATCCGATTCAAGCTCACACTTGTTTGCTGAGATCGGGCATTCGCTCGGGCTGCGATGAGGACCTCCTGCGCAACTATCTCCTGCAAGAGGGCCGCAGCTTCCGGAAGGTCGCTGAGGCAGCCTTCCATGTCCTCCGCAAATAAGGATGTTGATCGGTAGGGTTTAGATCTAGTGAACGGGGTGGCTATACCATGTGCTTCCTGATGCTTCGAGGGTAGCTTGAAGCCTTTCCACCACGACTTGAGGTCTCGCTTTGTGGGAGGTGGAGGTTGCGGCTGGTGCGCAAAGGCGTGGTAGGGATTGTATGCTCGATGCTGCGGCTGCGACAGCGACTGGGTATGCGAGTGCGAATGCGCCTGGACCTGTGCCTGTGCCTGTGCCTGTGCCTGTGCCTGTGCCTGTGCCTGAGCCTGAGCCTGAGCCTGGACCTGCGCTTGCGCTTGCGTCTGCGTATGCGACTGCGACTGCAGCTGCGAGGAGGTTGGAGGCGGTGGTGGAGGGACGTGGGCGGGCGCGACGGGCGCGGCGGCGGCGGCGGACGTCATGGCGGACGACGGTAATGACGGGGACCGTGTGACGGAGGAAGAGGGATGGCGGGCGTGGCGACGGGACAGGACGGTGCCGAATCAGTCGGGTGCCGGAGAGGCAAACGCTGAGGAGGCGGTCGACAGTCACCCGCGCGTGGCAGAAAAGATGGCAAAACCGGACGGACGTTGTGGACTCGAACTCGCAGGACTGGGAGACGATGACGGCGTTGGAGGATGTTGAGCAACCGGGGATGCGCGTGGGGCAGCCGAAGCGAGGACGAGATGGGAGGATGCAGGCTTGGATTCGAACTGTCAAGCTAAGAGTCTGTGCAGCAGTAACAGCAGCACAAGCAGCGTCGGCAGCGGTTGCAGACGGTGCTATGTAGCAGCAGCAGTATGTGGTACCTTGTTGTCCTCAAGGTCGAGGTCAATGTTGTAAGAAGGAGGTTGTCTGCGACGCGATGCAGCTTGGAGTGCTGTAGTGGACGCTGACGACTTGCGGATAGCGGTGGCAGTGGATATTGGACCATGCAACTAAAATGCACCGCACGGTTTGACGGGGCGGCTGGCGGCAATGGGACCCTGTCGGCTGTCCTGCCTGTCTGGCTGGCCTTGACCCTCTTGTCCCTGTCTTGTCCTGTCGGTTCCTGTTCCTGTTCCTGTTCCTGCTCGCCCACTTCCTTGGCCAGGCTGATAGCCGGGGGGCTGGCGAGCTGAAAGCCTTTCTGGTAGGTCGTGGATCGTCGCAATGCCTTAAAAGGAGAAGGGAAACCCGGTTGTCGAAGGCTTCAACCTGGTCGCAAAGCTGTTTTAGGAGATGGCCGTATAGACGGTATAGGGCGCCGGGAGAAAGGGGGGAGGGGGATCTCGGGGGATCTAGCTCGTCGCCGGGGCGACCGGGAGCTGTCTTTGCTTTCGTCTCGTCTGGGTCTGTTTCGTCCTGTTTAGGGTACCCGTCTCCCTGTACCTGATAGTAACACTGCTGACGGAGGTGGGTGGCCGATCTGGCGGGCAGGGAGAGTGGCAGGTAACTCGACGTTGTATGTCGTTTCAATGCATCGCATACAAAACGGAACAACAAAAGGAGTTTTAAAAAAAAAAAAGACAAGCTGTGGCTTTTGCTTCCACTTCTCTCAAAACTGAGAAAGCAATTTTGGGAAAGAGCAACAGGGGATCAATGGGCTTCTCCGGGGGTTTTGCCGACTGTGTGGATACTCTTCTGTCACACTGTATGGCAGTGCCGCTGCACCTGAGTTTGCAACGTATCTGGCTGTTAAAAGCAGCTATCTCCTGGCTGTAAAAGCAACTATCTCCTGAAGCGGTTTGTGCTCGTCTCTGATATACTGTACCTCTATACGTTTGGCGATAACAAGGGCAAAAGGTCTAGATGCTGCCATTATACAATTTAACATGTCCAACCTTCTCGGCATTCGGTCCCCGGCTTTTCAGCACCTGCATGACTATGTACTGTCTTGGATGTTCAACTGCTTAATCTGCGTTAGGCATCGGCAATTACCAAAAGATGGCTGGTGTTTTCTCCTAAAGTTAGGGTACATCCACCTTTCTCCCAAGTGCCAGATCCACTACAGCAAGACTTCATCCAGATTTCCACTTGACACTGTTACAAGACTTCTAATTCCATTTTGTTGTGTCTACTGAGTATTCACCTCTGTCCAGTTCACGGTAGGAATTGGACGTTCGGTGACAGGACTGTGTTTGACAACACGGAAATGACGTAAGGTGAGGTCAGCATAAAGGTACCACCAAGTGCCGCAATACCGTATAATCTCGGGAAATTCAGATTCCAGGTCAGGCATATCCAGCTGGTGCCCAGCTGGAAGATATATGGCTTAGTTAGCATATCTGTGCATTTCATGCCTTCTGTATTCCTTGCATGGGAGGGTGATTCTGGGATGCCCCACCCTCCAGTGAATTTGCATGGTTACAGGAGGAAAAGAAGAAAGCTAGCAAAAGGCTGTGTGTACAGACCTCCGCTTGGAAACATTGTCACCCCGCTCTTTTGCCGCGCATTTGAGGGCATAAATATGACAGAAATCGGGCATTACAGAGTGCAGCGGGCAGAATCTGACACCCTTTTCCAGCTGGGCACCAGCTGGATATGCCTGACCTGGAATCTGAATTTCCCGAGATTATACGGTAAACGGCGACTCGGTGCAGTGCCAGAGTGCGCAGCACGCAGCAGGTGTGACCGGCGTACAGGTATCGTTTCGTCCTTTTGTACACGACAACGTTTTGGGTTCGAAATATGATTTCCATTACACCTCAACCGGTGTGGATTTTGCTTTCCAACCTCTCTGTTCTACAGCAGCCCAGCCACCATATTGCCCAGAAACACCGAAAAATCCACTTTGAACTGTCAGGTGCTGGAAAAATCCCACTGGATTTCGCTATGCCAATCCATTTCCAAATATAGCACACAGTGTACATACGACGCACTTTTTCCCCAGGCAATGGCTCCGTTGTTTCCATCTCCAATAACTTCACAACAAGAAAGACAGATAGTGACAACCACAATGAACACCAACGACGCTCTCAGAAAGGACACGAATGGCAACATGCGTCGTCGTCACTTTCGCCTCTCCAAGAAAAGAAAGATGCCCAACGCTTTAGTTGGTGGCTGCTCACCTGACAGGTCAAAGGACCTTGAAAGGGTCCAAGAAGGTGCCTAGATATGCACACGATACAACACCCCATCTGCCCATAACTTGATCAAGGAAAGCTTGCTGAAAAAGCCGCGATTGTCTCTGATCGCCCAGCTGGGACCGCAACTGGTGCTGATCCCCCATACAGTCGCGTGGTTTCCAAAGACTTCAAAACCCTACATACATACACTAGTGTGCTCTCTAGAGTTTTGGGAGGGGAATGAGGGGAACTACATAGACCACAGAGCGTCCCATTGCAGCTTCGCGACGATATGACTTTTGGTCGGCAGAGATGGTGAGACAAGCGAAATATGCTCATGTGGTCAGAGTAGGTTTCCCCTCACTTCTCGCCAAAGACCATAAACATGTCATGCGCCACACTTGACGAGAGGTGGAAAATAATGCATCAGAAAATAGCTTCGCTTCGCCGCCAGGTTTTGCAGTTGCGTCTACTGTGCGAACAAGTTCAGTTCAAAGCTTCAGCAACTCTTCATCCCCAACCCGACTCTCAGCTTCATAGCGTCATGCTCGGCTCATTGTATTCTCACCGCTTGATGAAGGAAGTCTTCCCGAGCCGCCTACCTTGTAGGTATTGCGTTTCCCCTTACCCGAACGACCGGTCTTTTGCCGCGACTATGAACTCCACCTAGAGCCTCCAACCCAAGTTTGCTTATGGGATGGTAGATATATCAAAACCATAAAGACCGAAGGCCACCTGAAAATGCCACAACGGTTGAAAAGTAAAAGCACGTTGCACCCATCAACTGCGGGTCTTGTTTCATCTTTCAGCCTCACATATGCGGGCAAGACATAATTCTCCCTGAACACGAGATCCCTCCCGGGTGGGTGGACGTCATAGGCTGACTGGCTGAGGCTACATGTAAGCCCACGATACTACGGTTGGTGTTTTATTTTCCGGGAACGCCATCGATTGCCAGCGAGCTTGTAAACACGGAAAAACGTGATGAGCTCTCCAGTAATGAAGAAAATCAACGTCTTCACCATTTTTGCCAGCCGCAAATAACCGTTCAACGAAAAACATTGGTCCCATCCCTCCCACCACCTCTTTCTCTTCCTCACCACCCACCATACACCCAAAATGATAATCAAAGTGAGGAAGACTTTCGGTAACACAAGACACCAAAACACAAGACACGGAGAGATAAACAGCCCAATGGACAGCAATTCCAACAAGCCAGCGGACATGCCGCCGTTGTACCTACTTGCGCACAACCAGTGAGAGGACTCACTCACTTCCCCGTCCTGAGGACTGGGTGATGTAGGGACGAATTGCCGGATAATGGGGATTTTTCTTGTCCACTGCACGGACAAGACAAAGGCGAAACCTGCACATTAACGAACTTCCCCTTCTGTAAATGCCCGTCCGTTTTGGCGGTTCAACTTCAGTTGGCGTCGTGTCCGAGAGGTTGTTGGATAACCTAGCTGTGATGTCATTCCTCACCATTGTCGTCGGCTATGGTTGCAGTACAGTTCGTTGGTTCAGCTGCAGTCAAGCATTCAGCGTGGTTGTTGAAAGCGAACGTTAGCGCACAGACCCTCTTTTCCGTCCGGCTTTCAAACCCACCTGCCGCCGTCTAGCGCGCGCCCATGTCACCTGGCATCCCCCGGGCCGGCCTTGGCATCTTTCATCGAGTGCTGCGCGCGCGCGAGTTCTGGCCAAGCGGGTTCACGAAATGCCAAGCCTTGACACCAAGCGCCAAGCAACGAAGCTCTCTGCCGGGCGGTGAATTTTTAGAAGCTGCTTCAATCCATCGCACTCGTTCTGCCGTCGCGCGCGCGGGCCCTACGACATCGACATCCATCCATCCATCCGTTATCGATTCCACCTTTGCCAGCCGACCATCTACCTACAAACAACTTCCCAAAAGTTCGGTATCACCACCGAACAACACCAACCTCAATCAACAAAAATGGATGGGTAAGCAAGCCAGCAAGCCAGCAAGCAAGCAAGCAAGCAAGCAAGCAAAAGAAGTCACTTTGTGGTTTAAAACAACAGAGAAGACTCGGAACCCGAAAACTAACGTCATCGCAAAACAGACTTACAGCCGCCGAGAGCCGCGAGCTCGACCAGCGCCTTCAGAAACGCCAGGTTAAGGAGTTTATGAGTGTACGTCGTCGCATACATCTTTTCATTTCTTATTTCTTTCTTCTTTCTTTACCTCTTTGCGACAAACAGCTTTACTTCGGCAATACATCTCCTACCCATCCATCATCACCAATCTCGTCCCTGTCCGGTCTTCCCACCATCACCAAAACTTTCCCACCTCTACCTCCCTCCAACCTGCCCAACTATTATCCCACCTACTCCCACCATCTATCTACCTACCTCCCCCTCCTCTCTCCAACCCTGCCTCTCTCTCCCTCCCTCCTCCGGACCTACCCCCCCTTCCCCTTCCCCTTCCCCAAACCTCCCTCCCCCATCTATCCCAAGTTATATATACCAAATCCCACCCAGTACATAGAGTCTAACACCCACCCTTTGCTACAACAGGTCTTCGGCAACCTAGTCGACAACTGCTTCACCGCCTGCGTCGACGACTTCACCTCCAAGGCCCTCTCCGGCCGCGAGTCCGGCTGCATCAGCCGCTGCGTGCTCAAGTCCATGTCGACCCAGACCCGCCTGGGCGAGCGCTTTGGCGAGCTCAACGCTGCCATGACTGCTGAGATGCAGAGGCGGTAAATTCCCCCGGGAGGAGGATGGATTTGTACAAATAACTTGGGATGGGAGGAGGTGGTAGAGGGAAAAAAAAATATAAGAGGGTTTTTTTGAAACTGGCAGGTTGCGAGGACGGCATAGCGTGTGTGCAGAATGAGTGACTACTACGAGCGCCGGTTATCGTGGATGGATGGATGGATGGATTGATGGAGGAGAGTGAGGAGACGAAAGGATACTGGATACGTGGGAGAATATCTCGAGACGAGCCCAGCTTTGCGCCCAGCTTTGGCTACGTAGGAGATGAAACTGTTATCACGACATCTGGCATCACAACCTGGGACACGACCTACAGAGTAGTAGGCTGTACCACTAATAGTCATGGAGGCATGATAAGGTACCTACGGAAAGGAATCTGGTACACGAAAAGAACAAGAGATTAAGCGAGCAGGTTGGAAAAAAGAACCCATGAATGAAATGTACGCGGTTAACCAAATCAGGCTGTGACACGAAGTTACAAATCTCTATGCGCGTCCTAGTTTGCCTGGTCATCGAGGATGTATCGGCGACAAACCTACTCACTCCCAAGAAACAGATGGACGAGTCACATTCACATTGAACTCTTCCCGCCTGTCAAGCGCATAACACAGCTCAAGAGAAATCCTGAAATTTCGAATGCTATGTGAACCAACCATAAAAAAACATCAGAGCAAGCATGCCCAACCAACTTCTCTTTAAACCTCCTTGAACTTAATCTTCGATTGTGCAGCATGACATACAAACAACAATCCCGCTTACGACTTGAAGTAAACAAAACACATAACTCAGTCTCCTGCTACACTGCCTAACCGTTCAACCAGCTCCCTTACTTTTACACATCCATCTATCATTCCACACAGCATACCACCTTTCCACATTCAACCTTCCCGTCATCACCGCTTCTTTCCCTCAATAACCCCCTTCCTCACCTCACCTCACTCCATCACAAACGAACCCTCTAACTCACGCACCCTCCTCCCCCGCACCCAGCCCCAAAACCTCCGCCACACCACTCAACATCTCCACCGCCTTCTCCTCCAACTTATTCTCACACGCCGACCCCTCGGCAGCTTTTTGGCTCCTCCACTCAATCTCCCGCTGTCCCAAAGGCAACAACCGTTCCCTGAGGACCTTTCTACTGCCCAACCAAAACTCCACATTCTCCAACAAATTCTGTCTCGCCTCGTCTTCCCACCCTCCCGCTATCTGCGGAATGTCTCTTGCCGATTGCCCTCCGGCGTTGGTCAATCTTATGGCTGAGAGGACCCGAGTCAAAAGGGCGAGGGAGTGGATTTCTGAGATGGCAGTTAGGGTTATGAAGCCTGAGGTGTCTTTTCCGTTACCGGGGTTGTTGGTGGTGATAGACTTGGAGGGGGAAAAGGTGCGATTGGTGCCTGGAGCTTCGAACCTATCCACCGCTGCACGGAGGAGGTTAGGGAATTGATTGAGCACGTAAGCGATCTCAGGGGCGATGGTAGCTCCCAAGGCGCCGAGCATGTTGAGTAGTAGAGGTAAGATGCCCTTGGCCCAGATGGAGTAGCAGCGAGCGGCGCCGGCGTTGTCTGCAAGGGGACCGACGTTGGCGCGGCGCATGAAGCCGGCGAGGTTGGCGGACGTGAGGTGCCCCAGTAAGCCGTTCAAGGCGAGCTGCTCGGCGATGGTGGGCATGGCGGAGAGCTCGAGCAAGAAAAGTAGGGACAGCTCGCCGTAGATGGGGTCGCCCGACTTGTCGGTCAGCTTGTCGGCCCAGGAGAAGAGCGAGGTGGCGACTTGGAAGACGTCGTGGCCGGCCATGATGTTGAGGACTTGCACCTGGCACTGGTCGATGCCGGGTACGCTGAGGCAGGCTTGCAGGATCGCGGTGAGGAGGGCGAGGTCCTCGGGCGTGGTGGGCGAGGTGGGCTCGTGCACCAGCGCGACCAGTGACCTGAAGGATTGGGCGACGACGCGGTCCAGGATGCTGAGGATCAGTTGGGTGACGGCCACGGAGATGCTCTCACCACCGGACTGCGACATGGTGGAGGCGCCGGGCGCAGGGGCATTGGCGGAGTGTCTGGTTCCACGCAGAGCGACGAACAGGATCTTGAGAAGGGTGCGGAAGTAGGAGATCTGGTCCTTATCGAAGGGAACCTCAATGTTATTGATGGCCCTTGTGATGCTGGTCAGCAGCTTGGTGATGTCCTTGGGCAAGTGGGAGGCATCGGCAAGGCGCTGAAGAAGCGTCAAAGCCAGGTTTGCCCGAGCGTGTGCCAGTCGAACGAAAATGTTGTCTGGCGGCTGAGCCCGTTGGTTGGCATCCAGACATTGCTCGGCGACCTGCGACATCTGCTTGGCAACGGTCTCGTTCTTGGGGAGAAGCGAGATGCTAAGCTCCAGAAGTAGATACTCCCAAGCATGGAAGAGAGCCTTGAATCATGTTAGCGCAAGTCATGGTAGGGGAGAAAACACCGACAAACTTACAATCTCGGCCTCCACCAGAGACAAGTTCAGATTAGCCCTCTCCATTTCATGTCTGAAGCCGTTCTTGCGCGAACCATCCCATGCGACATCGTAGCTTAGCATCGACTCGGCAAAGTCCAAAGCATAGTAAAATTGGGAACCCAGATCACGAGGAACAAGGACTGTCCTCTTGAAATCCTCTATCGAGATCCCCGGGTATCGTTGGCTAAAGTTCTTTGCAAAGTTAGAATGCAACGAGGCATTGTACCCCGAAACCTGAACTCCGTTGCGCAGGAAGTAATCAAGATCGTTCACGACGTCGTTCGCAAACTTTTGCGATTGCCGCATCTGACGCAGATGGTACAGCTGCATAGCAAATGCCTCGGCAATGTAAGCTGCTATCCTCGCCTGGTAAGCTGCCTCCCTAGGGTCTGTCCTGGAAACCATCGAGGGCGACTTGAGATCGCGGACGTATGCTCGGAGATCGGTCAGGAAGGACGTATCCTTTTGCATGGCGAAGATGGTCCAAGGCCAGTAGTTCTGGGCCGAAGTGAAGAAGTCCAAGATCGCGATGGCCTCCTGGCTTGGCAACTTCTTGATCGAGCGAAGCTTCTCCATGGCCGTGGAGAGGACCGAGTCGGGAGAAAGTGCTGCAATCTTGCCATCTCCCTTCAAAGCCTCGCGGGGAGTCTTGCCAGTAAGGAGGCAATTTGCCATCCACTGTTGGCGGTTCCGCATTATCGTCGAGAAGAACTTCCACGTGCTGACTGATTCTGGTACCCTGTCAAACGGCTTGTCCAGCTGCGAAGCGATCTGGATGAATGACCGTGCAATTTGCGGCCCAAGGTATCCCAGCAGCGATGGAGGTTCGGCGTTGCCCTTCCCAGCACTTTCTACTAGCGCACTCAGGAGAGCTATCGCCGGTGCCTTGAAAGACAGCCTGATAGCAGGAAGACGGGCGACTAGAGACGCAGACTTGAACAGTTGTGTTTGGAGGTTGATGACGGGCAGGTCGAGGTAGTTGGCGACCCGAAGGAGAATAGTTGCAAAATCGAGGACCACTAGGAGCCTCTCCGAGACAACGGCAGCCCGGCGGGGGTATAGAGTAGAGTCGGGGATTTGGAAGGCAACAAGAAGGGTCGCTAGAAGGGGTTGGAATCGGAGTGAGTTTGACGAGGCCGTGACAAAGCTCTCGAGGACGTATCTAGCGGCAGGTTCAAGATAGCCTGTCAAGGTATTCGAAGGTCCAGTTCCATCGAGGTTATAGGTGTATGAAAGGAGCTTCTGCATGATGCCCACCACATCACGAACCACGACACTGCGGTCCAGCTCGGACGGGAATCTCCAAGTGGCCGAGTTTTCGATTATATCGACCGCGGTCTGGGCGATGGCAAGAGAGACCCGAGAGATCACCTTGTCGCTTGTTCCTAGCCATGCGTTTGCGTCGACATTGGAACGAGCGTTCGTCTCCCTTACGACCTTGCGCTGAACAGCACCCAGCATGGCGATCTCAATCAGGTTAGAGAAGAACTTGATGGCGGAAGAAAGGAAGTCAAAACGCTCAGACAGCATGTCAAGGTTGCCGGTGATCCTGGACAGTCTTCCAGCTCTTGTCTCGCCATTGATGAGGGCAGTCCTAGACATGTAAGCCCAAACTCTGCCTGGGCACACAGGTAGAGCGGCGTCAAGGAATTGCAGACAGGCTGCCAAGACCGCCGTTCTGGGACCATCGACGTTTACGAGATCGTCTTGAATGATGGTGTCCATGAGGTCGCAAACCACCACCAAGATGTCCTTGCTGTGTGGTAGCGCTCTGCTTGCCTCTTTCAAGATTGCCATGCCGGCCTCGGAGCCAGCCCTCGAAACGGTCACAGCAGTCCTGAGAGTCTCGACTCGGACAACGGTTGCCAACAGTAGTATCGACTCCGCCACCTCGTCCGCAGTAAGTCCTGGGAGAGCACTGCTGTACGCGTCAGCCTTCAAGGACACCTCAAGACGCTTGCCCAGAAGGGCCAGGGCCGAGTGTTCGTATTCGAGGATGGCTATCCTCTCGCTGTCCGATACGAAACGTCCAACAGTACCGGCAGGAATGGTGAACTTTTCCTCGTTTTCGGGACGTCTCCTGGTAACCTTGGAGGTATCGAAGAGATCAAGGTCGCCAATCAATTGGAAGGAGTTGACGTTCTCGTCCTCGTAAATGAGTTCGTAATTGACCCACTCAGACCTCCATTCCAGAGTCAAGGTAGGAGACTTGAGGAGCAGACCGATCACCCACTCGGAGTTTTCGCTATCTGCAAGGAGGCCCGTCACCAGAGCCCGAGTAAAGGATACGAAGGGCAAGAATTCGTAGGGGTAACGGTTGCGAGCCTGCAAGAGATAGTTCTCCTTGAGCTCATCATCCCGAAGCATTACTGAATTAACTTCCTGGCTTGGGGACAGTGCGTTCTTGGGAGAAATATCCCAGTACTGTCTCCCTCCCGACAAAACGGTAAGGAGGCAGGAGACAGTATCGTTTTGGTAGCCCACGATAGGGAAGCTCTTCTTGAGGACTTCAAGGAAAACGGCCCGTACGCGTGCTCCTAGCAGGGAAGAGAAGGCAGCGAGCTGGCTGTAGCCAAGACAGGCTGCCATCTCCGACATGACCTCGTATACATGGCCACGAGCGGTAGCCGTGAAGGCGAGCGCCTCGACCAATTGGTTATCCCGCTCAAGGGCCTGCGAGGTCAGGAACAGATCATAGGGCGACCTTTCGATAGACACAATGCTTCCCGCCGAGTTCCTACGTCCGCTGGGGTTCGGCTGAATCTCCAATTCGAAACTGGCTTGAGCGCGTGCATTCTGAGCAACATCCCGTCGTTCGGCGCGTTCCTGGTAGCCAATAAACATGTCCTGCAGAATCAAGGACCATGCCAAAATGACGGGGCTCGCAGTTGGCGAACCAGCATTTGCGGCGTTGGTAACGGCGGTATGAATTATGGTTAGAAGCTCGGATGATGCTAGGTAGGGCTCCTCGAAGTCCAGAAGGTCGATGTCTTGGCTCAAGTACATGAGTGATCGGTTGAGGTTGATGAGTCTGAGCGAGATGACGCACACCAAACTCTTGAGGGGCATGACGAGCTCGGAAACAAGATCATAGCCGCTGCTGATGCCGTCCAGGAATTCGTACGTGTTCATGATCTGGTACCACTGAGTTATTATCTCAGGGGTAGTAAACATGGGGCCCGAGAGGTCGAGAATCTGGAATGAGACCGTCATGGCATGGATAGCCTCGGTGAGCGCCGTCCTGGTCCAGTCAATGTTGATCTGCTCGGTTAGAAGGCGCTCTTCGACGTTTGTAGGGCCGGTTTGCGCGCGCTTGATGGCGTCTTCGAGGAGGGTGAAGTATCGTGGTATAAGGGCCTCGAACAAGCTGATGTTGATTTCGGAGTGGTCGTCGAACTCGTCATATTCGAATGCCTCCTTCACAATCTCCCGTCGAAGGTTGTGCGTCTCCTGGTTCAAGATGGCAGCGCTCGAGTGCAGCATGAAGGTAACGAGTGACTCGGCGGAGCTCATGAAGGACCGGCGTTCGGAGAGGTAGTGGGCCAGAATTCGCTGGCGGCGGCTGGCATCCTTCTCAAACTCGGCCCATGTGGTTTCGGCGTCGGCAACGGTGGAGAGGTTGAGGAGGGCGAGGATGTTGGAAGTTTGCGCATCACTGACTCCGGCAGCTTCCTGGATATTGTCGACATCTTGGGTAGAGAGAGGGCCGACAAGGTGGGCATGCGCGCGCGACTGGAACTCGACTACGACGATGCGCAGGGCGGCAACTTCGCTAATGTTGACATTGGTGCTGAGCCATATGGTGTCGTCCTTGATGGTCTTGATATTGAATCGGTCGTTGGGCGTCTGGGTCACGTTGATGGCCGCGGTCTTGGTCTCGAAGTCGGCTTTCGTCTGGGAAGTCGGAGGTTCGAAGGTCTTGGAGGGGTTCTTGAACAGCTGTTGGACGTAGCCATCTTTTAGAAAGGAAGAGACGGCATTGCTGGTAATGAGATCGCCATGTTGGTCGGCAAGAGCAGAAGCGACCAGTTTCCAAGAAAGTATTATGTTCTTGCCGGTCAAACACTCCTCCAGCGGAGGGAAATATATCTTATCGGTCAAGGAGGCCATTGGTGATGATGGTCTCCATCAGCGGCCGGGGCCAACTTGTAGAGAATGGGTATTGGTGGGAAAAGGTTCCCTCGAGAAGCGATGCTGTCGTCGGGGTCGTCGTCGTCGGATGGTGATCGGGTATGAGAACGAAGTGTCGACGGTCGATGGAGATGGGCAGGGCGATGATGTATGAAGGAAGAGAACTGTCGACGATGGGGGAGAGCTACTGTAGAGCTTGATTCAGACCCGACTCTCTGTCATATGTGGGAGAAGATGTTGACAGGAGTGTTGCCATGTAAATATTTTGGCGGATTCGAGATTCCGTTTGGTTGGTTGCTTGGCTGTTCTGCTCTGCTGTATTTGCTTGACGCGCTTCCCTTGCCTGACGCGGCTGGCAATGATGTGTGCAGCAGCAGCGAGCTTCAACGCTTTTCCCGCTACGCCAAAGAATCGGGCGGCCAGAACCACGCGCGGGACCAACAATTCCCACTGTGTTTTTTTGCGACAGGGCACCGCAGTGAGTGTGCCAAGCATTTCCACTTTTGGTGGAGCCTCTCCGATAAGCGCGATAAGGAATTTCAATGTTTCCCGTCAAAAACATCCAGAACGACATCGGTTCGAACGGGATGACGCTTGGGCCCTCTTTCTTTTTGTTCTTGATACAAGTTCGCGAAACGGGGAGAACCAAGCTCTCAAAGCTCGAAAGACGAAAACCCACTTTCTTATTCATGACAGTTTTGGGAAGGCACGGCATTGAGCCATTGAGAGCCATTGCACTGTCCAAATCATCGGGAGTTGCATCCGGCGTTGTTGAATCTGATTTGTAAACTGTCGTCTAGTGCCACTGGTTACATGTCCCATTGAAATATTTTACATATACTATCGTATAATACACAGTTCAAAGTAACTCGACTAAAAGGACCCCTTCATCGCCTAAACATTGAACAAAGTGCAAGTGACTCACTCACAAAAGACACCTTTCACAAGCACTTGTGAATCGCTTCAGGCTCAGATAACCAGGTACGCAATGTAGACTCTAGCCATTTTGAGTCTTTACAAAGATCCCCCGTATTCATTGAGGATTGATACTTACAATACCTACCAACAACTAGTACTTGCTGCATCCGAAGTCGGGCGTCTTGGGGTTCGTGTTCCGTTTGGTAATTACACTCAAGCATTTACACCACAGCTGCACCTCGGCTCCTTCAGGAACACCTCTGAGATACAGGATCGCATATCAAATCATATCACAATGTCGTCCCCCTCAGTCATCGACCACTCCCCCCACGATTCCGCTCCTTCGCCCTTGGTGCCAACCGCCTCCAACCTCATCCTCATCGACAACTATGATTCGTTCACCTGGAACGTCTACCAGTATCTCGTCCTCGAGGGCGCCAAGGTGACCGTCTTCCGCAACGACCAGATCACCATCGACGAGCTCATTGCAAAGAATCCCACCCAGCTCGTCATCAGCCCGGGTCCCGGTCATCCCCGCACCGACTCCGGTATCTCGCGCGATGCCATCAAGCACTTTGCCGGAAAGATCCCCATCTTTGGTGTGTGCATGGGTCAGCAGTGCATCTTTGACGTCTATGGCGGCGATGTGAGCTTCGCCGGTGAGATCTTGCACGGAAAGACCTCCCCTCTTTGCCACGACGGCAAGGGCGCATATGCTGGTCTGTCCCAGGATCTGCCAGTGACGAGATACCACTCTCTTGCCGGTACTCATGTCACCCTTCCCGAGTGCTTGGAGGTCACCTCTTGGATTGCGAAGGAGGATGGTTCCAAGGGCGTTATCATGGGTGTCCGCCACAAGGAGTACACCATTGAGGGTGTTCAGTTCCACCCGGAGAGTATTCTGTCCGCCGAGGGTCGTGGCATGTTCCGGAACTTCCTTCACATGCAGGGAGGCACTTGGGCGGAGAACGAGATGCTTCAAAAGGAGGCCCAGGCAAAGGCCTCCAGCACAAACGGCACCTCCACTCCCAAGAAGAGCAACATCCTCCAAAAGATCTATGCCCACCGCAAGGTTGCCGTGGATGCCCAGAAGCAGATTCCTTCCCTGAGACCTTCCGACCTCCAAGCCGCTTACAACCTGAGCATCGCCCCTCCTCAGATCTCTCTTGTCGACCGTCTTCGCAACTCCCCCTTTGATGTCGCTCTTGCCGCCGAGATCAAGAGGGCATCTCCCTCCAAGGGTGTCTTTGCGCTTGATATCGACGCCCCGTCGCAAGCTCGCAAGTATGCGCTTGCCGGTGCTAGTGTCATCTCGGTCCTGACCGAGCCAGAGTGGTTCAAGGGCAGCATCGATGACCTCCGTGCCGTGCGCCAGGTTCTCAACGGCATGCCCAACCGGCCCGCCGTCCTCCGCAAGGAGTTCATCTTCGACGAGTACCAGATCCTCGAAGCCAGACTCGCCGGTGCCGACACCGTCCTTCTTATCGTCAAGATGCTCGAGTACGAGCTCCTCGAGCGCCTCTACAAGTACTCCCTCTCTCTCGGCATGGAGCCCCTAGTCGAGGTCCAGAACACCGAGGAGATGGCCACGGCCATCAAGCTCGGCGCGAAGGTCATCGGCGTCAACAACCGCAACCTCGAGAGCTTCGAAGTCGACCTCGGCACCACCGGTCGCCTCCGTAGCATGGTCCCCAGCGACACCTTCCTCTGCGCTCTCAGCGGCATCAACACCCACCAGGACGTTCTCGACTGCAAGCGTGACGGCGTCAACGGCATTCTTGTCGGTGAGGCCATCATGCGTGCCCCTGACGCCACCCAGTTCATCCGTGAGCTCTGCGCCGGCCTGACCGGCCCCGCGCCCAAGTCCGCCGCCGAGCCGCTCCTTGTCAAGATCTGCGGCACGCGTTCTGCCGAGGCCGCCACGGAAGCCATCAAGGCCGGTGCCGATCTCGTGGGCATGATCATGGTACCAGGCACTAAGCGCTGCGTCGATCACGAGACCGCCCTATCTATCTCGCAAGCCGTGCACATGAGCAAGAAGACTGGATCCACCGAGGCCTCCTCGCAAGGCTCCAAGTCCGCAAGGGATTTTTTCAACATCAACGCCGAGATTATCCGCAAGCGGGGACCTCTGCTGGTCGGTGTCTTCATGAACCAGCCGCTTGAGGAGGTTCTCGAGAAGCAGCGCCTCTACGACATCGATATTGTCCAGCTTCACGGTGACGAGCCGCTCGAGTGGGCCAACCTTATCCCAGTCCCTGTTATCCGCAAGTTCAAGCCCGGTCAAGTCGGTCTTGCTACCCGTGGATACCATGCCGTGCCGCTGCTGGATTCGGGCGCCGGGTCCGGCACGTTGTTGGACTTGGACTCTGTCAAGAAGGAGCTGGAGAAGGATGAGCTGGTTACTGTTCTGCTTGCTGGTGGACTAGAGCCTGGCAATGTCGCTGAGACGGTAAAGTCTCTGGGGGCTCTGGGTGAAAGAGTGATTGGTGTCGATGTTAGCAGTGGGGTTGAGGAGGGAGGCAAGCAAAGCTTGGAGAAGATCAGGGAGTTTGTTAAGGCTGCCAAGTCTGTCAGGTAAAAAGTTTATGGGGGTCAAGGTCCGAAAATGAAGTCTGTTTCGGTTGGTACCGCTATTATGCATCCCCCCAAAGGCGAAACTGTGATTATGTTCATGGTTCAGACGGCTCAGAATTCGAATGTGACAGAACTGATATGGATTGCTAGAGAAGACCTGGGAGGGATATACTGACCCTTGTTCTTTGTCCCAATATCATACCGGGACATTCTCAACGCTCAAAGGACAGAGACACTACGGACTTCCAGACCCTAGACACCGCCTGTACCACAATGCTTTTGTTTGTTGTTTCGTCGACAAAGCAGTAGCGAGACAACATCTAGACTCTTCATCACGAAGGAGGGAGAAGGCCATACATATAATACTAACATCTTCACAGAGCAAACTTTCTAACCTTCAGTATCTTCCGAACCAGTTACAATCCCATGTTTCTAGACAGACAAGCCGATGTTTCTCTCAAGACCCAAAAGCAATCACCCCCATCCCATCCCATCCTGCCCCGTCCCGTCCCGTCCCATCCCCAACATCCACTATGTTGTCCCCCCCAACTCTCCCAGCTCTTCCAACCATTCCATCCTCCCAAACCCTCCGCAGCACCACCCGTATAACCCATTCAACCCTCTCAACCCACCCATCCCTCCCAACCCATACCCCTCGCCTTCCACCCTCCTCCCCCATAGACCTAAACCCCTACACCCCCTCCGTCCCCTGCCTCCACTGCCGCCTCGTCTCCTCTCCGCGCTGCTCCCTCCTCAACTTACTTAACCACCGCACCCCTTCGCCGTCGGCGCCCGCCAATATGTACTACAACAGGCCTTGGAGTTGGTGGCACATGTACATGTACACCAAGGAACCTTATGTTCCCATCCCGGGATTACAGGCGAGATGCTCAAGGTGTGTGAGGGATGGGATTGAGTGGTGCGTTTTGAGGGAGATGGGGGAGATGGATGGGGAGGGGGAGGCGATGGAGAGGGTGCTGCTGGGGGAGAGGAGGGATGGGGTAGGAGGACTTGGAGTACGGCGGCCTGGAGGATTGTTTGGAGCACCGGTGAATGGAGCTACGCTTGGAGCTACGCTTGGGGCTACGCTTGGGGCTACTACGCCTGGAGCTGAATCGTGGATGGAGGTGGGGAAGGAGGGGACGCCGAGGAGGAGAAGGAGGAGGAAGGATGGGACGCTTGGGAAAGAGGTGGGTGAGCGGGGGAATGTTGGGGAGGAGGGTGTTGGTGGAGGAGGTGATATGGGTGGGAATGATGAAAAGAGGTCTTCAGACTCACTAGTGATCAGGGCACGACGGGTCAGGAGGAGGGTTGATATTTCGAACGAATCTTCGGATGAGGATGAGGATGAGGATAAGGATGAGGATGGCTCCACGGGAACGGCTTCTGCTTCTAGAAAACCCATGAAGTCTAAGAAGTATGGGAAGCCCATTAAATCCTCCAAGGCCAATTCACCACTACTCCCACAAGGGAACTCAGCCTCACACGACATAGCCAACTACGATGCCGACAGCGACAGAGACAACAACAACAACAACAACAACAACAACAACAACAACACCAACAACACCAACACAGACATCAACTCCGACGACGACCATGATTCCGATCTCATCGACTCTGATACAAAATCCCACGTATCTTCCAAGACCTCCTTCTCCAAAAGATCCATCAAGTCCACCAACTCTACCACCTTCTCCCCATTCCTCACACCCTCCTCCTCGCCCCCAGTAAAACACCCAGAGTCAACTCCCCCACCACCACCCTCACCACCAGAACAAATATCATCAGACTACGTGCTGAAAGAAGAGAGATCATGGATATGGAAAGAAAAGGGGTGGTGGAACGAGGGGAAGGAAAAAGTAAAAAGAAAGGAATTCAAGAGGGAAGAGTGGATGGGTCACCCCCTTTTCGCAGCCGTAACAGCAGTGGAGGTGAGGAAGTGGGATGTCATCAATTTGGGTAATAACCCTGAGAAGGGGATGATACAAAAGGGTACAATGGAGACTGAAAACGCGATGGACCTTATCATTTCCACACCAGGGATGATGAAAAGGTTTTTCGACTCCGAAATCCCCTTCATCGCCTACGTCCGAACCACCGGCCTAGAACAAGGTCGCGAAGAAGACTTACTAGAGATCGTCCGATCCCAGATCCTACATGTCATGGCGAGTTACGAGCAGAACACCGAAACCCGAAAAAAAGAGGCGATGTCCGCGGCAGAGGGTTCTTTACCCCTCGAAAGCCGCTTCTTGTTGACCACCCAGGAGGATTTGCAGAGGCAGTTTGCGCTGCCTAGTTGGCGGAGAAAGGGGTTGGAGTTTTTGAGTGCGGATATGGTGGAGATGCGGAGGAGGAAGAAAGTGGAGAGGATTGAGAGGGAGAAAAAAATGGAGGAGAAAAGGATCCATGAGAAAAAGCTGAAGGAGTTGGAGATGGAGCAGAGGGCGAGGGAGGAACAGGGAGAGAAGGGGAAAGACGAACTAAAAGATCAACAACAACCCCAACAACCATCTAGTGTATATCAAGTCCTCACCACCACCACCAGCTTGACCCCATCCCAAAACCCAATCCCAATCCCATCCCCCAACTCAGCCCCAGAGCCAGAACCAGAACCAGACCCCTACACATCCGACCACTCCGACCCCGAACAACCCCCCTCCACACCCGCCGAGTATTTTTCCCGCCGGCTCACCCGCCTTCACAACTTCTGGACCAAAGAAGCCCAACCCGCCGATTTCGAATTCGCCAAAGCCATTAAGCGTAACACCTTGCGCAAGTGGCGAGGCGAAAGAAGGGAAGGGTATAACTCGAAGTGGACAACATCGGGGAATGGGGACGACGAGAACGGGAGGGAACATGAGAATGTGACTACTACTCCCAAGATAAAAAATATCGCCGAGTGGTTAGCTAGAATTGCCGCTCAAAGCCAGCGCCAGGGGCAACTGCAAACGGGTACGGGTAATGGTAGGTTACCAGGAGCAAGAGCAGGAGGTGGGAGGACTCGGAGGAAGCTGACTCGTCAGCAACTGGCTGATTTTGATTATTCTTCTGATTCCTTCTCCTCTTCCTCCTCAGAAGAAGAAGGGGGGCTGTGTCTGGCTGATGAGTTGGATATTTTGACTGATGCTAGTGATGATGAGGATATTTTGAGGTTTTTGGGTGAGGGTGATGATGATGATGTAGGGGATGAGAGAGAGGATAAGGAGGAGGATATGCACGAGGATGAAGATAGCTACCCGCTTGTAGATCATGTTCGAGAGTCAATGATGAATAAGCGTTAACTGGCCGTCTGATTTGTCACGTAGGTAAACCTAGGGCTGGGTGCTTCTGACAGTAACAGCTTGCTTCCTGGTTGCAACTTGCCTGACGCGAGATATCGGTCTTCGGCGAGGATATGCTTAGCTGCGTCCTGAACCCAGCCAGGCCAGCTTGGACCATAGTAGCAAGAATTTCATGTCTGTTATTGTACGCAAGGAAACGGAATATGCTATCATGTTTTGCCCACTTGGCCTCGCCCAGCCTAGCTTGATTGTACCGATCTTGATCTTGATCTAAAGGACAAAGTGAATTCTAAGAAAAGTAGTAAAATTGTGGAAGAAAATGCAGGCATCCAACAAACGCCATCAAGAACATGTGTAGAAACCGAGAAAAAAATAAAACATATGATACACGGCCATCTTACCTCGGCCACAAACCGACAGTACACTTGGGGTGTTTCTCGTCAACACAATTAGACTCGTAATTAGTTATTCTAATTCCCCCACCTAAACATCATGTGATTAAATAGCCCTTTACTTCTTGGCTCTCACCAGATTTCCCTCCTCGTCACTATCCTCGTCAGACGAGAACTTGTCGCCATCCTCGCCGACCGCAAAGATAGTCTCCCCGTCCATGGAGTCCCGGTGAGGGCTAGGTCTCCTTTGCTGTTGCTGCTGCTGCTGAGAGGAGCTGCTTGGGCCTCCCAGATTCCGTGACTGTTGCTGCAGACTAGCGCCGGCACCCGAACCCACGCCCGCATTTTCATTCTGATTCTTCTTTGCTTTCATACCAACCTGGGCCTCCTCGTCATCACTATCATCCGGCGCACCGATATCCAAGTTCGAGAATTCGATGGTGCCGTCGTCATCCTGGGCAATCTCGTCACTCATGGCAAACCGCTTGTTGTTCGCTGTCGGCCGCCACACGTACGCAATGAAAGCAACATCGGCAAAGTAGACAAGGTTCGGCCAGCCGTCAAGGATGAACCATCTGCTCTTCCAGTGGAAGGGAACGTAGCCAGGGTCGCTAGCCTGAGCAAACGAGAAGCTGTTCCAGAAGAAGAAGCCAAAGATGACTAGGATGGAGATGAGGATGCACCACCACAGCTTCTTGTACATGCCCTCCTTGACGTGCTGCTTGCGCTCCTTGAGGTCCTTGAGCGTCCAGCTAAGCGAGTTGAGCGTCCACACATAAAAGGCCGTCAGGGTACCCGCCAGAGGGAGAATGATGAGTAGAACGAAGGGGCCGGCGCTGTCTGGGTTGACAAGAAGACCGGTCATGGCGTAGACGATACCGAAGACGAAGTGTGCAATGGCGAGCCAACGGACGTAGATCATGGTGCGGCCGAGTGTGTGCTTAACGACGCCGTAGCCCATGCACACAATTAGGAGGAGGAAGAAGGAGAAGGAGTTGCGCGCGGCGTTGAGGACGGCTACCACAATGAGTAGTACACGGGAGCCGAGGTTCGAGCCGTGGCGGTTGAGGAAGTCTGGAGGTCGACGGTGGTCAGCGATTAGTTAGGGAGAAGGGACGAGCTGCTAGAAAAACATACCATAGAAACCCCATGTCATTAACATTTCAATGACGAGGAAAATGAGGATAGCTGTAATGTAATTCTGCACAGCCAAGATATCCGAACGGTGCTGGAAGTAGAGGAAACCCCAGAGCGCCAACACCAGGGCATACAAGATGGTGATGCCGCCATAGAAAGGCAGCTTGGGGATCTGTGTAGCGGGGAGCTCTCCATAGGCGTTCCGGAACTCGACAAGCGCCTCGTACCTATCGGCCGTATACTTGTCCGTGAGCACGCAGTAGTAACCCGTGTTCTTGATCTGGTACTTGACCGGGGCCGATTTCTTGAGATGGATGGCGTCGGTGAAGACGATATTCTTGGATAGTGCAGTGGCGTTGGGTGCGAGGATGTACTCGCCCACGTTGGTGGTGTTGCAGTATCCGGCGTCGACATACTGGGGCTCGCAGATGCCAATCCTACGGTCCGCGCCCTCAGGAAGGACACCGACGAGATCCGCGTCCTGCCACTCAAAGATAAGGAGACTGACAATAGGATCGTCGCCAGCGTCGGAGCCAAAGTCTGTAAACTTGACACTGATGAAGGGATTGACCGGGCCAGTCCATGTCTCTTTACTGTACATGCCTGCGCATCGTTGCCGGTTCTCTTCGGTTTCGTCCTGCCATTAAGGATGACTTGTCAGCACTTCCGTGTTGTCTATCGTAGGACTACCTCTAGATCTACTTACTAGCTTGACCTCCAGGGCCTGTGCCGTCCATACGGACAGCACCAGGAGGAAGAAGGCATACGCCCAGCTCCTCATTGTAGCTGCTCAAGAGGATGTCGGTTCTCAGCCGTCGTATAGGGTAGGGTGTATCGTGGCGGTTTGTATAGATCGTTCGTTCGTTCAGCAGTGCCCCCGAGGTTGCTGCTGTTCCTGGTGTCCCGGAAGAGATGGATCAAGGGGAGGACGGGGCTTGGTCGCGAAACATGGGGTTCGCTATTCTCGGTTATGTTTGTATGCGGGATCCCTTGGCTGCGGCTTCGATAGCTCGTGGGACGGATTAGGCGTCGATGGTCGAAACTCGGAATGTAGGTGCAGGAAAGGAAGTGAGGGAGAGTCGAGGAGGCGGACGGGAAAATGACAAGGTTGAGTTGAAACAGTTGTCGTGGAGCTTGGGAGTCGATCAATCCAAGATATTTGGCTGCCGTGTCCCTCCAAGTGTAGTGTACCTGTACAGGCACTTCACTTCCCTGTCATGGAACTCCCGGGCAGTTGTGTCGTTCCGCACCAGCACAGCCTTGCAATTAATATAAGCACAGTTTTGCTCACACTGGCCGAGTCCCCTGTTGCTTCAACTGGGCCAAGACGGGCACCTCAGTCAGGGCTGTTCCAGCTTCTTGGTACAGTGCGGGTTGTGGGGGCGGCTGACGAAGCTCATGTCATGTCATGCAGGCGGATAAGATAAGACGTGTGGGACCTGGCCGTTGAAAGCTAAGGGACCGGGATTCTGGACTTGTTCCCAAGTTCTAGACTTTGTCGCAAACACCAACCCGCCAAGTCGACAAGATGGGCAAAGGAACAGATAAACTATACATCACCCACTCCGAGTGGTCGTCCTCGGACGCGTACGGCGCCAGTACCGGTGCCAATGCCGGTGCGCGTGCCCAACGACGCGGTGCCAACTTCAAGAAACTTCCCTTCAACTTCTGCGCCGCCAGTCTCCAACCCTTCAAGAACCCCGTCTGCACCCCCGACGGCACCATCTTCGACGTCGAAGTCATCGGCTCATGGCTCGAAAAGCACAAGACGAACCCCGTCAACGGCGAACCGCTCTTGGCTAAGGATCTGATCAAGCTCAACTTTGCGCGCAACGGCGACACCACCGACTCGGACGAGAACAAGGGCGACCTCATCGATCCCGTTACCTTCAAAGTCTTCACCGACAATACCCACATCGTCGCCATCCGCCATGGCTCCTACGCAAACGTCTTCGCCTGGGAAACGGTCGAGCGCATGAACATCAAGTCCAAGATGTGGCGCGACCTGGTTGACGACGAAGAGTTCGGCCGCAAAGACATCATCACCCTACAAGATCCCCAAAACGTCTCCGCCAGCCGCGACCTCAGCCAGTTCAAATACCTCCAAGACGGCCAGGAAGCCATTCTCACCAAGGAACAAGAAGAAGAGCGCAAGGGCGGTACCGTCAACATCGAAGCCCTCGGCCGCGTAGGCGAAAAGGTTCTCCGCGCCAAGGAAGCCGTCGAGCGCGCCCGCGCAGCCCGACAAGCCGGCGGCGCCGACGTCAACCGTCTCACCCAAGCCCTCACCACCAACTCCTCCGCCACCGGCACGAACAACAAACCCACCGTGGCCCGCCACTCCCTAATCCAAGAGCGCAAACGCCCCGCCAACGCAGCGACCTACACAACCGGTCTAAGCGCCGCCTCCTTCACCTCGACCGGTCTGACCCCTTCCACCTCCGGCGCCCTCGCCCTCCTGTCCGACGAGCAATACCTCCTCAAACCCACCCACCGCATCAAAACAAAGGGCTACGTCCGCATGGAAACCAACCTCGGCCCCTTAACCCTCGAACTCCTCCCCGAATTCGCCCCCAAAGCCGTCTGGAACTTCCTCCGCCTCTCGGAAAAGGGTTACTACCGGGACGTCGCCTTCCACCGGTCCATCAGGAACTTCATGATCCAAGGCGGCGACCCCTCCGGGACGGGGCGGGGCGGTAGTTCAATATGGGGCAAGAACTTTGAGGATGAATTCGAAGGGCCTAACACGCATTCCACTCGAGGAATCGTGAGCATGGCGAATAAAGGCAAAAACACCAACTCGTCCCAATTCTTCATCACCTACCGCCCCGCCTCCCACCTGGACAGGAAACACACCATCTTCGCTAAAGTCATTGAAGGACTAGACACGACGCTGACGGCCATGGAGAATGTGGCTACCGATGGATCGGATCGACCTCTAAACAAAATTGTCATCAAGGATGTTGTTGTGCTAATCGACCCGTTTGCGGAGTGGATGAAAGAGAAGAAAGAAAAGGAAGGGGAGGAGGAAAGGAAGCGGGAGGTGGCGAGACGGGGAGGCACGGAGGATGATCGGACGACGTGGACGGGTAAGAGGATACGGGCTGATGGGACGGTGGAGGGGCAAGGGATGGGGGAGGGGGGAGGGGGAGGGCCGAAGGTGGGTAAGTATCTGGATGTGGGGGCTGCGAAGAAAGCTGCTGCGTCGAATACGACGACGACGACGCCGGTGGCGACGCGGAAAGCAGCTGCTGCTGCAGAGGAAGAAGAGGTTGATACGTGGGAAGAGCCGGTGAGGAAAAAGGCCAAGATGGGAGGAGGGTTTGGGAATTTCGATGGATGGTGATTTTGTGCACTGGAGTCAAAAATTATTTGTTTGAGCACTCTATAGCAGCTTTGGAGTTCGGTTGGGCCCCGGTTGGTACTGGTCCTAAAAGGTTCATGGGCATAATTTGCTTGTTTGCTTGTTTGTTTGTTTGTTTACATCAGGGGTTGATAGAGAGAGAAAAATATTGCATTAAGTACAGGGAAAATTGCGCACTACCTAGAAAACAGATACCCCCATCAAGGTCATTAATAGTCCCTTCTATGTTCTCCCATGTCTTTGGTATCATATTCCTGACTTTGTACAATCTAATGCTAGTTTATTTGTTAGCTTGGTAGTACTCCTGGCATACTGGACGTCAATGTATCCCGAATTGTCCCAAACCTTACAAGGATAAAATGAATGGCTAGGTACGGTTCAGAAAGCTGTTAAGAAGATTCAATATCACATATTGAATTTCGGAAATAGCATATTCAAGGTAAGATTACGCTTTAAGCATAGAACGAAACGAATCAATTAGATATAGAAACGCCTAGGGAAGTTGACCCGAGGTCTCGAGCTAACAAACAAACCAGTATCGGACTGTACATTTGTTTGGTCTTTTGGTGTATTTGTGTTGCTATCCTTGGTCGTCTCAACCCGTAGCGACGGTGTGGTATAGTCCTTAGATACTTCGGCCTATCCCCTTTGACCCAGTGCGTATCGTACACCCAACTTCTCCATTTCCGGTTTGAATATTAACCCAAATTCGCAGGTCCGCGAAGGTCAGATCAGCTGGGGATCAATCATTCCTTTCCCACCCTCCATCATGACCGGCCCACCATGATACACCTGTTCCTGTCGAAGTCGTTCATGGAACAGCTCATGCTGTTGCTGAACCACCCGCAGATGCACCGGCATATCCTCCATTTCACCCGTATTCATCCAGTCCAATCCAATTCCCAGTCCTGGCAACCACAGCGACTGTTCTTCTGGCCCATTCCCGTATCCATCTTCATCTACATCGATGGTATCATGTTCCTCAAGCAAATTGGCCACGGCATCTGCTTGTTTAACCCCCGTCTCCATATACAGCGTGCGCAGTCTGCCCACGACGTAACTCTTCACCTGCCCCGTGCATACCGATGACATACCGACCATGTACAATGGCCAAACCACCGGGCTTGTGGCTGATACCAAAAGCACAAAGCGGCTAGCCTCCTCTTCTGCGTCTGTTGAAGCGGGTGTTACCGGGTGAAGGATGGTGAGGTTCGCACATTGAATCCTAGCGGGGTCCATGGGGCTCTGGCTGCTACCGCCGGAATCGGATGACCGGGCTGATGGGGACGTTGGTGGACTGGGGGTTTCGCGGACTTCGACACTCGATATTGGCGTTGAGCATGAGTTGTCGACACTGCCATCTGTGGGATCCACGAGCCCAAGCAATTGGGGCACACTGCCGCATATTGCCTCCAGGATTTCCTTCAACTTGCGCTTTGCGCCTGTGAACTGGTCTGCGTAAGGGCCCGATGTTGGCTTTAGGCAGAGGCCCCGTGAAAGCTGTTGGATCTCACAGATAATCGTCTCCAACAGAAGCATCCTGAGCATACGAAGACTGTTCCACAATGTGGTATCCCATAGCGTGGAGTAGACATTGCAGACTCCGTTCAGCACCGCCGGATGGTGTCTCGTCAGTCGGAAGGTTTTGTACGGCAGGTCTGGGGAGAATTGGGCGGATAGTTGTTCGAATCCCTCGTCAATTCTGAAAAGGTGCGCCAGGATGTTATCCGAGTCTACCAAAACTCCGCTCAGGATGTCGGCACGCAGTTGTAGGAAGTCGTGCATGAGTGGTAACGCAGAGAGCGTAAGGCCTCCGAATCCCTTAAGTTGGATTGGTTGAGGCATTGTATGCCATAAGTCAATCAGTGGTTGCGGCATTGGCATGGGCTTTCTGGACTGGAGACAGCTCAGCATAACCCGTTGGCAAAGCTTCGAGAACATTTTGACCCCTGCTTTTGTCTGAAACTGTGCAGTTCCTCGCAGTTTTGCGAGAGCTACTGCGCCGTTGATGTGTTCTTGAAAAGCTTCGACAGTCCGCATGCGGGAAGGATGCTCAGCTATCAGCTCAAAAAGGCCGAGGATTAGTACCGAGAGCATCGTAGTGTCTTTGACGGCTTCGATGGGCGTTTCTAAAGCGTGGTTAGTCAAGCGAAGAGCGGTCCCATAGGACTTCCAAGCGGCTTCCATCATATCTTGTGATCGAGTGACGCCTGCGAGACCAACCAGCCCCACAGCCGTCATACTGGCAAGGACGCTGTCAACATGCCGGTCCTGCGCCACTGAGGTGGGCTTCCATACGTCAAAGACAAAACTGAAGTTGTGGTGGCATGTCGTCTCTTCAACAGATACATATCGTGAAAAGAAATAGGCGATGCCTTGCTGCTGACAACGTGGGGAAACATCATACAATAGGGCAACTGCTGGGGTGACTGGCCAGCTTCCCGAATCGGGAGACATCGGTACACTGTCGTCATCTTCCGACCAAGCCGCTTCGGGTGTCGAGCTCGTGGGCCTGCTGGGGCTTGGAACGAGTAGCGAGAGTGATTTTTGTCGAGGCTCCGGTGTTGTTGAGCATCTACTCGTGGAACTGGGAGATCTCGGCGTCTTGACGGTGGGACGGGGACGTCTTCGAGCCTTTTCCTTGGCTTTGTCCTCGACATGGCGACTCTCATCTCGAAACATCAAATCAACCAGGTTCCGGTAACCAGGGCATTCCTCCTTTCTCTTTTCACACTGGCCACAGCCCGGTGATTTCTGATCGCACTAGCTGCATGTTAACCAATATGTGCTGTACATGTGCATTACATGAGACTAGAGCAAGCCGGAGGGCGGGACGAATGATATGGGATGGGGGAGTTGTGGGGGAGGTCTTAGGGCGCCGCCTTCAATATTTGGCTGCTCATCCGCTGGGAGGAGTGGGGGCGGTGGTCATCTCTTGGGTATATATGATATGATCCGGGAATATGGATAACGGACAAGGTGTGAAGGAGCTGCCAAAAGTGGTGACTTACGCGAATCTTACGTTTCCGGCACACAGAGCACCCTTTGCTTGGCTTCCCGCAGAATACCATGTTCACGACTTCCGAAGTGCCGCACCGAATTCAGTGGGTTTGATCAATCAAGTGACGAATAGGCCGGGGCCTTGGTGTTCAGCTTGCGTAGAGCGCAAGTGGTAGCAATAGCCAGAGGCAGCTCGACGCCACGGTTGTGTCCAAATCTGGTAAGGTACTATGGCCTGTACAGTTGCTCGAAGGTAGACCGGAGTACACTAGTAGTAGGCGTTCAAGTAGGCGTACTGAGGATTGAATGTGGTCTGTATCAAAGAGGAAGGTCGATATGTCGAGCAACTCGTCCTGGTTTGCTGGCTGTCGAATAAGGTGGGACAAGACCTGCCGATGCAAGATGGGATCCGGTCAACGGGCAGGCCTTACTTAACTTGATGAGATAGGTCAAGGTGGGTTTCGAAGGAGGCCTCGAAGAAGGATATGTATAATGAGAAGTCTCGTCTCGAGACTGGCAGCCTTTTACATAGATTTGGTGATGGTGCCAGTATGATGAGCCATGCCGAGCCTAGCCTGTCTGTTCGATCGGTTGTGCATAGGGCTATGGCTATGGCGATGCGCAGATGGGAGGTGACGGCAGTCTGTGAGTGGTGCTCCAGGCGTGTGGAGGACGTGAAGAGAAGACCACTGGGCTGGTTTGCCTTACCTGCTCGGTAGCAGTACGCACAGCCTCACCGAAGACTTGGCAGGGACATGGAATGTCAGGACAATGGCGGGTTCATAAAGTCGAAAAGAGAGCGAGACATGGCTACAAGCCTCATCCGCGAGCGCCCCCGTGGACGATGAGTGAGTTCCGCATTCGGCTCATGACATGTTGGACTGGTACGGTATCATTTTACGCCGATATCTTGGGGCAAGGTCAAACCAATCCGCCGTGAGATTCGTGGCGAGAGAAGAGAGCATGGTTGTCGATTGGGCGGGTGTGATGTTGGTGAAGTTGGGGGGAGAAGTTGTGATGTTGTCGAGGTCGGAGTCACCTCATTGGTTTGTCTCGGCTGCCCTTTCCTATTTGGGCTACCTATGCGAGAGCAATATTGACCCACTCAAGCCACCGAGACCCACAGTTATCCCACGGGATCAGGGGCATCAAAAGCTTAATTGATCCCCCGCAACGGAAAGTCGGATCTCTCCGTAAACCACTTCCCTTCACAATAATGACATTGCATGTTGAAGGGTTGAGCACCGCCTCCTGACGACTTTGCAGTGGTGATGTTACTCATGTGCGGAAGCTTTCTGGAATGGTTTCACCAACACTTTCAATCTCCGTCATCTGCAAGATCGAGCTAAATTTACCTGGAACCGTCCCGTCATTGCATATCGTCGACCATCTCAGGTTGACTATGCCTTACTTCCCGTCTCTGAGCCCGTGTCCAGCCCGCAATGGCATCAGTTGTATGCGCCACGAGTCAACGGGAGATATTGGGGCTCTCCTCTCATTGACCCAAAAACGAAGTCTAAAATCGAAGCATTTACGAATGAACCCAGGCCCTTGCCGGAACGCCAGCTGTTACACAACACAACTTGGGCCATGGTGTGGGCTGAACCCTGCTTACTCCGGCTGGGATCCGTTATCGTTGTCCATCAAGACTTTGGCCACGCTCTTGACCTTTATCATAGGCAAAGATGGATTAGTTGCTATCTCCATGGCACCAACAGACAGACGACTTGACGTGGATGACATCAAAACCGCGAATGTTATGGGCTGCTACAGTCAAATATCAATGGCAAGCTTTTAGGAACATACCTTACGAATCTGTCATTCCGCAATAATTCACGATACCATAAAGCATGGCTGCGGCGGGGTGCTCAAGCTTCAAGCAGCACAGAGTTTAACCGAGGAGTAGACCACCGTCATGAAAGGACATATACGTTTCCATACCGCCGGATTTGTGGTTCACCAAAGGGACTGAAGCCACCAGGGTCCTATGTGCTTCCATAAACCATACCCACAAGGCGATACAGATGCAGCTACTGAGCATACACAAGGCTTTCGTTCCCATTCAAGAACAAATCTTCGCTTCCGCTAACCAATCATGGCTGCTGGTGAGCTAGAAAGCCTTACCTGTGTTCTTATGGTTATACAAAAGCTCCGGGAGCGCCCATTTGGCAGGCTTGGCCTGCAGCCAACTTTTGAGATTACACACCCATCCACCCCAGTGTTACCCTTCAATGGGCACCACACATTCAGTGGAGATGGTGTGAAGGTAAGTCTGTGGATGTAACTCTATTTTCTGTTTTCTGCTGTCCGTCATAAACACCAACCGGAGATGGTCGATAGTATCAAAAATAGTGTACAATTTGCACAATTCACGTAGTTTAGTCCGCCTTCGAAATCTAGCCTGACGCGGAGGTTTTTGATAACACAGTATGACGGTACAAAGCAGTGGTCTCGGTAGCTGATAAGGACTATGATGGTCTTTCAACCTGCTTGGTTGATATCGGTAACCCTAAACCTTCACCGAGGCTTTGTCTCATTACCTTTATCTGGTGATCCTATGATGACACATCTGCGATCCAAACATTCCGAAAACTTGTGCTTTCGACTTCCGACCAAATAGCAACCAGATCTACCCAAAAACTAATCTACAGTCGACTAGTTACCATCATTTTGATGACCTTCAACAGAACTCAGATGACGTGACCGGCAAGATAACCGAACAGATCAGCCACGGTACAGCTAAGTTCGTGCGAAAGCAGCTAAGCGAAGCGACAGGGCATCGCCGCATCGGCTGGGGCGGTGCAGCGGCTTCTCAGATCTCGCCATGTGATGTCTCCTTGCCATCCATGTCTGCAAATAATCTCGAAGTATGGATACACTACCCGCTTTCTAGTTTTTTTATCAAAAGTGATTGAATAGTGATTTTCAATGTCAGAAACCTTGTCATACCGATTCGACGTTGATGTCCGGTGTTCCCCACAAAACCGGCCCCACATCTCCGCAGTCCCGTCCGGATTCCCGGCCGGACACAAAAGAGGAGCCCGGCACAGTGACTGGCCGCTTTTGAACGGCTTGTTAGAATCTGGTTTTTTCCTTCTTTCTCAAGCTCGCTACTTCATTACGCTTCCGAATGTTTAGGCATTCTTTTTTCAATATAGAGTGAGACTCACATGTTAAACAGTAGCGTACACACTCCACAGCTGCCGTTCAACTACGGTATCGCAACTTGCCCGTAATAAGCTCCCAAAAATATAAGAAAATAAGACTGACTTGACAGTCTGTCAGAATCACAATGATCTGAGTTTCGAAAAAATACTGAATAGTTATTAGATGTAAGAAAGCCCACAAGGCGGAAAGCCGTCCCAGGGATTCCAGCAGTCCAGAAATGCCAAGACATGGCACTCTGATAGCAGCTTGGTGGGGCACCTCGCTTCGAAAGTTACTATCGAGAAATCGCAAATCCATACCCCGCGATGACGGATCTCCGAACATCGTTTACACAAAGACGATTACCATCTCTTCCACGACGTACCGAGGGTTTATAGACATCATCCAACTACCCAAAGTCCCATGAATAATTTATCAACATGCCGGTAAGTCCACGACCAGCTCATCTCTCATCTTTTCCTCCGTCGCATCGCTAACCATCCCCTTCCCTCCCCCTCCAGCTCATCCTCATAACCGGCCTACCCACCTCGGGCAAATCCACACGCGCCGCTCAACTCTACGACTACCTGACCGAGCGCATCGCCGCCGAGTCCTCCACATCTTCGAGTTCCAAATTCCGCCTGCACCTGATCTCCGACCAGAGCCTCTCCATCTCGCGCTCCGTCTACGACCTCGACCCAGCCCACACACCCGCACACGTACGCTCCGCCAATGCCTCGGAGAAAGATGCGCGCGCCGCGCTCTACGGCGCCGTCAAGCGCGTGTTGTCTCCCAGGGACATAGTCATTCTCGACACGCTGAACTACATCAAGGGGTGGCGGTACCAGCTGTACTGCGAGGCCAAGAACGTGCAGACGCCGTTTGGGCTGGTGCAAATCGGCTGTCCCGTGGCGAGGGCGAGGGGGGTTAATGAGGCTAGGATACGGAGGCTGGAGCAGCAGGAGCAAAATGCGGACACCACAACAAAAGACGACTCGACGACAACAACACAAACATCACAAACAAAGGCAGCACCGAAATCCGGCGACCTCCACCCAGAAACCTACCAACAATCCCACCAAAACTGGCAACAAAAACAATTCGAATCAGACCTCAACCAGCCCGACTTCGAAGACATTGCCCTTTCCCCCACCGATTCTCAAGAGCCATTCCTCCCCCGCTCCAACTGGGAAAACCTCGTCTTCCGCTACGAGGAACCCAACCCCATGTCCCGGTGGGACTCCCCGCTCTTCATCTTGACCTGGGACGACACGCCCACCGACACCCAAAAAGTGTTTGACCAGATCTGGGACGAAGTAATCGTCAACAAACCCCAGAAACTGATCCGGGCGAATAAGTCGACGGTGCAGCGGGATAAGGATCCCGGCGGGGATTACTTGTATGTTCTCGAAAAAGAGACGCAGGATATTGTGAAGCGGATTTTGGAGCAGCAGGCTGAGGTGGGGGAGGGCGGGACTGTGAGGTTGTCGAGGAGTGGAGGAAAAGAGGAGGGGGAGGAGATGTTGGAGGTGGAGTTGCCGGGGAAGAAGGTTGGATTGCCGCAGTTGCAGAGGTATAGGAGGGCGTTTGTGGCGCTGAACAGAGGTGGGATTGGGTTGGAGGCGGTGGGGACGTTGGCGGCGGGGAGGTTGAGGGAGAGCTTTGTTGGGTATTTGAATGATGCTTTTGAGAAGGAGATGTGAGGAGGGTGGGTTGTAGATACCGTATGGTTGGAGATGGAGGATGCTACGGAATCATAACCATGAAGCTCCACTCACCTTCTTCTCACAACACATCACATCTTGCGCCCCATGGATACCCAATATCAAATCAAACAAAACCATTGGCATTTGACATGCTACCCTGTATTCAGAGAGTTGAATCCTGTCATCTAGATATCCTTGTTCCGCTTCATGTAACCCGTTCCAGTCCGCAACACCTCAACCCTAAACCCTTTTGTAAACCCATTTTTTCCCATCCATGTTATGTGACCAGGTATCTACGCCTTTTCCCCAATTTAAGCAGCCCAGCTCTCCAAGTTCCTCAGAACACACCACTCACCCTTCTCGCCACCCTCCCTGTTGACCAACTTGCCAATGGTGTAGACCTTCTCGCCCTCAGCCTCCAGGCCCTTGACCACGGCATCCGCAGCCTCAGGAGCGACAGCCAAGACCATACCGATACCGTTGTTGAACGTTCTCGCCATCTCAGTAGGGATCACGGACTCTCTGAGCCACTTGAACACAGGAGGGTGTTCCCAGGTAGCGACGTCGATCTCGGCAGCCAGGTGCTTGGGGAGCATGCGAGGAACGTTTTCAGTCAGACCACCACCGGTGATGTGCGCCATACCCTTGACCGCCTCACCGGTTTGAGCAAGAACCTTGAGCAGAGGCTTGACGTAGATGCGAGTGGGGGTGAGGAGGCTCTCGCCAACGGTGGCAGAGCTGTCCCAGGGTGCCTTGTCGGTGTAGGACAAGCCGCACTTGTCGACAACCTTGCGGACAAGAGAGAAGCCGTTCGAGTGGACACCGGAAGAGGCAAGAGCAATGAGCACGTCACCCTCAGCCATAGCCTCCTTCCTGGGAAGACGCTGGGCAGCCTTCATGACACCAATGGCAGCACCGGCAGCATCGTAGTCATCACCAGTGTAGAGGTCGGGCATCTCAGCGGTCTCTCCACCAACCAGCGCGCAGCCGGCATCCTTGCAACCTTGAGCGACACCTTCGACGAAAGCGGCGGCAACCGAGACGTCGAGCTTGCTGCAGCCGTAGTAGTCGAGGAACATGAAAGGCTCAGCACCCTGAACGACCAAGTCGTTGACGTTCATGGCGACCAGGTCGATACCAACGGTGTCGTGCTTGTTCATCTTCTGGGCAATAATGAGCTTGGTGCCAACACCATCGATGGCGCCAACAATGATGGGAGCCCCAGGGTATCCAGCTTGAGAAAGGTCGACCTCGCCTCCAAATCCACCGATGATAGCATCAGCGCCAGGGCGGCGAGTAGTAGCGACAGCAGCCTTGATGCGGTCAACAAGCTCGTTACCGGCGTCAATGCTGACGCCAGATTGGGCATAGGTAAGCTTGTCAGACGAAGACTTGTCGTCGCGGAAAGCACGGTGAGCAATATCCTTGCGATAGTACATGCCGTCGAACTGGATGAGCTTCACGCCCTCATAAGCCTTGTCGACAGCGGCGCGCAGAGACTCGCCAACGGCCTCAGCAGCGATAACACGACCACCGGAAGAGACGAGGTAATCGCCAGATAGCTTGGTTCCCGCGTGGAAAATGTTGGTACCAGCAGGAGGTGTAGATACCTGCATGGGGATGTTCTTGGGGTAGGAGTTGGGGTATCCGGGGGCAGCAACGACCACAGTGGCGCTGAACTTCTGCTCGACCTCGACGGGCACGTACTTCAGGAGGGGAAGGGGGCCTGAGCAGGCCACCATGATCTCGGCGAGGTCGGACTTGAGCAGAGGAAGGACGGTCTGGGTCTCGGGGTCGCCGAAGCGGACGTTGTACTCGAGGACCTTGGGGCCGTTGGGGGTAATCATCAAGCCGGTGAAGAGGCAGCCCTTGAAGGGGAAGCCATCCTTGCGCATGCCGTCGACGGTCGGCTGGAGGATCTCGCGCTCAACCTGAGCAAGCAGAGCAGGGGTAGCAATCTTGGTGGGCGCATAGCATCCCATACCGCCCGTGTTCAAGCCAGTATCGCCCTCACCAATGCGCTTGTGATCCTGGGCGGCAGGCAGAGACTTGATGGTAGTACCGTCGCAGAAGGAGAGGATGCTGAGCTCGTCGCCCGTCATGAACTCCTCGATAACGACCTCGTCGCCGGCATTGCCGAACTGCTTCTCCAGCATGATGTCCTTGAGGGCCTGCTGGGCTTCCTCCTGAGACTCGGGGATGATGACACCCTTGCCAGCAGCCAAACCAGTAGCCTTGATGACGACATTGTGGCCCACCTTCTTGAGGTACTCGCTGGCCTTTTCGTAGTCGGAGAAGTTCTCGTAGGCGGCGGTGGGAATGTTGTGCTTCTTCATGAAGTCCTTGGAGAAGGTCTTGCTGCCCTCCATGCGCGCAGCATCCTTGGAAGGACCAAAGACGGGGATACCGACCTCGCGGAAGACGTTCTCGACGCCATCGACAAGCGGCTGCTCGGGGCCAGGGACGACGAGGTTGATGCGCTCCTTCTTGGCGAGGTCGACAAGGGCAGCAAAGTCGTTCTCGGAGACGGTGTTGTTGTTGGTGACCTTGGGGACGCCGGCAGTACCACCGTTGCCGGGGACCGCAATGATTGACTCAACGCTGGGCGACTGGCTGAGCTTCCAAGCCAGGGCGTGCTCGCGGCCGCCGCTGCCGATGAGGAGAATGCGTAGTGACGACATTGTGATTTGTGTTGTTGTTAGGGGTCTGGGTCGATGAGAATTCGGCGACACCAAATCCTCTTGACCTCCATTTCCATCAGCACCAGGAGGGAAAAGTGAGACGGAAGGTTGGCGACGAGAAATTTCAATTTACCCCTCGAAGCCCCTCCCCCGCAATCGCACGCGCGCTGACTGGTTAAGCGACGGAAGAGTCACACGAATTGGCCAATCCCGTGTCACTTTGAGAGTCATTGCCAGATCGCTCCGAAATAGGAAATCGCCCTTGCCGTTTCACTTTTTTTTTCTGGTCGCTAGCTGATAAGAGCTTAGCGGCTGCTGAGCATCGGACCGCAGTCCAACAGAGCTGTCAGTTGCATGCGATGTTAGGACGCTATCTCCCATCTTTCAAATTTTCCCTTGTCGACATGCGGGTCTGGCATTGAACTCCATCGGTCCAGAACATGGTGATGGATGCAGTTTATCAGCATTGGATCCTATGGGACATTGAGCTTCCTTTTGATCTTGCCCGACGATTTGCAGTAGGCTAAGCAAGCTGTTACACCTGGAGAACCTGCTAACCGTGTCCGATAGCGGATGACTGGGGCTGGTGTTCAACGCCAGTTTCCGATATCCCGCCGAGTGGTTTTAAAAAAAGAGGTTTTGAGAACAAACCATTCTCGATGCCATAGCATGTTGGCCAAAGAGGTTCACAAGCTCGTAGCTGGGGTGATGGGGTAGTATATCAACAAGCGGAGACCTGGGCACCTGGGGTGGTGCCATATGATAGTGATACCGTCGCATGGTAACCCCAGCCTGTGTTAGAGCGTGATCCAGAACTTTTTTTCTACTGACTGCGGTCAGAATCGTGATCGGGTAACTTTTTGCAACCAGATCCATAGAGGGAACCCCGGGTCTGAGAACAGGGTCCGGCAAGGGTACTGCAAGCATGTTTGGGCGAAAATTTCTTTTCGATTTTGGAACGGTTGCACAAGGTTTTGACTAGTCTATATAAATGTTCGGTTCTGATAGACGCCTATGACCAATAGTATAAAAGGTCCTCTTTCAATTATCGTTCTAACAATCTAATTAGTTCTGGTTAGACTTTTAGTCCTGGTTAGACTTTTTCTAAAAAGAAATATCTTTTCTTCTCTCCATTGGAGGGAAAACGGTAGCGTTTTAGGGAAAATGGTAGTTATTGGGAGGAAGCGGCGACCACTGGGTGATTCGGGGAAAAAATGAATAGTTTATCTGGATTTCCTCCTTGGAATTCATCTCTTTAGTAATACATCTTCTTAATAATACTCTTAGTAATATATCTTCTTAATAATACTCTTAGTAATGCATCTTCTTAATAATGCTCTTGGTAATGCATCTTCTTAGTAATGCTTTTTTTTTTAAATATCATAGTAGGGAATTGAACGGGAGCCTTACGGAACTAAATGCTTATATTACTAACTACGCTATCTATTATATATGCGCGAAGGTATTGGAAATTAATATTAATATAGTTAAAAGAAAGCGCGGGGGTTAGTTAAAGAAAGAGAAGAGTATTAAAATTTCAATTGTTTAAGGTTATTGACGAAGATGGTAATTTCTTAGGAAAATGATGTTAGAGTAAAAAAAGTATTAATAAAAAATTATTTTTCTAAAAATAGAATATTTTTTCAAAAACAGAATATTTTCCTAAAAAAAAGAATGGTCGAGCAAAAATTTTCTAACTAAGCCTACCATTCCTTTTTGTTACGCGAAGCGATGCTTTACAAGTGATACTAATATAGAATAATAGAGTAAGTAATGGGTTGCTAGACAGAGCAATAGTACGTAACGGTTGACGATAGTTTTGTTAAAGAAAATTGAAAATAAGTATTGTCGAGAGCCTTAATTTGGGACCTCGTATACGACTTTATAGAATATAAGTAAAATAGACGTTAGATTAATATAATATAAATTAATAATCTAATTAACCTTAACGGAGGTTGATAGGGAAAATATTCTTATATAATATATCTTACTCGATAAAGTAATCCTACGCTTAATAGAATATATATTAAAATAGAATAGGATATTTAAGTACCTACTTAGAATATCCTATAATATCTCCCCCTCAATAAAAGGAAAAGAGTATTTACTATCTATTAAAATTATTATTAAATACAAAATTAAAAATTAAAATTATCGCTTTCCTTATTATTAACGAACTATCTTTTTTATATCTTATATAACTTTTAACTACCGATAATTATTTTTAATAATTAAGATATTTTAATACGAAAATTAAAAAATGGTAAGTAATTAATATAAATAGTAAGGACGGAGGAAATCCTTAATAATAGCCGTAATAAAACGAACGAATATTAATATTATTATTATTTTCGAAATTATTTTTATTAAATTTAGGAGGATCCTAACGTATACGTTTACAACTAAACGGGGAATTATTTTACTTTTAATCTTCTATAATACTATTAGAACGCGGAGAATAAGTAGTTAATATAGTATTAAAGTAATTAATAAAATAGGTAGCTATAGTATGAAACTTATCCAATATACCGGTAAAATTAAATATATTATAAAATAATATATTATTAGAACGAACGATATAAAGAAGAATAATATTAAATATAATATTAGTATAGCGCGTACGTATAGTAGACGCCGATAAAGGAGTGCGGCGGATACGAAGTTTTTAGAATTCGATAAATTCTCGGCGTATATCCGATAATTTTGCTTTTAATTACTTTACTACTTTTCCCTAATAGAGGTTAGAATTCTTTAAGAAATATTTATATTTCTTAAGGGTAGTAATAATAATATTAAGAATAATATTTAAATTATTTATTTTAATGATATTGGGACTTCCTTAATGATTTCTAGTTTATAGATAATTTCAACTTCGTATATAGGAAATTTACTTATAATAAACTTAGTTAGGGCTACTTGAATATAGTATAAGTAATTTAAGCAATTTAGTAAATTACTTATCTATTCGGGCAAACTAATATTATAATTAAAGTACTAAATAATTAGTAAAGTGGCTTTTAATAGGATTTTATTAATAAAGGCGGGGTCGTTATTATTATATTTCTCTAAAACGCTATCGAGAGCGTCTTTAATACTATATACTAACTTACTTTATAAAAAGCTATATATATTTGTAAAATCCTTCCTATAATTATTAATATCTATTATATATATTTTAAAAACCTTTTTAATATCCGTACGTAAGTGGTAATTAATTTTGATATTTAAATTTTAATAATTTTTATTAAATATATTAATTACGTTTTCAAAGGATGGATAAAATTTACCTTTACTGCGAGCTTCGTTATAAGTATTGGTATTACTACGCAATTAAATAATATATAAAGTAATTTTACGCGCCTTTTTAGGCATCGTTTTAGCGTTGGATTTATTAAAAAAGACGGTCGGGATAATTATTATAGAAATCGGGCGCAAAATAGTGATAGTATTATTAATTAAGAAATTTAATTCGTATTATTCTTAAATCTCTAAAAAATTATAGCTATTAAGAGTAATAAAACGGCTAATAAAGTTAATAGGCTTTAAAATAATACTATTAGAATAAATATAATATTAAATTATATACGAAGCGTAGCGGATTTCCTTTATTTAGTTACAATGAAAGGTAAGGTTACTATAGGCAACGGGGACAGTTGGGATAAGCTCGAAGGTTTTTTCCAAATACGAAAACTATATACAAATATTAAAATAGTTAAATAAAGTAATGATTTAATCCTATTAATTCTTAAATCTATTATTAAAAATAAAGTCCTTAAAAATTAGCGCCGATAATATAGCCGATATAAAATAGTATAGGTTACTATTTAAAAATTTTGCGTTATAGCGGCGAAGGAAATCGGTTCTTAATAATATATTCGGGCTAAATTCTTCAATAATTAAAACGGATATTTGGAAATAACTATTAATTATAACGCTATTCACCTTTCTTTCTATATAGAAATTAAATTCGGTAATAATATTAATAATTATTTTCGAATTAATTCCCTTCATAACATTTGGCAAAATTAGTAAATACTAAATATTAAGTAAAAACTTGTTAATAAATATACGGTTTACTACAATTAATAAATAATTGGAATTAAAATATATAATAATTACGGGAATATTAGGGTTCGATGTAATATCTATTTATAAGTAGGAAATAATTTTCCTTAAATTTAATTCTGTATTTCGTAAAGTGATATCCGGGATAACTTCGATTATTTACCCTTCCGTAAAGGTAAGCAAATAATATTAACTTTTATATTATACCTCTAATAATTTAAACTTCTATCTATCGGCTAATATTAATAATCTTAACGTAATATCCATTTCCCTTACTTTACTAACCTAATTTAACGTAGCCCGAAAACTTTCGGTAGTTATTATTCGATTTTCAAACGAAGGATTAAACGACTTATTAAATACTTAGACTAATTCTAAGCGTTTAAAAATCGCTATAAAATTGGAATCGGATAATAAATTTAATAATAAGGGTATCATATAATCGTTAAAGTCAGTATTTTTAACGGGAAAAGCATTAATAATAATAGCCGGAATTGACGAAAACGAAGTTAATAGAACGGAAAATTATAGAATATTGGAAAATATAATATTAAGGGGAGTTAAAGAACCGGTAAAATAAATAGAAGATTTATTATTATATTTAACGGCGGAAATATTTATATTAAATTCAATTACCTCTTCTTCGAAGTTACTTATAAAGTAGTAAACTTCGCTTTATAAATAGCAAATTGTATTATCAGCGTCGGAATTATCTATAAAAATAATCGCGGAATTAACGTAAGCGTAACGACTATTCTTAGAATAATGACGCTTTTCGAACTTTTTACCCTAATAATAATTATAATTATTACTATTACTCGAATAGTTACTATTATATTTATTAAATTTATTACTAAACTTCCTAACTCTTCCGCTATTAAAATAAGGCTTCGTACTACCCTTTTTAATAAAATTATTATTATTAGGCTAAAAGTTTCTCTTAAAAAAAGGTTTACTACTATCCTTATTTCCCTAAAAACCAGAATAGACGGCCATTATAGCGTTATTTTCGAATATATCGTTATTATTATTA